AAGAGATATAATTGGTGAAAAAGAGTGGTCTACCTTTGACTTAGTGGCTTGGCTGTACCAAAACCTGCCCTATTTGGGAACCGTGGTGCTTGCCAGCTTAGGGGATATGAGTGACGTGCTGCTGTATGAGGACCCTATGAAATCATGATGCACTATGATTGCGTTCCTATCCTCTTTGCCGAAGCCATCATGCGCTCCACAAGGTCAGTCCCTTATCTGTCTAAAATGAGATACAACATTTTGCATCACATGGCGCAGTGTTCGGCAGTGGTCAGGCAAAATCTCGTGGGGGTTGATCTTCGCACTTCTTTATTCGCATACATTCTGCTGGAATCCTCTCCCATCCCCCCTCCCTCTTTGTCTCACGCTCGTGGGATACGTTCAAGGCTCCAGTACCTCATCTCCGACAAACTTGAAAGTTAATCCCTTCATGATTCGCCTACCGCTCGCCAAATGGATAGTGCACCGAACGACCTCGTACTTCTCCGTCTCGTACACTCTTAGCGCCAATTCTACTTCCTCTGATACAACAAGATACGAAAACCCATAAACAGCTTTTGACTCTGCGTAACCTTCATGGTCAACCAAGGCCTTGTACTTTCTACCCCAAGTCTTCAAGTCGCCACCAAAAATGTATGAAATATGCAAATTCCAGGTTGGCTGCTCCTCACCACAAACCGACTGTAGCACCTTGGGTTGGGCCAGTGTTCCGTAAAAGAAATACCACACTGGGTACTGATTGTCGCGCGGAAGTACATGATCGCCACCTCGAAATTGTGGAAGCATCCCGTCGATGCCCAGCATGGGGTATGCAGAGGTCGGAGATAGGTTCTTTTCGGCGGTCCGATCCGGGAGGAGGTTGGATGTCAAGTCATATGCCCATGCCTTTCCTGCGACAAAGTTGATAATCTTGTCCCGGGCGACGCTGTCGATTTGACAAAAGCGCACTGGGCGCCCGGAATCGTCGCTGCCTTGTCGGATCTTTGGAGGGCAGGACAGGCTTGCGGCCTCTTGGACCGTCTTGATGTCTTGGAGTGGGCCTTCGAGCTTCAATAAAAATCTTGCTGGTCTCTTTTGTGCCACTGCCGCGGTAGACTTGGGTGTTTGTGATGAATGTTGCCTATGCTTGAGAAGGTCGATGGAATGTTCGTATGACTCCTTGTCATGTCCTTCTGCCTCCTTTTCCTCTCGGATCATGTCCCAGTGCTCCATAGAGATCGTGGTCGAGTTGATATCCTCGCGGCGTCGTTCTATCTTGCTCTCGGCCTCTGCACGGGCATACCCAAACAACTTGACCCATCGCTCCACCGCGTCGGACTTGGAGGTTGCATACTGACAGATGGTAGCTGCGCCTTGAGCCATGAGCTCGAGTTCATTCTGAATTTGGTCCATTTCGATGGCTTGTCAAAAATAAGACGTCTCTGCTGTGTTTCTCCGTGGATTTGATATTTTTCAAGTGATGCCTTGAATATTAAGATTTGCGCGATTCGACTGAGCGTGCTTCATGTGAGTGCGGCTGCAACAAGATGTCTCCAATATCGGCGATCAAGAAAAATGATACGATCATGGCGAATCGAACGAAAATGCCAGAGTATCAACACGAACAGATCGTGGCCAGGTGAGAAGAAATAGTTTTGAAAAATTTGAATCACACCTGACTTGTTTCCTTGTTGATGATAATTTCTGAAGGTAATGGTTATCGAGTTGAGCGTCAAAAGTGTGGCTGAAAGTTCGGTAAGATTCGAGGGGAGGTGCTTCATTTATGTAGGCGGACTCTCAAGGCCCTCGGCGACTGGGCCGACATTTATTAACGCTGTGACTCATTTGAATTTCATTTAACATTTTGTTTATTTTAATTTCTTGTACTCGGGGCTTCTGTGTTCTCCTGAAGTTTGTTGCCAGAGTCAAGCATCGGGACTACTTTTTATAGTTCTGTACCTTATGCGTCCAAGTCCAACAGGATGTACCGAGCAAAGAAAGAGGACACATTGTGTAGCCATTCAAGCTTTTGAGTTACCTAGGTGCAAGTGGTGAAACGGACTGGCATTGGTTCGGGCACCGAATCCTCCTTTGGAGTTCAAGATTAAGAGGATGAGAGATGGAGTGCAATTTAGATGGAAAATATATTCATTTTTCTTCCGTCTTTTGCAAGCTCATTTCTTGTTCTGAGCTCACCGGCATCGGTTCTTCACATGTGCTTAGAGTCCCACAGGAAAACAACCCCCGTTGTTCTTTTCGTGCTGATATACGAGGTCCTGTCGACAACCATCTCATTATCCCATCGCACAGCCCGTCCCTCTTGCCTCGCTTATTTGAACGAGGCACCGAATACCAGAGGTATATATGCAAATGATTAATTGTGAGGTAGGAAAGCGCTAGCAGTGTCCAAATGAATGAAAGGCAGAGACGGTTGAAAACTTGAGAGTTTTCATTCGCGAAGACGACCCACATCCCGCCATGCATAGACGCTTATATGATCTGGCGAACTTCAGGGACAAATATATTACTGGTGCAGGAAGGAAATGGGCAGACCAAAATACCGGGTCCTGATATTTTCTTTCTTTCTTGACCATGTGGCCTCAAGTTTGGATGGCCCTCGTTTTGATTTGACTGCATGGCTGTTACACACAATACACGCATTGCTCAACGGAAGCTTGACTAAACTTGACTTGCTCGGAATGTGGAACCAAGAAAATACTTTTTGAATACTGACCATGCTGTGTAACCAGGACTTGGATAATCATCATTCCCGAATAGGACTCATGTTTCTTGTGTTGCGAGACAATTTCATGGCTGTCTGTACGGCCTCGACGGAGGTGAGCTGTTAGGCCTAAAATTGTGCCTTGGCATGATCCAAGTGGCGGTGCTGCAGTGCCTTGACTCTGTATACCAAGAAACGTATCCACTAATCGCCTCAGTCGGGAGGATTAGCTGCTTATTACTGACACTGCCCAATTCCCGATTAGGAAATATAGAAGGCCAAGCTTCCTACACGCTAAGAAGAGCAGTGAAAGCACCGGTCAGCACTCAGTTTCTTTATTTACCTTCCTCCTAATGCCGTCACAATGCACTAGTCCAACGACTGCGGATTCCGAGCTGAACACAGGCGTGCTTCTGCCAATGTGCCGATCATCACCAGTCAGCCTATCAACACGTGCGTATTCAATCCCGACCTTGTTATTGACATTATTAACCACGAAAAGCGAGCTACTAATGAGCACACGCTGTTTAGTAGCAGGTTGTAGTCAGCTCACAGCCCTATATGCCGTAAATGGTAAAAAGTGTGCAGCCTTGCCAAGATGGCAGCTGAAGCTACGGGCGATGACGTTAGATGTGATTGTCGATGGGCGAAGCGTACGACGGGATGGTCGAGATATATAAACTTGTGGAAGAGTATGCTACTCGAGAATTAATTCGATACAACATCCACCAGAAACTGATTTCCTTGACTTTTCCTTCTGTTTCTTTCCATCAACTCTGATATTTCAATTGTAAAACACACCATTCCACCACGATGCGACGGACAGCTTTTCTTGGGTTTTCGATTGCTTCGACCATCAACGGCATCGCAGCCGCTGGTTTCAGCCCCTCCGAGTTCGTTCCGCTCCTTGGCCCATCCTTTATCTCGAATTTTGATCCAACCAATACGGGACCTATCCGCGAAGCTATAGAGGCTTTCCCGGAAGTCATTGATGCATTATTTGACGATGGGACCCTGAACAAGACTGACCTCACCTTTGCTATCGACGTCTTTTCAGCCGCTACCAACCAGTCTCTGTACAGCTACCACCATGTCGGGGACAGCCAGCAAGTGACACTCACGTCTGGACAGCTCAACGACAAGACGATATCCAAGCTCGGCAGTGTATCCAAACTCTTTACTGTCTATGCCATTATTGCCAAAGCCGGAATCGAAATATTCAGCCATCCTGTCACAAAGTACATTCCCGAGCTTGCGTGCAACTCTACAAACTCGTCGAGCAATAGTCTAAATCATATATCTTGGGAGGATATTACGATTGGCGCGCTTGCTTCTCATCAAGCTGGAACTGGAGGAGCCACAAGTTAGCATTCCTTTCCTTATTTCACCTCTTAGTGCAGCCATGGCTGACCCGCAATTCAGAGCTTCTCCTGGACAGTGGCAACCCATTTATAATTACACCTCAACGTAAGTCCAGTCTTGCATTCACTTCAACTGATATTTGGCTGACAGTTCTTTTCCTTGCTTCCAGAACTTTTCGATTCCATGTGCACCAAGTATCCTGTCATCAGTCCCTTCCGAACCGCCGTCTACTCAGATGGTGGGTTTGCTGTTCTCACGCAAGTTCTTGCTCGTCTCTCGGGCAAGGAATATGGGGAGGCCATCCGAGAGATTCTATTTGAGCCATTGGGGCTTGAGGGCATGTCAGACAAGGTACCCAGCGGCCCTGGCGTCAACGCCATCAATCGCACAACTGTCGACAATTCTTCGTCATGGGGGCTAGATCTTCCGATTGTTGCAGGGCAAGTATCAACGCCTGTCTCCGCTGATGCATCCTTACTAATATGGTTTGTAGATCTGGTGGTCTCCATGCCAGTACATCAGACCTTCGCGCTGCTGGACTGTCCATATTGAACTCGGAGCTGCTCTCTGCTGCAACAACTCAACAGTGGATGAAGCCTCTGAGTGGCACAGGATCCCTGGCAGAAGTCGTCGGTGCGCCTTGGGAGATCCAGCGCCTGGCCGTCCCTGCTACTCCTGGCTCGAACCGCACTAGAATCTCTGACCTCTACACCAAGGCCGGTGGAAATGGCGACTACAATGCAATCTTTGCTCTATCTCCAGACCATGGAATTGGCTACTCCATCCTCGTCACTGGGTCTACTTCCGTCCTTGCCCGTTTTATTATTCGCAATGCTGTTGGCGAGTTGATCATTCCTGCTGCCGAGGCTGCCGCTGCTGAGAATGCCCAAGAAAACCTAGCCGGAACTTTTGCAGTCCAAGGTTCCGAGGGTACCAATCTCACAATCTCAGTAGATGAGGATGCTCCCGGGTTGCGCATGGAGTCATTCTATATTGAAGGCGTCGACAGCAGCGGACTCTTTGTAAACACCCTGGGCGGCATGATGCCCACCGAGCAGGAACTGCGATTCTTCCCTACCGGCCCCAACTCGTACTCAAAGTCGCTGTCTGCGCAATACAAGACCGATGGTACCATCAAAGTGGCGCATCGTCTGGTGCACTCAGACACGGCTCCGCCTCTTGCCCCACGATCCTATTCCGAGGGCGGCAAGGGCGGATTGTTCAACGACCAACATACTTGGCAGGACATTGGGTTTGAGCTGGCCGCGGACAACTTCGTCTTTACCATTCAAGATGGAAAATTGACCACTGTCGAGTGCGTTGATCTACAATTGACACTCAACCGCATTGAATAGATTACATCCCACTTTCTCCCTCTCCCTTTTCTTTCTTATTCGAATAGTCATTTCTCTTCACAGTTGCAGCATTAGGCGGAGCATACCTGCATAGATAGGAGGTAGAAATCTTTGATTTTCAAACAAAGGATGTAAATGAAGCCACTCGTGACAGCTACACGGTTATGATTTGACTGTTCAACAGCCTACAATCGTTTCATAATGACCGCCAAGTTCTCATCAATAACGTAGAAACGATTTCTACCAGGTAAAAGCCATCTGTTTGGTAGCTTTTGCTTAAGGATGCGTTGAGCGTCACATTCTAGATTGTATAGTCTGGGGTCGAGTCGACATCTTGAGGCCAAAGACCCCTTGCTGGGTCCTTGTAATAGGCCTTAATACATCCGCAGCGCACGATGTTTTGGAACGCATTGGTGTCTCGTTTTCACAACCGGACCGAAACGGCCAATATCTCCTCATCGCTGTCATCTCAATTTCTTGGTGTTTGTGGTCGCCTGTTCCGCCACTTTGTTTCAGATCTTGTTTGTTCTGGGTCGTGTCGTTGGACCTTGACCTGCGGGTGCCAGACGACCTGGTTCGCCGAGGGCAAATTGGCATCTTCTGAAGCATGCAATATATTATCTCATAATGAATAAGAAGTACCGAGGAGGAATTGAGAATGTGTAAATGACGTCTAGTGTATTCGGGATGATTTCGCTGTAACACAGTGACTATTGTAGCAATGCTTGCATTGAAGAGGAGAGGGGCTCCAAGAAAAAGTACAACGGAAGATGCACAGTGTGGTGGTGTTCAATGTTGATGTTTGGGAGAGAGGCGGGAAAAGCTTGGGCTGCTTCGAGCTACATATTTAGACCCCTCTCAAGAGCACTGCAATGGTTGTTCCTGATAACAATATATACTTTGATTATGTACCTAGTATGGATTGAAACCAGATGCGTGGAGGTTGATAAACACGACCTTGATTTGGCGCGTCGCAAACCATCAACTACCAACCTTGTATCTGGCTACACCAGAAGGTATGATCAATGGACAGCGAGCCTTAGACGTAGGTAGGTCCCAGGGGTACAGTCAGTCCCTGCCTTTGGTCTCATGCGCCTTCAAAGCAAAAGACGACGAGTATAATCCCAGCAGTCGAGCAGTCGAGCAGACATCAATGAACACTCATGTGAAATACACAGACCTCTATTCAGTTCCTTCAATCGATTTATTTATGGTGTTCATCTCAGGTAACAGACAAGGGGAATCCAAGACATCGGACAAAGCGCAGAAATGTTCCTACCAACGAACAATGAACAGTGGTCCAAGCTTCAGTGAATGCCTGGCTGCCGCCTAAAAGCTCCTCCAATTTTTGCGCGCCAGATTGACACCCACTGGGACTGGACCCTGCCTGAGTTAGGTACCTAGGCAGGCACCTCAAAGGCACTGGTCTACATTTAGCCAGCGCTATCGCTTCCCTTCCATTTCACGCCCTAGTGCCATAGACTTGCAACGCACTCAAAGGTCAACCAACGGCCATAAAACAGAGCTGCGTCCACAATCCTTCTTCGCTTTTGTCCCATCTCACAACCAAAGACAAAAGTTCACCCAACCTTCAATCCTACGAGACAAGATGTCGTACCGCGTTGGTATGTTTCTTTTCCTCGTCTTCCCACTGTGGTCAAGGGAGAGTTGGGCTTGGCTCGTCGCGTTTCTGACGTCACCAACCACCTCGACATCTGCACAGCCAGCGCGTATGCATTGCTTAAGCTAATTCTAAACTGCCAGAGGTATCGCCGAACGCTCGCGCTGGTTGCAAAGACGCAGTGTGCAAGGCTGAGGGCACAAAGATCACCAAGGGCGAGATTCGCTTCGGTGCTTGGGTTAAATTCCAAGAGCACGGTAGCTGGCATTGGCGTCACTGGTAAGCATCATGCGCCCATCATCCACCATTTGCAGCCGCCATGAATTTCGATACATGGATTGTGAAACTCTCATAACTTACCATGATGTCTAGGGGTTGCGTCTCAGGCGAGTCGATCAAGAACGTTCAGGAGAAAATCAAGCAGGACGATGGCAGCTACGACTACGACGCCATCGACGGCTTTGATGAAATGACGTGAGAATTCTCGTGTCTTGCTCTTGCGAACACACGTTTACTGACTCTTATACCTTAGCGACCATCCTGATGTACAGGAGAAGATCAAACGCGTCATCGAGCAGGGTCACATTGATCCCGAGGACTTCAATGGCGTATGTCATCCCCCTTTGGCTTTTCAATACGAGTATCATGCTCATGTGACATAGGACCCAGAGATGAACCGTCCTGGCCAGAAGGGTATCCGTGGACGTCCCAAGAAGGCCAAGGCTGCGGATGATGACGAGGCTCCCAAGCCCAAGAAGCGTGGCCGCAAGAAGGCCGATGCCGCTGATGAAGAAGACGAAGAGGATGTCAAGCCCAAGAAGAAGGCCAAGAAGACTGCTGCCAAGGCTGAGGACGATGACGAGAAGCCTGCTCCCAAGGGCCGTGGCAAGAAGTCTACCAAGGCCGCCGTCAAGGATGAAGACGAGACCGAAGAAGAGCCTGAGGAGGAACCTGCTCCCGTCAAGAAACCCCGTGGAAGGGGTGCTACCAAGAAGGCTGTCAAGGCCGAGTCGGAAGATGAGGTCGAACCCGAGGAAGAGAAACCTGCCCCAGCCAAGAAGGCTCGCGGTCGCAAAGCTGCTCCCAAGAAGGAGCCTACCCCCGAGGAGGAAGACGACGAAGATCAGCAGGAGGATCCCGAGGAGCCCGAGGAGGAACCTGCACCCAAGCCCAAGGGAAGAGCCGGACGCAAGTCCAAGACTGCTGCTGCTGTTGAGGATGCCGCCCCTGCTAAGCCCAAGCGTGGCCGAGGCCGCAAGTCGTAAGTCTTTTCGTCCATCTCAACCTTCCCATGCTCTTGCTCACCAAATCTTAGTGCTGCTGCCGACGAGGATTAACTTCTGGGATTACTCCATCGTACTCAATTTTCCAGACATGAGGATGGATGCAACGTATTGTACAATAGCTTTCATGTGCGTGCTACGTGTCGATCGTAAAACATTGTGCGCACTTTGTAACAATTACCTGGCTGGATGATGGAATGTGTTATTTGCGAAGAGGATACCAATGCGTTCTGGAGAACGTAGAAATGCCTGCGATTGTGGATTTCTTTCTTTTTGTTGGCTCGCTATAGAGATTCTGCAAATAAGCTTCATGGTTTGTGTCATTTTCACATCTCGTAGCTGCTAAAATAGCCAAATATGATCATGAGTGCCATCTCAACCTTTAATTCGTGTATACGAGCCGAACACAAGTTGACAAAAGATCTTCTTAGGCCAACAGCTTCAGGCCATGATTTGAAGTACATGAAGGGTGAGTAGCACGAGCTCAAGTAGACATGTCATATGAAGACTAAAAGAACCAATTCCATGTCCATGCATCTATTCAGCTGACACAACGATACACCTGGGATGAACCAAATTTGCTTGCAACATCTCGATCAAGCCTATTTAGAGCGCTCCGTGACTCGTACCCACAGGTCACTGGCAAAGTAGATATTGCAGTTCATGATACGCATCGGCTTGTTCGGGTCAATAAGTTGAAAGTCATAGTGTCGGAGCAACTATGGATTGAAAAGTGTGAGTTCAAATGTTCCGTAAATCAACGAAGAAACATGACATAAATTAAACGACTCACCTCGATATATATCTTGTTGAGCTCCATGAGTGCGACGGGCTTGCCCGCACATCCCCATCGCCCGTGGCCAAAGACGAGCTCGACGACCTGGGCCATCTCGCGCTTCTTGTCGGGATCAATGCCTAGCCAGCGCTCTGGCTTGAAGACATCGACGTCATGGCCGAAGATTTCCTTCGACCGCTCCACGCCAATGAAGCTGTGACCTATCCTGGTGCCGCCTGGAACAAAGTGACCGAGGATCGTGTCGCCCTGAGGCGGAACTTGCTTCATGGAAAGACCTGTAAAGGGAACATGCATTCGTAGACCCTCATAGATGACGGCCTACATCAACACCAAAACAATCCGAATCAGTAACTCGAGCAAAAAAGAGCCGTTCTGGCAAGAAGCACACCTACCTGAAGGTACGTCAATGGCTTTCCTTCCTCGGCCTTGGCAATGCTGGAAATGGCACCCCGCGCAACAGCGTCGTCAATCTCTCTTTGCAGCGTCTGATAGGCGTACGGCGTCGTCATGAGGCTGAGCATGGTGCCGCGCAGCGCCGTGGCCGTCGTGTCGGAGCCGGCAATGATCTGGAACGGGATCTCTCCCTCGAGCTTGTCACGACCGACGCCGTGCCGGATGAATGAGCCCTGAGATCACATGTTAGTCAGCCCATCCTTGCTTTTCCATACAGTGATGACAGGTCAGGCACATCTGGGCAAGTATACTTACAAGCATATCCCGTTGGTCCTCTGCTTCTGACTTCATCCGCTTGTTGACAATGTCTCTTGCTACACTATGCAATGTCAGCCTCTTTGGTCTTGGAATATACTAGCATGTTTGAATAGGACTTACCCTACTAGCTTCCCGATGCCTTTCTTGTCACTGGTGGTTATGAAATTGTCAGCTGCTCATCACTCCATTGTTTGCTATGTAATTAAGGGAGAACTTTGGACTCTTCGAGAGCGATAAACATGATTGAGTGATCCAAAGAAAATTCGGATAGATCATACGTTGCCTTGGGTCCTATCCACGCGAGAAGCGTCTTGTTCATAAACAGGTGCCTCAGAAATGGAATCTCAGCACACATGACGATGATGGGAACGTAGTCCTCGGACGTCTTGATATAGTCGTGGACATCAGAGTCGGTCTTGAGGTACCCAAAGGCTTCGCCATAGGCGATGCGGGTGAGCGAGTCGAGGGTAAAGTACTGCAAGATGACGGCAAGGTCGAGGGGGCGGCAGGCAATGTCCCCCGCCGTGGGAGGGGCCGAGAGGTATTTGCGCCGAATGAGGGCGTGCATAGCCTGGATCTGCTCATCCACGCCGTCCTCAATGGTCGGGTTCTCTTTACCGCCGTAGCCAAACGAGAGCTGTGCCTTGAGCTTGTCGTGGGCCGTCGTGTCTTGCATGCTAAACAGGCTGTCTTGGTGGGGGTTCATTCTGATCGCTTGGTACCAGTCGGACCGTCCGTAGAGCGATCGCGCGGCGCTCATGCGTCGGATCACGTCTGGATCGTCGGTTATGAGGTCGTTGGGACCTACGCGCGCCAGGTGGCCGTACTTGTCGGTGATGCCTCGGTAGATGATACCTTGACGGAAGTTTAGGCCCTGGCGGAACATCCATAGGTCTGCAATATTTGATCAGTGTCAATTGATACACTAACATCAGTCTGCAAAGTCACGAGTTGGGAAAGATGACATAATCATTGATGGTGCATGATGTTGCGATTGGAAATGATGAGTGTCTGTCAAAGAAGGATAAACATACATGACCAAGACGCAAACCATGGTCCTGGAATGTGCCGAAGCCGATACCATGAGTATACGGACGAGCTAACAAGATAGAATGCAATCAATGCACCAATGAATAGACTAGGTGAGGATGAAAAAGCATTGGAAAGCTGATCAATAACATCTTGTAGGGCGGTCATTGTGTTGGACTTGGGAGTCTCAAACAGTAAACCAGGAGGAGCAATACGTTACTGGAAACCTTAGTAATTCCTGTTCTAGTCTACCGAAACGCACCATTCTTATATGTACATCAGTATTGGCAGTTCTTGGTGATCGAGGAAGGATATTGGGCCAAGATAACGTTCTTGGATTCTCCCAATAATGGCGCGCATGGTATACCCCCAGTTGCAGAGCAAGTACAAGCTCGTGATAGTCGATGAAGCACTATAGATTCTGCATTGTTAGGGAGTGCCAGGCTCATCAATTACCTTTTCAGTCCAAATATCGTGCATCATTTCTAGAACGGTACCTCGTGGCTCGCAAAATATGACCCTGCTATCTTGAGAAACGCAGGGAGGTCTATGGCATTCGTAAGCTACATACATATTGTAGGATTATCCTCATTAGAACCAGTAGCATGAAACGAGCCAGTATAATCCCTCGCCGTTTGTCGCCTATCACATAGGCAAGATAGGCTACCACACTGTTACACGACATTATGCGCGACGATAAATAATCAAATAGTACTGCAGCATTCCGCCCTGCCCCGCAGGCTCGCTCAGTCATCAAGGCTGTCGCCAGCCGACCTGCTTGCCTCAAATAATGCTTGATAGTTCAAGTGTATATACCTAGATATACAGCGACGCTAGTAGGGATGTGGTATTGATCAACAGTTTGCGGGAGCTCTTGAGACCCTTTACATCAATCCAGCTACCACGAAGTCATGGTTCTTGTCTCTACCTTAAATCACAACAATCTGGAAGAGGCTAAAAGAAAAAGTCATATTAGTGTCCATCGCAGTCTTCGCTATCTGCTGTTGATTATATTTCGAGCTTCACAACAGGTGCCTCTCTGGAAGCCCGATGCATCTGTATCGAGGTTATCTTTGTTCTGCTTGCTCCATTGCCCCCCAAGCCTGATCAATGTCACTTCCTAACATGCACAAGAAAATGGTCCACGATTTCAATACAAGTGCTTATATGCTGTCATCCCTGATGGAAAGTCCCTAATATTCTAGAATCATGGAAGAGCCTTTTTGCTTGTTTATTCGGGCCATTAGTTCATCTTTGCACATTGGATGAATTCAATGTTTCCCTGCTAATCTACTGCCTGGGCCAATTCCTGGCAAACGGCACACAGCTACCATTGGCCGTGGCGGCGATGGACCGATCAGCCAAGAAGACGCAGTACTTTGCCACATCGCGCAGCGGCACGGCTTCCTCGGGCTTGAATGTGGCAGCAGCCGACCTGGAATAGGCCGTGGCGTTGAAGCCACCGAAACCGCCCGCCGCATCGCCAATGTTGGTGTCGCTCATGCCGCCGAGCAGCAGCGCAATGGCGTAGATGCCCTTGTCGCCGTAAAAGCCTGCCGTGCTCTTGACCAGCCCCGCCACGCCGTGCTTGCTCACTGTGTAGGCGGCGCCTGCGCAGGTGCCCACTGCACGATGAAAGGTTAGCAATCGTTTTCCGAGATAAGATGATGACATAGTTTTCCTCTCTGATTCGTTTTAGGGAACCCATTGCTTCGGTAACAACAAGCTCAATAGAATAATGGATCAACATTAACTCACAATTCGAGGCTGCACTGCCAATTTGTATAATGGTACCACCAACCGGCTCCTGCTTCTCAAACGCCTTCACGGCGGCGCGCATACACAGAAAGCTGCCGGTAAGGTTGACGCCCAGAATCTTGTCCCAGCGGTCCTTGCTGAGCTCACCGACGGGATCAAAGATGTCCATGATGCCGGCATTGTTGACGAGGATATCGAGACGGCCAAACTTGGCCACGACCTCGTCGACGAGCGCGTCCACGGCCGCCTCGTCGGTGATGTCCGTCTTGGTGGCCAGGAACCGGCCCGTCGACTCGAGCTCCTCACGCGTCGAGGCCAGGCGCGCCTCGTTGACGTCGCAAATGGCCACGTTGGCGCCCGCCTCTAGGTAGGTTGTCGCAATCACCTTGCCGAGGCCGCCGGCCCCGCCCGTCACGAGTACTGTTGTTCCCTCGAGAGATGCCATGATGGACAATTGAAATGGATGTAGGGATTGTGTGAAGAAAGATCTCGAATACTTTGGCTAATACTATTGGCGACGTGGAAACAATGTACGGACTAGATGATGTTTGATCGCAGTGGCCTGTCTCTTTTATACCATCCCAGTGTGCTTGTTACTCCTCAAATTTGAAGAGTCCGAGAGGCCGTCGTACCGTATTCGCTCGGCTAGCAAAAATGCGAGCTGAGTTCGGGTTGTCAATCCATCAACCGCCATGCTGCTCGGCGCACCTGAGCGCGTGGAAGGAAACGAGGGGACTGTAAACGAATGCGTGCACTACTGGCCTATAGGGGGTCGTTATCGTATTCGTATACTTCTTACATGCCAGGGCAATAATGTACTAACTTGGCACTATAACTAGTGCCAACGGCCCTAGTCCACGGCGGGAGGTGGGGGAGTAAATTTCAAGGCAGTGTCTGGTTCCGTGAAACTGATCAGACAGACAAGTCTGGTATAAATTCAGGTGCGGTTGACAGATTCTGGATAATATTACCAAGAATGCTGCAAGATAGGGGTACATGGCCAATCAGTGTAAGATTTGTTTGTATGGGCTGACCACTCAGATGCACTCGAGCAAAGTATATAGTCAGGCTAAATTGGCTTGCATTGTTCATTTTGTATTCATCACATTTTATATACACCAAAAAGTGCTTGAACTTGTCAGCTCTGCACTACCACGGCGTGATCAACTACAATGGCTAGATATGAATATACAACCAAGACTTCCATGCATCTATCCAAGGAAGTTGCGAACATTGCCTCCAACATTCTTGAGATCGAGCAGGAATGTGTCATGGCCAAACATGCTCTGTTCCTCACTCAACTCAACGTGGGAGACGTTTCTGTTCCCGCCAAGACGCAAGCTGTCGGCCACTTCACGTTGTTGCCAAGCGGGAAACAGAATGTCGCTAGCTACGCCCATGACCAGAGTTGGGATGTCTCTCAAAGGAGTAAGGCCCGCAATCAGGTCATCAGGTGGCCGCGATGATGCTTTGACCGGAGAGTTGGTGTCCTCAACGCTTGATTCTCCTTGCTCAATATACGGAATTTCTGGCAACGTCAAACTACAGGCCGGGTCATTTGAGGTGATTGGCGATCCAGACTCTATCGCCTGTTCTGTTTGTGCTCGCCGGGTGGCAGCGGCTTGCTGGGTATCTCTTCCAAGATCGAACAAGTCCATGCCTTTGCTCACGTAGAGCAGACTGTTTGGATCGTAGGTTAAGCAGAACTTTTCTCCTGCGTGGTCGAGATACGTCTCAATCAAAAAGTCGGGGCACAAAGCAGGTGGCTTCTCGGGGTCTGCTCGCCTGCGACCAAATCGTTGTTCCCATTCGGGACCAGATCTATAAGTGACGGTGGCAATCTCTCGAGCCAGCTTCATGCCAGCATGGGGAGGGACCTTGTCGTAGTAGTAGCCACGGTTCCAGTTGGGGTCCATCATCAGAACCTGGCGTTGCGTGTGGCGCATGGCAATGCTGTACGGGTGGCTGCGCGCAGCACCGCTGATGGAAATGATACGGCCAACCCGAGAGGGAAACAGAACCCCGGATGCTAGAGACAGCATGCCTCCCATACTCGAACCGACACTTGCGTATAGCTTGTCGACGCCCAGGCCATCGAGGAGCCGGAATTGAGCTCTGACCATATCCTCCATTGTTACAATCGGGAATCGAGTCGCATATCGCTGACCATCGGCGGGATCAATACTGCTGGGTCCCGTTGAACCAAAGCAGCCACCAATGACGTTCGTGCATATGATGAAGTATTTGTCTGTGTCGAGACAACCTCCCGGTCCAATGAACTTCTCCCACCATCCTGGTTGCGGGTTGCTGGGAGTGGAGTGTGCGTGAGAAGAAGCCGAAAGGCCCGTGTATAGCAGGATAACGTTGGACTTGTCTTCGTTCATCTTGCCCCATGTCTCGTATGCGATATCGAATTCGGGCAAGACACCACCCCAGTCGAGTAGTAGAGGGTCTTTGCAATGGTACTTTTCGGTTGCGCCGGCCGTATAAGTCGGCTCGGGGCCGGAGGCGAGTGACTTGGCTTCCAGAGTCGCCGACCTTGTCTCGAGCGCGTCGAGACATGGGAATGCCATGGCTGGATTCGAGGCCTCGCCAGATGCTGTTCCATTGCGTCGAGCAGGAGACGAATGCACCTGCCTGACGACCTGAGCGCTGCTTGCGGGCCTCAAGAGATGCGCCCTAGCAATCGGAATGGGCGAGGTTTCGAGGCTTGCACAGCGCCCCGAAGCAGGAAGCCGGCGCAGCGCCGCAGCACCGAATCTTTGGGCTCGCATTATGTTGTAGAATGAGGAGAGGGAAAGAATTGATGATCCGACTGTTTGAGCAAGCAGGCAGACAGAATATTTTGTTGTCTGCAAGCCCACGAGGGACTGCGATTTGTCGCAAGATTACTCCATCTTCCGCTGGTTTGTCAGCGGCCAAGTGAGTCTGGAGGGCGAAACTCTCTGTCATTCACATTCCGATTCGGAGCTCAGTTGACAAATGATGAAATTGCACGTGACGATAGCGGTTATCTGGTGTTCTGTAACCCCACCTGGGTCGAATGATTTAGCGGGGCAGGATACCTAGCTGTTTTATGGTACAGTGAGGTACGCAGTACTGTAGCGTATACTCCGTCTCCACTGATGTGTAACCCATAATTGTTTCTCGTACATGTGTACCAATGGTAAAGACACCTAATCTTAGGTAGTTATGATTACAAACTCTGGACATTTCACTCATGAGATAAAGTCACCGGAGGGAATCTCAGATAAGTAATTCAAAACCTTTGTCATCTACAGATTGGACCAAGCTGAATCTCCAAGGATAATTGACACCCTCAACCAAGCCTGTAACGTCTCAATTATCAACACAACTTCCTTGGATCAGATTTCACTACAAAGTTGATGGGTGATAGTCCTACTTTCTTGTCAGGAAGGCAAAATCTCGACATAAGTCATAGGTCTAGAGGATCCGACTCACTGGAATGATAGTATACTTGTCAATCAAGACTTTTCCTTCGGCGTCGCGACGAAAGTGCATCCTCGCGGCCCACGTAAAGGTGGTGGCCTCGCCTGTCTCTGACACATTGTTGCTTCGTCCATGCAACATGATTTCTTCAGCCTTTGGCCCGAAAGGAAAGACGGCGTAAATGACATGGTCTCGACTTTTGACGCCTGTCCATGACTTTGTCACCAAGTCCACAAGCGCTAGCCCGGGAAATGCCCATGTCAGTCTTGGTTATCCTGGTGTTCGAGTTAAAGCTAAAGGGTGCGTAACCTACTCTGTCGGCCTCGAACATTTGTTGCGCCCTTCTTCAGTTCTGCATCTTCTGTAAAGTGTGACCCCCAGACTTCAAGATCCTTATTGTCCACTGCAGTATATAGCGAAGCAATATGCGCCTTGATCGCAGGATCAAGGATGCTATCGTCACTGTCGAATGTTTTGATGCTTGGAGCCATACTGGACCGAGTGGAGTCGGGAAATGTCAGAGACAAGTTATGCGTCAAAGAACAGACTATACTGGAAGGAAAATATGTACTTTGGTTGACGCAGACGAGCAGGAAGAATGATCGAATAGGAATACTTAAGTTGCTCGTAGGTACTTCATTTATTCACAACATTGCTCCCAGCCAGAGCGACTTGATGTCAGAAGAGCTTGGTAAAGCAGATACAACAGCTTTCGGTGTTGTCGAGTCCGATAGCCCCCGCCATAGCTCCTGGGAAACAAGCCAACGCCGAAATGTGGAGGCTTCTCATGTCCGTCGCTATCGCTTACCGATAGACAACACCTGAATGGGAGCATCATCTGCTAGGTGACTTGTTTCAGGGATCTGCGGTGGAAAACGCACAGTTACGCATCACATATCATCTGGAACAGCACGTACGGTATTGCGAGTCACGCTATTGCATACATTCAACTGTGAAAACTCAACATTCTCAGAGAACAAAGTCGAGGATTGTTATGACAGAGGTGCCTGTCTGTCGCGATCCAAGTCGTACCGTTGCTATCTGCTGACTGTATAATCCTGTTTAAGAGAAGTGAAGATACCAAGTGTAATAACTAGGCCGCCACCAGTGCATCAACCCACAAGAACATTCTTCACCCGCTTGAACAATCCAGTGCCCGAAGACTCCTCATCCACTCCACCGAGCCAGTCTCTTCTGCCGCTAGCCATATCTGCTTCAGAGGGATCGACCCATTTTGTTTCTGGACAAGCAAGTTAGTAAATTGACACACGTTTGTTACTAACGGCGGCAGTGAACATACTATGGTAGAGCTTCCATCCGACGTAAAGGATAATAAAGATCGGGATGACCAAGTAGGAGAAGATGAACCCCTTCAGGTCGAATGGCGTCAATAGAGTCGTGTACCCGGAAATGAAGACGAGAAAGATGTTTCCAACAAACAATATCCAGGGCACATAAGGGTAGCCAAATGACTGGAACGGCAGTGATGATACCGGGATGTTCTGTGCTTTCAGGGCACTGCGAAATCGCAGGTGAGTAAGCCCAATAAATGCCCATGCGATAAAGGCGGCCGAGCCCGAGATGTCAAGTAAATATGTGAAGACATTGCCAGCGTTTTCGGAAATGTTTAGGAGCGATATCAAACCAAACAAGTTTGTGAGCACAATCGCATTGACTGGCACGCCGTTTTTTGTGGTCTTGGCGAGGAAGCCAGGTGCGCGCCCGGCTTTGGCCTGTGCAAATATGCAGCGACTTGCAATGTAGATGGCCGAGTTGATGGACGATAAAAGTGTCACAATGATGATGGCATTGATCAAGTTGCCAGCACCCGCCCAGCCAGCCTTGTTCAGGGCAACTGTAAAAGGCGAAGCGGCAGACTTGGACGTTGCGTTGAGAAGAGCGTCCGAGTTTGAGGGGACGATCAGACCGGTAAAGAAGACCATGCCGACGTAGACAATGAGGATACGCCAGAATGTTTGCTTCAGTGCCTTGGGTATGTCCTTTCGCGGATTACGAGACTCGCCGCCCGTGATGGCAACTGCTTCAGTGCCAGAGTACATGACTGCGGCAAGGACCAAGACTTTGCCAAAACCATTGATACCATTGGCGAAAGGTCCAGGATCCTTCCAGTAGGAAAATCCAATGTACTCGCCTCCGATGGCACCAGTATCAACCAAGCTAGAAAGCTCTTGTCAGCCTTTACTGCTTCAAACTTGCCGACAGTAGGTCGGCCTAGAGCCACTCACATGGCTACGAGGTAAAGAATGATGACCACAACAAATTTGAAGGAGGCCAACCAAAACTCCATCTCACCATAGACCAAGACCCCAAGAAGAGATGTAAACATGAACAATACCCAGCAGATTAGGATCCATGCGTAATTCGGTAATTTGTCGGTCCAAAAGGTCAATATCAGAGCTGCGCCGTTGTATTCGTTGGCAAGAATCGTGCCCTTCGCAATATCCAACGTTAGTTAATTGGTCCGTAGAATCGATAAGTCGTCGTAATTGTAAACTCACCCACATGTACCAGTAATTCCAACCAAGAGCAAACGAGAGGGCCGGATCCACGAACCGCCCCGCAAACTCGTTGAAGGAACCCGTTGTCGGGAATAACGTCGCCATTTCTCCCAAGGACTGTGTGACAAAGAAGACGTCGACGCCGAGTATGATATAACCAATGAGTGCTCCGACCGGCCCGGAATACTGCAGCGCATACCCGGTCGCGTAAAAGGTGCCGGGTCCAATGACACCGCCGAGGGCAATCATCTGCAAATGTCTCGACTTGAGCGCGCGCCGGACGCCATCGTCGATCAAGGTGTCGCTGGCATCAATGACCTCGCCCGCATCTGGCTCCTGGTGGGTGGTGCCCGTCATGGCGACGATTTTCTTGTCATCAGTCTCCGCCATCTTGCAGATGAACCCTCGCTTGAATGTCTGAAACGAGGGTTTGTACAATTGTTGGAGGAAGGCTTCTTGGTTATTAAGTCTAGTATCTGTTGCCCAGTTATGATAAGCTTATTGGCCAAGGTCAGGGATAAGACCCCGGAACTTGAAAGGCTTATCAGGTAGCAGTCTAGTTAGTGCCCTTGGACATGAAATACTTGAGAAAACTATTTCTTCTTGAAAACAGCCTTGATTAGATTTATTTGAAGTCGATTAAACCAAATCTAGAACAACATCTCTCGCAGCTCTGTAGCTTGGAGACAGTTATTTTGTCTGTTTTTTTAAACACAAAAATTCAGGCAAATTCTATACTCTCTGTCCCTGAGAACAAGACACTATAGCGTCTATGGTATCCCCTCTACTAGTCCCTGTATCTGATAAGATTACCCCAGAGCGCTGGGTCCGACATTCTCCACTAGGTTAGGTTAGATGATTGGGGTAAAAGTATGCCATCGGGATACAAGTGCGACAGCCTCCGAATGAGTCCGTTGACCAATCATGATACACGTTGCCAATGTATTTCATCAAATGAAGTCTTGGGTCGAGCCGGTCTCATTATCAATTACCAAGTTACAAGGGAAACTTGACCAAAGACTCGGCGTCATGTTCACCAAAAATCCGATACTCCTTACAACACGTCGCTGTGTCGGATGTGCATATGGTTATTCGATCAACTGCCTCGCCATTTGATAATAGATGGCGAATGCTAATTGCTATAATCTCACGTGTGCAGCACTTCTTGTCCTGGCTGTTGGTTATGGTTGAAAATTGTATATGTCTGGCCTCTGGGTGTATTCTTTATATATATTTGCGGCTGTAGTCACGCGGTCAAGTACATGAATAGCGCATAATTTGTATTCGATCAAAGCAACCAACCCAAACTGCAACTCCACTAAAGTCGAGCTCCCATGGCGACTGAGACTGCTTTAGTCACCAAGTACTCTTCAACCGCAACATCTTTGCCAGCTTCTTTGCCATAACCCGACTCCTTCATGCCCCCGAATGGCGACTCAGCCCCAGTGATAGCGCCTAGAATGTTTAGTCTCATTCATTAAGCTCAGTTACAAAGCTACTCACTTGTGTTTAACCCAATCATTCCCGCCTCTAGGTCGTCTAACAGTCTCCATGCGCGATCAAGATCTTTTGTGAAAAGATAAGAAGCCAGCCCCATCTATCGTCACAATGTTAGTCTCAGTCTTCAATTCAAGGTTAGTTCAGTTATCGGAGTTATACCGGTGTATCATTTGCTGCTTTGACAGCTTCGGCTTCAGTCTCAAATCTGTACAAGGCCAGTATGGGTGCAAATGACTCTTCGTGTGTGACACGCATAGATTTGGTTGCATTGGTGATGATTGTGGGTTGGAAAAAGAAGCCGGTACTGCCTGGTACTCGACCTCCCCCGAGCAAAATTGTGCCGCCATTCTGTTTTGCGTCCTCGACTTGCGCGCTCGCTCTCTCAAGGCTCTGTGGCGTGGTGACAGGCCCGAAAGTGGACGAGTTGGAGATGCCGTGGCCAGGAACAAACTTTGAGGTCATTTCTTTGCACAGGAGAGCAAAACTATCGTATACCCCCGACTGGACATAGACACGATTAGCACTAATGCAGGCTTGGCCAGCATTCCGCCATTTCAAGCTCATGAGTGCTGTTGAGACAAGCACGTGGTCAGATTCACCAATCAACCATAAACTGCAAGGTCTAGAAGCTCACCATTTGCTGCTTGTTCCAAATCCGCATCATCAAAAACAATAAACGGACAATTGCCGCCAAGCTCGAGGGTAACTTTCTTGAGGCCCTTGGCACACATCTCTGCTACGAGTTTTCCAACTCTCGTCTACGTCGGATTAGTTATATTTCAAGATGCATCACCCGAGCACTAAAAGACTTACTGATCCAGTGAACGTGATTTTCTTGACAAGCGGGTGACAGCAGAGCGCCTGACTCAACGCTGGTGTGTTTTCAAGGCTAGTGGTCAAGATATTCAAAACTCCTTTGGGAAATCCGGCCTCTTCGGCCAGAAAAGCTAAAGATAGCACAGAGAGTGGTGTCTCGGGAGATGGCTTGATGACCATTGTGCATCCAGCCGCCAAGGCAGCGCCAGCTTTTCGAGCGACCATTCTATTACATTGTCAGCAGCGGCAGACAGATTAGAAAAGATTACACAGAGTCCTACGCTATTGGAAAGTTCCATGGCACCAAGGCTCCAACCACGCCGATGGGTTGTTTAATTGTAAGTACTTTCTTGCCAGGGGCCGAAGAATCGAATACAGTCCCTTGTATTCTGTCTGCCTCTCCAGCAAACCAATACGAGGAGCTAATGGCATAGTCCACTTCGGCCAATGATTCAGCCATGGGCTTGCCAGTCTCGTACGTGATGATCTTGGCCAAGTCATCCGTGTTTTCTTTGATGAGCATGCTCCATTTCAACAAGAGCTGAGATCGAACTCGAGGGCTGAGTTTGCTGTATTTGAGGAACGCCTTTTGTGCTGCTTGCGCGGCACTATCGACGTCACTGGCATCGTTATCCGGAGCCGAAGCCCACTTCTTACCAGTACCAGGATCTAAACCTCAGTCAGTATGACATGAGCTATTCGGGAAAGAAGCCCTACCTATCACATTGAATTGTTTCCCTGATGCTGCTTCGACCCATTGCCCGTTGACCAATGACAGATCCTTGAACAATGAAGGCCGGCTCAGCTTGAACATCATATCAGTTGTACTGTTCAATTTGACGGTACCAGGAGTTTTTCTCTCCTTCCAGGGCTCACCTCAAATGGTAACGTTGATCCCATCGCTCTGTAGTGGGTATGATTGGATTCTGCTCTGCGAACTAAACCCCGATGCGAATACAAAGGACTGATATTAATCGGAGGACAACAAGAATCACGGGAATCTGCTTTTCATGTCAGGAACTCTTTATTCTACATACGAACCTACGATTCTTCTTCTTTACATGAGATGGAGCTGCCATACGGAGCTCGGCATCCTCGTCGGATCGGACGTGGTGCACCGACGGGCTCGGAGCATACTACTGCTATTGCGGGTCAACGAGAACCCACATTGCCGATTTGCTTCAGCTGTATTATATCTATCGACACATAGCAGCCACCCAAGATTGTCTCGTCCACCAAAGTAGATGCCAAGATAGCTCGATTTTCTTTTCGGCCTGTTTTTCTCGCATGATTTTGCTCAATTTAACACCACGCATGGTGCTGATTGTTGACCCAAGTTGGGTCTTCTTCACTTGCAGCGTTGTCTTCCTTGAACCAAAGCGCACATGCGACACTACTCTCATGCCGCTCAACCCATGTAGCTTGGATATCACTCTGCTCGAGAAGATTATGAACCAACGGGGAGGGCTCCCACAGTCTCACTTGGTCCAATTTCCATTCAGCCGCCTCGGCTTGGGCAGCCTGGATAACGGCTTTGAGCGCGGCCGCCTGCTCCATGTACGCCTCTATGAGTGGCGCTGGATTGTCTTCATGGGGCTTGTTGGCAGTGTCATCGCCTTCCACTACGAGACGGAGGATGTAAAGGACGTTTCCGTCATCCCCTTCCTTCTCTTTGGCATGATCAGGGTGTTCATAGTACCGATGCACCCATAGCGCCCAGACCTGCTTGCCGGGACTCCCAGCGATTGCCCCCTTCACCTCTGCCTTCTTACCAAAAATGTAATTGGTCACAAATTCTTCCTTTCGGATATGCCAGAGCATGTGATCCAGGCTTGGAAGCACGACTACACGACTTTGTTTTGTGCTAGGGCTTGCCATAGCCTCGTGGACCATGGCCTCATCTCTGAGGCAGAGGGATTCAAGGTTCGATTCAGCCACCGGCTGTGTCATCGCTGGTTTCTCCATCATGATAGACGGGAGGATAAAGTGCCCATTGCTAGAGTTTGGCATCCATCCCATTTTTGCATAGTACTCTTTTCCAATCTCCGAGTAAAGGACGCTACCAAAACTTTTGCCATGCTCGGCTTGCCATCCGCGCAGGACCTTGGACAATTCCTTCATGTGACGAATTCCATAGCCACGGCCACGATAAGCCGGAGGACTGAACACACTAGCAACGCCGTGAACGAGAACTTCCTCAATGTTGCCCTTGTCGTCGCTCATGAGGGCACGCTTTCGGAAGGTTTCACACGAGCAAAGCACCTGCCGCTGGTGAGGGGGCAGGTTTTTGTCGACGAGAACCCATGTGGTCATGCCTCCATCTTTGGCAAGCGGGACCGTTGTAAGGAACTCGGCCTCAGCGACATAGAGAGGTACGGTCAGTGAGTCCTTCCACAGGGCCGCGGTGCTGGACCAGATGTGGATGCATTCTTCCGAGGTGGGGTGAGTCAGGTGCAGACTAAGAGAATCGGACGCTGGAAGTTGGATTGTTGTCATTTGTTAATGATGAGAATGCCGATATCAAGCAATGCGGGTCCAACTGATGATTTGAAGCAATCACTTTGAAGAAGTTTTTGCCAACGAAGTATTGACGTCGATGATGCAAGACAGCCCAACCCAGCAAGCTGAAATGCGCCAATTCGCCAAAATATAGAAGCTCCACATTGATAAGTGACTTATCGGTGCAAGTATACTCCGTACTGGTATTGCGATACTTTGCCATTAGATCTACATATGAACTACCTAGGTATAGAAGATCACCAGCTTTCTAATAGGGCCTGATAGAATGATTGCTTTACTCTATGCCCTAAGTAAAGATTTGTTTCTCAAGTCATTCACTTTGTGCAGAAATGACTGGAATAGTACTGTATGTTGAGTATGGCACTTCAGGCATTGACACTTTCGGAGGACGCCGCGAATTTCGGGGCACCACTCCGAAGTAGCGCAGTCCTCATATTGGCGTCCCCGATGCAGCCCGATAGGTCGGTCTTCCACGAGATTGATGAACGAGACTTGAGAGAATACTACCAAATCATCACAGGGGTTTCCAGGAATACATGTTAGATATCTGACTCATACCGGAAAAACAGAAGCCCCGTCAGTTTATGTTTGAGCCTCGATCTACTTACGGGACTTTCCGTTGACAGGGCGCGAGTATTGCCCATCTCCAAGCACAGTGTGGGGGAGTCGACATTGAGCCCCGAGATCGCCTGGGCGCACTTGGAAGAGCAAGCCACCTTGAGGTATGCCAAATGTCCAACTCGGTAGACAAAGATGCACGCAAGAGGCACAAGTCATTGGCGTGTAGACGCTGCCGCCATAGAAAACAAAAGGTCAGTCAGCCATCAAGCTGTTGTTAACGCCAAGATAGGCTTTCAACCATCATGGGACTTGGCTAAACAACTGTGATAGTGCACCGAGAGGCGCCCGTGCGAGAACTGCACTCAGTCCGGATCCGGTAAGTTTCCAACCTTACAAGCCGGGGTTGCAGAGGCTCTCTAACAACTTTTTTTTCAGAATGTATTCCATCAGTATCTGCCCCAGCAAGGGCATCTTTGGAAAACAAGTTCGTCCCAATTCTCATATACTTGTATTATTTTTTGCCTCAAATGACTTACATGCCAGCCAAGTTATGTGCAAAGATTAGAAGAGCGGGTTGCTCAACTGGAATCGCTTATCCCGCAGGAGCGCCTTGATCATATCGATGCTGCCTTGCAGCAGGACCAGGATATGTCAGACTCAAGGCCTGAGATACAGGTAAGGAACAAACCTTGTCAGTCTGAAGTAGAATTTGCTTGGGGAGATACTTACATCAAAACTGATATAGCCTTCGATCAACAACCCCGCGCAATCCTTCCGTGCGCCGAGTCAATTCAGCTCACCTCTTCAAAATGATGTAGATATTGTCGGACCTTGGGCACAGACGCCATCAGAAAACGGCGGGCCGACTGACATTTTTGGCACTCTATCTGGCATCTACAGTCCACCCTTGCAGACGAGTTCTGAAGAAGCCGCACGTGAGCTTCCCGAGCTCGATACGGCAGCGGAGCAGTCCCTTATTCAAATATACTTTGACATGGCACAGTCACAATACCCTTTTCTGCTGAAACATGAGGTCATTAACTGGGCAGAGTCTTGGAGGACCGAGAAGGACACTTCGTCTTTGGTTTCAAAATGGAAAGGATTCTTTGTCTACATGGTTTGTTTCCTCATAATTATCACCATAGACATCAATTTGCCGGACTGACACCATTCATGCTGAAGGTGTATTCGATTGCACTTTTGATGACCAAGACTCGTGTTGATGGAACTACAAAATCTTCACAGGTAAGAGGTCCGTTTTTTCCATGAAATTCAAATCTAATAGCAAGTCATCTAGGCGTTTTATACCCATGCGACGTCAAAATATCTTCCATATCTTGTCAAATCTCCAAATCTGGTGCTTCGAGCCCAAGGCTTTCTTCTTCTCACGGTATATGCAATGCACATGCCGGTGCAGGATAGCATCATTGCCCTTTCTTCTTGGACGATCCGTTTTTGCATCATGGCACAGCTTCATCTTGTGGAAACAGAACCTCTTGGCTCGGACAGAGACTCATCTCTTCACGTGCAACATCGTCGCAGGATATTCTGGTGCTCCTACGCCATTGATCGAGCAGTTTGTAGCTCGTATGACTTTCCATTCTCCATACCAGACCATCACATTACAGTTCCAGTACGTCATGACCGACACAGTATCGAAATCGAGTTGCTGACTATTTGCAGTTTTACGGCAATATTAACGATGATCAATTGCTGCCGGCAATTGGTCATGCGCAGCTAACAGAATCTTTGCTGCCCACAAGTGTGTCATCGGCGCTTCATGTCCTGGCAAGTCGGCGTTTAGAGTCTGAAATCCAAGAGACTCTCCTGTCAAAAGACTTTGCCATGTCGTCTAGTCAAGCTTTTGCGTGGCGCACCCAGATGATGCAGAAGCTCCAAGCCTGGAACCGACAGTCCGAGGCCTTGTCGGAGCCTTCTCGAAAGGGATATGTGGGCCAAGGCTGGCTCAAGATGATATATTATTACGGCGTGGTGACTCTTTGGCGACCCGACAGGACCATTGCAAAGGGATCTGCGGGTGACTTGTCCGTTCGAGCTTGTTGCCAGGCTCTGCTTCTGTTTCGAAAGTTTCAAATGGCACGTGAGATTGCTCATCCTTGGCTTGGAGTAAGTTGTACTATCTGCTTTTTCCCTTATTTCATACTACTAAAATTATCCTTGCCAGCTATTGACACAATTCCAAATCGGAGTGACACTCCTATACTGTTTCTATGCAACACCAATCTCGCACTGGAAAGCATCCTACAAATGTGCAGACGTCTCGAGTGCTATCCGTGCTTGTTCCAGCACTCTGGCCATCCTCGCGGAGCGGTGGATTGAAGCGGAATGTGTCCGTGATATGTTTGAGATACTCGCGAGCGAAATCCCAATCGGCCAATCATGGGATAGGCCCGCGGTCATGGGAGACGCCGGGCGGGCGGCAATTGAAGAGAATTGGGAGAGGGTAGCCAAGATTGTGATACACCGCCCAACCCTGCGGATGATCCGTGAGATGGCTACGGAAGACTTTGTAGTCGACGGTCCCGAGGAGACGGGCGTCGAGATTCGTGCCTCCACCGCCACAAATCAAAACACTGCTGAAGAGGCCACAAATCTGATGCCGGGTATCGGACTACAGTGGCATGATTCATCCACTCCTTCGCTCGACTTTTACGGTAATATGGACACTGTAGCGAATCTCGAAGCTCTGTCTCCACATACATATTTTGACATGTAGGAGCCGACATGAATAAAAAAACCTTTTTTTTGATTTACTTTTTTTTTATATGCAGAAAATCTACTTCTCGAATGAAATGGTGATTTCAGTTCTGAATGAGAGAGTCCTCAGAGTTTAGGGGTGCAACAGCCTGCAGCATTCCCCGGTGACGTCTTGGCTGCGGTCTGCTGGTACTGCTCATACAGTATACTCTTGTTGATGCCTTGCGTGCTCTGCGGCACATCCAAGGCAGGATTCTGCTCAAAGAAGCCGCTGGGCTTGAGGCTGACAGTCATGGTCTCGCACGGCATGACGGGGTAGTCCTCGGGGCGGGGATTGTGCGTCAAGCTGATGGAATGCCACAGTACAATGTCCTCATTGTCCACCTTGTCCTGGCGGCCCGCCCAGGTGGCAACGTCGCCACGGCCAGGGGTGACACTCCCGACGGGCGCGTCCTCCTCGGGCAGGGACTGGTAGGTGTAGTCTCCTGCGGCATACAATTCATTGTCGCGGTGTGATGTGACCCAGTAAGGCTGGAGGGCATACTTGGCGCGCTTTCCGTGCCATGACTGGGGATGTGCCAAGAGCATCTGCTTTACCGGGCTGTGTATCGCGTATCCGATAGGTCTTCCAGTGACTCGATTGATGATTGAAGGGTTGATGATTTTGTGAACACGATTTGGCTGCGCCTCGGAGTACCCCGACGTGGCCATAGTCCTCTTTTCCGTAATGTATCCCACGCCGACCGGGTTATTCTCATCAAAAGGCATGGGGATGGAATCTTCCTCGACGAAACTGTTCTTGTCACCATCTAGCGCTGGGTCGATGCGCAGAGAAAAGACATGCTGGTGGTATGGCGCCATGACCCCGTCGTTGACATTGGTGCCCCATGGTACTTGGACGCCAGGGGCAATCGGTACGGTCGAAAGAATGCCAGTGGCTTGAATTCGATAGTGTAGAGCAGCGGCCTGGTCAAAGTGCCACATGAAAATGTACTCGTAGTTGCCGACAGTGATGATGGTCTGGAGGACAAGCACTCGCGATCTCACAATGGAGACTTGTCGAGTTGCGCCATCCGTGTGCTTCCAGCCGATGCCGTCGTCGATTTCATGCATACAAATGGCGTTTGGCTTTTCCACTGGCTCTCCATTTGAGTTGCTGAGTGTGAATGAAAAGTACTAGCACGTTTGTTAGTATACAAAGTGTAGGATCCACGCGAAACAACCTCCAAACGGGAGCCACTCACCTTGATCAGTCCTAGGCAGTCACAGCCCAATGCCAGGTTGTTGGCAGCGACTCCAGCGCCAATATCACCAACATCGAATACGCTCTTTCTCGAGTACGGGGTTCTGGGGTCACCGTACGGCACAAACATCTCGCTCAAGCTGAGGCGGTGGAATAACTGCCGGCCGGCATAGGTTACATCGTGCAACACCATACCTTCGCGCCAGTTGAAGCCAACCCTGAACCGCCACTTTTGCCAGTTCACCAAGTGCCCGTCCACGGTAAAGGAAGCGCCCTGGGGTTGGTGAACCGTGAGTGGCTTGAGGTCAGTTCTGGGCGGCTCAGAGTGAAGATCGTGATGCCATTCCTTGGACTTGTGCGGGATATACTTGAAGTCTGGTGTGACGCTGTGATCTGCTCCGACGGGAAGCTCAATGATGGTGACCAGCTCCTTGGTGACGTAGTCAATGACGGGAGAGAACGGGAGCGGATGGTCATAAGCGTTGGCTCCAGGGTGAGAGCCGTCTTTGGCATAAAGATAGCACTGCCCGAGGGTCAATATTTACAGTTTCACTCCAAAAAGACACATTGAGGACGTTGAAGCTTACCTGCGAGAGTCTCCTACCCATCTCCGCTGAATCGCGTCCATATGGCCATGTGTCACACACCACGACGAAGCTCTCCGGCAGCCCATAATTGCGTATCCGCTCAATCACTTGGGGATGGCTCAAGCACTTTTCGCGAACCTCGATGGCTTCATCCATATCGGCTTGGCCAAAGTATCGAGAATTCAGCTGCTCTGTGCCCTCCACTTTGCCTAAGTCCATGTCCACTGTCGTGTGGAAGAGATCCGCGGTGCCCCGATGATAATACAAGGACGACACTCGCCGTGGGGGCAAAGGCGCAGTTGTGCCATTTCTCTCGGCAGCAAGGAATTTCTTCAACTGTTCCTTTGGTGGCTCAATTAGTGTGATGTTTTTGAAGTGAATGTTCTTATCCGTGTTGATGCTTTTGATGATTTTGGCAGCAGCCGCTATCTCGGCTGGTGTCAGAGGGTCGAGAGGATGCATATTGGCTGATAAGATTATAATAATCCTTTGTCTCCAAAACAACCAAGATGGAAAACAATGTTGTAGCCTTTTGAAGGATATATACCGGAATCAAAGAAACATGAAAGTGTTGTGAGAACTACAAAAGTATATCTCGTCGTTGATATCATTGCCACCACGTAAGCAATGCATGTGCTAAGGTGCACCAACGGAGGGGTGCGCTGGGTGGGTATAAGCCAGCCCGATCGTCCGTCTTCATCGGAGTCTTGTCCGCTAAAGCATCGGGTATAAGGTGGCCGATGAGTGGAGATGTTGATTGGTCAATGGTCCGTGATAAGCTGTTCCACAGCCCATCGGACGTTACCATTTCGGCCAAAACTTTAGGATCATGCCTAATGGGAATTAATTACTTCTGTATATTGATCAATCAGTAGACGATTTCTTCTTTGTAAAAGTTGAACAAAAATGAAAGAGGGAGAAACTTCACTACGCGATTCGACATGGGGATCTCAAGTACTGTGTCGACGTAGTGTGGCTTGCAGCGATTGTTAAAGGAAGAAATACAAGAATTAAAAGAGGCCCTATCGAGCTTCCAGTGGCGCCGGCATCAACTACCTAGGTACAGTTCATCCAAAGACTATACGGCGCCGAGTGTGATCAGGTGCAAGGTGCGCTCATCGTTAGGTGCATGGGCTCTAACTAGAGAGATGATGCAGTGATATTCTTCAATATGACGACCTTGCTTGGGCAGCATCTGAAGTTTTAATTTCTTCAATGTTTGTTACCTAGGCGCGTATTGTTCTTGAGTCAATGCATGGAGAACAGATCGTTTGGGACATAATCTCCTCCCACTGCTGTGCTGAGTAGAACAAGATTCTTAATATTAGCATCAAGGAACGCAGATAGCCAGCACAAAGGTAGCATTTATAGCAGGCACTGCGCAATAGCAGTCGATGTATTGCAACTTGTTAGGGCTTCTCACAGCCACAGGAGAAAGCCATGTAAGTAGAGTAGGAAAGTATAACGAACCATAATATCCTTGGCACCAGAATGCTGTACACAGTACAGATTACATACACAGTAGTACAGCTGGTGACTCGTCTAAGCATGTGACTCAAGTCAAGAATTCCCCCACTTTCCAATCACTAAATTATTAGGCAGCCGCCCTTAGCTGTCCACAAAGGTCTTTGCCTCATATACTTGAAATGTGCATAGATGCGAGATTCAAATCTAATATTTATTCGATTTATTGGAGAAGTAATTACCTAACCTTAGGCACTATGATGCAGAACCGGATTTCCAGCAAGGGGCAAACATCATATGGTGCTACATAGGCTTTGTCTTGGACTTCTGCCTGTGATTCGCTGACATGGCGACGACTTGTCAGCCCCACCTACCGAATGGAGCATAGTGCCCGTCGATTGCCAACTTGCAACGTCATACCCACTCTAATCCCCAAACTGGGGAATGTCAAATGGACATCCTCCCCTTCTAAACACAAAGGCGCTACAGTTGTGAGCAATAGGCTTGTTTTTTCCTCCTACATCATGCCAGACATACCCCTTTCCTTCTATTTCCTCATACTAATTCTTTCCATCCACTACTTTTCAAGACGGACTACGCCGCAACCACAACGATCAACTTCAAACATGCCCCGTGTCATTAATCGCCGTGGAGGCCGCGTTATCCCCGGCCCAGGTCGTGGCGGCTTTCGTGGCGGCTTAATAGGAGGACGTGGAGGTTTTGGCGTACCACTCGTTCCTGTTGTAAATGATGGAAACGTGGAATATGTGACAGAAGAATCCTCCTCTTCGCCATCGAGGCCTGCAGAAGGGGGGTCCGATGGGGAGTTCGAACCTGATCTCGAGGACGTATTCCTCGTCAAGGACCTGCTCAAGCGCGCCGGAGATCTGCCCGATGAAATTGCACTCATGATACTGGACAGTGCCGAGTATTGGGCCTGCTCGTCTACTACCGTTGAATACGACAATCTCCAACGAGGAAGTCTGCATATTCGCGGCACCACAGGCGAGAACAAATTCCTGGTACGCAGTGAGCCCCTAGGCATGTCGCTATGGTCACCAGATGATCAGGAAGCGTGGCACTCGCAGGCTCGGCCACAAGAAATCAGAGAGGTTGTTTCGCGCGAGAAGCTGCACGAGTATGTGGACAAGCGTATTGATGCCGCGCTGGAGAGCCCATGCAGGAAGATTGTGTTCAAGATTACCAGTCACGATCAAGGCTGGGGTGGGAATATCGCAGACAAAGGCACTTTCAAGGGATCTTGGACATGGTTTGATGCCGGAATTGACCGTTTCACTTCCGAGCCCGAGTCTCTCAACGGCAAGGCGCCATCCGAGGGCAGCGGGGATGTCTCAGTCAGTTCACTGCGGCCCGTATGGCCGCCCATCAAGGAAGCTGATGATGGGTCTACCGTGTACGACCACGGTGTCCATGCAGCTCAAGATCATAAGATACAGGGCAATAAGACGGCAACTCGCGAGACTCAGCATCACACTGTCGAATGGAATTACGCAGATGATATCAATCCCGAACTTTCAGAGGCAGACAAACTGGAAGATATTGGTCGAGGTCGCGCAACTGGCAATGGCGAGTTTGTAAGAAACCTCAAACTGGGAGACATGGTCACCGTGTGGGGAAGAGCTCGGTTCGGAGGATGGGAGAATGTCGTGAAGAAGGTTGAATTGAAGATATATTGGAAGGCTGCCTAGTCTAATACCTGGCTTCGAATCAAGATTCCCAGCATCGCAGATTTCAGATAGCGTTATGATGAACACACACGATACATGATGAATGAGTGTTTTGGAAAATATTGTTGTGATAAAGAAACGTCGCAAATTCGCATTAGGAATGTCAAATGACTCCTTCAACGCATAATATCTTGGCAAAGAAAATATGAAAGTTTCCATACAGTCGGAGATCATAAATAGTCTACCAAGGTGTTATGCACATTCATAGACTTTCGATACCAATAAAGTAATCCTAAGAATGATTCTGTATCTAGATCACAAAATGTCCCGGGCTTGGCGGAACATCGCCCGTCTCCCACACTACCGGCTCGTCGCCGACGACAAACTCAATGGTCCCGCCGCCAACCATGACATCTTCGTGGTTGAACCAGTTGCGATCCCATTCCTGCCCGTTGATCTTGACCGACTGCACGTAAAACCCAGTCTGGCCCAATGTCTGGGCATTCCCGCCACTGGTGGTGATCCGCAGCGTCTCGTTGCCATTAATGGTCATGTTAATGTCGGTAAACCACGGCGACTCGAGCAGGTAGACGGGCTGGGTCACGATTGGGTAAAGGCCCAGCATCTGCCAGATGAGCCACGAGTTGAGGGCGCCGGCGTCGCTGTTGCCCGGAACGCCGTACAGGTCGTTGTGGAAGTACTGGTTTGCGAGCGCACGCGACTGGTTCACCGACTTGTACTGCTTGTTCAGGTAGTTATACAAGTACGGCGTCGCAAAATCTGGCTCGTTTCTGTTTTGGGACAGGGCTTAGCGGGTTTACTTCTTCTAGCATTGGCGAGACGATAATTAGAACATACCCGATATTCATGATCGTGGTGATACCAGCCCCATTGGCTGACAGATCTTGCTCGCTAGTGTTGGGTTGGAACTTTTGGTAATCCTTGCGTCAGCTTGAACTTTTTGCGTCATGACTAAGTTTGACTCACAATATAGTCCAACCTGCTCTCAAAGTCGGTTGCCCCTCCCATCTTCTCAATGAGAGTCTGAACATCGTGCGGAACAGTGAAGGAGTATTCCCATGGCGTTGCCTCATAGGAAATGGCCACCCACTCGCACCCATCGCAGAGAGCCGGATTGTAGCCCGTGGTATTGAAACTCCCATCCGAGAACCGGGGCGTCAAGAAGCCACTGAAGCCATGGCTCGTAACGTCCGGGTTCCAGGTCCGCTGCCATCCCGCCGAGCGGTTTAGATACTTTTCGACATCCCCTGGAGCACCCTCCCCAGCAGCAACAACGCTCAAAGCGTAATCATTGAGCGAGTACTCGACCGATCTTGAAATACAGCGCGTATTGTGGTCGACCGAGACATAACCCAAATTCTTCCAGTCATCAAGTGCGCCACGACCCTCCTTGACGCTCGCGCTGGGATCGTCGTAGCTGTACGTATTGTACGGCGTCACTTCGGCATCTTTTTGCATGGCGAGGTATCCCGCTGTCCAGTTAATGTCGCCGCGCAGGCCCTTGACGTAGGCGTCGGCCAGCACGTTGTCGGCGTTGCTGCCGCCTTGTACGAGACCATTCCAATTGCCTGACCGCCCATCGGGCATGTAACCTTCGTAGCGCCAAATGTCGATGAGGGAGCGGATCTGACTCTCATACGCCTCTGGTTGGATGAGGTGGTACAGGCTCACAGTGCATCGAAAGGTATCCCACAGAGTATAAAAGTCATCCCAAGACGGTTCGCCAGAGTCCCAGAGCGGGTTCTCACCTGTCCGATCCGAGGGCATTAGGTGCATGAAGTAGAGAGAGGAGTAGAGGAGGATCAGGTTCGTCGTGTTTGCTGAATCGTCTGTCGGAACTTGGATCCGACTGAATACGTCTTCATTCCACTCCTTTACTGCAGCGTCGACAGTATCATTCAGATTCCATGACGGAATCTCGTTATCTTTGAATTGACAAGCCTTCTCAACCGAGATGAATGAAATGCCGATTCGTGATTTGACCTGAGAGTCTGCCTCTGAATCCCAACTGAAGACGGCGCCAACCCGATCATTCAGTGGCCCCGATGTCTCTTTGTTTGTGTCGTTGGAGCTGAAGATTGCTTGTCCCGGAGGCTCGTTACTAAAGGTGTGATACCTCTGCATTGGATCTGTATTCCTTCCACGGAAAGTTCGTGCCTGGTCTGGCGTGGACTCGAACTCGCCACAGAAAAACACAGTAAACGGTGCACCTTCGTTCCAACCACCACCATAAGTACCGTGCCCGGTATAAGTGTTTCCGTCCACCTCAATCTCTCCCCCAAGGAAGACCTGCACGCTATACCCGCCGTGCTCGCTAGGGAGGTAGTGCGACACATCGACTAAGACGTGCTTCTCGCCTGCGGGAAAGGTGTACTGCAATATGCCCGAATGCCGGGACGCCGACAGCTCCACGGTGACGCCACTCTCGAATTGTGTCTTGTAGTATCCCACGCGGGCCGTATCTTCCCCGGTTCGATTCTGCCAATACGTCCGGTTGTCCAGGATGTTGACTGGTTCGTCTATGGTTGTGAGTGGCATCTGGCTGATGACGCCGTATTTTGGTGCGCCTCCAGTACCGCTCTCATGCATCATGGAGAGGCCCGTCACGGTGCCCTCGGGTGTCCACCCGCCATTGATGGTCGAGTAGCTGATGTTTTGCTCATACGTATCTATCCCCAACTTGACAACGCCAAATGGGAGGGCGCCGCCCACAAAAATGTCGCCGCCGCCAACTACAAGTCTAGTTGAGTCCTGATCTTTCATACGATCGAGTTTGAGGAAACCTACAAGCAAGACCATCAAACGGCCCGGAACCTCCAATCAATGGGTTTACGTATTGCGAGTAATCCGTTCCCTGAGCCGCTGCACGCCATAGCAGAGGCAAGATCAGGCCATTGATGGCATTATGAACCTTCATGATGCAATCTGCGGCCGGCGATTGGTATACTCCAACCAGAGTGCTGCAACAGAGTAACCCTTTCAACAAAAGTTACCCTTTTAGGTGCAAATGTTGCCAGTGTTGTTAGTTTACATGTCCCTCGTTCATCGCGCGCTGCACCTTTATATGAGCAAGGGATTCCCGGGGAAGAGCTTCTCCGCATCCAACGAAGTTGGTCTGTCTGTCCATGTCGCTTGTGCATCACGATGCATGGTGATCTGCGGGGTATCCTGAACATTGTTACCATCGCAGCGACAATGCAAAGAAAAAATGTGCTGCAGGTTTGACCAAGATTCATGTGACCTTGAAGGCTCTTTACCCCGCAAGACTTCTCCATCGCATGCGGCTCTGTCTATGAATGAATACGAACAGAACCAGCCCCTTGCTGCAGTTTGCTACTGTAGTTGAGTGCACGTACTGCGTTCATGATATCATCCCGAAGCTTAAGAGCAACGGGAGTTGCCAACTTCTCGGCTCCGTGACCCCCGTCATCCCCGACATCGTTCCAATGGACTTGTGCGCATTCAAGATCCACCACTCTATAAACAAACAAACACTGCAACCTTGTACTACAAACAACTTCGCTCGTAGGCGATTGGAATACTCGCAACTCAACCTGTCCTTGAATTGGCGGCATTGACGACCTCGTTTTCTTGCTGTTCTACAGATATGATCACAACAACTGATCAGTCATAGAAAAGGTGAGACACGAGCGACGACAAGAGTCCGAAGATGAAATTTCATGATCGCGGACCCCACCACGAACTGAAGCTCATTGCCGTGTAAACAAGTGTTGGTCGTACTTTGATGTTGCCTAGAGAAATGGATCAGACCAGAGGCTCTGCTGGAGAATAGCGGGGATCGCAATGCAGACGCCTAAAATTTCAGAAGTGGCCCAGGCACGCCAAATAGCGGCCGCCAGGTAAATAAGCCCCCTCAACATGATGGCTGAGTAGGCGTGAACTTGAAGAAACTATGTTTCGATTGACGAAGGACCGAACGTGTTCTTTTTGAACACAACTCAAGTGTAATTGTCCGTCAAATCACTACTTTACTTCCATCGGATCTTGCCTCCGCCTAGGAAATATCTGTTCTAGAACAAAACAAGGCAACCATGTCGCCAATACTACCTGCTGATATTTACTGCCATATACTCGACTACGTCGATCAGAAGACGGCCGTCAACTGCCGGTTGCTGAACGTATTTGTGTTGCCAATTGCGACAACTTATGCATTTCGTCACATTCGCATCGAAGCTTGGCATGAGAACCGCAACTTCATCAATGTCGCCACGTCCCCTATAAAGCACCACGTTCGCGAGATCACCATTGATACGTGGGCCGGACCTGACCGTAAAGGTCAAGCTACCTCGGACCACAAGTTGCCTCGAAACCTCTCTCAACCCTTGTTGTACCTGCGGCACTTCCGGGATATCAAGACCCTCAACATCAGATTCGACAGGCGGTGTGGCCGTGAGAGTAGACGTGGAGAGCCGCGCATAGATCAAGACTATGACTTCCGGTTCAAGGTCCTCGATATTGCATTTCAGTATCTTGCGGGGACGCGGTCCGCGGGATGGGAAGAAGAGCCCAAGACTTCCGTCGACTGTGGACCTGTCGAGATCAAGACTTTGACGATAGCCAATCTCGCAGACTACAACGACGAGAGGCTGACGAAATCGGAGGCATTCAAGCAGGTCATGTCATCCGCCAGTCTGACTGACGTGAGGCTTCTTGGGACGACGGGGGACAGCACAGCAAGTCTCGAGGACAACATCTGGCTCCCTGAAAAGCACGACTTTTTTGAGACCATTCCCTCCACTTGGCTGTGTCCACCCGTGGCTCAGAATCTTCGGGTTCTGTCCTTGTTCTTCCGCGACTACTGGGGCTGGAACCCGAAGATGGACTTTAGAAGTATCAATCCGGTCAGTGGTCTCAAAACCGGGCTGCCAAACCTACGCGTTCTTGCTCTAGGTAACTATGTCTTCAGCCACGAGTGGCAGGTCGACTGGATCGCCTCGGTCGGGGAGCGCAATGGACGTGGGGGACTGCAGGAGCTATATCTTGACGACTGCCCAATCATGTGGCAAGCACGCACTCTGGAGCCCTTGGACGAGTCAGAAACCGTGATCGAGCTACCTGATGGCAAAAGCCTCAGTTTCTCCAACGCCGGCTACCCTTCCAAAGACGTCATGTCATCGCCGGATCCAGTGTGGAATCCCACCAAATTCAGTTATCACCTTCGTTGGAAACAGATACTTGACCATTGGCAGGAACATATGATGGGTTTGCAGGTGTTTAGTATGGGTCATGGGCCATGGGATGGGGAAGCAGCTGAGCTCATGATGCTTCCTAGCTCTCCCGAAACCTCGTCGTTGGTCCCTAAACTACGCCCCAACGCTCCCGGATGGAGAGAAGAGATTGAGGAAATCCGGAAGCTACGCGAATACCGTGAGCATCCGGCACTGGATACCATGCATCTCAACTACGCTTGTCCCAGTCCTAGCGACATGCGCGACAGTGGTGACAGGTCTCGCTACTATAACGGAGTCGGGTTGGCCCATGAGCGCCCATGCATCCTGCAGTACGTCCACTTCGATATCGGAGTCGGACCTACCCCATGGATTGAGCGAGATAACGCGAGGACATGGTTTGAAGATGGGAATATGGAGGCATATGAGGTTGCCAGAAGAGAGGATGAGGCATCGTATGAAACCCTGCAAGCTGCCGTTGCGCAAAGAAACCTACCTCCCCGTTCCCATGCGTAATTTCAGTCACGTTTGATAAAGGAGATGGAAGAGGCCTCTGGAGATCTGGATGCCCAAAATCGCATGGGTCAAAACGACTCGGCACGATATATCAATCAGTCTTATCGGTAGATCTTCTCGCAAGCGCTGTTTCCTGGCGTTTTGTCTAGTAACTCACATTGTTCCGATCAGCTCTCAGGTTGACTTACAAGATTGATATTTTCAATATTGGAGGCGGAAATAATAACTTAGAGATAGGCTCTTATAGCTGCCAATAAGACAACGATAAACGATCAGGGGATATTGATCTTTAGCGATGAAAGCCTACCTAGACAGACCGGTGGCCCTGGAGAGGAAAACGTCAATTAATTTAGTAAATTCCCGGGATGAGTAGCATTCACAATCTCCACGTTTATGCGTTTGACGTGCTCGATGCCGCCCTTTTCCATAAGCCATTTTGCTTCCCGACGGAAGCGCAAAGCATGCCCAGGTTCGTCAGCCCCCCACCCATCCATTGCCCCGTACCGAGATTATCGCGATGCAAGGCACCAGGGGTGAGTTCAAAAGGCAGGCAACGCCAGAGCTGACAATAGCGCCACCCGTACGTAGATGGCGGCCGATCCAAGAATTGTGCCGAGTGATATCCTTTTGGTGATGTTTGCCGGTTGGCCCTGATAGTACGAGCTGAGTGGTGCTGGCCAATGTGCGTTCGAAATGCCCATTCAGCCAGCCGGAGCGTGGCGCAGTAAGCAAGTTGATCGCTAGCCAGCGCGCCAGGTCTGATGAGGAAAGATGGGAACTAGATGCCCATCAATCACTACGCGGAATAATGAAGTAATCAAGTCCTAGGCCAACTGGGTACTTGATAACATCTCGACTCTTTTGAGTTTGCAATTCTCGGCATTTGAGCTTTCAACGTAAGGATAGTGCACTCGGGTTGGGTTCATTACATTAGTTGGCGATTGCTAATGCTTAACAACTTGACCCATGCCGTTGCGGGTTGCAGCGCAGGATTGGCAGCTAAAGTTTTGGCAGTAGTAACCCAACCGCCGACGAATTAGAGCCGCAAAATGCGGAGGTTTAATGGCTCCGTTTTGGGCAAGTGGCCCCTCAGCAACTCATCCAATTCCCAGGTTCTTTCCCATGGAGAACTTTCGGCATATACCAATCAAATGCAGTGGTGGTGGGTATTTCCAGCCACCCCTCCAACAAGTCCATCAAGCCCTGCGTTGCCTGTCATTCTGTCGTGCTTGGTTCTTTGCATGGTCGCTTACTAGTAAATTGGGCATTATGTGCACAGGATGATGTTCTCTGGTTTCTGCTTTGTGCAGCTATGCGCGCCTCATTCGAGGTCATACACCGGTCTGAAGAACCGAAGGCCAGGAGGATCCAATACACAGATGTCATTAATATACGTAGTAATGTAATACCCTGGGTCAGACTAGATCAAGACTGAGGGTGATATCATTGCTGCATGCAAGACATGCCGGGTTTTCTGCAATCAGAAAGATTGCTCATTTCATAGCCGTCGCTCTGGCACTTTGACTGCGAGGGGCATGAGGCCTACAAGTAAGGTTGTATTGGCAATCCACTCGGATCAAGTCCGTCACAAATTGGCGCCTGTTGCTATCATTGCTCCCATCATCTCCATACATCACTCGTGGTGAAATGGGAATCAAAATGTTTCCATAATGCTCACAGGGGCCCCTATAGCAATTGACTTTGTCAGTGAACCTTGCAGCAGACGTTGTCGCCATACGCCACATTCCGTGTTACAAGTACACAGAGTATCAGGTTCAAGAATTAGTGGTCCAGCACAACTTACGATACGACCGCTTTGGTAGTTTGTACTGTACGCCTCTCATCGATGGGCATCAAGAAAGTGTGATTAGAGCACCGAGCGGCCTCGACTCTCGGCTATGTAGTGAATTCCTGGAGAGGAAAGAAAAAACTGGAGAAAAGCGGAGGAGCATCCACAAGCGTCGATCTATACGATGGATTTATGGATGCGATTTTCTTGGAGCGTGGAGCTCTCCATTCGGAGAATCACAGCACTCTCCACCCAGCAACAGAGGCGTCCAGTTCTATCTGCCTGCATGGCAAACATGTGTCGACAACTTCAACATCTCGTACTCTGTACAATCCCATGTGGTGGTGGTGTTCCATAATGCAGTACTACTGTATGTAGGGACACGAAATAAGAAATCCAACCTCTGCGGGAGCACCACAAACCTTAAAAACAGATTGGCATCTGTGGACTTTTTCGCTTTGGTTAGGCCGTTGGTTGTTGCGAGCGCCAAGTAGACTCAATCTGAGTGCAACCGACATTGATGGGAATAGCACGGCACCTGTCATCGCCTATGCATTGAAAGTCGGCGTGTATTTGAGGCTCCTCAATTGACCATTCTCACAGGCAGTAGTGACAATTTACTACGTGGAGTGCGGCATTCTGAAATCAATTGTCTTCCAACTTGCAGAATGCCAGGAACGAAAACAAGGTTCAGCCTGTTCGTTTTCACTTGCATTGTGCCTGGAATGGTGGAGACTCGATCTCGTTGACTCATCTTGCTCGTCGCTGAAATAGAATGGACTTCTTTTTTCTTTTCCAGCTCAGGTAATTAAAGTAGCTTTTTGTGGCTCTCAAGATCAGCGAGTTTCTAGCTGTTTAAGTCTTTCGGCGCAATAATTATATCACTACAAGACTAGTAATTGCTTCCTGCCCCAGCCTTTTTATTTTATATCAATGCGGGCGCACTCCCCAATACTAGCTCCAGTTGCCCCATAGTATGATGAATTGGCAACCTGAGGCTCGATCGAGCACGAGCTCCATTTTGCGAATTCCTGTCAGCACAGTAGCTTCGCTGCATTGTGCTTCCGACGGAGATTTCCACACTAGTCCTGGGGGGCCCTGTTCGTGACAGTTCCGACATTCACTCTGTTATGTGCAGCCGTTGATCAAGACTTCGGTCCGAGATTTATCAAGCCTTTCGTTCCATGGGCATCTGCATGGCTTATTCCAGAAGAAAGCATCCTACTATTGAAAAGGCCTTTCTCGAAGACCAATACCATTATGAATGTATGTGGGTAAGCTTTAATGTAATGCAGCAATCCCTTAGGGTCTGCGAATTGTCTCTCAGTGCTCGCCGCTTGATCCCTCTGTTAAGTGCCATGCGAGTGTACAGGCATCTCACGTGCACAATGGACCTCGCCTGTCTAGAATTGGGAAGTCGAAGCCGTTACTGCAGGAGTGTGCACCCCGGCTTGCAGCTCTGCCTATCTGTGCCACACGACATCACACACAGCCCGGCCGCCAAAAAGTCGAGGTAACTGCGCATAGCTTCTTAGGCGCCGCGTTGTTCAACCACAGCCATTCATTCAATTCGGTCTTGATCTGGTCTGACGTCGATTTCCGCCTTGGAATTCTTCTGGCGCTGGGCACTCTCTTCCACCAGGTTGTCTTCTCCTTCTTCATCCTACATACAAACCTCCATATATTCCATACTAGTTCAGGCCCCGCTCTGACGACCGTGAACTTTTTCACAGATTAATCACGATACAACTGTGGAACTACCTAAGGCGAATTGACCGAGCAACGCCGCCGTTCAGGTCTGTAAGCTTCCCGCGTTCCCCTCGAACTGCCACTGTCCCATCGCTGCCGGAAAGAACATCCTTGGCACGGCAGGTTCAGGGCCGAGCTTATCCAGTCTGCCAGGTACTTCGCTGGCTGTGATTAGGCTCCAGGCTACTACCGGGCCAGGCCATTTAGCATCTCCAAAGCACTGGATCTCAGCACAGACCTTCCCAAACTTTACCGCGTCGCCCTTGCGGGTAGCATTCGCAGCCGTCCCACGTCTACCTAAACGTCGTCTCTTCTGTCTCTCATTCAACCTCTTCAAGTCGATTGGCTCGGCGGGCGTTGCTGCTCTTGTTCGTCTGTCCAACAATTCATTCCCTGTACGCCTCTCTCAGGGGTTTTGCTTGTTGCGAAAAAAGGGCATTCGGAGCTGCTGGGAGCAGCACAAGCTGAAGCAGGCCGATTGCTGGTTCCTGAATGGTGCGTTTGTTTGCACGCGAAACCGAACCCCCCAACTCAGGAACCGAAACCTCCCATGCCTCCCCGCCATCCGCTGATGAACGATCTGCTGGAAAAGATACAGGCTAACACTGAGCATTCATATTACACAGTCACCTGCTCACTCGACCAAGCTTCCTGTTATCCCTTGTTCTGATATTTGACGATCTTGTTTCTCTGTACATGCGCAAGCCGATCCTATATTTCAGGGCCCTGTTTAAACATTGTACAGCACTTGGTCTCAGCCCAAGCCCCCCCAAGATCGAAGTATTGCACCGTCTAGGCCACATGCACCCCACCGCCGCCTTTGACTGCCCCGGTGAAGGACACTGTACATCTATCTATTTGTCTCGACCACGCATATGATATATTTGGTTTCTTTGGCAACAGGATCCTGCCGTTGCGTTTGCGACCTTCCCGAGAGTCAAAAGATTTGTGGCAATTTGAGACAAGCACATGCTATGCTCTTGTTTGATGTGCAGAAGTGAACTGGAAATTTTGCTATGAGTGGGGATCAAACCAATACTACCAGGCAAGGGCCTCCGTTCCGAATAGTATGCTGATCGGTTCAAGTTTTTGCAATTGCTAATGACGGCTTATATAGCTTTGGTGTTCCAAGCGCTCAACCACCGACACCGAAACAGACACCAACTTCAGTCGTCTTTCCGAGTCCCGTCTTCGAAACTCCTCGGAACAACGTTAGCTCCTTCGAAGGATTCGCAACTGGTACACCTCGGTTTGCCGAGGAATACTCCGTTTTCGATAACACGCCTAATAGTAATCTTCAGGGAGCAGACACTCCCTTGGCGGATATCTCGGTCTCGAATCCATATCAAACACCATTGGTTCAGAAGCGGTCCTTCTTCTCTGGTGATATTGCTTCCCAGATTGCGACACATGTCAACCATCTTTCCCCGAATCCGAACTTGCCGCTCCCTCCCGTCGATCCCTCCAGGCGACTTCAGTCTTCCCATAGCCTCTTAGAGACTGTATCTAGCGATCAGGACGGAATCTCTCCGCTCGGTTTTCAAGATCCTCCAACCAAGAAGCCCAGGCAGACGTTGGAGGAGATCCAGGCTCAGCAAACGTTAACTCCGCCACCGACGGCGCACAAGGGGGCGCGAAAACTCGCCCCAAAATTACAGATGAACACCTTACAGAATGAGGACAGCTACCCACCCGGGTTCGTGCTGGGCACGCCTCAGCAAAGTGCTCTGCCCAACTTTGTCACGACGCCCACGGATATGTTCATGTATCCATTGTCAGCGCCGGCCACGGCCCCAGTTTATACTGACACTCGGCCGTTTTGGGATAACGATGCCAGCATGAATGGAATGGATTATAGTTTCGGCGTTGGCAACTCTGCCATGTTTCCGGCACAAGGTCACAGGCCGATGAGTTCATACGATTGGGGCAGGGCCAATGAGATGTTCCAGGATACGGGCATCATACCACAGCAGCCACTGCAAGCCCATGAGAGCAACGTCCCAGCAAGAAGAGAGCGACTCCTGGCCCCCAAACCCCCATCTGCGCCCCCGCTTCTGGAAGCTGGCTCGCAAGATACGGCCATGCTAGGGAACTCATTTATTGGGTCATGGGACGGCTCGTTTGGATTAGTGAATTCGGGTGAGGGTGTCGACCCCGGACTATTGTTTAGTAGACCGCAGTCCTCGAATATGGCGCCAACGAACGCCAACCCCACGACTCAAAATCCGGTACCGATACAGCCAATGCCTCAAACAACGCCAGTACCAATCGCCCCCAAACCGCCCCAGCAGACTTCTGTGCGACGAGCCAACAGCATCAAAGAAATCAAGCCCTCAAAGAGAGCAGAGCGAGCAGCTGCGAGCTCGCCGATCAAGCCTAGCGTCCGGCCTGCCCTCTCACGAAGTGCCAGTGAGAACAAGGGCCGAAGAGCCGCTCTTCCGGCGCTGGCTCCAGCGGCCAGACCAGTACCAAAACAATCAATCGGTAGCCGACCAAGTTCCCAAGGTTCTCGCGGAAGCGGAAGGATATCACCTTTGAAATCGCATCATCGGCTATCTAGCCTGAGCTCGATACCCGAATCTGTCACACCCAAGATGACAAGGGCTTCCATCAAATTCACCATCGACTCACATGGCCGGGCTCGGGCTGAGACTACAATGGTACCTGTCAGTGACGACGAAGATGCAACTCCAAAGGCCATTAGGACTACCAAAGAGGTTAGGCCCCTGAGCAGCGGCTGGGATACATCCGGAGAAGATGAATCATCGGAAGATGACGATCCAATCATTATTCCAAGCAGGAATCAATCTTTTGCTCTTCCCGATCCAAACAAACCAACGTCAACGCATCCCTTTCAAAGCTCGCGGAGGAGCGTCAGCGAGCAAGGCCCCAATAGCAGTTTGGGCATATATTTGAACGAACCAAACATTAGTGTCGCGGATATTGATAGCGATGCTGAAACCGAAGTGTATGAGCCACAGGGAAGCCGTGGCGATGCCGCCAGCGAACTGCGCAAAGTCGTTCAGGATCGTCAAAAGCGGATCTCGCTGAACACGAATCAACTCTATGCACCTGGACCACGGAGCTCGGCCTCGACTGTGTCTCCCACATCTTTCACTGAAGCCAGTATTCTCACGCCATCCAGTCATGCAAACGCCGTGAGGTGTGTTTGTAGACGCATCGAAAGCCCACATAACAGTGATGGCTTCATGATACAGTGGTAAGTTACTGCTTTTTTTCATGTCAGCCAATAAAGTCATTCTCTTACTGAAAGTGTAACAGCGAGGCATGTGAATACTGGCTCCATGGAAAATGCACAAACACCGGCAGTGATAATGTACCGAGCGTCTACATTTGCGCATTCTGTGGCGAGACGCCAACTGCTTATGGTATTCCAAAGCATCAGGCAGGGCGAAGCAATGGAGAGAAACCATCTCGCAAGTCGGCATCCTCTCCGCTGGCTCACAAATCTTTCAAGTCCTTCAGGTAATGATGATTGCACGAATACATGATGAAACAGACTTGTAAACCCTTGGGGTAAGGGGGGAAATGGGAATATGATTGCATGGAAAGCGGCGTATTTGGCACTATAGACACATGAGCCGTTCAAACGGGTACCAAGTGTGTCGCTGGGATATTGGATGCACACATGATACCCTTACCGGTCAAGAGGTAATGACGGATAGTAATGAGGAACGATTTGGGAAAGAGGGTAACGGAAATATGTGCGGATCACGAAGCACCTCGGTTAGAATTCATTCTAATGATGTTTGTCTAAAACCTTAAACAGAGTCTGGAGATGTACGTACGAGCTTACACGTGCTTACAACTAAAATCAAGGTGACATAATCTTCTGGATACATGTTGCCAGGCAGCTATAACGAAGCTGTTGAAAGTGGCTATTCTTATAAAGAGCTGTGCATAGCCAATCAAATGACACACAGATCTATAATTGATGCAATCCTGCCAAACCGGACTCGATGATGATATAATAGGTAGCGGTGGCTTATCGATAGACAATACCTCGTTCTTTGGGCGGGTCGAGCAGGCTAAAGAACTCCGATCTCGGTTGGTGGGGTGGAAATAGTTGGCCAGCTCGTTTGGATACCAACCGAACGCGGGGCACGAGAAGCATCAAAATTCCAGAACGTGGAATTGCTCACAAACAAGCTCCTTTCCTCTTGAAATCTGCCCAGTTTTCGTTTTCCTTGTAGGCGCCGGAAATACTCAAGTCGTTCAACATGTCTTCTCACAACATTGTCGTCTTTGCCGGTGACCACTGTGGTCCCGAGGTGAGCTCCCCAATGGAACCCTCGGAACTTGACTGTCAAAATGTTTACTAACATCAGATGAATAATAGGTTGTTGCCGAGGCCATCAAGGTAAAATAGATATACCCGAGTCCTCTAATTGGGAGGCATGTGGACATGCCCTTGGCTAATCACACAGAATAGGTGCTCAAGACAATTGAGAGCCACAGCTCCGACTCGGTCAAGTTCAACCTCCAGGACCACCTTCTCGGCGGTGTAAGCTATTTGCTCTCTTTTCAGATGCTTCTTATCCACTGCCTACGATTGCTGATATATTTTCTCCAAAAAAGTGCTCCATTAATGCCTCGGGCGTTCCCTTGACCGACGAGGCTCTCACCGCAGCCAAGAACGCCGATGCCGTCCTGCTCGGCGCCATCGGAGGCCCTGAATGGGGCACTGGCGCCGTACGACCGGAGCAAGGTCTGCTCAAGCTCCGCAAGGAGATGGGCACCTATGGTAACCTGCGCCCCTGCAGCTTCGCTTCCGACGCCCTCGTCGACTACTCGCCGCTCAAGGCCGACATCTGCCGCGGCACCGACTTTACCGTCGTGCGTGAGCTGACGGGTGGTATCTACTTTGGCGAGCGCAAGGAGGACAATGGCGACGGCAACGCCTGGGACACTGAGCCCTACAGCCGGGCCGAGGTGGAGCGCATCACACGTCTGGCCGCCAACCTGGCCCTGGCCCGCGACCCCCCGGCCAAGGTCTGGAGTCTGGACAAGGCCAACGTGCTGGCCACGTCGCGGCTGTGGCGCAAGGTCGTGTCCGAGGTCATGGCCAACGAGTACCCCCAGCTGCAGCTCGAGCACCAGCTCATTGACAGCGCCGCCATGCTCATGGTCAAGAGCCCGCGCGTGCTCAACGGCGTCGTCGTCACCAGCAACCTGTTTGGTGACATCATTAGCGACGAGGCCTCGGTCATCCCCGGCTCCATTGGTCTGCTGCCCAGCGCCTCCCTGAGCGGTATCCCCGACGGCAAGAGCCGGTGCAACGGCATCTACGAGCCCATCCACGGCTCCGCCCCCGACATTTCCGGCAAGGGCGTTGTCAACCCCATTGGTACCATCCTGTCCGTCGCCATGATGTGCAGATACTCTCTCCGCCTGCCCAAGGAGGCCACCGCCATTGAGGAGGCCGTCCGCCGTGTCATTGACAATGGTGTCCGAACAAAGGACCTTGGCGGTTCCGCGGGTACCAAGGAGGTCGGTGACGCCATTGTTGCCGAGCTCGTCAAGGTTCTCAAGGCTTAGATTATTTGTGGACATGGATAAAATAGTACAAAATTTGAGCAAGGACAAAATTGCATCTGGAGCGCGTGTTTGTCGATATATCTGTACAATGAATCGGATAGCAGGGAATTATAGATGCACCCAAAAATGAAAGTAAAATTCGAAGCATTTTGTATGATTTCCACCATGGCCTATATCCCTTCAAGATGGTGTCAATTCGTCGCGTGGAAATGTCTCGAGACGCATGATACGGACAATGTATAAGTCTGTTCAAGAAACACTGAGTACTCTTTTGACCATGAATCTCAACTATGTACAGGAAAAGGCCAAAGAGAACCCTAGATCAGGTAAACAAGCTCCCAGCCGTCACCGTGGACTGCTCCATTAAACGCCAACAGGTCCATAAATCCAGGAACCACAGCGGGACCAATCACTTTGAACTCACTGTCTTCTTCTTCAACGGGTCGTAGAATCATGGGGACAGCCACGCCTCTGAGCCACATGACTTCATCTCCCGCTGCCATCCCAGGCGGCCCGGTGCCGTAGATTCCTTCCGTTGTAATGAATATGTCTCTGCCCTCGACATATCTATAACATCACGTCATGAATGACCTCAATTCGTCGTCATGGCTAAGAGCAGAAAATGAAGAACCTGGCGTGTTTGACTGTTCTTGGCTTAAATTGATCCATCGCTGAAAGGTCTCCATTTCGTAGTCTTGGCCCTCTTGTCGTGTTAAAGTTGTCCCCGCTAAAGCCTTGTATAGAGATTCGTGTATCAGAACCATTCGGTCAGCTGCGGTGTCCGGAATTGAAGCCGATGCTTGGTGAAAGGCAAGAGAAAGACATTGAACAAACATAATAACCAGGCGTTTGAAGTCCTCTACACCACCATCACTCCCTGGAAGGTTGATATCCATTGTCATACCTGGGAGCGGTTCTCTCACTGTGCCTTTTCGACATGCCCATAGACCGAGTTTGTCTCGTGATATCATCATTTGTGGCTCTGGAAAGCCTGCACCATAGATTACCGTATGGTGAGAGATGAATTCTGATTGACCCCAGTCGTTCTTATGAGAGGATCTCCAATCCGGTACCCACGACGGGACATCTGGAAAGGTTTCCGGCCCACCGACATCAATCAAAAGATTGATCAATGATGTTTTGCGATGCAAAAGATCAATAAACAATCTATGATACACATCACTTACGTTCTGCTGCAGTTCAAATTGAGCAGCCCGCGAAATACCAATGCTTCTCAAGACCTCATGCAGTGCAAAGGCTTTGTCGGCAACTCTAGTCGCCTGTCGTTCTCGCAATGCCTGGACTATCCCAGTGAACAACCGACTTTCGCCATCCTTGTCGCCCCATACGTATGGCGTGACACCAAGCACGTTTACACCAACGACAAAATCAAAGAATAGGACCAAGCATCCTACGAGGATAGCGTTCAGGATCAACATTGCCGTGCTCAGGCGACCGTTCTGACCATTCAAAGCTACCATGGAAGCAGCAAAACACAACTGAAAAATAAACAGACCGAGCATGACCATGACTGGCGCAACGAGGATGAACACTCGTTTTGAGTACAAAGTGAACCACTCTTGGTAACTTGTCACGGAACAACTGTCGACTTGAAGTGATTCAACGTCGCCACGATGAATGAATCTGAGAGTGCGGCCATTCCACTTTGATGGTCGCTCTGCACGAACCCAGATCGAGTGTATGTTTCGCCATGTGTGGAAAGATTGTAAGGATTTATAAGCTTTATGAATTGATATGTCTGGCTCACTTTCTCTTCTGACGGAGGATCTCGTGCGAAGCAGTTCGCTAATTTTGAGATGGAATGGAAAGATTGGATTGTTTAGAAAGTCAAGTCCTCTTTGCAAACATGACCACGATATAAATCGAGTGCCGCATACAATGATTGGGTTAGAGGCGAATATAATCTCCTGGTAGGTCCAGGCTCGGCCGATCCAACCCCTACTCAGGAGTTCATCTAAATCCTCAGCCTTGAATGATTGTCGAATTCCAAAAGTGCCGAAGGTAAGTCCTGTCTGATAATCAGCATGAAACGCAAGTCTTGGGCGTGACGGAACGTACCCGAAAGGAACAGCAGACTATAGCAAAGCATAGTCGAGGTCACCAGCAAGTAAACATCACGCCACGTCCTTTGGACTTTTCCATTTGTCCAGGGAACTCCTGGATAATGTACGCGGAAATTCGAGGCCCTTTTGAGACCTTTGATTGCTTTGTCGGTATGAATGCTTCCGGGTCCCAGCCAGACATACACCGTCTTGGCCCATGTATAGATTTCGGTCATGATCTCGATTTGTAGGTTTTTTTCTTCTTCATTATCCTGGTCAATGCAGATTGAATCGACCCATATGTCCATGGGGGCACAGGAATCGCGTAGCGATGTCAAAGCATCGTGACAACTTTTGGTTATTGGCAATTCGAAATTGTTGCATCTAATGAACCTGTCACCCGAATTGTCTTCTTCGCCGTCTTTCCAAACATATGAGAGGGCAACAAATTGTGGGCTGTCATCAAGCTTAACGACGCGTAGTTTTCCCTCAACAGATGCTGAAGATCCATGGACATTTCGGTCTAGATGCAGAAGTCGGATTGATGATTTGGGCCGAGGAAGGGGCAGCCCCTCGTAGAGTTCAGAGCGACTGGACGCGGGCGTTCTTGCAAGGCTGCTGAGCGTTATCGTATCTGTTTCGAGACCAGCCATGATGAGTCTCGCCAGGCTACCAAAAAGAATTAAAGAGGAAGATGTTTAAGAGTTGCAGCGAGGCTAGAAAGAGAGTAAGAATCGCGGATGTCAGCTTCTCTACCCTAGGAATGGCATGGACTTGTCTTTGATGGAAAGTTACATATGCCTCCCCAGCCTCATTTCAAACCTCATGACACGAACCTCATTGAGCGATATGCAGGAAGGTGTAGTAAGAATAATGTATGTACCAACCAATAGAAACCAGACAGCAAAGTCGTGGTTCCGGCAGCAAGGCGGGGTTGATGACATTGGACTTCATAATCTACCAAGCTACCGATCAGTTCATTGGGTACATATCGACGCCACGAGTTCCATGCGAGCATGTCGGGCGTTTGTGTCACATACAAGACATATGCGTAAGGCTTGCGCAGAAAGGATACCTCTCGAATCCTCTTCTCGCACGATTTTCCCACATGTCCACCAGCTGTTACAATCCCTGCACTTCTGTGGCATATGCCATATCAAGGACCAATAAACATCTTGCCATCATCCATGAAACTCGATCTCTTCCGTGACACGAGTTTTTCATTTTGCGTTCTCGTTGATCTTCATCTTCACCACCATTCCATCCACTGGCTTGGCAGTGACCAGATCGGTCTGCATAGCGTGTTAGCAAGATCTAATGGAAGTGAATTTCTTGCGGGCTTCGTGTAAAAACTCACAGTAAATAATGTGGACTTGGTCTTGTAGTAGCCCTTGTCATCCAAGATGGGCTGTCCATTTTCATCCGCATCCAACTCACCCAAGCCAACCTTGACAAAGTCAAAGCGCCTGGCAATACAAGCCAGGACGACCTTGGCCTCCATATTGGCCAGCTCAGAACCAGTGCATCGTCGCGGGCCACGCTCGTAGGGTCTCCAGCAGCTCTCGGGAATGTTGGCGGCCTCGGGGCCTAGCCATCGGTCGGGAACAAAATCGTCCTTGGTCTCGCCAAAGATCTTGGGGTCACGCTGGATGATGAGGGCTCGAGGGGTCAAGACGAGGCCGTCGACGACGAGCTTTTGTCCATCAGGCATGGTCAAGGTGGTTCCAGATCCTTCTGGGGCAAGTCGTGCCGTAGTTCCGGGAGGGTATAATCGCAGAGTTTCCTTGATAATGGCATCCGTGTCTGCGTTGACAATGTCAGCACCAGCTATGCAAAAGTGTCATGCTCATTAGGAACTACTTACATTTGAGGCGGTTCAGCAGGTCACTGTTTCCAGGGGCCAACAACTGGTTGATAACACTAGATGGCTGCGGGTCCTTTCCGAAAACCTCGTCAAGTTCATCCTTGAGTGCCTTCATGGCCTTTGGGCTCTTGCTCAGTTCGTAAAATGACCATTGCATGAGAATACTCGTTGTGTCGTGGCCAGCAAAGAGAAAACCTCGGCAGGTGTCGCTAGTCTGCTGAAGCATTTCCGGGGTGAGTTTTTCAATTCCGTGCAAACTAAGGGTTGCTACACTGCGAGACGCCGTGTTGTCGCCTGCAAGTAGCTTCTTGTGCTCCTTGAGAATGTTTTCCTTGAGAATGACGTCGAGCTTCTTGTCCAGACTTCGAATCTTTCTCTCGTTTTCTGAAAAGTACCGGCGCATCCAGTGCTTGGTGAGATCTCGAGCGTTGTAAGCATTCGACAAGTCGCGGTAAGTTGTAAGCACAGGACTCTGATTATCAGGAACCTGAGCGTTGAGATCCATATCAAAGGTAACAATTCCTGATCATACATCATTAGCGTTTTTGTAACCTGCTGGACTCGCCTTCGTAACTCACCAATAACATCAAAAGCCAAATTGGTGGTCAATTCATCCAGGCGGAATTCCTCTCCAGTCTGGGCCCTCTTCTCGAGATGCTCAATAAAGAGCACCGACTTGTCCAAGATGACCTTGACCAAACTCAGAAGGTGTTGAGGCTGGAAACCGGGGAGAATGCGCTTGCGAAGACCCTTCCACTCGTCGCCCTGTCATGTATACAGCCGTTAGCTAAACGATCCGTTGAGCACAAATGCCGACAGAATTACTCACGTCCAGAGTGACTAGCGAACGAGATCCGACCAGAGGAGCCAAGTCTTGCATAGCCGGGTGCTTGGGGGTACTGGTACTCCACTGCTTGGTAGCTCTCGTGACCTGCTCTGCGACATTGTTGTCGAGGATGAAGAGAATCAACAAGGGCTCCATGGGTCGCCAGTCGACCAGCAAGACTGGAGGGAAACCGAGCTTTTGTGCTTGTTCATAGAGGATGATGTCTAATCACAGGCTCGGGTTAGCATCTTTTCCCTCGATTGTATAGTCATGTTGTCGTAACATGCCCATGCGCATATAAATGCGTCTATGACGCGACAACCAAGCAGAGTATATACATACCAAAAGACCTGCGAGGGTCTCCCTCGCCTGCCGACTTTTCAATCCATGGCCAGTGACCGCGCTTCTCATCCCTCGCCTCGGGTTGAGGAAAGTGAGCATATTGCTTAAAGTCAATCTCGTTGGACTTGAACTTCCGCGCGACCAGAACGCCGATTAGCGGGATCAGCGCCAACAAGGCGGTTCGCCAGTGAAGGAGCAGGAGCTCAATCATGGCTGCTACTCACTCTCTACTCGGACGCGGGGTTCTCGAGGGGGAGGGGGTGGCAGGAGAATTAAGCAAAAACGCACGAGAAAAAAAAAAAGAGAGAGAAGAAGGGATCGTCAGGGCAGATTTTCTGCAGCGCACGATGGGTGGGCTGCCGGTATTAAAGTACTACTAGGTATGGCATCACAACTTGGACAAGGATCTACTCGATCACACTAGAAAAGTTCGAGCAGCACATGGTAAAAAAGCCTGAAGTCAAGAGATGATGTGGGCAGGGTGGAACGGCAGCATCAAGCCAAGCTGAACAAGGATAGCAACGGACTAGGTAAAGATACATGGTAGCAGGCAGGTGGCTCTTTTGGAGAACGGACAGGAGGAGGAGGAGGAGGAGGAGGAAAAAGCCGTTGCTAGAGCCCAGTGAGTCTCTCAGTCAACCAGACATGTTCCCGGTCATGAATAAGCCGATATCGTCAATGGTGGGTTGTATTGGGGAAAAACTCGGTTCTGGCACTGCCAGTCGAGGTCATGCCTCCGATGCTCCCACTTACCATGGGCTCCATTTGCCAAGACCCGTCGGCCATAGAAGCTGAATACCCAACGACTAATTCATAATTCAATGGGGTCTGTCTTTTTTAAAGGTACAACGGCCGAGGAGCGGCGGTCGGCAGTAAGTACACGTATACTAGGGAGGAGAAAGAAAAAAAAAAAAAGAGTCCTGGGGGTGGATTTGTCTTTGGTTTTTCTAAACGACCTGCCCACCTTGAAGCTTGTTCAAGGTACCTTTGATGCAACATTATCTAATCTAATCCATCTGCCCATCTAATCTGATCCGCTGATAACGCCATGTCGCACCACACACAACCGCCGTCACCCCGGTTCCCCCCGCTCGCTATTAGGTAAAACGGGATGATCTACACGAGTGCCGGGGGGTCCAGCAAAGGCTGGCCAGGACAAAATTGTGAGAAATCCCGATCGCTGATTGATCAGATTGATCAGAATGCTGGCAGATCTCGTCCAAAGGGAGGGTCCATTTGCCCTCTAAACCTTGCATGTACTGAATACTCAAGGCGGGGACCGTCATCGAGGGATTTAAAGGTCCAGCCAGTCGGCGTCATCGGTACATGGCAAACTGGGCGTCTGGCGCAAATGTGCGTCGTGTACCGAGAGAAGACCAGGTTCAATACGGTATCTTGACCGCTGATCTTTTGACTGCACGCGAGAATTTCTCAAATTTTATTACACTTCTCAATTTTTGTATGTACTCCGTAGCTTTGAAAGTCTGGATAGATCTCAAGGCTTGTCCCGCTTATAAACGTGATGCTGCTTGGAAGACATGTCGAATATATGTTATGACGGGATTTGTGTTGATGGACATTCCGAAAAAGCATTTGAAGGACAAGTTAGTTTGTTTGCTCCAGAGTCACCTCAAACCTGTCTCAGCATGGTCTCGTGGCTTGTTTCTTACCAAAGCTGAAGGGTCTTGAAATGAACGCATTCTGCAAAGAAATGGGCACGATCTTGGCTCCGAAGACCTCAGGACTCGGTTATTACCATATTCAGCTTGTTCCCTTGCTTGTCCGTTCTCAAAAAAGTAACGGGTTCTCCTATGTACTTGTAAACCCAGCAAAGCAGGAAATCATTCAACTTGCACGCCCTCGAGACAAAATATATTTATGTTCTTGCCGCACCCGGCTTCAATGCAAACCTCGCACACTTCTACCCGGAGCGTCCGTCAAGGGCACATATCTGACGCCGTACAATCTCTTCTTGGTAACCTTGCCCTCGCGGTCCTTGTCCACAGTCCAGATAAATTGATCCCAGCCATCTTTGCCCCCAACTGGTATGAACATGCGCCCGGGACTTCTCAGCTGGTCGACCAGCTCTTGGTGCAGCTCAATAGCAGCAGCGCCAACATGAATGGCATCCCAGCCACCATCCTCGTCCGCCGTTCCCCCGACACCCGGCTGCTCACCCCCGGGACTCGACGGCTCGGCCCAGCCCTTGCGGCCGTCACCAACACGAAACCGGACCCGCCCACTCGACAGCAAGGCCCGGCCCTCGGGGGACTTGGCCATGTTGGCCTCGCCGAGGTCACGTAGCTCCTGGATGTGCTCGACGCCAACCACGACGCTGCCCTCGCCTGCCAGCTCTGCCATCACGTGCGTCAGATACCCGGAGCCGGACCCAATGTCCAGGATGCGCCGGGGTCGGCCGGGCACACCTAGGGCGTGAAGATCCGCGAGCTCCTCATCCACCTTGGAGTCCTTCCGGCCGGGCGGACCGAGATCCTCGCCCTCTCCATCCTTGAGCTGCTCTGACGCGCCGCCACCGCCAATGGGGACAATGTACTTGAGCAGACTCTCGACGGCGTTGGCGTGCATGTGCGGAGCCGAGATGGTGGCGCTGTGGCCGATGGATTGTGGCGAGTCTTCGTAAGGAAGCCTGGGCGAGTAGTGGCCACGGTCAACCTTGAGAAAGGCAGCCTTGACGACGGGCGAAGAAAGCAGATTATGCCGCCACAGATTCTCGACCAGGGTCTCGTTGCTGGTGCCGCTGCTTCGCCACGCCATTGTATTGATTTGTAAAAAGTTACGGCCTAAGCTGGTCCTGGAGTAAATTGTATGATACAATGTCGAGCGATATTCACGAGAGAGAGGGCCACAAGGGCGGCAACGAAAAGTAAGTTTAAACGACAGCTTGATCGGTATAGTTGATGGTTCTGCGTAGGCACTCGAATGAGGAATGAAATTTACGCTGCGACCCCAGGTCTCAATCAAAAGACGGCTGGTTGTTGTGATTCACCTCCTGGGTTTGTTGATAATTATTGTTGTTGTATTTGCCAAGTGTGCAACTTGAGCGGAGGTAGCAACTCTCAGGCAGCGTGTGATCAACTACCTCTGGCTGTAGCAGTACTTGTCTTCCTTGGAACAGATGAAGATCGTCATGGAGTAATCTCTCAATCATTCGGCAGGAACACTTTGTGGTTTGAACATTGATACTGTTGGTTGATGTGAGGTTGATGGAAAGTTGATGCGGAGTGTGGGGTAGCTTTCGTTGCCATCATATGGTGGATCGCTTTGACTTCAATAGGCTCATTGTGCTAATGACACTCAATAGCTGGAGGTATGAGGTCACTCTGCCGTTGCCTTAAACGAGGACCATTTGGAGGCTTCAACTTACGGTCCAAGAAAACAACCAGAGTAACCTTGGTAATATAGCATGTAAATCTTATTGGGTGTTTGATATGCAATAAAAAGCTGTGACGGTTCGTCTAATAAGCAAAACCCAAGACAACTAGATATGGAATATGGTCAACCAAAGTAGTATCTGCCGGGCCAACAACTACAGAGCAGCTGCCTAGAAATTTACAGGATGGCATTGTATGTCTCTGCCCAGGTTTCAGGTACCATGTGCAGAGCAATCATTAGCATTATGATCAGGTCAACCATTTTGGAGCAACTAGTGGGATGGAATACTGGTATGAAAATCCTGGGTGTATGTTACTCTACCAAAAATCCGTTCATAGGAGATGTCCTGTAAAAGCCACGAATTCCACAACTGCGATTACCAGTGGGATATTCCTTGTTCAAGGAGGCAAGTCAAAAACCGCAAACGCCATAGCCATGCCCAGTTTTGAGAAACAGGGTTTCCCCAGTCATCTCCGTTGTTCAATATACGACGAAAATCATACGACCCTTCCAGACTCCTCGCTATCCACGATAATCGGGAATCCGGCAGAGCGGTCGGGGCCCTGCAAGACAAGCTGCTCGTGGCGTCTCGCCTTGATATAGTCGCTTACGGAACGAATCAAGATAAACCATCCAACAATCATCAAAATGTAGGCAACCCATTCGGAGCTTGCAATGTCGTTTAGTGCACTTCCGCTGTCGTCGCCCGAGTTGACACTGTTTGGGTCGAAGTCGTGGCTGTTCGGGTCCGGAGGCTGAGCATATCCGTCGTTTGGAGAACTATTCATGCCGTCGGAGCTCGAGCTGCCCTTCATGTAGAAACCGTACTGAATGAGAGTGATGCCCAAGCCGGCACGTGAGCCATTTTTCGCAGCGTGTGTCGAGTGCAGCAGATATGTGAGAAGGAATCCGACGAGTTGAAACGACATGGAGATCATGCCGTTCCAAATAAAGCTGAAAATTGATCCGACGGGCATTCCATCAATGTACACCTCGTCAGGTCCCCCCAGTCCAGGAGCCAGAATTGTCGTCTCCCAATAGGGCGGTGCGGCATCAGCAGCTGCTTGCTCGTACGTCTGTAGATAGGTTAGCGTTATATCGCAATGATTTGGGCAATTCAGCGACTTACCGGAGGTTGTTCCTCGACAATCTTTTCGCCTCTCTCTGGCCTTGCCGTCATGTTGGAAAAGACACCATCTGACTGTATACCTCCACCATAGATTCTCGACGAAGACTGTGCATTGCTTCCACCTGGTGCTGCCGATGGTCGCACGGGTGCATTTGGCCTGTCGGCACTCGATCCATTTGATGTCGCCAATCCGCCTGATACTGGAAAGGAGCTCTGGCGTACTAGGCGCTGTCTGTCATCGGGTTCGTCATCATCGCTGTCATCGCCATCGGCGTCAAATGCGTCGGCTAGGGTAGCATCAACATTCTGCTGCCGCCTCCGCTCGAGGGAAGAGGCGCGAGAATGAAATGATGGCGGCGGTGAGTTGGGTATCCTTTGTCGCACAGAGGGAGCAACAGAGGAGATGGGAGTATCGATGTCGTCCTGGTCGTGTGTCTCGACCTGTGCGATGGAGGCAATCTTGTTAGCATGCGACAGTACCGGAAGCGGAACACTCGGTTCAGCAGCGGGGAGGCCTCCACAAAAAGAAGGGCGCAGGTGGTGACTTACCCGTTCATAGCGGCCGGCCATTGTCGCAAGTGATACGAGGGGCTCGATGGAATGAAAACTCGAATGAAAAAAAAGTAACGATAGCCTTTGATGCTAATGTTGGCTCCGCGGGAAAGGAGTTCGCAGAGTGTGTGCGTTGGTTGTTGCGCAGGCTATCGGGTTGATGATTGCAGGCGGGCGCAGTAGCAGCTGGTCACGCTGTATCGGCTCGTCGGGGATAAGGCGAGGAGAGAAGGTGGCAAGGAAAACGCTGTCGGTATGTCGGGAAACCGAGGCGGACGGACGAGAGAGAAAAAAAAAAGGAAAAGGAAAATGTGTCCAAGTCGTCAGAAAGAAAGCGCAGAACAGGCGCCTATACAGCAAAGGAGAGTATGATATCGAAATGCTGAACCACGAAAAGCTAATAAGGGGGTAGAGAATTGAAATGATGCAGCAGCCAGAAGCGTGGCGCTGATGTTTGCAGGTTATGGGGTGACGATGGTGAAGGTGACGGATCTAGGAAAGAGATCAGGAGAGCAGGAAGTGGAAAGCGACCAAGCCCACCCTGGGTCATTGACACCGGCATAAATCAACTGAGACACACCAAAGTCCGTGCCGCTTTGCCGCTGAATCGGGGCGCTTTTGGCTTTTAGGGGGCCCCCAGCGGACTACAAAGGCCCCCAAGGACGATGCTAGAATCACCTACTACGCCAAGAGAGCTGCCTTGGCTGGCTGCTGACGAACGACATCCTCAAAGAGGGAGAGACAATAAAATGCACGGCCCCTATAATTCACTACGGTGCTTGATTGCCTGCCTACGCTAAGCCCGGGAGTAAAGCTCTAACCCAAAGAGTGCAAGCATCCATCCAGGGTCCTTGTGCTGAACAGATCCTTTTTTTATGCAATGCACTAATCCGGAGATATGCCGGTACGGGTCCGCAACATATCGGCATCATCAATTTTCTAGAGCTCCGTTCGAGAATAGCGTCAATCGAGCTTGTGATTGGAATGCGCCTGGTGTAGAGAAATCAGACAATCACCTCTGACAACTCGCACCACCTTTCGCCGCCACTGCCAAAGAATGTGATGATACAGCAACACCATCCACACAATAAATCACAATGTCCAAACAAGCAGTTGTGAGTAACCAAACCCCTGTTCAGGTTCTTCCAAATTCCTCTCGCAGTTCAACTTACTGGTCCACCACCTCAGAGCGCGCAGTTCCACCTCCTCAAGGCCCTGAACCGATGGCCCAAGGACACTCTTCGCCCGACAGTGCAGCTCCAAGAAGTGCTTAAAAAGAGATTCGAGGCAAAGGGTTCAGGTTTATCGGAGCAAGAAAAACTCAAGCAGGCCAACGCCTTGTACTCGTTATTGGACAACCGGTATAAGAAAAAGGTAAATACGCCCCATTGTCGCCAGAGGATTACATTTTCAAACCAGGCTGACCTCACTCCAGTACCCGATCCATGGCGAAAACTCCCTCATGAAGCCCAAGAGCAACCCAACATATTTTGCCGATCTCGTCCGAGAATTAGAGGAAGCACCGAACCGATCATGGTTGGACAGGACCCTGTTGCGACTCAAGGGTATCATCCGTCTAAAGCAATAAAGAAATTGAAGAAAACAAAGCGATAAAGCTGGTTGGAATAATGCTTGTACGATAAATGACTGGGTGAGGACCTGTTTCTTTGGTTGCCTCTCTCCAGCGTGTATATTCATGTATAGAAATGAAGACACCAAACGCCATGATATCCATTGTCTCATTATACCTGTTCAACAATGAGATCCTTCTAAACTCTATCTTCATTCCTCTTTAACTGCCTCGAGAATACATTTCGTGACAACGCCTTCAACGCTCACCCTGACATGTCTGCAATATCAACACAGACAGTGTGGTGCAAGTCTAGATGGACTGATGTCGAGCGCTAATCAAGTCGCAAACACACCCAACCGCTAGGGTATCAATTTCATGCTTAAATGATCTTACCCTCGGGGTCGAACTTGTTGAAGAGCTCCATGGACTTCTCGTACATGGCAAATACAATACCGCCGCTGAGGATCAATCTTCCCAAGCGTGGTACGGCTCCGCTCCAAAATGTAAAGACGCCTTCCTGCTTAAAGATCATGCTTGCGCAGCGGAAGCTGTTGCCATAGACCTGCTTTGCCTCGATACTCTGCATCCTCGTCTTGATGGTGTCTAGAGGTTGCGTGGCATATACGGTAATGACACCAGCAACACCACCAATACCAAAGGTCCCCAGCATGCCCAGCTTTTCGCCTGGCGCCGTGTAACTTTCCGCCAACTGCTTCAAGGTAGTGTAGGATCCAAAACGGACGGCCGAGTTGGCACTCTGTCTGGCTGCGGTCGGTACGAGACCTTGGAAGAATCCACGGAACCCGCGCTCTTTGTAAATAATGGGAATTGCATCGAGAAAGCCCTTCATCCTTGGGTTCGCTCGCTTTCGGTCGTCAATGAGAGTGGTCTTGATGGACTCGGTCGGTGTCACGGCAAAGAGCGACTCAGTCATGCCGGCAAAGAAACCGGCAATGACATTTCGGGGTCCTGAAACCTTGCCGTTTTCGTCGGCCAGGAGGCGCTTGTATTGTTCAAAGGCGACGAAACCTATTACGATTTGAAGAACTTAGTCACGCGACCAACTCAGGGCACAGCGACTGATGGGAAAACGTACGAATAGCAGCCTTTGCCGAGTTTCCAATGATCAAGGTCGTGCATCCTGCATACCACTGAGGGCCAAACGGTGGCCACGGAAGCTTCTGACCATCTGGTAGCTTGCGATTGAGCTGTGATCTAGTCTTGGCGACTACGGGGGATTGTTAATGGAGTTCGAGGACAATTGCGCATGGATACTTCGACTCACACTCTGCCGGGTACGTTATAGCTTCGAGAGGATCATAGGTTAGCGATTGTACTTGGTAAGCTTGGGGGAATATACAACTCACAAATTTCGATAGCTCCAGCCAATGCACCCGCAATGATGGACCGCGACGTGCTGGGTTTCTTGGGCATGGAGGACGCGTCCTTTTGCGCCACTTGCGGCTGTTGCGCCGCTGCAGTTGCCATCTTGTTTCGCAATCAATCGCTTTCGAGAGATAGATCTTCGGGCGGAGTTGTACTGATTGCCGGCAAACTGACTTGTCAGTGGTGGTGGAGTCGACGGTAGAGGCCGTGATGATGATGATGTCTCTTTTTTTGTTCCGATGCCGCTATTCGAAAGATTGAAAAGTTTCGGCGGGGCATTTCAAGTCTTGTCCGTTGTAGCGGCACCGGGGCGCCGCCGCCATGGATGTCATTCACTCTAGCACTTGGAGCGTACCCGAGCCTTTCAGGTTCGGTGCAATAAGTTCCACATTTTCATAGTAAGCCTGGTAAGCAAATAGCACAGGGCATACTGTTGGTTCTTAGCTTGTTAGTTTGTATTGTTGGACTGCATGATCTTTGCCATGTCGAAATTTCAGAGAAACTCTCGTGCATTCTTGGCTCCTTTCCTTGATCCCTAGCTGTAGTCTATCAACGCTTGGGCAGTGGACGAGGTGGATGCCGATGCACTGGCGTATGTTGGCTTTTGCAGTGGCTGGGTTTGGCTGGCTGCCGTAGAAACCCAACTGCTGATCAACCGCCGCAAATCAAGACAGAACCGCCAATCACATTGCCTCAAGGTGTGAGAGGTTCTGAATCTCTCACGAGACATATTTCGCACTTACTTCAAATGGGTTTCAATGCTGCCTGCATATGCAACACTATTCGCAACTTGGAACTTTTCCTTTTGCAAATAAAAAGTGACTGCCTAGCAGTGACCTGCTGTAAGAGCTGATGCGCCAGGCGATACTTTCTAGACATCGCTAAAGCGGGTGCTTCGGGGGATCCCAACACCATCAACCACCCTTTGCAGCCCAAAACGAACAGATATTTCCCTTCCAACAAGCCAGCACCGCCACCTTATTTTTACGCGCTGACGAACAAAATTTGCCATTTGCCCATGGGCATCGTTCCGGCAAAAAACCCTGACATCACACTGCCAGGATAAGCAGTTACGACTGGTTCGACGTGGCCTGGGCTGAGCCTCCGCATTGCTGCTCACTTGATCAGATCGCCGTCCACTGGTACTTTAATCGAGGCCGCCCGCGCGCCCCGGGAGCTGCCCTAGAACCCGGATCCTGACCGAATTTCCCGGGATCTTGCGCTTGTCGCAAACTGACGTCGACCCCGGAATTCCATTTTGCGACCGGTCGGGAGACTTTATTCTAACCACTGCTTTGCATTTTGAATATTGTCTTTTAATCCTTAGACTTGATCTTGCATTTCTTCTACACGCCAACCGAGACACATTCCACGACCCAGGATTCTCAACAGCCGACAAGTACGCAACAGATGGCGGAGTATGTTGAGGCGCGTTCGCTAGCCTCACTCAATAGCTTGGCCAGCAACCCACCTCAGTATCCTACAAACCCAACAGAGAAAAGACAGGAACCTCTAACTCTGTATATATCAAGAGTACCGGGGACCCGAGGTAAAATAATCTCTCAAATTCTCAGACGCTCGCAGAGACGCTAACCCATGTTCCAGATATCATCCTATCACCCTACAAGCCTCAGATAAAAAATGTCACGGCGGAAGACGTAGCAACGTCCCTGTATTACGTGCATCTTGACACGCCGGAAGATGATCTTCTGATTGCAAACTCGCCTCGAGATGTCCTCCCTCGCAGGTCGAGTCTGGAAAGCTCGCGGAGTGCGATCAACCGGAAACCTCTTGCGGCAGTGCCGCCTGGTCCATCCAACCTGGGCAAGGCCTCAGAACCTCTGATGCGAACTCCTGATGTCCCGGCAGGAGCGTCGGTCGGAAGAGACGATCCATCCTTTGCTGCTCCGGCACCACAATCATTTCCGCATCATGGCCCACCGGTACCAATCGCCCAAGGGCCGCCACCGCCGCCTATTCACAGAAAACCACTGGCTCCAAAGGGAATGGCGGTTGATACTCAGGTTCAGCCTCCAACACCACCGCCGCATGAATTCTTTGATGTCTCAAAACTTCCTCCCAAACCATCAGAGATTGATAATCACCCAGAATACGGCATACCACCACTGCCACCACGACAAGACCTGCGTTCCCCATCTCCTTCAAAACGCAAACCCTTTACCCCCTTTTCCCTCACACTGATCCGCCGTGATCGCTCCTCGCAACAACAATGGAACGTAGGAAAGATTGCCTCGTTCCAGTTGGATCATCCCGAACAGATCCCGGATGAAAAGCTGATTCCATCCCCTTCAATCAGCATACACCTCGAGACCCCGGGGTACGCCAAGTTTCGCGGAATGCCGCCGCCTGGTACAGCGTTTGATATTAGGGATATTAGAGAGAGTCTTGACATCATACGCCCGGGCAGTTCGTCTGCGAGCCCTCCCAAGTTTCAATCACCTCCGCGACCGCGCCCTGCAAAGCCTGTGGATATCACAAATACGCACACATCACCAACCAGTGGTGCGATATTTGAGCGCCAGGTAAAAATGGCTTATGGGCCTTCCTGGACTACGAATATTCGCAATGCTTTCAAGCGCCCACGATCGCGAGAGGGGGATCTCCCCGTTTCACCAGGACGACCAGGGCACGAACGGCAAACCAGCAATATATCCATCGGCTCATTTGGTGGAGACTTTGATGGCGGCGAGCCTCCTGTCATTACAATGCCCAGCCAAGGTCTAAAGGCACAAGGCTACATGTTCTTTAGTCCCTGGGATGGTCGCTGCGAGTTTCGGACAGGAAATGGAGGGCGCAGTTTGAGGTGCCGGCACATTCTACCAACTCACACGAGTCAATGGAACCCTCTCGCTGATGGTCTTGACGAGGATATCACTGGAGCAAAGGGCCACAAGAGACATGGATCACGAAGCCCCAAAGTCAAAGGCAATGATATTTCCGAGTTGAGATTTAACCTTCCAAGTGCCGAGCTGTTCAACAACAAACCATCGGACTCGGATAGGCCACACGAGGCACGGGAACGTACTCGAGACAGAATACTCAACTCCATGATCAACAAGACCGAAGATGACCTAGAAGACGAAGAGTACGAGTCTGTGGGCTTTGATATGAGTCTTGGCCGCGAAAAGGCTGGTGGTGGGAATAGAGGCAAGCGGGCCAAAATGGGCAAATTGATCATCTGGGACGAAGGTCTCAAGATGTTGGATCTGGTGGTGGCAGCTAATATTGGAATCTGGTGGAATGTTTGGGAAAGAAAGATGAATTAGACTATGAGACCAAAAGTAACAATTAGAATCATGACATAGAAACGTTGTGCAAGCGAGCGGCATATGGAGACATTGATTTGTATTTGGACGAACAGCCACAATAAGGATAATGAATTGAATACATTGCGCGTCGGGTTGAAAGCAGATTCCGAACTTCGCCTCTTCCTAAGTTCCCCGAGGTTTTCAGCTGGCTCAATGAGAGCATCTTGAATGTCTTGTGGGGTTGCTGCATCAGTACCAGCATGGCATCTTGCTGTAACAGAAATAGAGCCGGGGTTCTGTTTGGCTCTCTTTACCCAAATTTCATCCTCTGATTCTGCAATAGGTTGAATAAATAGGCAATGGATATAGGGCTCTCAACATCAGCTGAGCGGTCCGAACTGCTGTTGTAGTGAAAGGTGTCGCTGCATCAAATTAAATATTTACTACGAGAAAAGCAGCGGGAGATAAAAGTCATCCACCTAGGGTGTTGCCAGGTTATCGCAGGCTGTTCATGTTCAATTTATCCAAGACGATTGAGGGTGTCTTTTGTGATCTGACCCAAGGTTGGAAGAGCACGTGACAGAATTCTCAATAAGGCAAGTTGGTTTGATTGTATAAACCTAATACTTGATCATGTACATGGTTGTGCTGTTATAGACAGATTGATACAGTAAAAACATGCGACAATATACAGAATCAACATCGAGAAATAAACAGGGGAGGAAATAATTGGGGCAAGCCCAAGCTGCTTGAAGCAGCAAGAAAGGAAGAGACAGCAAGAAAGAAAAGGAAGCAAAAGAGAAGAGATGGCGGAACAAAGACAAAATGAAAATCGCTGAGAATCCCCAAGCACACCCACAATCAACTCCAACCTGGCAAGACGGAAACTCTTTCGACTCTATGACTTGTACTTTTGAGCAATCAAAGCATTGCTCATCAACATTTGCCACCATTCAAAAACGCCGTGTCTCTTTTTATTGTACTCAGATACCCGAATCAATCTTGGGGGGCGCCTTGGGCGCATAAGCCCGCCAGTCGGCACACTGCTTCTGGTAAGCAGCCAAATCCGCCGAGCTGATGAGAGCCGCCTGCTCGTTGCGACGCTCCATAAAGTCGACCGACAGACCGCCGCTCACGTGCCAGGCGATATGGCAGTGCATGAGCCAGTTGCCCGGGTTATCCGACTTGAAGGCGAGGATGACGTAGCCCAGGCCGGGCAGCATGGTGACGTCGCGGCGGGTGGGGTTGTTGAAGTTGAGCGACGAGCTCATGGACGCGGTGAAGTTGGACGAGGCGGCGTGGCCCAGGACCAGGAAGTCGTGCCCGTGGAGGTGCATGGGGTGCGGGACCGGAGTCAGGTTCTGCACCACCCAGTACGTCCAAATGTCCTTGTCGTCGACGATGACGAGGTTCTCCCGTCGCGGGTACGCCGTGCTGCGCGCCAGCACGTAGTCGAGCACCGGCTTGTCCCACTGCACGTCAATGGCGCTGTTGTTGACGAACCAGGTCACTGGCGCGGTCGTGTTGAACGTAATGTCCAGGTTGTGAGCCGGGTCGTTGACTTGGGGCCCCAGGTTGGTGGTGTCGGCCTTGCGGGTGACCACGGGGGTAAAGTCGGTTCGGTCCTGGCACACGGCATCCGGAGGCACGGTGCCGGGGTTTGTGGGAAGTGTGGCTGGGGCGCCCTGGTAGCGGAAGATGGCAGCCGGTTTGGGGTTCAATGATTGTCCGCAGAGACCGGACGTTGATAGTGAAACATTGAACCAATAGTTTCCGACCGTATTGGAGGCATCAATCAGAACATCATATCGCTGACCTGTTCCCAAGAAGATGTTGTTGAGTGTCATGGAATTGACCGGAACCAAATCCGTGGCAATGACCGTCATGTCGTGACCCACAAGTGATACTTGGTAGTTGTGTTCGACCGAGGGGTTGATCAAGCGGAGGCGGTGACGCTTGCCTGGAGTTAGAGTGACAACAGAGTATTTGCCCTGAGTTGTGTTCACGGGGTTAATATTGGTGCCGTTGAACAGAACATTGTTGCTCGGCGGAGGAAAGCCAACCGCCTGAGTTTGCAAGACGATGTCATCTGCCGAGTCATAGTAGTAGTCGCTGATGGGGTAAACGCCGAGGTCGATATCATAATTGTTCGAAGCCGGACCATCAATCTGGATAGTACCCCAAACACCATTTCCATATTGCGCGGAAAAGTGAGAGTGATACCAGGTGGTGCCGTACTGAGTCGCCTTGAAGCGGTAGGTTCTGGATTTGCCCGGAGCAAGGGCACACTCGGTAACGCCATTCACACCATCCTGGACATTTGTTCCGAGCTGGCGAAGACCATGCCAATGGATTGAAGTACTATGATACCAGTCAGAATTGTATCGTCATGGAAGTATAGATGTGATACGTACCCGTTTGTCGGCATGCTGTTCTTGACATTGACCGTGATCGTGTCACCCCATTTGGCATACAGGGTCGGGCCGGGGAATTGGCCATTGATGAGCTGCACAAAACTCTTAACGACCCCGTCGGGTCCCTTCCAGTTGTGGACTTCGGTGATCTCCAAGTTGTAGGTCACGGAGCCGCCAGGTGGAGTTGATGCTTCATAATCAGTCGTGATGTCAAAGTTGGAAGTCCAGCAGCGACGGTTGCTCGGCGTGTTGCAAGAAGACTGCCGAGACTCAAGGTCATGAGATATAGCCGCAGCCGTGGTGGCACCTGCAAAAAGCAGGCAGGACAAGAGCCCCTTTAAAGAAAAGGTGGCAAACATGGCTTGGAGGTGGAGGATACCAGAGTATCCGTTACAGGACAAACGAAAAACAGACTTTTAGGTTGTAAGAGAGGCCTGAGAAGAGTGAACGACTGGATTGATGGTGGAAATATCATGACTTGCACGGCAATACCATAGACTTTATATACTTTGCTATCGAGGCGAACTCTGCGCCGTAGAGGCTCACTTTGGCATTGACATCTCGACTGTCTGCCTGACATCTACTGAACACAATCTTGGATGCCATGCGTTAGGAAGTCAGGCCCGAAAGCTCCTATCGTTGAACTGGATATTCGACAATAGCTGATCCTTTCGAGGCCAATAATTGGATTGCCCTGTTCGAGGCTGAGAGCAGCCACGAGGGAGTGACGGTGTAAGCCATACGCATGACACGATGAATCATTCGGCTGATGGTTGTGAGAATACTTGAGATTCTCACACTTCTCGTATAGACTAGAGAAGGTACCTGTATAGTATACCTACACATACCAAAAACGACTAGGGCAACTTTCTTCTGAACAAAAGCAGCGCATTGGTCAGGTAAGATCATAAGCAATCAATAGTTTGGACGGCGGCGTTCTTGAAGGGTGGGACCCAAACGTCGAAGCGCACGACGTCTTGCCCCTATGTCGAGGCACGAGGAGCTGACTTTTGAAATAGACAAGCGAGTCCCGGTGCCTTGGTAGAAGCATGCAATATTGGTTGCAATGCGGACAATCCCGAATAGGCGAGTCCAATCAACATAAGGCTGAATCCCGTCACGGAGAATAGATCGCCAAGAATGTATAGGAAATATTACAGAGCCATTGGGCAGCTTGCATCGACCAAGTGTCGTGTGACCATGGCATGTTTGCTTACCTGAGCAGGGCATCAGTCAGTTGCCGTGCAGTTTTCGTCGGTCATGTTGACTGCTGCGGTCGGAGTGAGCGGAACATGATACATTTGGCAGCACTAGTTACCATAACATCGCCCCAATATTTCCATGTGAAATTAAATCAATGCTGCTGTGCGTACGTCGAGTAGCATCGATGTCTATCAGAGCGAGACCTCGTACAGGACTCAACGCTGTTTGTACCGGAGCAGCGTGCCCAAGTCCACAGACAGACTCACTCAGCCACTGAGCACCAGAGAGTAAGAAGAGCCACAAGGAATGAGGATCACCCAACAAATCCAACTGCAGGTCAGCGTATTCAACTGCTGGTTGATGCTGTTCCGAAAGGACCCACGACGCAAGCTCATGCCTAGTCCGCGCTACTTCATGCAAAGAGTCTCTCTATACGAGATGAATCTCGCAAGTCGGTGATATTGGTAACGAAGGTAAAAGAAAATGGCTGCTGCTCTCAGACGCGATCCTCGATTCCTTGGCTTCGATTCTGTAGCTACAAAGCTGATGGTTGTATTGTGGTTTGAATCCTGATGCTTCAAGAGCCGTACTGTCATGTAGGCAAAAGCAGGAATGTCGAGTGAGTCTGATGCAAGACCGCTTGTCATCCTTTTCTGACTGGCTGTATGACTGCCCTCCCTCCCTGGTCGACGCCACACGGGGGCTGCCTGGGTGCTAAATTACGCTCCTAATTATAGTCGCCCTTTTTCCGAATCACGGTCCCCCATCCGCCTTAGCGCATAGTTCCCGATTCTTTATGCCAATTCAGCCTCAAGGTGAAAATACCAACTAGCCATTTCGCTTATGTACGCCCAACTGCAGAGAGGAAGCAGCCCAAGGCGCGCCCCGCCAGCAAATCAGGTCCGTTATCCAAACGCCGGTTTCCTGCGGTTGCTTGAGGATTTCCTGTTCTGCGCTATTGGTATTTCCAATTTTAGCGAGGTCAGCTTTTGCTCATAAGACAAATCCCTAGGACTCGCACTCAGAGAAAGGATGACATCTAGGACTATTGCAAATCATGTGCAGTTCATGAATTGAAAAAAGTCGTCATGAAAGTCGCCTCTTGGTTTTAAAAGACGTTGGTCCTCGTGGATGATATTGCGGCGTGCGCGGCAAGTAATATGATCGTCATGCTATAGGGGGGGATATAGTTAGAGTTCTTTAGAGTTGACGCTTGCGACGGTGAGACTGTCGTGTACCACTGATACTTTTTGCTCGAGATAAGCCAAAACAGGCTACGTGATACCCAAACTTTATGCATATCTCATCATGCAAGGGAGAAATGCAGGCCGGGGGTGGTATGCAAGCCTCAAGAGCCCCGATTCCGAGAGAAAACCTCAATTGATACGACCACGTGGTGGAGCCACTATATAACTGACGCCTCGTAAACGGCGGATAAAGTTTTCGAATCATTGCTGCATATTGCAGCCACTTCGGCGCATCGGGGACTAATAAGCACGCACATGAGCAGGGTCAGGGGAACCAAACGGAATCTTGGAGTCCAACGTTCCGCTCCGCTAGTCGCGGTCTGCTGAATACCTATGCACTTGAAAATGTCTTCACTGGAGCGAAGTCGACGTTGCCAAGCTCTCAAGCTCAGCTGTGTTACCCTAATCGGTGCTGCCCATGTCGATGGACCCTCCCAATCAGTGGTTCAGCTGTAGCATATTTCCCGATTTCGCGCACAGGGAATGATAGAATGCATCTATAGTCTTGTGATTCAATATTTCATTCGCTTAGCATGTGGAAAATATGCCCACGATAACATGTATTCCGGCCGACCAAAGACAATCTCCGTCTTCATCGGCCCAATGATAACGGCTCAGTCTGAAGAGATACAGAGAATGGTTAGGTAAGATTACGGGGAATCCGGCTTTTCCGGTCTGCACTGCTACCTACAGAGTTCACATTCATTTTTGAGACCTGTAGCAGAGAATGTTACTTGTTGCAAATCTAGGCTCCGCCACAGCTTTGAGGCAAATCATGAAGCGTCTTCCCAGAGTAAATCTACTCCTTTCCAAGCATTTATTTTCTAATCTAACACGATTCATCGTGTCATCTCCATCACACTTTTCAAGATCTATAGGTTGGCCGTCTTTAATCGCAGCAACGCCTCTTGAACGCAAGATAGAATCAGTCTGCCGTCTTCTTTACTCCACCACGTCTGATAGATCAACACCCTGCCATCGGCGCCCCAGGATGTCCGTCGCTCGCACGCCACCCACTCATCAATCCGTGTGGATGGCGAGTGGAACCACACAGAGTGATTGACACTGGTCTCGATCGTGACGTTGCCCATTCCCACAGGGAATTTCGCTGGGTTGGCCAGGTTGGCGGTGTAAATGAGAAACACATCAGAGGTCCAGGCCATGGCCGCCAGGTGAGCTTGCCGTTCAGCGGTGTTGAGCGGAAACGAGCGAAATATGCTGCGGCTGCGGAACTCTGTCGGCTCCGCAGGCTCGAGTGGCAGATACTTCCATTCAAAGGGATGGTGGAAGCCGTCAATGAGGTATTGCGGAAACCCAGTAATGCCGAGCATATCCCTAGAGGATATAAGGTTCTTGTCCTCTGGATCGACCGACTTGACCCACGCCGGAGCCGGCTCATGGTAGCTGAGTGCGCCTCCCGTGGGCGCGGGCTGAGCTGCTCTCCGCTGAAACCCAATGGTGGCAACGTATATGACCACATCGCCCTGCATTGCGCGCACGAGGCGCGATGACAGTGTGCGACCGTCGAGTACGCGATCCACGTGATAAAAGACATCAATACTGGCGTCTCCGGCCTTGAGGAAGGTCGACTGCAGAGAGTGTACGTCGTAAACGTCGGGGACAGTCTGTTCTGCAGCGCGCACCGATTGCCCGAGTAGGTGGCCGCCAAAGATGGCCCGCTGATATTCTTTGCTTGGGTCCCATATTTGTCTATGGCGTATGTTAGCACTAAGTTCAGAGCTCGCAGTTTGGGAATATGACTGACTTCTTGTTCTTGAACACGTCCTTCTTTGACTCCACCGGCACCACCTCCGTGGCCGGTATCACGGTCGCAGGATCTGCCATTGTTTCTCGAGCGAGCCTAGACTTTGTACTTGAAACACCAAATCCACAAATAGCCACCAAACAATGCAATTAGCTACGTAGAGGACCACGAGCAGAGTATTTGAGGTTGGTTCAGGTCAAGTTTACGCCGTGTACTGATTATCAAATGAGACCCCCAACTTGGGGTGTTGCATTGGACAAGGGTGCAGTAAATAGATGCCGAGGCCGAAGCGGGTGCGGGGATGGGCACTCACAACACCAGCGTTGTCCAAACCCAACTGGATGGATGGCGCGAACCGGCCCGTAGGTATCTACCTACTATACCTCGTTTTCAAAGATGAAAATAAAAATAAAATTGGCGATCACATACGTTCCAATCATCAATGCTGGAAGTTGTACAAATATTTCATATAAATCATGGATGAAGAACTGAAAGCAAGAATGACGAGATAGCTCTTTGGGTAACTTGGTGCTTGAGCAGCTACAATCTTGTGGCGGTAACGATTTTATTTGCGTGTAACCTATGCTGACATGACCGAAAAGTGAAAACCTAACATGACATGGCACTCAAAAGGAGCCCAAGGCACAGACAGTGGAAGATGTTGAAATGCTTGGATCGCCAGTTCACATTTGCTCAACCCTCCTAGGCCGCTGACGAAGGATGAAATACAAGCGGGCCAACAACCATCTCATCTGCATCAGATTCCTTCCTGATTTCTACATCGCGGGAGTCCGAATAGTTTTTCTTACTGGCTTGTTCTCATGAATCATCCGAGTGCCCTTGAAAAATTAATCAGTTTATGCTTCCAAAACTCGCTGGTATAGTAAATGTCTGATGGTGTATTTGAAACTTTTCATAGCTTTCTTGGAATAATGAAAGAAGAGACGTAAGAAAACTAGAATGAGAGAAGGAGGAATAAAAGGAACCACATACCCTACTCTAGTTCTTCGATTACTGCACGTCGTTGAGGTGACCGCTCTCGGTAATCCAGGTGGCGTCTTCGTCGAGGTGACCGTTCTCGGTAAGGTGATGGTGAACGGTCAATGCGCGGACCCTTTGACAACATGTTGCTCTGCTCGAGGCCGTTTCTACGTCGACGGTGGGCCCTTGAATTGACTTTGCGCTCACCAATGATGACGCAATCATCAGAATCGGATTCGGGAGAGTTCATCTCTGCAGGGGTTGATACTCCCAGAGTAGCAGTAGTTGCAGGCCGTGTTCGGGTGCCTGCTTCTTCTTTTGGTAGGCGTGTGGCATTAGACGGGTGATTGGACGTGGCAGGTAGTCTAGGAGCACGCTGGATAGCAGCCTTGATTTGAGCTCGATTCTGAATCTCATGCTCTTCCTTCTTGAAGAAATCAACTTTGCCAGCATTTGAGTTGTTCGAGATCGGGTTTCTAGCCCTGACTTGGCTTACCACCCGATTGAGAACTGCATCCTTTTCATCTCCCACCTGTTCGGCCTTGATTGGGGCTGTAAGTCTTCTTCGCTCAAGTCGCTGCCGAAGGGAAGCTGAGTTGACATGCTTCCATATGTGCGGATATGTTAGAAGCAACTCCTGGAATATTGGCGAGTGCTTTGATCTCTCAATTCGGAAGTTGATATCCCGTCGCCAATGGTGGACTTGACGTTCGAGAGATTCGATCTGCTGGTACCAATTGTGCTGTCTGGCGTACTCCAGATCGGGTGCCAACGTATCAATTTTGTTAGTGGCCTCAATCATTAGCCTGAAGTCACGTCTGTAGGAACGTCCGGGAGCATTTGGTGCATCCTCAGGTCCTAGTGGTAGATGGGCGGCAAGACGAGTACCCTCAGGCAGATTGACTTCCCCATGAGTCATAGCAAGATTCTCGGCGCCATGGGGGATGATCGATTGCTCTTGGACATTGGACACAAAGGTTGGCGGTGCCATGGGACGGTACGATACTGTACCATTGTCATTGCGCTCACGAACGGTTGGGACCCAGGCGTAGCCATGCTCAACGCCACTCTGGGAAACAGCTTGGGCATCGTCGTGCTGAGAAGGCTCACGGAATTGAGCGTGATCATTCGTTGCAGACGGCGTGGGGCGTGCTTGAAGAGATGAACCAAAGATGTTTCCAAAGATGCGTCGGGCTAGAGACTGGCTTTGGCCAATGCTCGCGTTGGAAGTGACATGCTGAGAGGGTTGGCCGAACTGGATCTGATTATTTGGAGAGGAACGGGCAGTCAGCTGTCCATTAGCTTGCACATGGCCGCTTGGATGCGACTGAGAAGCCATCGTTGCATTGGCTTCAAGACAGCCAAGCTGGTGGGCAAAGAGGTCTGAAATTGGGACGTGGTGACAAACAGAGAGAGTGGTGTGGTGCCAATGGACAACGCGTAAATGGCAACAAGCTCTGTGGGTGAATCAAAGAATGGGAAGGAGCGGACGCGTTTGGACTAGGCAGCGAGCAAAGGTTCAAATTGGAAACCCGCGTCCACTTTGGAATAATCAGTTCTAGAGTGGAATAATGGAATGGGGGTTGCGCCAGGCGCTCTGTCCTAAGAATGGCATAACCAAAGCTCGGCAAGGATTGATGCCCTCGATGCAAGGTGTTTTCTCGAATATAATAAATCTAGCATATGTAATTAGATTGAGGTATCCTGAGTTTGCAAAAGCATTGATAGGTGCCTAATCAACTCGACTTTCGCTCCTTTTCCCTCTTCTTTTCCCTCTTCTTTTCCCTCTTCTTTTCCCTCTTCTTTTCCCTCTTCTTTTCCCTCTTCTTTTCCCTCTTCTTTTCCCTCTTCTTTTCCCTGTTCCTTTCCCTCTTTTTCTATTTTCCTTTCCCTCTCCCATTGCGTACTTTTATTTCCACATTTCATCATGAAAATTTGAGCGCCAAATTTCGATTCAAGAGCGAAACAGGCACAATAACACTATGCCGAAAAGAATTGGCAATAAGTCTATCTCAGATGCTGACAATTAAGAAGGGGAGAAGGCCTAGTAGCACATTCAGGCGAATATGATCGCCTATCCATTGATCTCAGTTTGTTCAAGTGTAAATCCAAGCGATCACTGTGGGAAGCGAAGATTCTGGGCAAGATGCAATCCATGTTGTCAGCCTCTACCCTCGATGATGCAGCCCATCTGATGGAAGAGCATAATCACTCTATTGCACCTTGAGAGGGCTTTGTCTTGCAGTACACATGGAAGTTCTTGTCTGACTCTGAGATCTAGGTAGTAGAAAAAAACAGTCAGTGTATGAGATGAGTAACTCCCTTGCAGCATCTCCATATGAAATATCTATTACTGGTGCATGTGATTGGCTGGCGATGGACATACATGATTTGTTTCTGCACCGATCGATCTCTCCACCTACTTAGGACCAGAAGTGAAGTATGACGTGACTAGCCATGGCAGCCTAGAGTTGCACCAATTAAATAACACAGAAGTAACACGACAAACACCGTATACTACTTTATTGTGATGCGAAAGATATCTTTGGCAATCATCTTTGCATTGAAAATTCTCGGTTATGAATAAAGAATTCATTCACTCTAAGACGCCTTGATAAGTTACTGATGGCTACCAATCAACCCAACAGCATCACCGCGGCCAGCCCCAATGACCCGCCGCGGCCCATGACATCGCGAAACCTCAACAAGACCTGGCGAGACGTGGTCTGGGAGCAATACGCGCAGGACCTCGCGGCCGACGTGCCCTTTCCAGTGCGCTACCTCATCCACGCGGCGCAGTGGCGGCGCGACATATTCATCACCATTCCGTCCAAGATTGATGCTCGAACGCTTCGTCGCGCCGTGCTCGAGTTCGCAAAGGAGAGGCGTCGCGAGGCTGATCCCTTTTGGGATGGCGAGTATATTTCCGTCCGCTTACGGGCGAGACCGGCCCTTACGGGGCAAGGAGAGAGCGCCGCGGAGAGTGTGCCGCTAGATGATGGCCCGGAGAGGGGATATACTACCGACGAGACTGAAGAGTATGCCGCGAGACGTGACTGCAGAAGGCCTTGATATCCAGGTCTGAGTTTTGTTGCTGGGTGCTGATGATACGTGGATCGTTATGTGCATCTGAAAAAATTCATTTCAGTGTTTCTGCTATTTCTGTTTTTTAACTTGCTGCTTTCAACTTGGGACACAAGTGTATGAAGGCAATCATGATGCAAATCTTTGATCCCAATGGATCCAGCACAATTGCATATCAAATAATAGATTCAGTTCATCACATGCTCTATCAAATTGGTGTAGATGTCTACACAACAGAATCAGAAAACAAAAGTCATAATTTCTTCTCATGTCAACAAATGACCTGGGACTACTGTACCGACTCGACTAACGAGTGCCTCGTATTGGTCCTGTTTGACGACTTCCGGATATATGACGGACATCTTGGCCCTCTCGCACTCTTCCAATAACGTTCTCTCACCTGGTTCTACGTCCCGACTTGCTCCCTTGTCAATCAGGTACGCGGCCGCGCCCCAACGGATTCTACGGATCAGTGCGACCAGCAGCGATCCCTCAAAGCCTTCCCTTGTATTGACCCGGCTATTGACGTCGGCGCCGACTTCCACTAGGGCTCGCATGGATGGGTGGTTATCGCTTTGGCACTCGGCGGCGTACATGAGCGGGGGTTGTCCATCCACATCGGGCGCGTTCACGTCAACGCCGGGTAGCCGGGCCATCATCTTGAGGAGCGAGATGTTGCCCATGACATACGGATACGCCGCGGCGAGGTGCAGCGCCGTGATGTGGCTCTCGTGGCCGGCGCGCAGGGGTGCGAGCTCAAGATCGATGCCGCGCTGTATCAGGACTTTGGCGACTTCCGCCTTGCCGCTCAGGATAGCCACGTGCAGAGCGTTCAGCGTGACGCAGTCGGGGCTCAAAAAGTGATGCCGGTCCCGGGCGTCGCGGAAGACGGACAAACCATTGGGCACAAGGCCGAGCGAATGCGCATTGATGTCGGCACCGTGATCGAGCAGGAACTTGACAACTTCGACGTGGCCAAATTTGGCCGCAATGTGAAGAGGTGCTTGACAGCGGCTGTGGCGCTCTCGTGTTGCCTGGTCCATGGGTCCCTGGACATATGCGCCGAGTGTATAGTCAGTGTCGTAGCGCGGTGCACTGGGTGGTTGTGGTCTGATATTGGGATTGAATTGTTGTTCGGCGAATCTCGTTGTGTAGATATCCATCGGCGCGCGTATGCTTCCATCAGCATTACGAATTGCTGTCCAGCATCTCAGCGTACCAATGCGGCCATGCTGAGCTGCCCAGAAAACGACACGCCAATCCTTTTTGGATATCTCGGCGTCATATAGCGCTGGGTTTATGATGGAGTGAAAGTACTGGCTGGTTCGGGACCAGGCTGCGAGATCCCGTTGATGCGGCACATGATTTATAATGAGAAGTATGATTTCATTCGGGACATTTGCCAAATGGCATGCCCCCGTGGTGGCCATCCCGGAGTGCAGAGGATGCTGCACAATGACAAAGTCTTCGAACATTGTTATAGCTGATACAGAAGAATCGAAGCGACAAATGGGTGTAAAAGTCAAAACTGTCTGGTTAGAATAAGATGGGGAAAGGATACTGCTTTTGAGGTGATCCTTCTGTTGAAGCCTAGAGGTGAATGGCAAAGTGATTGGCTCGATCATGTACCAACGGAGCGGGGCGATGCATGACGGCAGTGCACGGAATCCCTTGTGAGTTGATGTAGTACTTGAACCACCCCAAATGGAGGCTTGTCACAAGTTTGATGCCTATACAGAAAGGAGTTCTATAAACTTTGCGTGTGTATCGCAAGATTTTGAGAGAAAAAATCCCTGGCGTTGAATAACACAATGCTACGTCAGAATATCCTAAACATAACGAAAGATTATCCAGATTTGAGAATGCCCGCTTAGCAACATATGTACTCGTAAGCAGAGCCTTGAGGAGACTACCGTCCCTTCCATCTCAGTCGGGAGACCCATTTGGCGAATTGCACAATCTCATCCTGTTCGAGGAGCAAGTCGACAGTGTAATGATACCTTGCTAGATCCTCGTGCGACGCAAACTTGTGTACAAAGCTGTGGCAGGCCCGGCACAGCCACGCAACATTCTGCAGATCATCCTCACGGTGCCAGCCGCGCTTGACGGCCTTGGCGTGGACGAATCGCGGGATGAGGTGGTGGTACGTCAAGGGGATCCAGTCCCGACCGCAGATTTCGCATGCCGTTGTTCGTGTGCTGCTGGGTGCCGGGGGCGGTGCTGCAATGGCCGATATGAAGGCTGTCAGTACAGGCGCCAGGAACTCTGGAGCACCCTGGCCCCGGCCCTTGTCCGCGATGCCATACGTGAGAAGAGACTCGGAGACGGATGGGTCAAGGGCCGGGATTAGCGTGCCGACGTCGTCGCCTGTAAGCGGTAGAGAATAGCGGGCTTGCAGGTCCGTGTCCTGAGCATAGTCGTGGTGTTCGATAGTCTTTAGCTCTTCGGGTAGCGATTCAAACGTCTCAGCAGCGATATATTCAACAAAGTCACCAAGCTCCTCTGTATCCTGGAGTTTGTTGCTCTCCTCCTCCTGCGTTGTTGAGGAGATGACACTCGTTTGTTCCCGGGACTTCTTGGACTTGGCCCTCCGCCTCGCCTTTGGCTCTGGTTTCGTGACTCTGTCAATCAGCACAGATGAGAGGCAGTCCCGGAATAAGTCGTAATTTTTCTGTTGATCATCCGGTATCATGATCTGATACAATTGCCCTTTCTCGGGACTTGCAGCATATGCGCTGTTACAGAATACCCAACAGAAAGCTCCCTGATGCAACAACCCGTCAAGGTGACGTAAAAGAAGCGTTGGCGGCAACGGTACTGGCAGGATTTGGTGAGCGTGGGGTTGACAATACCACTACACTACATGTACTCTGTAAACTCCACTGGACTCCAGGTTCAACGCTGCCCCCACTAACATTACGCCCCAGCTCTCCGCATTTGTACATTATATAATTCCTTTCCCGGGTCAGACATCATTTAGTACCCCTCACAAACATGTCAAACAGCCTAAAGAAGTAACCACACTTTGATCTAGATTCTAAAGAGCCACTTTCTGACTTCGTCTGCGCTCCACTCTACGAATATGGCATCCGACAAAATCGTGGTCGCCTTTGACTTGTATGGCACATTACTGTCCACTGAATCCATTGCTGAAGAGCTTGCAAAGCTGTTTGGCCAAGAAAAGGCAGCGTCTATTGCGGGAACATGGAGAAAGTACCAGCTCGAGTATACATGGAGACTCAACTCGATGGGCCCAGGTATTTCCATTCTCGCCATTAATTTGCCTACTTCCTTCGGTGCCCGGGTATAGATCAGGAATATAGAGTCATGGACTAACCTACGCCTCAGAGCATTACCAACCATTCAGCCAAGTCACGCGTAGCTCGCTAAAGCACGCACTCCTAGAACACGATGTGGACGTGACGGTGCAAAAAGAGGACAGGCTCATGAGAGCGTACGACTCGCTGCACCACTTTGCCGAGGTCCCTGCAGCACTTCGCCTGCTCGCGGACAAGAGTGATCTTGTCGATGCCTACATCTTCTCCAACGGCACCGACGAAATGGTCGGCAACTCGGTCAAGTCATCGCCAGATCTTGGTCCTCACGCGCACCTGTTCAAGTCTCTCATTACGGTGGACTCGCTAAGGGTTTACAAGCCCGCAAAGAAGGTATACGAGCACCTTTTGAGCGAAGCCGGCAAGCAGGGTCGTCCCAGCGACGTGTGGCTCGTCAGCGCGAACCCGTTTGATGTAGTTGGCGGCAAGCTGGCGGGCCTAAGAACCGCCTGGGTCGACAGGACAGGCAGGGGATGGCTGGATAGACTAGATCAGACAAATGCCCCAACCCTTATAACGAGGGGAGTCGAAGATGCTGTGCAAGGCATTCTAGACTGGAGCCCAGACAGTGAAAAGGGTGTTTCATAGATGTGCCCGCCTCTTTAGCGTAAGGAAAGGACAGAAAGATTGAGAGAAAAGATTGAGAGACGCAGCCGAGAACCGAGCATGAGGCCGACAAAAAGACTGGGAAAGGGCGGACCCAGTCAGAGAGAGAGAGAGCTAGAAATACAAGATTTCTAGGAGCGGAGCGGTTACCACTACACCACTGTGACCTGTGGTTCTTGACTTGTTGAAAAAACACACTTTATTTGCTTTATTTGACTATTTATTTAAAGGGCAGCTGCTTCACATGGAACATGACTGTCTAGATATGGTTCATGCCTCTAAGCGGAGAGGGTGAAAAAGAACTTTGCATCTAGGCTTTCAAATGCCGAGCTACAAGATCTTTCAAACAGTTGAGGACCTACGTGGAGGCTCGGCAGGGCTCCGGCCATTTCTGGTCGATCGTTAATTAGCGTTTGCCTCTTGAAGGATTGGTGGGAGACACGAAGAGGGATGTAGAAAGTGATGCGTAGAATGAGCAAAGGAAGGCTATCATAAGCATAAGAAATTTGGTACTTACCTGTATTGCCATAGTCGACTCAGGTCCGCTACCCGTACTTCGCGGTTCTTAAAATCGCCGCTGCGAAAGCTTCCATGAAGACCAACTTCAGGCTTGATATCAGAGGCACGGCGACCCCTCATGACGGCCAAGCTGACATCGACACCATCATAGAGGTCTTGGAGCTCAGTCCCGGCCTTTTCATGTTCCACGATACTCTCCATGAATTTATTGGTATCTTTACAGCCAATCAACTGACCGGCTGCGTTCCGTTCCAGTGGAAACATCTCTTCGAGATAATGCTGATTGAGCTGATGGCCCCCACGCGAAGAGGTTCGAGAGAAGACATAACCCATGAAGCGAGGGATCATTCGCGAGGCCCTTACATTTGTGACCAAGTGAAGAACTCCCCAGATTGCGACAAAATCGGTAGTGTGTGCATAATGCTCGATATGACCAATTACCCGGTCAGAAGTGGTACGAATCGGAACATCGTCCGAAAGGAGGGAAACTGTGTTCGAATGAGACTTGATTGTATGACCATCACCAGCCCCTGCTCCGTTGCCGTTACTTTGTGCAGTGGTGGAATTCTTGCTCAGGGATGACGTCTTCATGTCTACTGGCGATTCTGAAAGGGCTGTCTCTGTTACGGGGTTCGAGGCTGCCAGAAGGCCGTTGGCACTATTTTGTTCCTCTATCTGGGACTTTTTATGCCGATGTGGGTTATTGAAATGGTTGCTTCGCAGAAGTGAGCAAGCGTACTACACACAGGGCAATGTTACGGGGGCAACTTACGCCGCGCAGCCGAATGTATAGACCTCTAGTTTTGCCAAGAGATCCTGAGGCAATTCTTGAAGCAGCCAATCCAGCACCAATGAGCCTTCAATTCCGCCTTGCGAGTGAAGGATGAATACGACCTTTGATAGCTTTTCGTCGTATAGGTGATCCTTGACGACCTTGTACGCTGCACGGACATCCTCGGTGGCATAGCCAAAATTGCGTTGAATTAAACATTCAATCACATCAAAGATGATGCCCGTTGTCTTATTGTGAATTCCCTCGATAGGACGCCCAAAGGTTAGGGCAAGGCGGTCAAGGTTACTCTTCATCCAGTATTCGCTAAAATTCATCAATAAGTATGCGTGAACGAGATTCAAGTTTGTAGAGATACGTACCCAGCGGCGACTCCATTAATAAAGATCCATTTCTCGTGTGCATTCTCATCTGATGCGCGGGCATACTTGGGATCTGAATTGTAGATGAGCGAGTTGCCGTTCAGAGCAATAACCAGCAGCCAGTTCAACCCAAGGAATCCTCCTATGCAGAGAGCGGCCATCCAGACTGGCAGCAAGATGCAAATCGGGATGAGAACCAGCAAGAACCCAATCTGCAGCACGATGAGCACGAGGTGCACGAACAAGCAGAACAAGTTTCCAGGCGCCCAGCTGAGTTCATCCAACTCGGGAGCCGATTCGCTCGGCGTCGGTGGCCATACAACCCAGGGCAAGGCGTATGAAAAGGACAAGAATGTCCAAATGTCCCACATCAAGAGCTTCAGCGGGTTGTCGGTATAGCTGTAGTTGATGACGGACTTGCCGCCCGTCTGGCACCTCAGGAATTCGGTATGATCGATTACATCGGCCGTTCGTGAACGGTGGCGGCCCGTATTTGGTTTGTCATTGTGAGCACGTGACGTGTATGAAAGTCCTGCAGCCATGGTTGCGAGTAATCCACCGATGCAGAGGAGAAATGCAATCATGGAGAGAGAGGATTAGATGCGACAGACGGCATCAGCGTGAGGTTCTTTGCTGTCCTTTTTCAAAGAAAAGACCTCCAGCAGCTGACACATGCACACACACCTCTCTCACTTCACAGCCTGATGGATGTAGGCTCACGTGCACCGCGCATGGAGGGAGCTGAGCTGAGCCTCGCGGAAGGTTAACACTCAACGGCTCGTAACCAGGTCGACTGCGGGTGTAGTGTAGTGAGTGGTATGGTTGTACCACATGCCCTTTTGCACCACTAGGTGAGACGTTGCGTCACTGCTCACGCCGCTCAGGCCCATCCACCTTGGCAAAGCGTCTGAGAGGACCAATTGGACCGACGATCCGCGCCTCTTAGAGCGGAAGTCGGCATCGTATCAGAATTTCTCAACTGCCATAACGTCCCTCTTGACTTGATTTGTCGAGTAAAAGAAAGTCAATGTATTATAGTGCGAAATCTCTATTTTTTCAGCCAGAGGTTTTGCCAGGGGGAATTTTGAATTCAAGAGAAGGAATCTATCTTTGTCGCCGTGAGATTGGCTCCAGCTTCTAGGCACCGGAGAAAAACCTTAGGACCGCCAGCTGAAAGAGGTAGCGGGGGCCATCGGTGGGGGGCTCTGCAACGGCAAGCGATGCACCCGTCCGCTAGGAGAGAACTCTAACGCAAAAATTTGGGGTCATTTTAGCGTCTTCGGGCAGATCCTGCCCTGACTGTTCAGGCGGTCATTTGAGGTGATCCGCCTGTAAGGCGACCTATCATCACTGCCCCAACGAGATCAACGTTCCAGCGTGTATGCAGGTCAACGGCACAGCCGAAATGTAAACCAGGGCAAAGGTAAAATATAGATGATCAGTTTGCCCAATGTATCCAAGCAGGCATGTGCGTCGAGCGTAGCAGTGTAAATATTGAGTTCAATATTTGTGTCGGAGTTGCGAAAAGCGGCAGTATACCGAAGCTGTCAACATTTGAGCCTCATTTGATAGGAAAGTCTTCGTTGGACCATTTTGAAACAGAGTTGCAACTCAAAAGAACCTATCGGCAGCTTTTGGCCAACACTTTTACTCCATTCTCAAATAATTATATTGCAAGATCGCCTAGGTTTTTCAGCTTCGTGCAAGTGCAAGATCACTTGTTGGCAAGTCTCCACAGTGCAGAAATGCTGTGTTATCGGTTTATTTTAGATACGGCAACTATTATATTTGTCATGACTGCACTCTGCAAACGTAAAACGTGTTCAGCCCGATATGACCACAAAAAAATGATTTTAGCACTGAGCAGAATGGCTTATGATCGTCAACTCTTGATCACGACCTGATTCACTCACGTGTTATGAAGAGGTCACTTATTCTCCACGATTAGTACCCCAGACCCCAGATATTAGTTGATCAGCAGGTCCTTACGTACTAGTGTCACGGAAATAATGTAAACATACATAGGTATGCAACTGCAAACATGGTTGAAAAGGAAATGCTCGTCCCAAGAAGATATCAGATTCTGTGGCGAGAAAACTATGGTTCCTGACTTATTCTACTTTCAAACTCATCGAGCTCTCTCAATAGTCCCGCCTTGAGCTCATCGCCTGCCCAGCACATGTCCACACCATTGCGCGCCAACTGGATCATGTCGCCCTTGGTCATGTTGCAATAATGATACACCTTTTCCATGGCGCCGTCGATCCAGACATTGTGCATGTAGGTTGGGTCATCGCTGTTGATGCAAAATTTGACGCCTTCGTCGTAGAGTTTTCGGATCTTGGGAAATAGCACTTCTGTGGCTTGTCGGCGGTGATATGCATGTGGACACAATGTGAGCGGGATGTTCCTATCCTTGAGTCCTTGAATCAATTCTGGCCTGTCAACGGCGTTGAGCCCGTGGTCTATCCGCTTTGTGCCAGTCCCATTACAGACGGAGAAGATGGCTTCGTGAACGTGGTCGGCGGCATCCTTTTGGTCGACGTCGCAGTGCATCGTGACTTGTAGGCCGTCATCAATCGCCATCTGAAATGCCTTCTCAAACAAAAGAGGCGGCCGGTCGTATTCATTGGCAGCAAGACCCACGGCATGAAAAAGTCCTTTGCCTCCGGGGATCTTTGCCCACGGTCTCGCTGCTTGATACGCCGCGATTCCTTCCTCGAGCGGTTCATTTCTTATAAAGCACATGATCCAATTGCTTTGAACTCCAAATTTCTCGGCTCCTTCTCTTTGCGCCCTCATGTATCCATTACAAACAGTCGCTGCCGAAATGCCTCGAGGTAGATATGCTTGCAGATCAAAGAACGGCTCGACATAACGGACGTTCATCTCTTTGGCCTTTTGCAGGTATTCCATACCAAGCTCATAAAAGTCTTCCTCCTCACACAGGACTTGGGTTCCGGCAAAGTACGTCTCGAGAAAGGTGGGTGCGCCATTGTCGCCATTGACTTCCTTTCTGTGGTTGTAGAGAACATTGTACGATTCTAGGAGCGCCTCATACGTCGCATATGGTAACGGGACGTTATTCTTGTGAGCGAGTTTCCATCTCAGCGAGGGTGTTAGTGTGCCCTCGATATGGACGTGAAGCTCGACTTTTGGGAGCGAGGCGATGAATGGTGATATCTCTAGTCCGTTCATGGTGTTTGTGCGCTATTCAGATGTTGTATGTCTGATGGATTTTTCTTTTCTAGCTCAGTCCATATTACAAGCTTTTTTTCGATGGGGGTATTCCACGTGAGTTTCTTCGAAATGGTCAGATTATGTGCAACAGGTATGACCATTGCTTCCGTCCGTATACGGAGGCTGAGACATGCCTTTCAGATCGGCTACTCGGCCGACATTTCCTTGCCAAGAGCACTATTGTGTGTGGAGTTGAGCATTTGTAGCTAGAAGCCCACGTTTTCTTGCGAGGTTTATCGTCTCGCTTGGGCAATGCAAAACTACTATTGGAAAAGAAAAGAGGACCCTAGAGCCGTACGGTCGGATATCTTGTGCTTAAACCCCCGGGCTAGACCCGGTCGCCTCCGAAGCTTAGGGGTCTGCTATCCGACACCGATGGCGAGGATGGGGCAGATTACCGGCCTGTCTTAGGCCTAATGCAGCCTGTGACCCCGCCAGAACCTGACCTTGGGTCGATCACTGATTCGCCAAAGATATGAAGGCCGCGAACCATCAGTCAGTGGATACGGATTTCCTCGTTATCAAACTGCACGTTGCAATTGCCTGCCGCTGTCGGCTTACATATGCTGAACCTGGCTGGTGAGGGCCAATCAGCCCGTGGGCACCTCGGGATCGCGTACCGATAGACAGGGAAATGGTGCTTGCGACACACCATCGTCGGTCATAAATAATAACCATGGGCGGCGCCGTCCTTGTTCCCGACGATGTTGAACGACGACCTTCTTGCGAGCCGCTCCTGGATCACTCGCGCACTTCGTATTCAAGCATGGGCACCACCGAAGAGGCCACAGCTGGCCCGGCGCAAGACAACCACTCCTACACGGGAGCACACCATGACATTGACGAGGCCGCCGCCCGTCGCATTATGCGCAAGATAGACTGGCACATCATTCCTCTATTGTTTGTCACTTATGTCTTCAACTTCATGGACAAGACCATTCTGTCGAGTGCCGCAGTATTTGGATTGAAGGACGACAATCATCTCATTGGTCAACGTAAGCGTGATCGATCTTCCATTGCACCTGTCTATACGAATGCTGACCATGTGTAAAGAGTATTCTTGGGTGTCGTCTGTCTTCTACTTTGGCTACTTCTTCTGGACATACCCTACGACTCTACTTATCGCCCGTCTGCCAATCGGCAAGTACCTGTCGGCAACCATCATCTTCTGGGGAGTCGTTGTCGCACTCACCGCCGCATGCTCAAGCTATGGCGGGCTCATTACCGTGCGGTTCTTCCTCGGAGTGGCTGAGGCGACCGTGACACCAGCCTTGATGTTCATCACCACGACTTGGTATACCCGTGATGAGATTCCCAAGCGAACTGGTATCTGGTTCGCCGGCAACTCTGTGGGCGGCATCATCTCGTCATTGCTCGCCTACGGCATCGGACACATTGACGACAGCGTCGGGCCATGGAGGTGGATGTTCATCATTCTCGGTGTAGCGACTTTCCTCTGGGCGTTTGTTATCTTCTTCCTGCTACCCGACAGCATCTCTAACGCCAAGTTCCTTACCCCTGAAGAACGTCAGTGGGCCATTGACCGTGTTGTCATTGCTGGTACTGGAAAAACGGAGAAGACAGCCTGGAAGTGGGATCAGATGATCGAGTGTCTGCAAGACCCCAAGACCTGGCTCATCTGGATCATTGCCTTGCTGTGTCAGATTCCCAACGGAGGTACCCAGAACTTTGCCAACTTGGTTATTACCTCTTTTGGCTTTACCTCCCTCCAGTCGACACTCATCAATATCCCTTATTCGGTCATCACAGTCATTGCCATTACCGGAACGGGTTGGCTCGCTGGCCGCTTCAGATCTCTCAACTGCATCCTCGCTGCCCTCATTGTGCTACCGCCCGTCGTGGGCAGCGCTCTCATCGGCAAGCGGGCCGACCTGCCCCAGGGTGTCTCGCTCTTTGGCTACTTCCTGCTGTCGACGGGCCCCTCGGCACTGCCCCTGATTCTCTCCCTTATCCAGGTCAATTTCAAGGGCGTTACCAAGAAGATGACCATGACGGCCATGATCTTCATTGCCTACTGCGCCGGTAACATTGCTGGCCCTCAGCTCTTCAAGAGCTCCGAGGCGCCAACCTACCCCACTGCATTCCGGGCCATTATGATTTGTTACGCTCTCGTGGTGTGCTTGTGCATTGCTCTGAGGTTTTACCTGTCATTCATGAACAACAAGAGGCGTCAGGAAGAAGGCATCGAGGGTAGTGCCGGTACCTCTGGTGCGGTAGGCGGTAAGGTCGACGATGGTGCGGATGAGCGTCCTGTCACCGAGGCGGTTAATGAGGTTCAGCTTCGCCCGGAAGACTATGACGATGTAACAGACTGGAAGACTTTTGGGTTCAGGTATCGCCTGTAAGGGCTTCGCGGCTCTCTCAGACGGATGATAATAGAAACACAATAGTCGGTTGTAACCATCATAGCATGAATTATCGCTCCTCTATCATGAATATTACTCGTGGAACCAGCTCTTTCGGCTCCTAGAATCTATCGACTGTACTGAGTCCGGACTCATATCAACCATCTCTTCATTTCCATACCCAATTACCACTATTAAGTCCTGTGCTGGTCATTTGGGGGGAGCGTAAGCAAGGACCAGTCCTTTGCCATAGTAGCTCTCTAAAAGTGCATCGCGGATCTCCTGGGGTGTAGCCTTATTGCTCACATGGCAACGAGCCGTCACGGAGTCATTCTTCTTATTTGCCTTGGCGCGTTTGGACTTGGACTTGGTGCCACTACCTCCGATGGGCTGAACGTACAATCGATGTACAAAGGGCTTTTCGTTGGGGTCGTCGTTCAACTATTATACAGATTTAGTAAGACGAGAGAAATAAATTATAAAACAAGTGAAGAAAGAAGTATGCGAAAGGAAAGAAAGAAATAGGGTGAAAGAGAAGGGGGATCAAGAAGTGGAGGGGGAAAAAAGAAAGGGAAAACGGGAATGCTGTGTGTAGAGATTTGTGCTAATTCAGTTTACGTACCCCCTGATGGTCCAACCTGAACCCAGCATTGTAACATTCGTATAATGTGTGCTGCCTGTCGGCAAAGTTGCGCAGCTTCTCGTCAGGAATGTTCTCCAGGAACTTGTCGATATTCTTCGCTTGAGTGCGCATGGCTACGGTGTGAAGTTGGTACTTGCGGGAGACCAATCGAGAGGTAGATTATCGACTACCGGATCATCGACAAGATGTGGTGATAGTAGCTGATGATAATGGCGTTGTTTGAGGCATGTAAAGTCGTATCACGTCGCAAGGCCAGCCAATCGTTGCAAAACGGTAACGGATTCTTGGATCTGAGGAAGAATCTAATTTGCGAGAAAGGCATGGAAGTCGTTTGTCTCTTTGAAATACTCGTAGAGATAGAGCCAGCGTTTCTGAATCGCATGTACTGTCCTTGCTCTCCAAAAAGGAAAGACAAACGAAGGCGGTGGTGTGGTCAAAGATGGCCGAGTGATGGCTCTTAGCTTGCAACGACTTTACTCTGATCAAGTGCAATGTGCCGATGACAATCGCGGGCGACAAACGGACTGCATTGTATCTTGCCAAGGTTGCTCGGCCGCAACGAACTAGAGGCCATTCAAGTCGCGAAATTCAAGACTGCCTTCAGTATTGAAGGCAATCGTTGCCTGGTCACAGGGCCAGTAACAAGTAAAGAGCTCGAGTACCCTCTTCTACTTACTCTGGAGGATTCAAGTCTACGGAAATGATGATCTGTAATTTACACCATATTCACTTTGAGTCTTCTTTCAGCAAATATTTGAGCACGTTGCAGTCCAAGTCTCAAGTGCTGGGACTGAGTACTTGGTATCTTATGTAAGGTATGTTCTCGCCAATAAACGCCAAGACATGTGCGTATTATAGGAAGGCCTGAGCCGCTTTGTGGGGGCCGCTTAGGTGGGCCGTGGCGCCGCGCTCGCGCTGATGAGTGCTAGAGGTGATTGATACGTTGCCTAGGAAATTGTGCGCGAAACATCCTTTCAAGAAAACACCTTCTACCTACTACGTCGACCTACATGGGTGGCCGTTTGCTAGGTCGGTACCTACATTATTTTGCACATCTACTTTGAGGTATCTGCGTGTCACTGCAAACGGGCAGCTTATGAGTCAACTTTTTCCAGCACCTTAAATAGGCGACTTCCCCGTGCGCTTTGTCTCTTCATTTCCCACCAAACAGCACTTGATCTTGCTGCATGGAAAATAAATACAGAGACCCAAAAGCATTCAACAGCGAAGGTCTAGATTCTTCAGATCATTCATTGTCACTTTTTCCTTCTACGCCAAACATTGTCAGCCACAACAAACAAACAACGCGAGTGAATCGAGCAGATGATCGCTGATCACAGCTAACGAAATCAAGACCACATTCACCATGTCGTGGTCGCAATACCTCCCCCAAGACAGGATCAAGTGGACAGGTGGCTACTGGACGCATCCTATCTGGCCGTCTGAGCCAGATGTAGCTGTCATCAAAGACATTGTCGCCTCGGTGTTGCCTGAGAAAGAAATTGACTTTTCAGTTCAGTTTCTGGCCGACGGTGCGCGTCACAAGGTCTACGATGTGTCCCATTCTTCCTGGTCCAAGACTTATCTCTTCCGCGTTGCCATTCCTCTCGATCCGCGACTCAAGACGGAGAGTGAAATGGCAACCTTGGTGTTTCTCGGTCAGAGAACTACAATTCCAGTTCCAAAGCCAATCGCCTGGAGCTCTTCTGCCGAAGGAAAGCTTGGATACGAGTGGGCACTGGTGGAAAAGATCCCCGGCGTGGAACTTGGCGAGGTTTGGCGCAAGATGCCGTGGGAAAAAAAGATAGAGATCACCGAGACCATTGCAGAATTCCTCGTCCAGCTTTGGGCCCCCAACATGCGTCTCGCCAAAATTGGCTCTCTCTACCTAGGTCACGCCGAGTTCTCCGATGATCACATCCTGGAGCACAAGAAAGACGACAACGAGGATGATCGACTTGATAGCTGCCCGGCCAAAAAGACTGACCCCAAAAACTTGGGCAAGGACAAATTCACAATCGGGTCTGCTGTCGATAGTGCATTCTTTTCCGATCGTCGTCGCTATCTTACGACGAACCGCGGCCCATTTTCGTCTTGCCATGACTGGCTCGATGCACTCATTCATCTCGAGCAGGAGATGATTCGAACTGCAAAGGTTCTTTTGGAGTCCAAAGAGGACCTGACACCAGAGCACCAAGCTGAAGACTGGGACGACTTGGTCGACGAAATCGGTGTCGACGAGGATGATTTCGAAAAAGAGTACGATGACATGGTCGCGCTTTGTCACAAATACAAGGAGATCCTGCCTCTGGTGTTTCCTCTACAGGAAGCTCCTTATGAAGACAAGTTGTCGTGCGTCCTCCAACACTACGACCTCAGGGATGCCAACATCCTCGTTGACCCTGAGACCTTTGAAATCACTGGCATTATCGACTGGGAACAAACCTATTCTGTACCTGATTGGTACGGGATAGACTATCCCATGTTCATTAATACGGACGAACCTTACGACGAAGGCGAGCCGCCTGTACCAACAACTTACGACGAGGATTCTCCTGATTACAATGCGGTCTTGGTGGGTAATCGCGACCGATGGGATGCCAAGCAGCTGCGTGAGCATTTCGATCATGCTGTACAGAAGCTTATGGGTGCTAAAGACTGGAGGCCCGCAGCCGCACAAAATCGGCTCAAGGAGCTTTTCATTGAAGGGACGGCCAATCTGACTGATCCGTGGTGCCACGCCAAATACAACATGAAATGCATTCTAGAGGCATTAAAGATATCAGAAACTGCTGCTTTCAATTCAGAGCGTTCGGATCAGATAGACACTGAACTGGATGGATCATAGATCTATTCCATACATTCTTGCAAGAAGCAATACCCAGGTGCGGCAAATACTGGACGACGATGTTCATGTATATTCAAAGGTCTACCTCATGGGCATTTTGTAGCTTGTTCTAGAGTAACGTTGGTCGGAATTGTCAACGGCTTCGTAGATATGCAGCACCTTTTCTTCAGTTGTCACGCTAGGTGCATTCTCTAGAGATGGAGTAGTTAGCATGGTAACAAATCAAACACAAGTTTTGATGCGTGTCTTACTTCGCCAAATCGAAAGGAGGCTGATAACAACAGGAACCCACTGTGCCAGGGCAAGTATCTGACCAAAACTCCAATCGGAATCCTGGTCAGTACTTGGCGCAAGGCTTTTCACCAAGTGTCGGTAAATGATGAACTTGGCCAAGAAGAGCCAGGTCATGGCCAAGTAGACGAGTCCCATCAAAACCCGCAAGTGTGTCATTACTCGCGTGGCCTGACTATGGAGCATTCCGTATTGGTTCTTGACGTACTCGTCGGGCGTAGACGCGAGGCGGATAGGGCAGATGACTGGGATCAGCACAGCAACTATGGCCAACAGGCAAAACATAAAATAAGGAGCTTGCACGCCAAATCCAGCCGCCACAAGAGTATTCAGCTCCCGGGTGACGTCGTTGGACACGCAGTACTGCTCCCATATCATTGTCCTGTAAACTCCCGCCCGCGAGACAGACTCGTTCCACAAGGCTACATCTGAATCATATAATTTCATGTCCGTCCAGTCCGAGTAGTCGTATTCGGGCGATAACAAGCGATGAAATGCATCATTTTGTGTGAACAGGTCTCCCATGGCTTCCTGAGTTAAAATCCCAACTGCAATGGCGAGAGAGATGACGGTGCTCCACAGAAATAGTCGTTGATATCGTTGGTAAGTCGCGTTGACGAGAGTTGTGACGGTTTGCAGTATCATGCACGGAAATACAGAGAAGATGGATGTCAGCGCCGATCCTTGTAGGGCGTATGACCAGACGTCGGCTGGTTGGGTCTCGTTCTTGCGGTTCAGATACATGTAGTCGCGGGCGATTGTGGCTCCAAGCAGCGCGATAGCAAATATGAGGGCCGCGCTCAGAAAATCGTCAACGGTTTCGCGAAACGCCGTGACGATGCGGTTCCAACTTTGCCGTCGTGCATCTCCGCCGCGGGACTCGTAGACTTGGGATATCAATCGATCAGTGGTCAGAATTAAAAAGTAAATGGTTGCTAGGACAGCGACTATCAAATGTTAGTAAGAATTTTCGGATTCCGAAAGGCGATGCCCACGTATAATATAGGCCATGAGCATCTGAATGCTTCGTCAGTATGGCTGCTACAATGTCTTGAGAGGGCTTCTGCCCTGCAACGGGTGTCTTACTCCTCTTCCAGAAACGTCTGGATCGCCCCTGATTTCAATTTTGTCACAAATTTTCCTTCCATCACAGGAAAATGCTTCCGTTTGTGAAATGGCCAAAATCGAATCGTAAGCCTCAAGCTCGTCGTCGTGCTCATCATACACGGTCCAGTTTGTGTTTGCAAATCTGTCGCTTTGCCACACTCCATAGTACCAGAGCATCAGGTCAGAGTCCAAAACATCCTTTTGGTCAGCGGTAAATTCCGTCTTCCATTCATCGGGAAGCAATGACTTCAGCCATGCAGTAAGGTAGCCAACATCACCAGCCTGGTCGTCGGTAAGTTTGTTCTCCCTCGACTGGACTAGAATCGAGTTGGCAAAGTAGTTGGTTACAACATCACAATCGATGTGGAGATTCTCGCAATAGGTGGCGTTGCATTGGCCGCTTATATTCCGGAAGCTGGGTGCCACCCACGACCCATTGACAGAGTATGAAGTAGTAGCCATGTCAGATCTCGAGAAAAGTTGATAAGAGAGGCCAAGTGAGGATGGCCAGGTTCGGAGAACGCATTGGGATGTTGCTCCAAGTTTAGTACATTGGAGGAGAAAGTTTGACCAAGTAAATCTGGAGGCTGAATGACAAGTATTTATCCTTCATCACTGATGCCGCTTCATCTTATTAATAAACCGTTGCAATGGTACGCACGCGCTCTCCACCGTTACTATTCTTGTCTTATTGGCACTCGGCTATGCAGTCACATTGTCCACGTACTGGATCGTGGCGAGTGCATCGTTTCTTGGTAAACTACTCACAAATATGAGCTCTTGAGGTGCATAAATTGTTACTTAGTCATGCACAACGGCGAGTTGTACAAAAGGGAGGGGGGCCATTGTAAGACTTGATCCATCGTCGCAAACCTTCTTTGGAGGCTAGCTGCGTTTTTCAGCTTATCGCTACAATTTACGAAGATTGTCTTGTACATCACTTATAGATCGAGCCAGATTTCTCTTCTAATATGAAGCATATACTCGTGACACACTAAGGGTGTTGAAAATTGCAAAATATCCTTGTGCATGCAATTGTGCTTAAGATTGGAGTTGAACACATTTATTCTCGGTACACGATCATGATCTTGGAACCAGTCCATAATTATTGCGCCATGTTTCTTTGAGGCGTTGGTCGAAGTCTGTGATCAAGTGTAATCAAGAATGCCATGAAAATCACAGATTCTGGACTCTTGGCACGCGTAAACATGTCTAGCCTTGAGGCTGTTCTCTCAGTCTTTTAGTCGGAAGCTTATTGCCTTCTTGTGATTCTTCCTTCTCAATACCGGCGAGTCTTGGTCCATTCAGCACTGCTAGTGCAATGCAATTTGCTATTATCGCAGACCGTGAAGATCATTGGTTCCTAGATGAATATGGTTCACCATCGGTCACATCATATGGCACTCGTTCAATCGGTCTAGAACGCAAGTTTACTGCCAATTTACCCATTTTTCTTTCCAGCTACATCCTGGGATTGAGCACTATGAACTTTCAAATCTATTGTTGTTCGGTAGTTATTTTGACGAATGGTATCACAGCTGTTCAATCTCTCGATTGCGGTCCGGGTTCGTTGGAAAACAGGGGGTCTTACAAATGGAGACCTGCTAGAAGTAAACTGCTCCGGCCAGAAAATATCATCAAGTGAACCCTTGCTATTTTCAATACATGGATTACCCAACGTAGTCAGCTTTGGGTCACGCTCCTCGGACGTAGGAGAGTGGCTTTGAGGGTACATTAGTCTTTGTCACTAGCATGCTCTCTAAATTACGGGGTAATTGGAGGATCGGCCCGTAGCTTTCCATGTGCATGAGTCCTACGATCTGGCGGTAATTCACTTATACTAGGGAGCGGCCATTTGGGCGCTGGACTTGTGACTAGGAGCAAAGGCGCAAAGTTTCATGCTGCCTTGGGCGCGACTTGAGGGTATTCACATGTTTAGGACCATCCTTTCCAGTGCCCTACCTGAGTCCTTACACTTTGGGGGGACGCCCTAGGCCCTATTCAGGGACTGCGCTTGTCCGCGTCTCCATGGAGGACAAGCACTTGATAATAGACTGGACGATTGAAATCATGGTAGGCCTGGTAGATGAATCAAACCAAACATTCACGAACAATGCAAATCGAGCAGGCAAACATCTATTTTGTGTTGTTGTAGAAAGTAAACAGCTCCGAAGATTGACATGCATGATTGCATACAACACCATAGTTCTAACCACAAGTAAACCCAACTCTGAGAAGTTCCGTGTGTCTCTTTCACACCTAGTGGTCCAGTATCTCAATAGCTGACCGAAATAAAGGTAGTGGAATGGATAAGATGGGCAAGGCAAGTCCGGAAGATGTCGACGTCAAGGACCAAAAGCTCGCCTTATCGGCAGACTCGACCTCGCATCTTCGTCAAAATGGTATATGGCCTCATAACTCTCTGGATAGTCTGGAAATTCCGTGTAAGTCATTATAAACTTTGGGTAGGATGATGATGTTGTGCTGCACCTACGTTTGAATTTTGAAATAACATGTAGAGCAATAGGAACCCATTGTGCGAGAGCTAGAATTTGACCAAAACTCCAATTCGAGTCTTCGTCTGTTCCACCAGCAATATCTTTCACCTGTCTTCGAGCGCGAACAAATTCGACAAGGAAGAGCCAAGTCATGACCAGGTATATCAGTCCAAGGCAGAAGCGAGCAAAGTTCATTGCATGGCTCCGCTTGTCCAACCTGTCGGCACACCTCGTCTGCAAATCCTTCAACCTCGGCAGGTTCATCGGGAGGGCGAGGATCAATGCAACCAGAGCGGCAATCAAACAAAACAACATGACGGGAGCTTGCAGGCTGAAACCTACAGTGACAACCTCTCGGAGAACTTTCGTGATGTTTGGGTTACCACAGTATTTCTCGACTATCATTGTTCGATCAGAGCCGAATACATGGGTAACGTTCCGCAAGAGCCGATAATATTGCTCCCATTCACCACCTAGCGTATATCCAGATTCTTCCTGCTCTTGAAACCATGGGTCATTCGCAGACCATGTTCCATCATGGTAATTATAGTCTCCTAGATAGGGGTATTCGAAGAATTCGTAAAAGGTTATTTGAAATACGCATTGAACGGTTATGATGAATGCCGCAACCATGAACCAGAGAAATAGTCTTTGATAGTGCGAGTTTCGGACGGACGTAATCGTTTGTAGAACGATACATGGGAACACAGAAAAGGTCGACATGAGTGCTGATCCCATCAAGGTATATGTCCAAACTTCGTTTAAGCGAGCGTCCGTGGGCGTGAGAAATATATAGTATCGTGCTATTGTGGCTCCGAGCATTGCAGCGGCAAATACTAAGGCAGAGTCCAGAAATTCGTTGACAGTCTGGTCCAACGCGAAAACAAGCCGGCGCCAACCCGGGCCTCTTGCCTTTGGGTCAAAGAAGTGATCGGATATCATGACAAAAAAATACATTGTCGTCAAGATTGCCACTATCAATGTCAGGAAGAGGCGCTCAGCATGGTGGTTGCTACCTACATGCATAATAGGCCCACAGCATCTTTGATACCTACGTATCAGCCGGGTCATCCGTGATGATAGAAATCGCCATCAAGGAGCTTGAGAGTGGCTCACCCCTGTTCCTCCCACATCTGAATCACCCTTTATATTCAAGTTGCGACAGATTGTCTGGTTGTTGCAAGTGAAGGCGAACGTTTGTGCAGAGTCCATGAAATTGTTGTATATCTTTCTATCGTCAGTTGATAGACGACCAAGGTATGTTTGATTCCGCCACACCCCAAACCACCATTCTAGGAGGCTCTGACCGTATGCATTGTGATGGTGGTTTGGTTCGGGATCCGGTTTTTTCCAACCTTCGGGGAGTACAGAATCTAAGTAGGTAATAAGGTAGCCGAGGTCTTCTGACTTGCCACTACCATTCAAATAGTGGCGATCAGGGTTTTCAGTCTGAATCAGGATTGTGTTTGCCAGATATTCAGCTGCAATGTTGCAGTCTCTGTCGGGAATCAATGTGTTGAAGGCGGGAGCTTCCCACTTCCAGAGTCGAGTTGTTTCGTTCATTGTAGACACAAACAGTCAATATCTGTTGATGTGGGTTTAATCCAGTAATAGTGGTGGGTGGAGAGATATTATCATGAAGAAATCAAAGAGAAATAGTGGACTTTTAGCCAAAAAGAAAAGAAGAAAAAAAAAAAGCAATACTATGTACTTCTACGACGTACTTCTCTGTCAAGATAGCCCTACCGCACGGTGTCGCAACCACCTTTTCCTAGTCAAAGACTTCACAAGAACAGAGTATACATTTACGGAATAGTTCCAAGACAAGCAGAGTAGTTTCACGCCTGCCGCAAACCGAAAATTTACTTGCAAAAAAATGCTTGAGTAGAGGCAAGGCTGAAAGGAATCAAGCAGTAACCCTTACATGGTCAAATGAGCAAATCACTGCAGATTGTACTTCATCTTTGATCCAGCTCCAAGATATGAATATAGACAAAAGTCTTGTTTTTGGTTGATCGCAACTGTGAAATATGTGGTGCAATGGCTAGGTAATTCTTCAGTCTTTCCCGTGAACACCTAGTACCAAGTCTGAGAGTCCCAAGATCACGATATGTGCGGTCATGCATTTCGGAATTAGTTCGGACTGCATCTTTGAGTTTAGATAGAACTACCGTTGCTTAGACTGATATCCGGGCTCTTGGCATGTCTGACTCTATCTAGAATTGAGCCTGTCGACCCAGTTGAGTTGGTCGGAAGTTAATCATGGCTGTAAGGATACATCTCTTTGCACAATATAAGTGTCGCCAACCAGGTGACAGTGTTACAATACAAGATTCCCTACTACTATATCTTAGGTTTTCTATTGCACCTTCTTACATTCCCTGATGCAGACAGAGAGTCGCTCCAAGCATTGGTGCCGCAAAAAGGAGAACGAAGTCTGGAAATTCGTCACTGCAGCTACCATTCACAACTAATTGGTCGAAAGTAGGTGCTCTCCATTGCCAGATATTCCCTTTCATCAATCATATTGAACATTCAAGCTGACAAACGGGATATATAGGGTGTCCAGACAGTTATTCGAAGGATTGAAGAGAACTATATCCTGCACTTTTGAGTGTATTATATTCAAAAGGAGGGTCTTAAGAGTTCCACGAATACTTTTTACGTGCTTTATATTGTGAAAATAACACCGCACATCGCCGCACTATTCGATCATTGATTCTTATATTCAATTTGACGGGAATCCTTACTGTTGCAATCGTGGGGAACTGCGCTTGGTTATCCTCTACGGTTCATCAGTCATGCATGTGCATGAGGCTCGCGGGAGAGGTGTTTAACTACAGTAGATGCAAACTCTATTGCAGCACCCTTGGTATAGCTTATATTACATTCATGGGCCGGTTTGAAATTTCCGGCGGGTTGTGATCATTTCAATTTAGCAAACTTTGGCACGGATTTTCTTGTTTTCTTGTGGCAACTTAAGTTGGTGCACATGGTGATAACTACATTAGGCTTCCCAGGGCTTGACCGTTTGTATGGCGTCACACAATGTATCACTCCTTCTGATACTTCCCAGACCTGAATCGGTCTGTTGGTTAATGTTTGCCAACAGAGGACGCATCAACCCTCTACCCGTGGCATAGCTACTATACCTACCTGGCGGTGGGTAGGTAGGTAGATATAGATATAGGGATGGGAAACCAAAATTGCAGCACTACTGCCACATAAGTAAATTGCATAATGCTATGATCCCGATAACTATAAGTTCTTTGGTAGGTACCTTCAGACTGCTTCACTATAACCTAGGTTTCGATCGTAACATAGACGCATCTATACCAAGTGAGTCGAAATGTAGCATTCAAGCAGTCTCAAGCGCTGGCGCCACCGTGGCTCAAAAAGAAAGAGAGAGATACATTTCACGATAGATGATTATTTGCCTCCCTTATGCACCTTGTAGATACATTGTATTTTTGTGCTTGTTGACAGCCGAATCACATCAGATGATGATGAGTCTAGGTGAATGTGGGCGGCGGGTACCAAGCACTCCCTTGGATCCCAGTGCGGAAATGAACCGCGGCCCGCTAGCTTAGGTAGTGGGCAGCGCGCCAAAGAAATGCCTGCGACCAAAGCAGCTCACATTGACGACGATAGCAACGTCAAGTCATCTGTTGCGACCTGCCAGCCCAGTCACAACGACGTAGCCGGATACTCGGTGACTTGTTCATATCGAATCAAGCCTATTATTAGGCTCCGGATGCAGGCGGACGAGGTGTACGACCCTTGAACAATGGCCTGAGAGAGTCGGCAGCTATCCAAGCTCCCGCATCGCATGTAAATTTCCTCAGCGCGAGAGCTCGACATTGCCGGAAGCCCAGTGCTTAGGAAGCCATCACATATATACAATATGCAATCAAGGCTCGCGCTCCGCAGGGTCTTCCTGCTGCGTCCGACGAAGCCTTCCACGTCGGCAGCCAGCGCAACTAGATTCTTCACTCGGCACACGAACTTGAGCTCGCGAAACCGGCCACAGCTACCCTTCCTATCCATGCCACTGGCCCGGAATCGACAGCAGTTCAGATACCTCACGACAGAGCGCAAGAGGTGGCTCGTCTATGAAGTTGTTCTTGGCTTCAAATACATTGTCTACACCTGGGCTATCGGTGCCTGTCTCTTGATCGCCTACTACAGCGTTCAGCAGGAGTGGCTCGAGCGACGATACCCAAGCCCGCACGAGTGGAGTTTCATCACCCGACTGCGCTTCCGTCTGCTGCGCTGGGGCCCCGACCGTAACGATACACCCGAGCCGAACTGGGTACAGATTGGAAACTATGCAAAGAATGTGCTGGAGCGACTCGAGAGCACAGATACGGATGGCGCGGGTTTGCAGGAATTGACCGAAGGCGGCATCTACATTGCAGATGTGGGCAAGTCGGGCTACGACATCACAGCCAAGAGTGAACCTTGGAGGAGAGGATACTACGAAGTCCTCATGTGCTGCGCCAAGGCGGCCGAGCAGTTGGACAACCACGTCCTCGACGCCAAGCGAGGTATCGTGTTCCCGGCAGAGCAGGTTCACGGACCCTCGAACCCGAACCCGAGACCCATTCCTCCAGGCTCGCCCGCCGCGCCGCATGAAAAGGACTGCGAGCCATTCTACGATGCTCCCGAGACGTACTATATGCGCATCCTGACGACGAGGGGTTTCACGAGCAAGCAAAAGATGGATTCTGCGCTTGAATACGCCACCTGGCTCGACTTTAAGAACGTGCCCGAAGCCGCCGAGAGGATGTACGAGTGGGCATTGCAGCTAGCAACCGAGGACATACCTCAGACTGCACTGCCATACTCCACCACCAATTACGTTCTGCAAGAGGACAATGGCAGCAAGCCATCTGCCAACTTACTCACATCACTTACCGCCCTCGCAACGCACAAGGCTCGGCACGGAGACCTATCCGAGGCCCTGCCCATTCTAATCTCCATTCTCCGAGCTCGCCGTTCTCTCCCCACCACTGCCGCCAAGCACTACTCGCAACCTGGGGTCTCCCCCGAGGACTACCAGAGCCCCTGGACGGCAAGCAACATCATCGGCGTCGTGAAGCGCTTCGTCGCACCGCCGGCCTACCCGCCCCCGCCGCCCGATGGCACCTTGCCTCCTATCCGCGACTCCCAGGAGCTCTGCGAGGAGGCGGGACTCAACCTCTATATTGGCGAAATCATGTACGCCAGCCGTTCGGGCGCTGCTGTTCGCGAGGAGGGTCTCGCTTGGACGCGCGAAGCGGTCGAAACTGCCGAGGAGCAGCTACACAAACTAAAGTCGGACACCGAGGCGAGTGACGAGGCTACCAAGACTTGCCGCGAGTGCTTGGGTACGGGCCTGGATAATTGGACCAAGATGGCCGCGAAATTGGCCAGGGAAGAGCGAGAAAGGACAGAAAACCCATCCGCTGGGGCCAGCAGCTGGTTTGGACTGTGGGGAGATGGACAGACTAAAGTTGAAGAAGTTGGCCGATGGGAGGCTGAAGAACAAGTGGTAAAGGAAAGAACTAGGCGGGCACAGGAACTGTTGGATGAACTGGCTGCGCCCAAGTCGGGCCTTGGCAGTCTGTTCTGGGCATAAAAGCAATCATTTTTTAGCTTCAAACTTGGGGGACGACCTGGCTATCATGGATTATTGATCTTGGAACATTGAGGTATTGTATCTACTGATGAATTACAAATCCCAGAATGCCATGTGTATAGCACTCCATCAGTGAAAGAGGCTGCATCTACGTGGTGTGCTTTGACTATCGACCATCTAATGCCATGTCAAAAGATCCCTTGGACAGTTATGATTGATGCTCAGTCGTCTTCATCATTCCCAGAGTCTTTTCCAGCTCTTTGACATCCTTGTCGCAATCATCGTCATCAAGATCCTGAATGGTCACCTTGCCACCGTCGCCACCTTCATCGTTCTTGACATTGGCATTGGGCTCAACTTCGTGAAAGTCTGCGGGCGGCTGCTTATCCGAAGGAGCGTTCTGCCATTTGCTCCAATCAGGCTCCATCTTGAGGGCCTCGTTCTCGGGGTCGCAGTACAGGATGGGAGCGTTGGGATTGCGGTAATCCTTCTTGCCGGTAATGGTCACTTCGAGCAGCCACTCGGCCAGATGAGGCAAGGCATGAGCTAGGAGTGTCTCAACGTGATGCGACTCGCCGCCACTGTAGACGGGCGTACCGTTGTGTGTAAAGGTGACTGTATTGGGATTTCCATCCGGACCCGACAAAGGGGTACCGAGAGGCTCGACTGAAGTTGCATAGGCGCGTCCTTTCTGTGGGCGCAATGTTAGTTCAGCAGTCGTGGCAGAGTGACAGCCTCAATGCTGACAGGGGCAAGGCTTGCAACTCACCTCTCGCAGGAATTCTCGGAAGTTGGTGCTCTGCAGATCTTCAAGATGGTAGTAAGCACCCAGGATAGCAAGGCAGTTGATCCTGTCTGAAAGTCTCTTCCAGGTCTCGCTCCAGTCCAGATACTTTTCGAGGGCATCTGCACCATCACCGACGGCAATGATGTCAAGCCCCGCATCCTTGTTCAGGAAAGCAGGTATGACAGTCTCAAAGATAGTCTTCATGTGCTCCCTAATATCCTTGTTGCCTTCAACGCGATCTTTACCGACCTCAACGTACCACTTGACGCCGGCATGGACAGCAGATGGCATGGGGGTACCCTCGGTGCCAGAAATGGTGCAGCATCGCTTCAAGGACTCATGCCAGATGAATTGGCCCGTGTTGGCCAAAATGAAGCCTGGAGGGGACGGATCACTGGACGACGAGGGCTGCGACTTCAGTGTCGACACCACACTGACCATGCTGCCCTTGTTGACGCCCCCTCTGCCGCCGAGGATACGATGGGCAATGATGCCTAGATCTTGGTAGGTCTCGCCGATGATGAGAATGATGCGGGACTTGGACTTGATGTCCGAGGAGACAAAGATTGGGACATTGGGCTTATCAGAGGGCGTGCCGAGGGGGAGGCGGATCTTTTCAAGGCCATGCGATTCGAGACGAGCATGCACCAAATTCTCTATGGCCTCTGTCTCCAATGTTATAAAAGGTCCTTGAATGGGCGATAATCCATCTCGCGAGGAAAGTGACGGGAAGAATGATACGAACCGTTCATAGCATATCGCTGACGCTCATTGTAGCGCGAATTCTTGTCGATATGGAACTTGAAGTAGTGATCAGGGCTCTGAATGGAGCGAATCTCATCTTCATCATTCACAAAGTAACTATTTCCCTAAGCATTAGATCTCTTTTTCGTGACCAGGATACAAGAATCAACTTACCCCAGTAGTCCGAGGTCCGAAGGGAATTCGGGATCGCTGGGAAGCTCCTCCCAGGGTCGATAGAACATCTTGCCTGTTGTTGCTTGAAGCAAGTCAGTGCTTGGAACCCAAAGTCTTTGTTTGGTGCAGCTACTCTAAACTGGAAAATGAATGCAACCGTCGTGGTATTTTAGGAAAGAACCTGAGTTGTAGAAAGAGAGGCTGTGACAGATGACAAGCTGGATATTTGGAAAGGATAGGCTCTTGCCAGTGTGAGTTTTTGAAAACGCCGACTGCCGTTTGTATGCACAATGTTCTTATGCCCAATTATTCTGTGAACACTGCAAACGAGAGCTGTAGCTTGCCTTGTGCTTTCAAGGTATTTTACTGATTAGGGATACGTGCAAACCGTTTCAAGTTGGGCAGAGGGAAACTGCATAAGGCAGGCAGTCGGCACAAGAGATGTGAGGAATTCGTTTCACGCCCTGCATACTAATTGTTTTTTTTTTTTTTTAGGAACCTCTAAATATTCAATATTGCCCAGCACTGCAAGATCCAAAAGTCAAGAGATCCCATCAAACAGTCCTTCACACGGGTGTTCAGTGCAATTTGATATGATTCCTTTGATAAGCTGGAATATCCAGTCTCGGTTTCTACTGAAATCTTCGAGAAAACCAAGCCATATGGCGAGTCCTTGCAAGTTTGCTGGTAGGCAAAATAATGAAACTCTTGCTGACTTGTTATAGTTCATCGCACATGTACGGAATGGATCAGTTGCAATTACTCTTCCAATCATTCAGTGATGTTGTTGTACATTTTTATTTACAATGGCAGAGGGTCTATTTTCTCTTGCCACGAGCAGTGGTCGTAACGTATCGTACAGGTAGCTCTTTTGACGCCGAGCTTACCAACTGGCCTTCCTCACACCAGGAAGATTACCCTCCAACGCCTGCATTCTGAAGTTGTACTGTCGAGCAAGTTAGTATCTGTTTTGCCATGTATCGAGCCAGTTCTGGTGCATACTCTTGACATCTTGAAGTCTCTAAAGATACCACGTCCCTTTCCACCTAGTATACATCTGCCGCGGATCTGTGTGGGTCGAGTATAACAGTGCATCTGAGTCAACTGAAGCTGGGCCTCGGCCCTCGTCCGTGCCGGCAGAGTCGTGTTTCTGATGATGTATCGGAGTGCTTGTCTAGAGTACACAATTGGCATCAGTCATGGCTGTCTGCAATTGACTTCGTGCCGTCAAGAAGTTCATGGCATGGCTATCGCGTACCTCTCCGCCTCGTGCTCTGCAAACACCTTTCTCTTGGTGTGGTCGCGGATGACCTTGATATTGAGAAAAGACCCAATATCAAGCTTCTTGGCCCTGAACATCGACATGGTGGCTGAGTTGTGTGTTGGCTTGTCAAACTGCGTCGCTGCTGTCGCTTCTCCGTTCTCGTCGTCGTTCCTGCCCCTAGAGCCTCGAAATTTTGGGCTGTCGTTTTGCGATCGCGGTCGCTAGCAGGGGGGTTCGTATCTATGGTCGGCCCGGCAAATGCTCTGATTGGGAATCCTGCCAGCTGTTGGTTTCTTTGCTGGAGAAAAGCTCCGCTAACCCACTATAATAAGGTCGGGAGGCTCTTAATTCTTAGCGTTCTCCACTCAGTGATTGAACCCGAGCCGTTTCCACTGTCATCATCTATGACGTCGGGGCTCCGTTATAGTCAATTTCATATGCCCCAGCATACGCTCATCCTACTGCAGATTTTCTGTACGTCGGTCGCATTATGACTTAAGAGCTGCTGTAAGCCCCGAAAAGCACGCGAAATATCTGAGATGCAGTGGGTTTGGGCCGTTTGGCATGACGTAGGACGCAAACAGACATGACAGATGGAGGGGCATTTTTGTAGGATATAAACCATAGCAAGCAACCACGAATCAACCTTGACTTGCAATCTTCATCTTCAATCAACCAAACCAATTCATTGTGATACATTCTCGCAACAATCTGCAACTCCCTTCTACCAAAACAAATCAAAACACTCCAAAAACTACAATCAAAATGACGCAATCCAACGTTGGTTCTTCTGGTGTCTACGAGGCTGGTGACCAGCGCAACGCCCCCCAGTCCGAGCTTCACAACGCTACCCGCTTCGAGGAGGGCAAGGAGCACTCTCACCAGGCTCTCGACTCTAGTAAGATCTCTCCAAAGTTTACTCGACCATGTGACCCAAGATGCTAACATGCCTTCCACAGAGGATGAGCGTTCCATCGCCAACCGTCTCGCCGCTGAGGAGAGCAAGAAGGACGAGGAAGACCCCCAGACCAAGGCTCTGAAGGAGGACCCCACTCTGCCTGTAGGTTATCTATCAACAGCCATTACACATAATGGGAGCGTGAAATTAATTTTATCACAGGCCAAGATGCACGGCAACGAGCCTTCCCGAGGTGCCAAGATTGACGCCGAGCTGCAACAAGAGGAGGAGGAGTACCTCAAGCGCAAGGGAAAGAACTAAAGTGCTGACGACTTATGATCAATATTTCAATCATGTTTCGGCGTTGGGGAAATAGCATATTCCAGTGTTCTTACACATCCAAGCAAGGATAGATGAATGAGCGAAAATCAAAATTCTCATTTACAACAATTGTATGATGAATCAAATGAAGTGACATGTTACTAATCAAGTGAAATTCAAACTACCTAGTCAATAACGATGCGACACTTTGTCGTGCCGTCCAGAGCATACAGAGCATACGTCATGATTGAGCTAACAAGACTCTTTGTACGCTACCCGCTGCTCAATATTTATATTCCGATACATCGTAGCCCATAGATATCACAAAGTTTTACAACTTGGAACCTGCCTTCCTCCGGGCCTCTCTCTCCTTGTCCTTCAACAGCCGCCGTAGGATCTTCCCACTAGGACTCTTGGGCACCACATCGATGAACTCTACTCCTCCCTTGAGCCACTTGTATCTCGACTTGTGGTCTTCGACATGTTTGCAGATTTCTCTGGCCGTTTCTTCGTCGGATTTGTCCTTATAGGCCACTGCCTTTACAACAAATGCCTTTGGCACTTCTCCAGCGTCTTCATCTGGGACAGGAATGACGGTACAGTCATTGACTGCAGGGTGTGAGAGCAGATGCGCCTCGAGCTCAGCTGGAGCCACTTGGTGACCCTTGTATCCATATTAGCATCGTTAATCCAAGCTGAAAATATCACGAGAACGGGAGGGTGATAATTGTGGCCTACCTTGGTCTTGATCAACTCCTTGATACGATCCACAACGGAAAAGTGCTCAACACCCTTGTCATTCTTGGTGACGACCGCCACGTCGCCCGTCCTCAGCCATCTGCCGTTATCGTCGTACACATAGGCGTCCGCAGTGGCCCTCTCATTGTTGAGATAGCCCAACGTCACGCTCCAGCTCTGAATGTAGAGCTCGCCGCGCTTGCCGTACTCGGTAATCTCGTTGCCTTCCTCGTCCAGGACCTTGGCACGGACGCCCGGCAGAAGCGAGCCCGAGGTCCCGACCACGACGTCGTGCTCGCTGGTGCTAAAATTAACGGTGCTGGTCTCGGTCATGCCGTATGCCTGGCCAATGTTGAGTTGCGGAAACGCCTTGACAACGTCTTCATGCGTCTCGGCTCCTAGGGGCGCCGCGCCGGTGTAGATGAAGCGTGCCGAAGACAAGTCGTACTTGGCGCAGAGTTCCTGGTTCCGCAGCATCTGGATAATGATTGGCGGGACCAGATACAAGAAGCTGACCTTGAACCGTTCAATGGTTTCCAGTAGTCGTTTCAGCTCGAATCGAGGGAGAATAATGACAGCATCGCCACGGTAGATGGCCGATAGAGTCACAACCACTAGCCCGTAGATGTGGCTGATGGGCAGTAACCCAAGTGCGATCTGAGTCTCTATACCTTTCGCTTCACGGCCGACTGACTCGAACCATCGAACCTGCATCATGTTTGCGATCACGTTGCGATGTGAGATCATGACGGCTTTCTTACGAGCTGTTAGTGACCATGCTGCGAAACTACTAGATATAGCTGGCTAGTATTAACTCACCGGAAGACCTGATGTGCCACTAGAGAAGCACAAATACGCAGCCTGTCTTGCACCCTGTCCTTTGGACCACAGCAAGGGTTCAGCCGCGGGTAGCGATTCTCCTTCCTGGATCATTTCATCCAAAGTTTTGAAAGGAATCTTCTGCTTTGGCTTTTCCCAAGCACCATCCATGAGAAAGACCTTGTCTTCTGGGATTCCCACTGACTTTGCAGCCTTTAGTGCAGTTTCCAAAAGTGGAACACAAGTGATCAAGGCCTTGGCACCTGACGCTTTAAGCTGATATTCCAACTCTGAAGCCGAGTACATGGCGTTTGCAGGTGTTGCAATGCCGGACAGGCGGTGGATTGCAAATGTCGACATGATATAGTCAATCTTGCCACGAGGCCCAAATCAGCGCACGTCTGACAGTAGGGCAGTTTCGCTCAGACTTACCGAGTTGAATGAGAATATACCAACAACCTTGTCCCAGTGCGTATCCTCGTTTGGCCGCCATCCCATCCGCTTGGAGAGGGATCGGGCGAGTAGTTCAGATCTTTGCTTCATCTCGGAGCTGCTGTATGATTTTCCTGACACACCGCAAGTAAAGGGCGTCCGGGATTTCTCCCAAGCCTGTCGGCCATATTTCTCATTGCCCCAGAATTCTCCAATGGGAATGGAGTCCGGAGGGTCTGTTGGGAATATCGACGTCAGTCTCCTGAGTTGTGGGCTGGGGAAAGATGAACTCTTGGTAAGCAGTCAGTGTGATATATGTTTTCTTACCGAAGGGAAGCTTGGGTACCCAAGCCGGCGGTGAAAAGACCATCGTGACAAGTAGACGAGGGAAAAGTCTGTGAGTATATCTTTGAGTGACTTGAGAAATTCCGTATAATATCTAGAGGAGAAATTCTCGGCCTTTCTAATTATTACAAAGAATATGCATACCAAGCAAATATTTTGAATAAATGTATTTTTGGAAGAAAAAAAAAAGCACAAACACATGACCCATCCTCGAAAACGACGAAGGACCCCCAAGACCCTCCCGCACAAACACAACCCCCCTGGTGCTCACTCAATTCCACTTTATAGGCCATGTCTCCGGCGCCAAGACCTGGGGCCGAGAGAATACGGTAGCGTGCCCCGGTAAGAATGAAGCGTCCCCCCCAAAAGCCAAAACTACCATCTTGCCACGGCGGGGGTAAACGCCAAGAGGTGATAAGACGCAGGCGATGATCTGAATATATGATGATTGTGTCCTTTTCTTATCAAAGACTCAATAATTTGAAATATAATTTCTTTCATCTTGCTCGTACTTTAAATATAGCCGCCATTATTTTCAGATTTTTTTGTTCATATTTTTCTGTTTTCTTCTTCCGATTGAGGGGTCCATTTGGCCCGCGGGTTTTTGCCAACGCGGGACAAAAAGTGGGTTCCGATTGTTCCAGCATAATGATTCGGATGGTTTCAACGGTAGATGTCATCAGCTGGGCGATTACATACATGTGTAGCATCTAGTCGGCTTCCCGTGCTCGCGAGCATTTAATTGGAAGTATTGCAGGCTCGTCAACCTTAGCTCAAGGGGCGAGGAGCTAAATTTCAGAATGCCTAAAGAAAATATTACATTCCGCGTTTCGTGGTTTTAATTACACGGTAGGGTCGCTAGAGGCGCCGCTTACTTGACGTGCCAGACGTGATGACCCTTCAACACCTTAACTTCGCTTGACAGTTTGGTGGCTCGTCACGAGAACACCGGCGGAGGGGTGTGAAGCCAGATGCATAGACACGCTGTCAACCAACAGAGGACAGTACATGCTAACATTGTTTACGGCGAGGGCAATTTTGGGCGGCAATTGATGCACCTCGCAGGATAGATACTCACAAATGAGATTTCGCTCGTGATTTCATAAAAAGGCTAGAGGGCGAGTATGCGGACTGGAAGTGGTGATGTGCTCCAGATTAATACGATTTGGTGCATCTTTTGGTGTCTACGTTCTGATGACTGAAATTTGATGGCTGAAGTAGAAAGAGATCATAACGCGATACTTAGTAAAGGTGAGAAGGACCAAGACAGCATTCATTCCCAGAGCCGTGTGGGTAGCATGGCCTACAAAGTACAACCCGAGTTATTTCCGATCATTGAGAATGGTTGTATTTTCAATCTCATTCCTGATGTGGTATCGAAGACCCGAAGCACAGGGACGGGTCAGCTCTATGCATAGATTTAATGCTATCGTATGTAGCCACATTTCGCAAAATTGGCAGTTTCGTCAAAGACTTAACACTTGAACCCGGGTACATCTACGCAGCCAGGCATTTTTGGAAGTCACGGAACAGGAGGAACAGGTAATAATTCGTCAACCATGTTAATCATTACTATTTGTAGCATATAAAACAGAGTCGAACCCGGCTGTGTTTAGAAGTAGTATCTGATGTCTGGTTAGCTTGTAATCTTCAACAAGTGTCAAACACGAGTTAGAATGTTGGAAATATTGTCAGAATATGTAAGAATTAAATATCACCTCTCCGTCAGGTATAGCAGCCCCGGCGAGGGCGCCACCAGAACAGAATCAATCGCAAATTACCTCATCATGCAAACGGGGTATTGGGTGCAGAAGGGAAAAGGTGCAGTGAGTTCTTACCTGTGTAGTAAAGTGTGCCCACGATGCTGGTTCAGCAGACTGAAAGAAAGAATCAACGACAGAGGTGCAAATGTCGTTTCCCGGAAGCTGGGTCATTCAAGCAGCAGCAAGCCAGCAAACGTGAGCAAGTTGCAAGTCGCACATGCAACAGAAAGAAACAATTGTGGTTGAAGTGAAGGAAAAAATTATTGACAGCTCTGGTTTGGGAACAGACTTTTGTCGTGAAGGTGCAAAAAGGCCCCACCCAACGACCAAGTTGGAGGCGCTAAGCCCGTCTGGGATGCAAAAAATCGGATCGGACAGGGCAAAAATCCGAGATTTTTCTTAGGGTTGCTCCAATTGTCTTCCTACCCACATGCACCACAGCTCGAGATTTTTGAAAGGCAACCGGGTTTGGTAAGGAATTTGCGAAGTCAGCGACACAACACACGACATTTCCCCGGCATCAACAAATCGGTACGTCAGCACGATAATCCCCTTTTTGCGCTTTTCCCCAGGATCGACCGGTTTCATTCTTTTTTCTCCTCCAAAAATCATCCCCGCCGACAGCCAGCTAATCCCGATTTTCTACGAATACAGACCGACAAAATGTCCGAGACAACGATCGTTGCTTCCAACTGGCGCCTGGTTGAGGTCGGCCGTATCGTTCTCGTCCAGGGCGAGGGCGCCTACGCTGGCCGCCTGGCTGCCATCGTTGAGATCATCGACCACAAGCGAGTATGTGAACACCACCGAGAATGAGAGCGCGAGAAAGCAAGCGCGCGCGTGCGTCTCTTTTGAGCGGATATGGATATGATGCGAAGAAGAAACGAAATGGGAAATTGACTGGGAATCTAGGTTCTGGTTGACGGTCCTTCCTCCGACGCCAAGCTCGTCGTCCCCAGACAAGCTATCAGCCTGTCGGACGTCCTCCTCGCACCTTTCGTCATTGAGAAGCTGCCCCGTGGTGCCCGCACCGGTGCCGTCAAGAAGTTCTGGGAGAAGGCCGAGATCGACGCCAAGTGGAAGCAGAGCAGCTGGGCCAAGTCCAAGGACCAGAAGGAGAAGCGCCGCGCCCTGACCGACTTTGACCGATTCAAGGTCCTGCGCCTGAAGAAGCAGCGCAGATTCGAGCAGCGCAAGGCTCTGGCCAAGGTCAAGGCCTCCGCATAAACGACAAAAAGAAATCGGCATGGGGCATTGGCAAAGACATGACACGATACAGCATGGAACGGGGGATGAAAGGGACCCTGCGCCCAGGCATCGACTGGTAGCTGTCTGATGCCGGCGGTCTCGTGACGGCGGTTGTTTGTCACCCTTTCTACGGAAAATCCGGTCTGCATGAATCAGGGAAGGGGTTTTGGGGGTTGATGGATTCCTTTGCTTCATCGAGGGACTGTATGTCACTACACATCTCAGAGATGGTGACCGGCGTCAAATGATATATGGACATTCACAACCAAAAATTGCATTGCTTTAGAATTGTCTACGCCAGACAATTATGGCGTCACGAATATGGGAATTAATTGCGAAGATGAATGAACTGTCTTAAAACATGGCCCACACGAACATCTCTAAATCTTCGATGCTCCCCCGACTCTATCTCAACCAGGATTCGTTAAAATTGGAGAGCCACGTAGAATTGCATTATGCACAAAAAGAATGCCATTTTGCGGTTATGTAAATGCCATAATCATATGGCAGAGAACGTGACAAATCTTCTGGCAATGACTTCATGGGCAATTAGACGCTCGACTACACATGTACCTGCTCCTCGAACCTGAAAGTGCTCAAGTGCTGGACTCTGGAGTATAAAAAGTCCGAAAAAGGTTTAGCGCAAATGGCCCACGGAAAAATGAACCCTAGCAGCTGGTAGAGAGCCTGAACTTCATCAATTTTCACCTCAGTCAGACCAAGCTCAGGCGATAACCAATCAACCCCGCTGCAATCCAGAGAATTCGGCTTCGTTTTCAGGTGCGTGAAATTTTGTTCGATCCGGATATGGTGTCGCAGCAGTTTGGAATGCAATGCTGGGCGCAGGGTCGAGCTGTTGAATTACCTTTTACAGCTTTCCAATTTGTGTGCCCCGGGCTCAGCTAGCTCCCCCAGACAGCTTCGCTCCGACTCAGACCAATGAGAGACCTCACGATGGCTAACATTTTGTTGCTCGCGACACAACAGCTACAATAATAGACAAGATGGCCAACCCCAGAGTCGAAGAGCTTCCCGACGAGGACGTCAAGCCCCAGGTTGAGGAGGATGACAGCTCCGACTCCGAAATCGAGACCGGCGATGGCCCCTCCGGCTCTGCTGTCCAGATCCACAGCCGCAACGAGAAGAAGGCTCGCAAGGCCATCGAGAAGCTGCACCTCCAGCGCGTCCCCGGCATCACCCGTGTGACTCTGCGCCGCCCCAAGAACGTGAGTGGTTTCGGAGCTTGTAAATTGGAATACAAGACAGGGTCGCCAGGGAATGCCCTCTAGAAGACAAACCAGGCAGCTCGAGTTTGCTTGCAATATACATACCTGCCTAGCCTAGGCATTGTATGTTTGAGGCAACTTGAGCTGGATTGGGATATGTCAAGGACGCTCATGTCAAAAGGATTCTGGAACTTTGACTGACATTTTCCGTGCACAGATCCTGTTCGTCATCAACAACCCCGAGGTCTATAAGTCGCCTAACAGCAACACTTACATGTGAGCATTTCAACACAATTTATTTGTCAATCTACATTATTGACTTTTTTTTTAAGCGTCTTCGGTGAGGCCAAGATTGAGGACCTGAACTCGGCTGCCCAGCAGGCTGCTGCTCAGCAGCTCGCCGCCGCCGGTGAGCACTCTCACGACGACCACGCCGGCCACGACCACGGCAAGGCCGTTGAGGAGGCCAAGAAGGACGACGAGGAGGACGATGGTGAGGAGGTTGACGCCGAGGGTCTCGAGGATAAGGACATTGAGCTCGTCATGACCCAGGCTGGCGTTTCCCGCAAGAAGGCCGTCAAGGCACTGAAGGAGAACGACAACGATATAGTGAACTCCATCATGGCTCTAAGCGTTTAGATTGCATGATAGGGTAGCGAGTTGCTCTTTTTCCTGTACCCAAAAAAATGGCCAGCGATAATTGCGTCCAGGCGCTAGCATTGCATGAGGTTGAAAAGAAAAAAGCCTTGCATGAAGACAACTAGACGGACAGGTTGGCCGTGTATTTCATGCTTTGATACCTTCTTGGACGATTCGATCTACCAATCGAAACATTTTTGTCTATTGCTTGCTTTGTGTTGATCTGAAATGTGATGTCCATATTGATCCACTGTCCATATTGGGTCACAGGTTTTGCGGTTGACGTATATATCGAAATCTGAGATGCACCTACATTGCCGCAGGATATGAGGGGGCATATCCTTTATTGAAAAAACTTACTCCTATACATGTTTATAGGGAGTATTTCGACGTTGGAGCTACACTGACTTGGATTCCAGCTTGGCCGAGTTCGGATCACGTGACGCTAGCCGGGGTGGCTCCACTTGTCAGAACGCCGAGTTCTTCCGCCGCGGTACCAAGCAACCTTTGATCGTGAATTGCTTCGACCTCTCCACTCCTTAAGACACATTCAATCATCGCAAAAATGGCAGCAGTAAGTTGCATGAACTGGATGAACCCCTCGTGGGAGCTTTGTCGGTCGATGGACGACGGTCCGCGGCCCAATTGATTCTGCAATTGGACCTGGCAAAACTCTTCCGCATGCCCGCAAGTAGCCATGAGCTAATTTCGTCGTTTCTCATCACAGCGCAGCGCCGCCCTCAAGCTCGACTGGGCCAAGGTGACCTCCTCGCTCGGCCTGCGCGGCCAGACCGTCGCCTCCCTCCAGGCCTTCAAGACGCGCAACGAGAACGCCCGCCGCAAGGTGCAGCAGCTGTCCGAGCAGTCCACCACCGTCGACTTTGCCCAGTACCGCAGCGTCCTTAAGAACCAGGCCGTCGTTGACGAGATCGAGAAGCGCTTCAAGGAGTTCAAGCCCGCTTCCTACGACCTCGCCCGCCAGCTCAAGGCCATTGATGCTTTCGAGGTTGAGGCCGTCAAGAACGCCCAGGCTACCAAGGAGAAGGTCGACCTTGAGCTCAAGGACCTTGAGGCTACCCTGAAGAACATTGAGACCGCCAGACCTTTCGACGAGCTCACCGTGGTATGTCTTGGTTTATCTCGATGGGATATATTTGGCTACGTAATGATTGGGAAGAGGCTAATCACGAGATACCCAACAGGACGAAGTTGCCGCCGCCGAGCCCTCGATCGACGAGAAGACCTCCAAGCTCGTTTCCAAGGGCCGCTGGTCAGTTCCGGGATATAAGGTACGATTCAGTAACCTCCCATGGTACAATGCGTTATTAACACAACACAGGAAAAATTCGGCGATCTGTCCGTACTATAGACGCCTTACGCATATTTCCTTCCCCTTTGTGTACTCTAGCATTGTAGATAGGAGATCTGGGAGCGGACATTTCGTCAAAAGCTGCGAAATTCGAAAAACAACTTCTAATCTTCTACATCCCGCCATTCAGCAGTGATTGATACACGCTTTTGGGAAACACTAACTATTAGGGACATATTCATCGAAACCGACGAGACATAGCAGCTTGACATCATTGGGCGAGAACCCAGTCCAAACCCTCCAGCATCGCGTTTTCGACTTCTAAGGCTCGGCTGAGATGAGGTGCTTTCAACCAGAACGTGTGTGGCCAGCCTGCAATTACATCGACTTTTACCTCGACGCCACTCCCCTCTAAAAGCTCCGCATAGCATACGCCATCAGAATACAACACATCATTAGTGCATACCTGGATCCAAGTCCGTGGTAATTTTAACGCCCGGATTTGCTCGACAGGCATCTCGAGGGGCATTCGGTCCAACCCATCGCGAGGTACTTGTCGGTTGAATCGACCCAAGAGGGATGTTTCAAACGGTTGGCTGGCGCTCATGTGCGACTTTTTGAACTGTGGCGGGATGTTCAAGGGCGCATCCACGGTCACTGGACACCGGAGAAGGATACCCTGCACTGACCCTGGCGGCAGAGAATGCGAAAGGAGTGCTGCGAGCTCCCCACCTGATGAGGACCCAACAATGACGAATTTCCCGGTTGAATGGGATTGGCGTACGGCCTCGAAAGCGGCGATGACATCGGAGACACAGGTTTGTGCGGGGACTTGCGGCATTAAGCGGTAGCCGGCCGAGTAGAGCACGATACTTGGGTCGACTTTGTGAAGGGTATCATTTGGACTGCTTGTGGACCCCGAGAAATGTTTCACAAGCCGCCGGCAGGATAGGTCCTCACTATCGGCTTCTCCAACAAGCAACCCGCCCCCATGAATGTAGAACAGGACAATCCGTTGCTGTCGTTCGTCTGTATTGCCTGCCTCTGTGACTTGACCATGCTCGTGGTGTTCTTCAAGTGTATATTTCAACAGTGGTATTTGGTGATCATCGTTGTGTAGCCGAGATGGGACAGTGAGAGCTTGAACACGGATCCCCCTCGAAAGATCATGATCTCGTGCACCCGATGCCATCATGGCGGCATTCCGGGCACGGCAATCGGATGCGTAAATAGGCTGGCGCTCAATGGCCGTCAGGACCGCTTTCGGTTTGCGTAGTCCTGCTGCTTCCTCATGTTTCAGCCACGCAGGATCTAGCGGCGGAGGTGTTTCCAGAACTAGGCTGTCAAAGTTTGTCATGTTGAGAATGGAATCGTGAGCATTTGGTGGTTCCGATGCTCTGATAAGATTAAATGTGTAGCATTGACAAGCAAATCTATTCGATTGTACCTGTGTGAAAGAAAGAAGTTGTAGAAGCATGTTTAGTTCGAAATTGTTTTGGCCCCGGAGCCCCAGAAATTCAGCCGGTTTTCATGAGAGGCCATTTCAATATAAACGCAATGTAAACACATCATATCAGTATCTGTGACTATTCTATCAAACCGGAAAATTATGTCAAGACTGGAGACCTTCTACGTTGCTAGACGCACGAACGCAGGAGCATTCTCAAGAACATTAGGACAGTGAACGTCTTCCGAATGATTCAGGAGTATAATAGCCCGAGCTGCCGAGGTGAAAAATATTGACCAAACGATAGGCCGTGTTGCAAGCCAAAGATTTTATCATATAGCATCCTACACGAAACCCAAAGTAGCTGATTCCTTTCTTCGTCTTACTGAATGTCAATAATTATGCTATGCTGCAGGTGCCGCTGCTCAGGCAACACCAAGCTCGACTAGAGATTGGGGGAGATTTGCTGATTTGTTCAGAATATATTGTGAAATCCCTGGAACAGTATTTGAAGTTGGCTCTTCTCTAAATTTGTCCAATAATTGGCTGGTGCTTCTTACAAGCCACCATCGCTATGTTCAATGACTAGACGCTGGAAATGTTGCATGTCACTACCGTGGGCGTTCCGCGTCTGCTCAAAGTGATGGTATTTGCTAGGTGAAAGGGTCAAGGCTACAACAAAGTAGAGGGTTTTGGATAAATAACACCTGTATATATGGAACATGAGCGGGAAAAAACGTTTTGATCATGTCCAGGAGATCTTCATACCTAGATGAAAGTGCCAGGCGGCATCCTGAAGTCTTCAGCGTGGCTGTTCAGGCTCAGACTAATGGCAAACACCCACGGAGAGAACCCAAGCTGGGCTACATCGGGGTTGACATGACGGAATCTCAGAGTAAGTCTACGGTAATCAGCATTGTAGGTCGCAACAGGGAGGCTGTGCGGCTCGAGATTTTGTACCCAAAGAGGGACCAAGCGGTCGTTGGTGTCATACCACTGTCGGGGCATATTGAATCCCGTTTTGGAAAACTCGTTGTGAAAGGTAGCATGATCGTCATATGTTTCGCTGCCAGAGGGGTAAGAGGATCGGCAGTAATTGTGCCGGTCGTTGATGGAGGTCAGATGAACACAATGAAAATGGCCAAGAAAAGAGTGCTCGGAATGGAAGCATCAGATTGTCGTCGTACGAACAAAGTGGCTTGGGCTCTCTTGAGCAACAATACATACCACCCTGGCTAGTAGAGTTGTATTGTACCAAGAATCCCATTTTGTGTGTCTTTTCGATCTTTGAGGCAGCAAGCTCATCCTCAACTGCCAAGAGGTTTATGTTTCAGACATGTATAGAGATAGGGACTGGTATGCGTTCGATCGAATAGTTTAGATTGACATCGATATGGACATGGAAGAAGGTTTCTGGATTTCTCTCTAAGAAAGAGAGAAGAAAGACTAAGAAAGAAACTAGAGCAAATAGCATCAAAAAGATACGACCGCTCGAGCAAGCATATAGGCCACTTAATCAGCGAGTAGAAGTCGATAGGTTGGATAGCGGAGGCAAGGAAGAGTCATTGACGTCTGTATATTCAATGCACTACCGTCTACAATAAGGACTGCTTGGAGATACTACCCCTTCCAATATCTCGTCACAAAGATACGCTTGCGCTTTCGCTGCACCTCAAGATTGGCTTTGGTCGAAGTTCTGTTAAGTCTGTTGTCGCAATTGTCCCTCGACTGCTTTATGTTCCCGCCAAACTTCTTTTCCTGGGCAGCAGCCAGCTTTTTCGATTGAAGCTCTTGAGTTTCCGATTCAAGATTCGGAATGACTTTGAATAATTTATCCATGGCGAAAAATTGGTCATCCGTAAGTAAGGTGTCCCAGTTCTTTCTCTTTTGGCCAATTTCCAAGCATAAGCATTCCCGTAATCCCTTCAGCGGCCAAAATGGTACGTGTTATCAGGCCCATATTGCCAGCAGGTGAGACTATTCCTTTCAACTGCGATCAGCAGCACAATGGGGAAGTCCCTCCTTTCTATAACTTGGTTGAAACTTGTCTCGAATTGGGAAGAATGGTCTCCATTTGCACCGATCCAAAGCCTTGATGAGAGCAATTGCAACCTGCCTGGGCCGAGCTGCATTGACACGTTCAGCTGGGTGGGAGAGGTAGAATAATGGGACTTACTGCATAAATAGATAGTGAATCGGCTTAAGTAATCTGGATTTTTATCTGACCAAGACGGAAAAACAAGAAAGAAAGAATAGAGATGGCGGTGGAGGTCGAGGTTGGGGTGGAGAGATGATTTGGGGAATGAAATGGGTGGAACGGATTGAGCAGAGAGGAAAGCTTTTAAGAAGATCAATTGTTGGTAGAAGTACCTGCTCTTGAGAGCTGTATGATGCCATAGTAATGTGACTTCCTACAGTACAACGTATTGTTCTCGGAAGGATCCAAGCACAGAGGTGAGCCTGTGATACGTTCTAGAAGCATAATGCGGCAGCCACAGACAACACCCAAACTGCCACGCTTGCCATTCACGGTGGTTTTGCTACCGTATCATTCAATCGTAAGCTGTACGTAACCTGAGAAATCGCGTCCTCTCTTGTCCATGACCTGTACCATGTGAGCTACAGGTGCCTTCCTGGGAGTCAACAACGTAATGCTTCCAAGAAGTAGCAAAGCTGACAGGTGAGTAACGAAGAGCAGTACCGCAGTCTCCTGTATACTGGTTGAATTTTCCAGAAATGCAAACATCAGGACTGGCAAGTGTTTTGCTCTGCAATCAATGACATGTCTACGCTTGCCAAGAGAATTGCATGAATTGGTGCTTTGAGAAGCACATACCGCAAGCTGCTGGCCAACATGTTTAAGCAAGGAAGTAACACACGAAGATATAAGTAACATATATTAGAAAATTGTTAGATACAATAATTTCCCGTGCGCCTTGGACATCGGATCTTCCATGTGACCAGCGCTCCATGTTATGCGTGAGAGCGTGTTTTTGCATGCAGGATTTCATGTATATTGATTCACGTTTTCATGACGTTACTTCAGGGGAAATCTTGCAGATAATCATTGCATTGTCATTCAAACGATGATCACTCAAGGTTCATTTGATAAAGCATCTTACTGAGTGATGATAGTTTTCCAGCAAGTTGCCCAATTCTAGGAGAGCTGCCCTCGAATCATGTCTAGTCCAACTGGAAACTACTCTGTTGGCTCCAGGGTCTGAAGAGCCTGTCAACGAAAGCGACGCACCTGTCGGCTCCCCACCAATTCAAGTAGCTATTTCAATGAGAAATTAAGTAGAAAACGGTCAACTATCGACGCTCAAAAGTGGTCATTGGTTGATGTGAATGCATCTGACGACTTGTTGGAGATACATGTACACAATACTACGGCGCGCTATGAGCTTAATCGAGGGGTTCATCGTTGGGAACAGATTCTGCATGCTCGTCGTCAAGCCAATCACAGAGTCGGACATCATAGTATACTTGTGCCAGTATTAATACGAACGACCACGATTTTCAAACGAGCCTTTGGCTGAGCTTGCCATGTTGAACAGCTCGGCATTAATTTAATCTCCTGTCAGGTCAAAATTGTTGCAAGAGCACGAGTCAGGATTTGCTGGCTTCCAAAAACTCCCTGTCTGAACAATTGCCGTGAATTTGGACCGAGTGATGGTTTTTTTCTTCTAACCCCAGACTCCATAGCGGGTAAGATCGTTGCTATGGGTCCCCCATCCCAAACTTGGCGTGGGGCCCGAGCCGACTTCGCAATAAACCAAGGGGCAAAGAATGAAAGAAACTATTGATAAAAAGATGTCATATGAGAGACTAGAACACGTGTTTCTCTGGTTCTTGATTGACTTTGTCTAGTGTTGGGAGTAAGGTTGGAATTTGAATCAATTTTCGTACAAAAGTCTGCCCAGGAAGAAGCACATAATCATGGCCGAGCAAAAATCACAACCCCTGATTCTTATAGCCGGAGCAGGCATTGGCGGTCTCAGCACGGCCCTGGCGCTACACGCTGCCGGCTACACAGACATTCACATCTTTGAGGCCAGCTCACACCTGACAACACTGGGCGTCGGCATCAATGTCCAGCCATCAGCCGTCCTGATTCTTCGCAACCTGGGTCTGTTGCCGAGACTGCACGACATTGGCGTCGAGACCAAGGAACTCAACTTTTACAGCCGTCATGGCAACTCGATTCTGTCGGAGCCGCGCGGAGTGGGTGCCGGGTATACCATCCCCCAGTTCTCGATACACCGCGGAGAGTTCCAGATGCTGCTGCTGGACGCGGTCAAGGAGCGTGTTGGTGCCGACCGCGTCCACCTTGGCCATGCCTTTATGGGTTACACGCAGGACGAGCAGTCCATTACAGCCAACTTTGCCCGCCGAAACAGTGAAGAGCCAGTCGAGATTCCGAGCATGAGCGGAAGTATTCTGATTGCCGCAGACGGCATCAACAGCACGGCACGACGCCTGCTCTACCCCAACGAAGGCCCGCCTCGTTTCTCTGGACGTATTCTGTGGCGCGGTTGCATTGAACGCGAGCCATATCTGACTGGAGCATCAATGATCTGGGCCGGCCACGCGAACCAAAAGTTTATTGCCTACCCAATCAGCGGCTGCTCAGCACGTCGGGGCAAGTCTTTGGTGAACTGGATCGCCGAGCTGCGGGTGCGCGACGAGAACGACCCGGACCTGACTCCACCGCCAGCAGACTGGACCAAGACCGTGCCGAAAGAGAAATTCGCCGGGCCCTTTTCCGAATGGACCTGTGGAGGTTTGCAAATGAAGGACTTGATCGATAGTACCGAAAAAGTGTTTGAGTTTCCCATGTGCGATCGAGATCCAGTGGAGCAGTGGTCATTTGGCCGTCTCACCCTCCTTGGAGACGCTGCCCATGCGTATGTCCTGAAATACTCGACTCATTGCAGTAACTTTTTGCTGACATGAGAAACTAGGATGTATCCAATTGGATCCAATGGCGCGACACAAGCCATTATTGATGCCGAGACGCTGGCAAAGTGTCTGGTCGAGAAGCCCACCGATCTGCCCGGGGCTCTAAAGGCATACCAAGATATGCGTCTACCTCCGACGGCACAGATTGTCATGGCTAACCGTGCAAATGGCCCGGATCATGTATTGCAGCTTGCGCATGAGCGAGCCCCCGACGGCTTTGAAAACGTGTACGACATTATCCCCAAGGAAGAGTTGGAGGGCATCGGTGCAGCATACAAGGCCATTGCCGGGTTTGAGCGCGACGCAGTTAACCAAAAGGCCAAGGACACGGAATCGCTGCCTGAGAGATTTGGCGTGTGATAGGATTGCGTCTGCCGATAATGCAAGAAAGAAAGAAAAAATGTGTAGAGGAAAAGAAAACATGATGCAATTCAGGTGGGGGAAAACATACCAGTGAGATGGCAACGGGAAAAAAGTCATGGCAAAAACGCGTTGGAATTGACTTGTACATATAAAGATCCAACCAATCAAGAATGCAGGATCCCAAGCAATGCACAAGACCTGATGAGCTCAGGCCATGGGATTTTCCCGCTCGAGCCGGTCGCAATTTGCATTTTCATCATATATAAAACACGACCTAATCTATCAACATGATGCCCCCTCCCATCACCTCATTGGGGCAACATTGGTTACGCACTCTCACCAATACCCCGACTGTAATCACAATTGGGGGCGCACGTGAAACAGTTTGCTCGCCATGCAAGTCGTGAGGAGAATTCCACAACATCCAATCGCTTACCCAGTTCAACTGCATGAATCCCCCAGGCCAAGCATATTACCAGTGACCACCTCCAAAAATGTTGCTGCATGTATGGGGAAAAATGACCATGTGTGCGACCCCTCTCGCACGCCTTCGTATTTTTTATTCGCCTCCCTTGGAGATAACGGTTTGCCTTTTTGTATTTATCTATTCATGTGTTGATTGATATGTTGCTGATCTTGTAGTTCAAGTTTCATTTCCTTTTTCCTTTCACCCTCTCATCATACCGTCTGGCACGGTCACCCAACCCCGCGGTTGAGGAAGGAATAAAAAAAAATGGGGTCAACCAACGTGACCATTCAGTCCAGAGCACCACAATTTCTGGCCGTCGTGGGCATCGGCCTGGCTCTGGTCTTGGCCATTCTCTTCTTCTACTTCAATATCCGCCGTCGGGCTTTTAACCGACACCGCGCCGGCGACCCGGAGCGCGCCCCCATCAGATTTCCCGGCGACGACGCGGCGCCTCTCCTGTCCGAGGTCGTCCCCGGTCCGCCGGGCCCAGATGAGTATCATCAGACCACCAGCTACGGCGCCACCGCCCTGGAGCCGAGTCCTGCGAACAAGCGGGAATTCCTGCACCAAGGCGGAGGGGCTAAGAAGAGCGACAAGGAAGGAGAAGACGCGGGGCCCGGTCAAGTCATGGCCGAGATCGAGACAGGCGCCGGCCGGCCAGAAACTCCCGACGAGGCCAACTTGAGCTCCCCGTCTGACGAGGAGGAAGACGACGACAGGACGCCGGTTGGGCCCTCCACGACAGCCAGAACCGACTCCGAGGCCCCGTTGGACTATCTGGGCGGGGCGGAAGAGGAATGGAAGCAACCGTCGCGGCCATACAGCCCGACAACAACTGCTTCATCGGCCCACTCAACGGGGCGATGATTCATGCATGCCGAAAGCCTGTGTCAAAGGTGGTAGACTATACATTGATTCGGGTGGACGCGTATTCGTATTTAACTGCAGGCCCAACCATCTTGGTCAGCGCAGTTGAAAGTTTCTTGGGCAGCACACGCTTGGCCTGAAATGGATCATGATAATAGGAGAGGCGTGAGAGTATTGAGTAATGGAACTGCTCGTGGCCCTTTTTTTCCGACGTCGTCGTCAGTGACACAAGCTTTGGGACAAGGAGGCTTTGACGTGTCTTACATTTGGTAGTTTTGCAAGGAAGCTATGGCTTGGAGTCAAGCCTATTTTTATGACATGATTTGAACAGTATCTTTAGAGGTATGCTTTTGGATCCAAAGTTCAAGGGGTGCCTGGTAAAGGCAAGTCAATCTTTGTCGTCCGGGGATAAGTCATCCCCATTGAGATATAGTAGGGGACCGGCTTTTGCTCGCAGAGACATCTAGATGTTCCAATTGTCCAAGTCGCACAATGGTCTAGGACTTGTGACCAAGGAAAACCTTCCTCACCTATCATCTTACCCGTCTCTGGGGCCATAGTGTGTGAAGTGATTCGCCCAGACCATTTAACCCAAAGGCGAGGATGAAGTCTACAGCCACATCTCACGTTAGTGCATGATTATTGCCACTAGGACACCATGGGCTGGATTAGTATGGGGGAAAAAGTTGTTTATCAGGCAATACACTTTGCTGCTGAAGTCTCGCGACGGCAAATGAATTTCTCACCAATACCGTCTCTCGCCTCCTTCAAAGAAGATCAAAAAAACAATATCATCCCAGCTGGGTAAGCTTGGGGCTGAAAAGTTGTCCAGGGGTCTCACTCTGGATGGCGCGTCCAGTCTGCTGGCATTCCTCATTGCTTTTTACTTTCCACCATTCCCTTGTGTTGCTTGCGGTACGGCTGTCCCCGAAAGAGGCTCGGCGTGGCCATTCATTCGACCCTCTCCATCTGAGACACGGTCTCTCATGAAAGGATCATGGAGAGCACGACCCCCGAGAAGATGATGCCCCTTCGGATTACATTCCTACACTCTCTCCCCTTCCCATCTTCCCGACTCTATTTCCGTAAAAGGTATGGCTATCCCTCACTCGACTGCCCGGGTGTATGCTTGAGATCTGGGACTTGAACCCCATCGTCGACGTCCTTCTCGCGACTTGCAAACATTTCACCCTCCCTGGAAGCCAAAGTAAATCGAGCGGGAAAACCAATATACAGCACGGCAAGACCAACCTAGATTGTATTTGCAGGGGATAATGCCGATGCCCTCTAGCACACGCCACGTTTTCTGCACGACAGCGGCCCGGACGTGGCAGCGATAACAGGGGAAAAAAAAAAAGATGCCGCCATCTTATTCCGACCCCCGGCTTCAAAACTTCACCATTATCGGATCCGACGGGGTGACGCCCATTCAAGTGTCCATGCCCCTCATTGACGGCATACGGGTGCAACTGGACAATACATGTATTAGCTGGAGCGTGCAGCTCGGGCTTTGCCTCATGACGCTGCTCACGGTGCTGCTCCTGACGCCGCCCTCGCGGATGCGCCGCGCCATCAACGCCGTGCACATTGCCTCCATTGTCGTCGCGGTTGTGCGCCTCAGTCTCTTGATTCAGTACTTTCCCGGGGCCCTGACCAGTTACTATGTCACGTGGACCAAAGACCTCAGCGTCTTGGAACAGGATGACTTTGAAATGTTTGTCGCTGGAATGGCCCTTAATGCCCTCCAGTTTGCTTTCATCGAGGCGGCCCTCATCATGCAGGCGTGGACCCTCATCAAGTGCTGGCGGAGCGCGTGGAAGTGGGCAGTCCGCATCACGGCCATCATCTTGGCCTTGGCCACCGTCGTCGTCAAGGTCTTGTGGGTGGTGCACTTTATCCAGATATTGCATAGAACATTGCTGCCAGTAAAAATGGACACTGTCGGTCGAACGGCGACTGTCCTGGGTGCTGCATCCATCTTCTTCTTTTGCGGTCTCTTCGCTACAGACCTGACGGTGCACCTTCTAGCCACAAGGTCCCTCATCAGGAGACTCGGGAGAGGTCTGACTAATTTGGAGATTCTGGCGATTGGCAATGGAGTGCTAATGATATTGCCAAGTGAGTATTTCTTGCTCATGATAAACCCCATTATTTTACACATCATTGACACTTGTGTAGGCCTATTTGCAGGAGTGGACGTGGCGTCCGGTCTCAGTGGATCTCATGTTCTTCCCTTTGATGCCGGGTCCTGGGTCATGACGCTCGTGGTCATTGGACTTCCCTTGACTGCCCTCATTGCCAAGTACAGAGGACCGACGTCGACCAGCCCTTCCAACCAGGCATCTCACCGACTGTCTCTTTTTGCCAACGGGCCGATGCATGTTCTCAAGCCGCACCATTCGGGGGCCGCCGACAATATCACCCTCGACAGTCCGACAGGCGACAGCTTCATGGCCTCGCGAGATGCCACGCGCGCAAACTCCATCATGAGTGGCAGAAAAGCACCAAGTTATTTCAGTAGAAACCCCGGGCCATCACACAATGAGGACATGGAAATGGGGATTCAAGTGAGAAAGGATGTGTCCGTGGTCTTGGGAGGACCTGACACGAACATGCCGAGTTTATCGAGTGACTTATATAACATTGGGAGATAAGCAGGGGACTTAATCAAGGCCTTGTCATTTTCATATAAATTAATAAAGATGATGTTCATCTTGTTGACTAGATCAAGAGGTCGAAGGTGTCACGTTGGTGGTCGTATACGAAGCACAAGACTGTCCCTGAGTGTCCACCGTCATCTGAGCCGCGTCATCGTGGCCACTGGCACAAGCACCTCCACTGGCGACCAGCTCCCCATTCTGCAAAGTAACAAGCTCAATACCCGAGGCCGTGCAGTCCTCGGCCCTAAAGTGCGTTCCATTGAATCCCACGCACGCATCCACGTCGACCAGATCAGGTCTAAAGCCTGCAGTAAAGGTACGCTGCACCTTGAGGGCTGCATCTCCCGATGAGAGGGTAGTGGGAGTCATTTGGCGATCCGCAGCCGTGTCGACACATGCGGCGTCGACTATTTCTCCTGTTTTAGTGTGTTAGTCTCCTCATGTCATCTTCTTCACGTCGTGAATGGTGCAAGGCTCTCTTACCGTTATTTCTAAATGTCAAGCACTCATTGCCTGGGACACCTCCAATCTCTGTGAAAACCTGAGTGCTTCCAGACGCACCCGATGTTGCCGCCCCCGTGGCCGCAGCGGCTGCGCTCGTAGTCTGGGAGCCAGCCTTTCTGTTGCCGCCGCGTCTAGGTTCGACAACAGCAGCGCTGACATAGGCGGCACCAAGCAAGAGGACAAGAAACTTCATGATGAAAAGTTGAGATTGTGTGCAAGCGCAAAGACAAAATGTTTAGATATGATACAAAGAGTTGGTTGAAAGAACGTTGATGAAAACGAAGCGAATGTGGTCCTGCCAGAAAATTGGTCGAATAGTAAAATACTGAAGGTGAAAATCCAAGTGAATGATGGATGGGACGATCAGTTTATAACAATCATATTATATTGACACCCAGAGCAGGTGGGCTTGGAGGCAGTCATGCTCGTATTGCTTTCTGCCCCGTTGCAAGACTCTCACGTATACTACTAGTCCTCGCCTCCAAATCAAAGGCCCAGAAACGTCTCATCATTGGATCTGAGGCAAGGGGTCGCCCATCGACGTCCATCAATGTGGGGTTCGGTTCAGAACTTGGGGCGCATAGAACCCTGCCGACAGGGATTGTGATGCTCCTTTGCCCATGCCATGGGACCGAGTTGAGACGACACCCAGAGCCTCATGTCGGCGCTAGAAGTATAAGCTTGAAGACAAGGTTCTCCGTAGACGGCATCGCAGAGCCGAGAAATCAACTACTATTTGTTGTGCTCCACACCATCATCATTCACCTGTGTCAAAAACAAAATAAAAAAAATTCAAAGCTGCCATGACTTTTTTTTTTCTTTTACGTATTCTCATTATACTCAGAGGGGCCAATCTAGAGCTCTCTCTCATTAGTTATGCAAGGCGATGCTCAACTGTATTCCTCTTCAAAGGAACTGGGAAGCATCAGCAGGCCCCATTGCTGCAGACAATGCTTGCACAAGGTACTCAAGTTCACCACCATCGACGCTCAACTCCAAACGTCATCGCATGTTCTGCCCCCTACACCTTCAACGGTGGCTCTTGGTTTTATAGAAATCAGTATAAAACGCCCGCCCAATGCAGCTGCTCCACAGAACTCCCCCCAAATTTACACAATAGCTTTCTTTTGTTTTGACTTTTCCAGAATCGACGAGCAAAAACGAATGCTGATGATGTTGGCTTGCTGTTCATGAATGTGCCCGTCATATTGTCGATCTGTCCATGTGACAGTCTACTCATACGGCCTCACTTTATCGCACAGAAGCACCTGAACGGTCGGTGAACATGCGACTGGCAATGTTCATGGCTTGCAACTCTTGGAATAGGAGTTTGGCCGCATAGGGAATGTGAATCTGCGCAATTTTGGTCTTATTCTTGCAGGGTCTGCATTCAAACGTCTGGTTGGTCAAGTGCCTGTCGTATACTTGGGTTAGTTTCCTGAAAGCGAGAAGGATGCATATGGGATAACTTACGCAATTGGCGTCATGAGACCGCAAATCTCGCAGACGTGAACTCTGAACGCATCCGAAACCTCAAAGAGTCGCTCTTTCAGGAACGCGGCGGCACCGTGGGCTATCATACAGTCACGTTCCATTTCTCCGAATCGGAGACCACCGTCCCTGGCACGACCCTCGACGGGTTGACGAGTCATGATCTGGACCGGACCACGAGCACGAGCGTGAATCTTGTCGTCCACCATGTGGCGGAGACGCTGGTAGTAGGTAGGACCAAAGAAGACCTGTGACCGGAGCTTTTTACCAGTATGGCCATGGTACATGATCTCGAATCCTCGAGACTGGTAGCCATGCTCACGTAGCAGAGCTGACACGGAATCAACCGTGACGTCGGTAAAAGGGGTAGCATCACCCTCCATACCCTTTAGCGTAGAGACTTTACTGAGGAGACACTCGACCAAATGGGCAATGGTCATTCGTGAAGGAATGGCGTGGGGGTTGATAATGATATCAGGTACGATACCCTCACGGCTGAACGGCATATCCTCTTGACGGAAAGTGACACCAATAGTACCCTTTTGACCGTGTCGAGACGCGAACTTGTCACCAATCTGAGGGATCTTGGTGGTTCGCACCCTAACCTTGACGTAGCGGAGACCATCTGCGTTGGTTGTCATGATGACCTGATCAATGATACCGCTCTCGGTGCTTCGCAGAGGCGTTGAGGCATCGCGCTTCTGATGGGCTTTTGTTCGCTGACCAAACTCTTCATTATCGGGGTTGATGGGCGAAGTCTTGCCAATGATGATGTCCTCGCCGTTGACGCGCACGCCTGGGGCAACAATACCATCATCGTCCAACTTGTCGTAGGTACCGTGCTTCAGGCGCAGTGTGTCAGACCGGAAGGGTTTCTCGAATTGTTCGATGGTGTTGATTCCAACACGTTTCTCGCAATCGCTGTAAGAACGGAAGAACAGACTTCGGAACAAGCCGCGGTCGATGCTGCTCTGGTTCATGATGACGGAATCTTCCTGGTTGTATCCAGAGTAGCAGGCAATTGCCACGATGGCGTTCTGACCAGCTGGAAGCTCTCGGAACTTGAGGAATTCCATGGAGCGAGTAGTACCAAGAGGCTTTTGAGGATAGTAAAGAATGTTGGCCATTGTATCCATACGACGAGAATAGTTCGTCAGGAAGAAGCCCATGGCTTGTTTACCCATGGCGGATTGGTAAGTGTTACGTGGAGACTGCATATCTGATTAGTTTTGAACTGAAAAACCTTGCCTACTTTCAATCATACCTGGTTGTGATCCGGGAAGGGAATAATGCTGGCGCAGATACCCAGAAGCATGCTGGGATGAATCTCACAATGTGTGTACATGTGCGTGGTAGGGTTGAGCTTGGTCTTTAATCTGGCATTGAGATCCTCGCTGTTGTCCTGACTGACGTCGATACCTTGCTTGGCGAGTCGATAAGTTTCCAAATCTTCAGGTGTCATGCAAATCATGGCTGTCTCCTCTTCCTCTGCATCGAGGTATTCAATAACTCCCTCGTTGACGAGACCTTGCCAACCAAAGAAATCTTCACTATCGGGTGGGAGCGTAGCATCTTGTTCCAGTCGTCGGATCATGTCCTTGTTCAGGACCAATCTGCCACTCTCGACACCACGGTCGGGATCGTCTTCTTGTTCTACAACGAACAGCGGGCGCATGACACGACCGGCGTCGGAGAAAATCTTGAACTCTCGGTCACGAATGTCACGAACCAGGGAGACCTCGGCAGGAATCTGATTGCTGCGACGGAGCTGTTGGACATCTCTGACCAGAGCCTTGGGGTCCTGGTGGACACCAATCCACGAGCCATTGAGGAAGATCTTTGTGGCGTTGGGGTAGCGCACAGCATCGTACTCTTCGAGAACTTCCATGTTTCTAGTAATCATGTAATCGATGATGGGCTCAGTGCTAGTACCTACACTCACAGAGCACATGAGAGACAGATTCTTGACGAGACCGCAGGCCTGACCTTCTGGTGTTTCTGCAGGGCAAACCAAACCCCAATGGGTGTTGTGCAGCTGACGAGGCTTGGCAAGCTTTCCGTCACGCCCAATAGGCGTATTTGTTCGACGCAAATGAGACAATGTAGATGCAAAGGTGTATCTGTTCAGCACCTGCGACACACCAGCTGTCGAACTCATGGCCTTCTTCTGGTCACCCCAGTTTCCAGTGGCGAGAGAGTATTTCAAACCATTGGTGACAATACCAGATTTGATACCGAATTGAACCTGGAAGTCCTTGTTCTGCTCAACACAACGCTTGAGCGTCATGGTGATCTCGTTGGTAAGCTTCCGGACAATATTTCGGAAAAGTTTGGCGAGAAGAGGACCGGCCAAGTCCAGACGCTTCTTTCCAAAGTGATCACGGTCATCAGTGTCTCTGCGACCGAGGGCACATTGCAGGAGCTTGTGTACCATGTAGCCCAGGAAGAAGGCCTTTCTCGTTTCGCAACCCTCGCTCTGGGAGATGTGCGGAAGAGTCTCCTTCTGTAGAATGTCCCTGGCGGCGCGAACACGTCGGTCTCTTGTAAAGCCGGAAACTTGATTTCCACGCTTGCCAATAAAATCAAGTGCGACCTCACGGTCTTGAATACAGAAAGCCTCTTCAATACACGGCCGCAGCATTTCCAGCATTTGACTGTCGTTTCTGTCGTAGCAGATCTGGTTCAGAATGTCCTCGTCCGAGACGACACCAAGGGCACGGAAAACAATACCAATAGGCAGGTCAGACTGCACATATGGCAGAGTTGTGGCAATTGTCTGACCATGTGTTCCACTAGAACCACCCTTGGCGTACAGCTTGAGCATCAGAGATGAAATCAAGCGCGAGCCCTTCTCCAGCGCACTTCTGATTTCAGCCGTGTATGAGTATGGACTGGGCTGAGCCTTCTTGAAGACTTGGACGATGTTGGCAGCAGAACGCTCCTGCGCAATGAGAACCTTCTCACTGCCGTTGATGATGAAGTATCCACCCTGATCATATGGACACTCGTTCAAGAGGAAAAGGTCATCTTCAGTCTCGTGTGCCAAATGGCAGGCCTTGGATTTGACCATCACCGGCAGCTTTCCAATAAAAACCATGTCGGGATCCTTGTCCTTAGAACTATCCTTGGTGGTTGCTGGAATCGGGACATCTTCTTCCTCCCACTCAAGGTGGCCAGGTCGTTCACCAGTCCGCTTGAATTCTTCGTACTGTTCATCGTCAAGCTGGTCGTCGGGAATAGGATACTCCACGCAGACAGAGCGCTTCTGGGTGATTTTAACGTAGAGCGGAGCCGAGTACGTCAAGTTTCGATCGCGACATTCGTAAGGCAGGAGCGGTGCCATGATACCCTCACCTTCTGTAATAACAGGCCTGGAGACTGCAATATGGCCGAGCTTGAGTTCATATCGACGAACTCTTATGGGACGGTCGGGTGTCGAGTCTGGAGGGTTGTTCTGGTCGAGACTGATGTGAGAGTATTCATCAATCAACTCCTGGACGGTAGTCTCTTGAAAGTCATTAAATGAGTCGATCTGTTGTGACACCAGACCCTTTGTGTCAAAGTAGGAGGAAATGACTGTCCAGCAATCCTCGGGCGTGATGCCCTCCTCAGCTTCGCCATCGAACTCGGCATCGTACTCGTAATTCTCGTACTCATCCATCTTGTCTACCGGTGAGAGTGTTCACGGTTGATGGTGGTGTGTTGGGTTTGAGTACAGGGAAAGACGACCAAAGTGGGAGTTGTCCAGCCTGATGCTAGTGTTTGTCTTTCAGGAAGGCGCGCAAAGTGATTGGTTCCTGTCGTAGTGCTGAAGACAAGATGGATAAGAAGTAATCTGGCGATGATTCTTCTAACGAGGCAGGAGGTGATGGCCAGGGAATCTCTTCTCCGGGCGGTAATTGTACAAATGTATCAAGAAAAGAAGCAAACAGAGAATAGTTTTGATGAAGTAGTTGAGCTTGCTTTTTGTCGCAATAGATGGAGCGAGTGCTCGCCCGGCTGGAAGGCGCGTCGATGCGACAGGCGCAGGCGGCGGCGGCGGCGAATTGTCAAATGTTGTCGCGGACTGGAGGCTGTCTGTCGTCGTTCTTCTAGGAGACACGATCTGCCTTCGCAAAACACGTCAGTGCCGGAGCGCCCCAAAAAAATCAGCAAGCTATCCAGAGCATCAGTAGATACCTTGATGATGCACGGTGATTCTTCCGACAGATGCGCGCGTTGTTGTGTCGGCCTCCACACGTCCAAGGGCCCAGGAATGTTGATGCTGGTGATGGACAGCAGCCTGGCTGACAATTTCGAAGATGCGGCTCTCTCTCTGGGTTCGAATGGCAAAGAAAGCTCGGGCCTCAAAGGGGAGCGAACCTGGCGCTAAGCCGCATCTGTCACTGGCGCTGTGCGAGCAGAGGCACTCACGTCACGTGGTCTGGAAATCAACCTGGGAGGAGTCGCGTAGGGCGACGCGACTTGCAAACAGGTGGGCCTGCTACATATGTAGATACATAATCAGCTACGGCGACCTACAGGCGACCCTTGTGAAACTCGCTAGACAGATATCACACATGCTACAAATGCCACAGCATACGGATGTTATGTCCATACAAACATATTGACGTACGTATCGTGAAGTCTGCCAGCTTTTTTTTTTTTTTTTTTTGGCTTGCATATGTGATATTCATCCCGCTCATTGTGATCCTTTGTTGTTGATCTATCCGCTTCAGCGACTACTACTGGTTGCAATCATCCTCCAAAATACTTCACAAGCACTATATCTATTAAACTGGCATTTTAATCGAAATCACGCGAAGCGAGAAACATTCATACAGAAACGACTTTTGGATGCAGTTTTCTTGTTATTTTCCCCTTCTCTTTCTTTCTTTATTCCTCTGATATTCTCGGAATTGAATGTGTACAATGTTTGCGCGAGTCTTTCTTTCAACGAGCCATTGTCTCTCGTGCAGTCATGTTTTGCCCCGCGCTTCGTCTAGAAATCAGACGATTACATACAGCGCCGTTTCATTTATTAAGCGTTGACCCGGTACAGCATTAATTGCTATTTGAACTCCATGGATCTGTCGCATGAGCTCCTAACAACTATTTGTGTAGCCTGTGGGGGTAGAAGGAGTACCACTTCATCTGGAGCAGGCATTACCCATCGTCAGCCTGGCTTGCCTGGACGTTTATTGATTATTATTCGCATGCTGTGAAATCGGGAAGTCTGCAGCTTCGCCTTCAAGGTGTAATGGTGCCAGTTCTGAGCATTGCAGATACATCAGATTGGATTGCTATCATACTTGTTGGGTAAGATCGGAAGTACTAGGAATTCATCTAGCCTACATAGCTTACGTATAGGTAGGCATGAATGCAAGCAGTATGCTTTGATCTTCATTCAAAAGCAAAACCACCTTCAGACGGCCAAAGGGGGAAAAAAGGATGGACAGTCAGCATTGGAGCTGGCAACAAGATCTAGCCCTCGAGGTTATTAGTGGAGCCCGGACATTTGGCAGGCCAAGCACCGACTTCTCAAGCTGAGCATCCCCCCGAAGACCCCAAACCAAGAACCCAAATTCAGGTGTCACAAGATCTACATACAGAGTATGCGATCTGCATCTATTGCCAGGTTGCACACCAACTTTATTGCGTGCAACCCCACTCGAGATTGCATCCTACCATGTAACGTCTTTGCATCCGTCGGCACTACAAAATGGAATTCACTATAGCGTTTTCCAATACTATGAAACCAGGAAAAGCAAAGACCATTCAAAAACTGCACACGAAAAAAGTGACGAATCGCCTACGGTAGTGGGAATTCCGCCGATGCCCAGCAAGCTAGCCCCTCACTCGCATGGAATCGTCGTTCAGTCGACAAGGTAGTACGAACTAAAGAGGGATTCCCCCCCAAAGTCGGCGAAGAGACGATCGCATGAGCGCCACTTTTGGAGTAGTCAAGGACGCCAATCTTTTTTCGTTTTGTTTTTTGCTTGCAAGCGCACAATTCCTTCGGGAGTTCATCAGCTGAAATGCGCAGTTGAACTTTTCGGACCCCAAGGACTCGAATTCCTCAGCTGCCGACCTTTAACGGGAGGCGGGGGGTTTGTTTAAAAGAAAAGCCCGGTGTTCACTGCCCAGATGGGCATAACCAAAGCTGATGAACCTGATGGACAGGGCAGAGTGATTGGACCAAGTGGTTTCTTAGGAAGATCGCTTGGTGGCTTCCGCCCCTTGTCGATTCAACGGATCCGAGGATCTGGGACGATAGATTATCTCACACACCCCTCCCCAAATCACAAATAGATCAACTTACTTTTGTGTGCGTGCCTGTGTCCAGCTGAGTGAGAGGTGCGGTGCGGTTCGCTGAATACCGCATCTACCAAAAAAAAGCCAGTCAAGTTTTCCGTCCGCCTCCTCTTCTCTCCCTCCGATAGCCCTAAGGGAAAACTTGAGGCCATCGCTCGAGTAATTTCTTGTGAGAATGTCTCTCTTACCTCGCTGAGATTGGCCGATTTTACTATTTGCACTTTGGTGTCTCTGATCTTCATTTTCACTGGGGGCCAATCTTCCATAAACAGCCGAGCTTGCAAACTTTAGCGGCCACTGGTTCTATACGCACTACCAAAGAGACGGACAAAGAGGCCTAGACTCTACGCCAAATTGGCCATGGCCACGCCTAGTAGCGACCCGGCCGCGGCTCCGAAAGGAGAAGCAGCAGCAGCGCCAGTGGCAGGAGATGGAGTTTTTTCCGCGACAACATTTGTGGAAAACACCGACAGCGGCAGCGCACAACAGGCAGACGAGAGATATCCAGGTGGCACGGCAGTCAGCGGCAGCACAGCAGGAGGGGCCGTGACAACCAGCGGGGAGACGGACATGGATCCATTGTCGAGAGCGGATGGCGAGATCGCGCAGTCACCAGCCAGGGGCTCAAGCTCGACCCCATTTGAGCCAGCATCCGCTGGAATGTATCACGAAGATGGCCACAGCTCGTACGAAACCTCTGACACTCATGGCGATTCGAGTTCATTCTCCATAGGGCTGAGCGTACGTCCATATCTCTAGACCCGAGATGCATAATAGCTGGGACGATTAACATGCCGACAGGTTGACTATGATGACGACGACACAGACTCGGCATTGGGGAGTGCGTTAGGGTAAGTGTGCTGCTTTGTGTTCTGCATTTCCTTACTGCTAGTTTCGGCCCTCACAAATATACTCCCAGGGGATCGAGCATGTCTGCAACGTCGAGTATCTACGAGTTCGTGGAAGAATTTGGAAGGACTTTCCACCGGTACAAGGAAGGCAGTAAGTTTGAGCAACCCGAAACATGGAATATAAGCATTGGACTAACCAGGATTGTAAGAATACTTTCTTCCGAATGATGAAGTGAGCGCCGCGCCTTTATGAATAAAACGTTACTCCACACATACTAACCCATGTCCATCCTTCCAGCAAGAGATAAATAGGCTTGATCTTCAACACAGGATAGCCTTGCAAGTGCTCGAATGGAAATTATACCTGGCGCCGCTCGAGAGCCCCAGCCGGGTTCTTGACCTCGGCACGGGAACTGGCATCTGGGCGATAGAGTTTGCCGACCAGAACCCTGGATCCGACGTCCTTGGTACCGATCTCTCGCCCATCCAACCCGAATACGTGCCCGCCAATTGTCGATTCGAGATTGACGATGCCGAGGACGAATGGATCTACAGCCAAAAGTTTGACTACATCCACGGTCGTTACATGTGCGCTTTTCTCACCGACTTTCCAAAGTTGTTCCGGAATATATACGACAATCTCGTGCCAGGTGGATGGGTCGAGTTCATGGAGACATTGATCTTTTTCCAAAGCCCAGATGGCACACTGGAGGGGACTCCATTGCAGAGGTGGAATGAGCTCATTATCGAGGGTAAGCGCATGCCGACATATTAGATGAAAGCCCTAGATGGCCGACATTTCTTGATGCTGATACGATGGCAGGCGTCAAAAACATGGGCCGCAATGTCCTTTCCTGCAAAAAGTACAAGAGGTGGATGCTAGAAACTGGTTTCGACCAGGTGACAGAACGAAAGTACACAGTGCCCGCCAATACATGGGCCAAAGGTCGCAAGAATAAGGAGCTCGGCGCCCTGCAAATGGTCAACAATCTCAACGGCGTCTATGGTCTGACCATGACCGTTCTCACAAAGGGGCTCGGTTGGTCGAGTGAAGAGGTCGAAGTCCTTCTTGCCGACGTGCGGCGAGATATGAGTGACAAGAATATTCACGCCTACATTACCATGTATGTTTCGCTCTGCGAAAAGTACTGCAATACGTTTGATCTGCTGACCACAAACTAGTTACGTCGTCTACGGTCAAAGGCCCTACTAATACATCCGGCACACTTGAGGACATATGAATCCCATCTCTCACGAGTTACGAATCCAGCACACAATTTGCCTGCTCTTTCCCCTCTTGATATGATTCCCATCTTGTACATTGTCTTATAGAACTGATGCAAATACTCCAAGATATCATATTAATGTTTCAGAATAGAACAAAGTCACAGCGCATTAAAAGCCTTCCAAATATCAGTTATCAAAGTTGATCTATTGCTACCTTCCAAAAGACAAATAGTGTGTATGATCTATCGTGCGCGTGCAGCGGACCGCAAGGACACAGGGATTTGATAGAACTATCTGTGATATTTGATGATAGCCATCCCATCGTTTAAAGTGCCGCAGCTTGTCGTAGGCATAGCCGTCTTATCGGGTAATAAGCCATGCTTGGGCGCTGTATGGCAATCCTCTCGCCGGAGATGAGTTAGCAAGGCACTGTGTACCCGGATCAATCTGCCTGTCCTTTGCCCTTGCCTTTCTCCTTTGATGGATGGCGGGCCTTTCCCATGCTTGCACCAGGATCGCCATCAAGATCTTCTTTGCTAGTGCCAAAGTGCCCACCACTGGCGATCCTTAAAAGGCTGGTGCTCTTCTCCTTGTAGTAATTTACAATGTTCTTGACCTGCCCTGGTCTACGTGGCTTTGGAGCGACCAAGTCACCAGAAGATAACCCTGCTTCTCGAATCATGAATCCGCTCGCAGTCTGTTGGCCCCATCGAGCATCTCGAGAATCTGCCTCCTGTACATGATGCGAGACACCCGAGACCGCACGATCAGTTTCATCGAGCTTGTTTTGTCTGCGTTGGGCGATGCGCCTCTTGCGATCTTCTCGTTCGCGTTGTTTGTCCTTTTTCTTCTGTTCCTTACGCTTGTCTCGATCCTGCTGTGCTGCCCGCTTGAGGAGCCCACCCTGTACCGAATATGACGTGTGATGGCTCGCAACACTGTCATTACTGGGACGTTGGGATCTTGATAGACCATGGCCATGCATAGACTTGTTGCTTGTCGTACCGTCGCTCGTTTCTTGAAAGATATTGTCCTCAAGTACGCGTGGAGTGGACTGGTTTGCGCCGTCCAGACCAAATAGGTGGGTTTCCGCGTCATCGCTCACAAACCTCGGTATGAAAGGGAAACTCTTGCGTGCCGGCAGCAATGGAAATACCGAGCGGTAGGGAGAACGAGTGTACTCGATACTCGTCGTTGACTCACGGTATGACGAACGATATTGCTCGCGGCAGTGACTTCCATCAAGTGATTGTGTCAGTGACTGCGAGATGCGGCGCCAGATGTTGCGGACGGGATGATGGCTTCCCACTACTTTATGTACAGTTGACACGGGCTCTCCTGCTCCATTCATCACCACGCTCACGTGACTTGCATTATTGGAGGCTGTTGCGTGCGATTGAGAACGGCGGTGAAGGTGTTCAAAATGCTTGATACGGTCTTTGATAGGGGATCCATGATCAACAGCAGGCGGCGTAGGGGATGATGGCTCGAGCTTGTCCTGGCCATCTAAAAAGGTGCAATCAAAATCGTCAACAGCAATCTCGGTGGTCAAGGCCGGCGGCGTTGACTGTGTCTGATGCGAAATGGCGTTAAACTGACGTGCAAAAGACATCATAGATCCCGAAGAAGACCGATCGAATAGCTTTAGCAGCTCGGGAACTCTTTCATTCCCTTGTGCTGATCCACCATCCTCCGCCAGCACGCAAAATGCCCCATGATTATAGGACAGTTCTGTTTGTGTGCCAAAGTCCTTGCTTTGACGAACTTCTCCAGAGCCTTTCTCTGATGGTTTGCTTTCTCTTTCTCCGAAAAAGATAGAGGAACTTGGTTCGGTTTTGTTCGCTGCTTCCAATATCTCAAACTTGGACACCAATGATCCTAGTCTTGAGAGGCGCTTCTGGGGTCGTGTCGATGTTGGTCCAGCTTTTGCATGGGGGTCACCCGCTCTCGCATGGTACTCTCTTGAGCCGGCAGTCTGAGCATTGGTTGTAACGGAGTCTGCATAGTTTATTGAGTCGGAGCCGGTTCCCGACTTGTTGCGACGGAGTCGCAGTGGTGGGGGACAGAACTCAGGGGGAGGACTTTCAAAGCGCACCGGAGAGCTCAGGGATGAGCCCGTCGAAGCAGCTGCGGAAGCCATGGAGCCAAGGTGAGATATGAAATATAGCAGGAGTCCAAGAATTCCGAGAGAAGACTCGGCCAAAAAGAGAAGTTTGACGCTGATTACCTCGAGTCCTGAACCAAAACAATAGTGAGATTGATTGAAGTGGAAGGGTTTAGGCCAAAATGGAAACAAGGCGAGGAACTGATTATGGATACATACGCCTAGGATAGCTCGTCTCGCAATCAGAGAGTTCTTTCCCGTCTTGGAAACAGCATGAGTCCACCACACGAGGCAGCAAGCACATGAAACTGGGAAGCAATGAAACGGGCATCTCTCGATGGAAGCCGCAAACATGGAAAAGCGCTTGCTGCCATGTCTTGTCAGATCTTGAGACGGAATGGCAACTTGAGCTATTCATATCGCATTACGAGAGAACTATGGCAAAAGGAGAATCGGGAAATAATTTTCTTCAGTTCTTTAACAAGTTCACTTGACATGAATTGTGCTTTTCCTATTAGTAATAGCCTTATTGTTGGGGTAGAGATTAGGCCGTCAGTCCCATGCCACGTCCAATCTTCTTGGCCAATGCCTTCTTGAGATACCATTCTCTTGCCAAGCTTCGTGTGGTCTTTGCAAACACAGCCGGGGTAATTCGGCCTCTTTCGACGGCTCTGCCGAGCATGAATATGGCATCGCCTAACGCGCGCTCTTCTGCTACAACTTCATACAGCTGGTTTCCGACTACTGTAGGCGCAACCAATAGATCATCGATATTGGGAAGTGCTTGTCGTCTACTGTTAGATATGACGACATCTGCCTCTTTCATTGATGACTGCAAGTCTACAGTATTCGAGCTGAGGACGTTGGATAAAGCAGCAAGCGAGTTGGTGTCCGTCTGGATATTTTGGAGTGCCCCAAGCATGGCATTTCTCTGAGCGTTCAGTCCTGCCAGAGAGGTTTCGTTCTGCTGGCGTGCGCGAAGGCGGTGTTGGTGTAGTGTCACGGCAAGCTGATGCAATAAGGCATCCTTCTCTGGGTTTGGGGGAATGGGCGGTGGTGGCAGATTTGATGGCGAAGGCAATGCTAAAGTTAGTGGTTCTTCGTCCATGAGATCAGGTGGAGGCGGACGTTTTGTTTGTGGCTGCACGGAGACTGGCTGGAAATGTTGTGGAACAGGTTGCTGCTGTTGCTGCCAATTCACCGGCGGGCCGGCATATGATGCTCTTGGATTGTGGTAGGACGTTGTCGACGATGGTGAAGCCACTGACGAGCCTGGAGGCATCTGCGCCACGTATCCTGGTGGACCAGTAGCTTGTGCGACAACCGGCTGCTGTTGATGGTGGTGCGGAAAGTGAGGTTGTGGTGGATATTCCTGCACAGCTGCGTGCGGTATCTGCTGTGCTCCAGCGGCCTGGGGCGGCAAAGGCGGAGCAGAATCATACCGGGACAGCCTGTTGGACTGTTGCTGCTGCGACCCGTATTGACTTTGCGGTCTATGAGCGCCTGTTGGTAGCGGTGGCAACGGCGGGCCAGTATTGGCATTAATGGCCTGGCCCGGCACAACTTGTGGACCATCACTACCTTTGGGAGGAGGCGGTGGAGGTCGGCCATCCGGGGTATGGGGCGATTGAGTGTGGGCGATGCTTTGGGTGACCTCTCGAGGTAGAGGAGGAACCGGCGGTGGCGTTGGTGTAGGACTAGCCTGCTGTGTCGGAGGCCTGGGCTGTTGTCGCGCGATCACCGGTGGCTCTTTGGCGAAGATGTCGCGCAATATCGCAAGGAAGTCGAGTATCGAGGATTTCTAACAGAAGTTAGCGGTATGTTCGTTGATAGCATCGAGGTAGCATCGCGTGTCACGTCAAGACACTTACATCCCAGAATTCGGCCCACCCCGCCAGATACGGATGGTATATGCGCCCTTGAGGATCAACATGTTGACCTGGCCTGATCATCATGGACTCAGTTGGGGTAACATAGCCCAAAGGGGCCTCTCTGGGATATGCATGAGGCACCCATATCGATATCGGGAATCGGTAAGTCTGCCCTCTGAAGACGATGGGAATGGTGCCCGAGAGATGGACGAGGAGAGCCGATGCGCCATTGTCGAAGGTGTGTACGTCCGTCCTCGGCGAGAGCGACGGGTAGTGCGACAGAGCTTGGGCTACATCGTTGTAGGTTCGCTGGACGTCAGTGTACTCCTGTCGAGCGCAGTCAGTTGGGCCTATTCAAGTCAGAGGCATATTGAGGTAATTGCTCTTACGCTCGTCAAGACGCTGTACAGCCAGTTGAGGACGTGCTGTTGGACAACCATTGTCATGCCCCTCGCAATATTCGAATGGATTTCTTCAGGTCATGATTGGTATGACAGTCATATGCAGTCAACCTCGGCTGAGGTAGTCAGAGCGAACTCATCCAACGTGTCTTATCTGGATGGTTTGCGGAGTGCCGAGCTTGGGTTCGTCCACCTCCCGCTGTGTGAAGCTGGACTGGAGCCTTGTCGTCGGTCACCAGCACTGCAGATGCCCGCCAAGGCTGAAGCATGGTGGTAATAGTGGGGGGCCACCGCCCAAAGGTCGTGCCGGTGTTACCTAAAATGGCCTGGAGGCACGGGCTTAGTGGGAGTTCTGGGCCTTGTTCCACGATTGGCTGGCACTCTCCGCGCAATCAACTACCTTAGCATCCACTGCAAAGTTGTGCCCATCAGCCGTTGCAGCAAGCCCTCAAGGTTGGCACACTCCACGTGCCCGAGGGGGGAAATTCCGTCATGGAGTCGATGAAACGACAGCCATCAGATATCATTTTTGCCATTCATGATGCAGCTGTTTGAGCCCTGGAGCCTTGGAGCCATTAAGTAAGCCGACGAATGCCGCTGTGTAATAACGAAACCCTGGCAAATAGTAATGACGGCCCATCCGGCGTTTCCTCTTGTCGCCCTCGGTTATAAATCACCTCTTCTGCCGCTATCCCTCTATATTATAGCAAATTACTATACGACACCTACTATCCAAAGACCTAACCTAGATATCCGACCCGTTCCATGAGCAATTGACTAAATATCTTTAGGACTGACTACCATGCGCCACCCTTTCGACCGCCATGTTCGACCCACATGAAATGACTTATTCATCCACACAAGTTCCCGTCACCCGTGATTCAGGTCCTAATGGTATCAAATATGTGTATGCTCACTTGGCTGGGTATTCCCTGACGCAGTCCAGCTAGTCAGCAGGTAGAATTGATTCCGCTAGGGAGCTTTTCAAGGCGAAGAACCCCGACATCGGTCATATCTCGCTGATTCCTTCCTCTGCTTTTTTGCTTTAACGTCATTGTGTTTCTTCATAAGGTCAATATGCTGCAGTGAACACCATTGTATAGTTGACTTTGAAACATGTCAAATACATGAAGGCTTCTAGAGTTTGCCTAGATGTCTTATCACGCTGGAAACAAATCCAAGAGGGCACTCAACCAAATTATGCTCAGCTCTTCAGTCCCTCTAGGTTATGGCGTCGCCATGCGACCGCAGGCACCATAATCGCCGTGCTCGAGTTCCACTATCAGTGCAATGTCCATTCGCTCACCACACAACAAAGTGAGCGCCCTGTTACCCGGACCCCCTTGGCATCTGATTAGCCCGTCTCATCCCGCGGTCTATGCAACTTCAGATGTAGCCGATCTACGGTAATAAAGCAGGGGAGTGCACACACACAATGGTTCTAGCCGTTGATATCCACCTTTGGAAAAAAGAAGAAACCTCTTGTGGAAGGTCGGGTTTATGACTAAACGAGAACAAAGCGGGATTAATAATAAGAATAGTAGTAAACAAGTCCGATCGAACGATGTGTTGCGCGCGGCCTTGGAGGGCTTTAGCTTTACCATAGTTCCACCAACCCGCCACTATCCATTAATATTAAACTAACTCACCTCACTCCCAATAAGTTTTTCTTCTCTGCCTTCTCTGTTCTCTCATTGCCATCACAGCAACCAACAAACGACCATCGAATCACACACGCACATGCTCACAACACAACAGAATTTTCGCACGGCTGAGGAGTATCGCAGAACAAGATCTGTATACTCCTTGCGTCAGGACTTCATTACTTGAACTCTTCCCAATTACCTAAATTTGCACTCTGAACAAACGACTCAAAAGCTCAATTGCATTCACAAACGCAATTATTCAAATCTCGCAACTCGACAATATTGTATAACTTCATCTGGACAAAATCAACAACAGACACCAGTGGAGAAACAACTATCTAGGCAACGCAGTTATGATTCCTCCCATCCCCATTCTTGCCGATTATGGAATCTCGCCAGAACATGGCTTCCTTCCGGATGTCCTGCCCTTGACGAGGCTCCCAGATCCATACTACAACAAGTGGGAGGCTGTCGCCGCCAACCTGCAGAGCTTGATTCTGAGCAAGCGTCTTCGAGGAGTCATTGACCGTCTTCCCGTCCTCTCAACCATCGGTCTGGAACATGATGCAGAATGGCGCAGAGCCTATATGCTCCTCACCTTTTTCGCGCACGGCTACATTTGGGGAGGTGACACTCCTCAGGAGCGCGTGCCGCCCAGTATCTCGGCCCCCTTGCTGAAGATTTGCGAACATCTCGAGGTTCCCCCCGTGTCTACCTATGCAGCTTCTGTTCTCTGGAATTTCAAGCCGCTCTTCGTGGACGAGAACATTGATGACCTCGACAACCTTGCCACCCTGACCACCTTTACTGGCTCCCTTGATGAGTCCTGGTTCTACCTGGTCTCTGTAGCCATTGAGGCTCGGGGTGGTCCCATCATCCCACTCATGCTCGAAGCCGTTGCCGCCGCGCGCAAGGGCGATGCTGCAACTGTGACACGTTGCTTGCAAGGCTTTGCTGAGCGTCTTGATGACCTGGGAGAATTGCTCCACCGCATGCATGAAATGTGCGACCCTAGCTTCTTCTATCGTCGCATCCGCACATTTCTGGCTGGCAGTAAGAACATGGCCGAAGCCGGACTGCCCAATGGTGTCATTTGGGACGATGGCACCGGCAAATCCGACTATGTCCAGTACTCTGGCCCCAGCAACGCGCAGAGCTCTCTCATCCAGTTTTTCGACATCATCCTGGGCATTGAGCATCGCCCAACGGGTGAAAAGGCCGACGCGCCCGAATCCGACCGTGAAGGACGGATGCGAGGTCCCACCCACAACTTTATCCAGGACATGCGCCGCTACATGCCTGGACCCCACGCTCGTTTCTTGAACGACATTAGCTCTGTCGCCAACATTCGCCAATTCGTCGAGTCTCGTGCCCAGACTGATCGTCCTCTTGCTCTGGCTTACGATGCGTGTCTAGCTATGCTCCGCTCTTTCCGCGACATCCACATTGCCATTGTCACTCGCTACATCATCCTCCCGTCCCGGGAGAACCGAGCCCGCAGCCGCAGCCGTAGCCCCGAGGTTGTTAGAAGCCGCCAAAATCTCGCGACTGCGTCCAAGAACGCCGCTCACAAAAAGGTCAAGGGAACTGGAGGCACCGCCCTGATTCCCTTCCTGAAGCAGGCGCGTGACGAGACCAGCGAGCCCGCCGTCGAGAAGTGGACACAGAAGTACATGAATCGCGCCACTCGTTCCACTGGCCAGAACGACTTCTTCCTTGGTAAGGCCTCAGAGGAAGAGGTGGTGGACGAGCCGGTTGTTGAGCATGGTTTGGCCGGCACATGGAACATTGATGACGACGTTGGTGGTATTTGTCTGTACTAGAGCGTTTGCTGGAAACGTATCAAGTCAAGTGCATTGCATGACCTCTAGTTTGCTATAGTCAATTGCAATGACCCAAGCCGACATGGCTGCTCCCGTACGAAATTTCTCTTTTTGAGGCTGTCTTGAATGCTTGCTCCATGTTATGCTTGGTCAATTGAGCAAACCAAACACCTTTTGTGTCACCTACCGAGGTGTCTACGGGGCGACCCCATGGATCTCTGTGCCTGGCAACAGAATTGTTTGTCATTTTCATGTTTGAAGCCTTGCCTCGCGAGTACTAGTCAACATAATCCGCAACTAGCTTACAGAAACAATTTCTTGCTTCCATTCATCATGCAAATGTGCCGCCACCGCAACCTCATCTACAACGAAATCGGTGCTCTTTCTCTCTCTTTCAATCGCCCACAAACGGACGAGGTAATGTGCGCTCCAGGAAAACCTTTACTTGGCCATTGTCATTGAAGTGAATTTTATTCTAACCCACACAAGAGGTAAAGCAAGTACTTGATATCACGACCGGAGATCATGGAACACGATGGCGCCATCGTCCTAGCCTTTGTCATTACGATTCTCGCGGCTATTCTCTGCACCTTTATTATCTGGAGAGTGTCAAGGCGATGTATGTCGATAATGTCTCATCAAAGCGACCACAATGTCCGCCAATCATCAAGGAGAAGGACAGGAGGAAACCGTAATACTACTGCACATACTGTCTAGGGCTGGAACAGAGCGGATGGCCACGCAATACGTGAGTAGTTACAATTTGGGTGTCTACAGTTCGTACGCAATTGGAACGGAATACAAGATCTTGCATGTCACGGAATCTGTCACTCAGACTATGGTGAAGGTGTGGATGTGTTGCCATATCACCTAAAACAAGTCACATTTGTGAAGCTACTTCAGACTTTTGTTTAGAACCACTATGGCAACAGTCAGGTCTAGAGGAGTTGATTTTGATTGATGTGTCGCAACTAAATGTTTGCGGCAGATCTCGGGTGTCATTTGCTGAATTTGTTGCTTCGGAGTATCCATTTACTCGAGCTGTAAAACTCACGCAAGCAACAATCAACTCGCCAACGTTGCGTTGTGACTCATCCGATGATCAGGTTTCACTGCCAGTAATAACACATCTTCAGGCCAGAAAAGCGGTGTACGTTGTTGTGCCCCAAGATCCCATCCCAGTAATACATCGTCTTTTGACCCCAGTGCCATGGCCACTCAAGCTTCATCCGCTCTCTCACCTCCCACCTTCAACGCCTCTGCCCTCAAGCTAGGGTCAACAAGTACTTCTACGCATATCTTCAATCTCTCGCGACCGTCAGTCACACTACCTGGGTTGCATTTCCACAGTAGTCTGACACCAGCCACTTCCGCTTCGACGTCAACGACTGCCACGAATGTACGAGTTGATCTAGCTATTGCACCATTTCAGGCCAATGACGACACTTCCGTACCTGACATACTCCAAGAGGCAGCACATGGTGCGATAAAAGAACAACAAGATCCAGACGACCATGGACGCGTCGACCCCAAAAGCGGATTGAATAACTGCGAGATCGCCGGGATAGTCATTGGCTGTATCCTTATTTTCATCCTATTGGTATACTTGGGGATAAAATTCCTCATCATGTGGGAGATCAAGGAGTATGCCAAATGGGAAAGAGAAAATGTGACGATTCGAGATATTCGAAGGTGGCTTAATCAAGACGACCCGGTACCTGCCAGATTTCAGCAGCAAATGAAGACCCATTTCTCGGTCTGAGCTGAGACGGGAATAGTGAAGATAATCTGGTTTATCAGCTGTGTTGCAGAAAGAACCCGGAAATAGTGGTCGAGACAAGACGACCGCGGTCAGAAACTATCGTAGGAGTACTGGAGATCCACAATGTTCATTGATATTCGGTATTATCCTTAGTTAGATACAGATAAAGACCTAATTTTGTCGTCTCTTCGCTTCAATGGCAACTGTGTTTGGAATGTCCGCCTCCAACGATTCCTCGCGGGGAGTCCATCCAAGGTGCTCTCTGGCCCGGCGAGCCTTGGATCTGGCATTGGTACCATAGATGACGGATCCATGTGGCAGCACAGTATCAATGTCCGGCTTGTGTAGCTCTTCGACTGTGTCTTTGGTGTTGAAACCCTGTTCAACGGCAGTACGCGCAACCTTTTCTGATATTTCTCCAAATGACTAAAAGAATCAGCTTACAGTGCAAAGGAATTATTGACCAGAGACTCACAATTTCACCCACGCCTGTCAAGTACAGTCCATCTTTGTTCCATAGCTTGAAGTCGCTTTTGGGCTTTGAAGTTGCATCAACCAAGGCGCCAAAGAGCCTTCCCAAGTCTCGGATGTGGACATTGCCCCATTTGTTCAGACCTGGGCCAACTCGTACGCCGTGTCCTCTTTCCAGAGTCACTCGTGCGAGTTCTGGAATCTGGATGCTGCGCTGGTTGGTAACACCCTCTCCAACGCCATAGATGATGGGTGGAAAGACGAGGGCCGTCTCAATTGATGGTTCCTGTGAGCCAACATATAGAATGTAGTTGTCGACTGCACGCGTCTTGTGGTCACGAAGCAATTTGATAAACTTGGAAGCATCTTCAATATCGTCAAAAACATCTGAAGAGCCAGATCCAGGACTAAAGGAAGGAGAGGCCAATTCTGCAGCGGCCAGGGCACTGGCTCCAGAGACCTGGATCCAGTATGCTGTCGTTCGTCAGTACCCGTCTTGAATTGAAAAGTGTGCATTCCCATTACCAGGTTCTGATGCTTGTCTCTTTTTCAGTCCGCGGTGAATTGATTGGACGCTCTTCAAGTGGCCTGCAGAAGCGAGATCTATTGTGCAAAGTTAGTAGCAATTCATCGTGTACTACGAAGAGGTGAAAATAAGGTGACTATACGCAGTACTATTGATGCCTTGGAAGCCTCTCGCTCCAGCAGGTCGTCATCGTCAAGGTCACCAATGACAACATTCACCTTCTTGAACTTGTCCCTAATGAGTTTGGCCTTGTGCTCATCTCGAAGAAGCAAAGTGATGGGTTGGTCAGGCGAGTTTTGAATAATTTCGTTCAAAACCTGGCCACCGATATAGCCTGATGCACCTGTTCTAAAGCAAATAGTTAGCGACCGTGTAGCGCATCGTGGTGCCCTACCCCAGACCTACAGGAATATTGAACCCATTTTCTGTGGTTGATGGCCGAATAACAAATCTGAAAGCTTGAAGGTTGAAATGCAGAAAGCCAGCCAAAGAATATATTTCCAAAACATTATTAATCACAACGTATGACGAAGAGGTTCAGTTCGAGAGACGAAGAACAATGACGGAATCTCTCTCGTCTTCTGCGATTACCCCACTAAAAGACGCAAGTAAATGATGGCAGGTGGGCTTTGGAGGGGCAGGTAACCACTAATCACTAAACCCGGCTCGCGGAAACCTTCCTGCTTTTGCGTGCTCGTATGATATGATATGCAGCACTGCTCATGTTTATTGGTGAGAAGACTTGATTTACGAATAGAATGATGTTACAATAGAATGGTATTACTAATTGTGAGAAATGTGCATCTCATTCCCAAGTAACAATTGCAGTCTGTATGCATGCATCATACATATGTATCTTGCATTCGGTCTCCGGAGCTCGCATCATAAAGTACAAGCAGCAAATTCTTATGGCAGTACATATACGGTATCCATATAGAGCAGCTGAACCCTGCTACCCTAATGAGAGCTAAGGTCATCAAAGTACAGTGTAGTCGCAATACAGGGCATCTGTTGGGACGTAATACACCCGACGGGATCGCAGTCCATAGCGAAAATGCATCTATGAATATCTGTCATTTTACAGACTACAATTGTTTTGCATAAAGAATTTGTATTGATTATATTCCATTAAAACTAAGCCAGCTCAACGCCAGCAGCCTTGAGTAGTGAGGCGATTTCGTTCTTTGGCGCATCTCCCAGCAATGCAAAGGGCTTCCTCGGCCCACCCGTCTTCCATCCGCGCAGTTCCATGCCCGTCTTGACCGCCGACGCGTAGTTGTGAGACTCGAGAAAGTTGCAAATGGGCCAAATCTTCTTCCACAGTTCGCGGCCCCGTTTCAAATCACCATTGACGGCCACGGCGTCCCACAGCTGAATCGACAGCTCTGGGATGATGTTTGTGGCTCCCCAGACACCGCCCTTGGCGCCTGCCGCCAGTCCGTAAAATGTCAGGGTGTCCCAACCGTTGAAGGCTGTAATCTTGTGCTCGTGGCCGAATAATAGTTCTGTAAAGGCAGGGCCGTTGCCTGATGTGTCCTTGAGGTACTTGACGCCAACGTCGGCCAACGACGCAATCTCCTCCGGCTTGAGCGTAACGCCGCTGGCCGAGGGGATATTGTAATACATGATATCGATACCACTGGCGTCGTGAATCTCCTTCATGAACTCTCGCAGCTGATCCAAGTTGGGAGCGTCATAGAAAGGGGGAACAACCATGAGAGCAGCAGCTCCGGCTTGAGAAGCATGCTTGGCGAGGTCAATGGTCTTGGTAGTCGACAAGTCGCCGATGCCAGCAATTACTGGAACCCGGCCCGCGGCAGACTTGATCACCTGCTCCAATGTCTTTTTGCGTTCTTCTGTCGTAAGTGCCGGGAACTCGCCAGTGCTGCCTCCAGGAACCAAACCGTGCACACCCGCGTCAATCATTCGGTTGACGTGTGCATCAATGGCTGCGTAGTCTACGCTGCCATCGGCGGCGTATGGGGTGATCAGGGCCACCATGATGCCCTTGAGTTCTTGCGACGCCATTTTTAATTCTGTTCTGGAGATGCAATTATTATGTGAGTTGCTTGGTGATTTCGAGAAACGAACAAATATAGAAGAAGAAGAAATGATGGATGATCATGATCTGGAATTCTATCAACGCTTTGTCTATATACCTTTGAATCTATACATACTGCATCCATCGTATTTGGCCCCTCCGGCACCATCCCCGGAGTGCTGGCCTATACTAACCGGAGCTTCGCGGGATCGGCGCCTATCGGTGGGGCTGCTTGCCTTTTCCGAAGAAGGCAGGCTTGCGCGCATGTATGAATCGCAACCGTTATGGAAGACAGCTGCATCGAGGTCTGTCATAAAATAGCGAGATGGAGTTACAGCTGATCATATCTAGTGATCTACACATTGGTCATGTGGCGATGCCCCCTCCCAGTGGTCATTCATGTCTAGCATCAGTGCTACAGTGATCAACTCTGATTTCATCACGTAACTTGAAATCCACGCTTCTAGCACCAGTCGGAATGATAGGTAGGCAGCTTTACTAGCGACTGAATGAGACATGCTCTCATTGCCACGGAAAACATCTAGTCAAAGAAATGCACAGTTGTCTGTAATTAATTTATTGGAGCATTATGCTATCTTGATCTACAGCTTGTTTCCCATGTTGATGTGAATGGCCTTGACCTGCGTGTATGCCTCAAGTCCTGCCTCACCAAGCTCGCGGCCAATACCGCTTTGCTTTACGCCTCCAAAGGGAATTCGAGGATCACAGTCCTGACTGCTGTTGACCCAGACCATTCCAGATTCGATCTCGGCAGCCACACGGTGCGCACGCTCCAAGTCAGTCGTGAACACTGCAGCACCCAGACCATATGTCGTGTCGTTGGCGAGCGTAATGGCCTCGTCCTCTGACTTGAAGCGGCCAATCACGACAACGGGACCAAAGATTTCCTCCTGGAAGACGCGCATGGATGGTTTCACTTCGGTGAAGACGGTCGGAGAAATGTAGAAACCCTTGCCCGACTCGCCCACCTTTGCCGGCTCACCTCCAGTGGCAATGATCGCTCCTTCGGACTTGCCAATGTTGATATAGTCGAGAATTCTCTCATACTGGACCTTGGATACTTGAGGACCTTGGTAGGTGTCCTTGGCCCATTGGTCTCCAACTTTGCTAACCGTCTTGACCGTGTCTACAAATCTCTTGAGAAACTCATCGTAAACACTGTCCTCAACCAGGATGCGCGATGTAGCTGTACAGATCTGGCCTTGGTTCGACATGATGCCCAGGTGAGACCACTTCACTGCTTGCTCCAAATCGGCATCACCGAACACGAGCAGGGGAGACTTTCCACCAGTCTCTAGGGTAATGTTTTTGAGAGTCTTGGCAGCCAGGCCCATAATCTGGGTAGCCGTTGCAGTTGAACCAGTAAAGGCGACCTTGTCAACCAGAGGGTGTTGCACCATGGCAGCACCCGTCTCCTTGCCAAGTCCGTTGACAATATTGACAACTCCAGGCGGGAAACCTGCCTCCTTGATGAGTTGGCCGAGCACCAGAATACTCAAAGGAGTCTGCTCTGCAGCCTTGATAACGACCGTGTTTCCACAGGCCAGAGCAGGTCCAAGTTTCCATGTAGCCATGGAGAGAGGGTAGTTCCAGGGAATGATCTGTGCCACGACACCAATGGGCTGACGGAGGGTATAGGCAAACTTTTGCTTGGTCGTGCTAATGGTTTGTCCAAATACCTTGTCAGCCCAGCCCGAGTAGTATCGAAATACGCCCACAGCTTCTGTGAGATCAGTCTCGAGAGCCTCGGTGTACGATTTGCCTTGACCTCATTTTAGCGTTCATGATCTCGCTCTGGAATGACCATCAAGTGACCCACCATTGTCCCAAGCATCTATCGTTGCGAGGAGCTCCTTCTTTTCTTCCAAGAGATCTGCTAATTTTGCCAACAGGCTGCCTCTGTCCGATGCAGGCAGATCCTTCCATGACGGATGTCTCAATGCTGCGTGTGCGGTCTTGACGGCCTTATCAACATCATCAGAGTCAGCTGCATGGACTGAAGCGATGACTGCCTCGGTGCTATATTGCGACAATCAGCAATCAGGCTCCTTGATGCCACGAAATCCCAAGACTACAGATGCTTACGCTGGGTCGATTGATTCAATCGTCTTGCCGCTTGAGGATGCGACAAACTCATTGCCAATGAACAGACCCGTAGGTTGCGTCCAGGCAACACCGTTGGGGGCTTTGAGCTCTACTGACAGGTTCGACATCGTGAGGAGTTTTACAGGAAGTGTGATGTTTAGTGAAATAGAAAGAGCGCAACCTTGGCATCTACAACATGCATTTCAAGATCCCGAGTATACCAAGTAGATGGACAGGAGGAGGGGTCAATTGTGATAAGATAAGAACATCCACGATCCGTATCTCCCTAGCTAGTGTGAGGGAGGCAATGACGAGATTGTACTGCTATTCTGTACACGGTACACTGTCCATCGAGTGGATGTCTTGTCTTGCTCCCGATATAGGTCATTTCGTTCACTACTTGCTCATCCTCGTTGGTCGCTTTGACTGGCGAGCGGAAACCTTCTCCATCCAGGGTCGGCTATGATTGCTTGAATCGTACCTAGCCTGCCCCGATAAGTCGGCTCCATAGCCCATTATACACCTCCTCAAGGATTATAAACGTTAGATTGGTACAAAGCTCCACCTACAAACCCTCTGATCTGTTAGGTATCTATCCCTACTATGGATGCTGTTTGTGTACGGGTTGTGGAAGCTTCCAGCACTGGTCATAGAAGTAACCAGAAAACTGGCTTCGTTTTCGTGGTAAAATTCCGATGGGAGGTGCTGGGCCATTGCGTGGGGCAAGTAACGATCTAACGTTTATAATCCTTGAGGAGGTGTAGTCACCGGGGTGAACCGCTATCTGCTCGGTAGCGTTGAGCTTGACGAGAGTCTATTAGGTATCCGTTATTCTTAGCGACTAGCTCTCCACCTTCTATAGCCCTCCCGAAAACCGGGGTTCTCCTCTTGCTACATGATCCAAGGTCCCATGACTGACTCTCAGCTGTCATGACCAAAAGATATCCCGGAATCCCGAGGTATAATCGATTTCAACGAGTCTTTGGCAAGTAATGGACACTGGACGGTTGTGCTCATGCTTGAGCTTGATTAGTAGTGCGAGCTTGCGTGTAAGCCATCTCCACTTACCGGTTGGGTCGTTCCAAGCAAGACGCCTCCGTCCAGCTCCGTACATACATTTCAGAGCAAGAAAACAAGAGCATTTGAACTGGGTTTTCAATCCTGTGCATTTGGATACTATTCCAAAGATAGATCACAGACGTAAAGTATAGCCAGCTCATGGCAATTCATGGTGAGCATGTTTTGTGGAGTGCTAAAATCCCCGCGTCTAGCGGCAGGCCGATCCAGCGCTGCCAGAGCTTCTAATCTGGGTTGCAAGTGGGCGATTGTAAAGAATGGCAAGCTACCGCGGTGTATGGGTCGATCACTTGGTTGGTTATGCAACTGCCCCAAGCACACAGATATCTGGCGATACTATCATGAAGTTTATGGAACAAGAATGAAAGCCTCTACAAATATTACTAGAAGTTGTCTCGTGTCGCGACACAATCTTGCAAAACAACACTATCCTGTTGATCTAATTAGCTTCTGAAACCCATTATTGCTGAATGTCCATTTTGTTGACTTGCTGTCACTATTCTTACACAAAATAACCATGGCCAACCGCGGCGTCACCTGGGACCCTTTGGTTCACACGATCGCAGACCTTCAGGAGCAAGGGAGCAAGAAAATGCCCAAGATGTACAGAGGTTGGTAATTAATTCTCAATACGCAAGATGCAACTAATTTGGCAACATAGACTACTTTAATGAGGGCGCTATGGATTTGGTCACGTATGTCCCTGATCTTTATTCCTGTGTGCATGCCCTTGGCTGATCAGAAGTGACACATAGACTTCGAGATAACGAAGCCGCGTACAATCGTTACAAGATTAGGCCGCGCATTCTAGTAAACGTTGACAACATTGACTTGTCTGGCGAGATTTTCGGCATCAAAACAGCTCTACCGCTTGGATTCAGTCCCGCTGCCATGCACAAGTTGGCGCACCCAGAAGGAGAGCTAGCAACATCCCGCGCAGCCGCCAGCACCGGCATTTGCATGGCCTTGTCATCTTACGCCACGGAATCTATCGAAAACGTTGCTGCACAGGGCAAAGGTAACCCATATGTTATGCAGCTTTGCGTTTTGAGGGACCGTGCAAGTACTCTTCACATCTTGAAGAGTGCAGAGCGTGAGTAATTGTAGACCCAGGTATCACTTGGCAGACGAGGCCTGCTGACATGCCGACAATAGGTGCTGGATGCAAAGCCATATTCTTGTCTGTCGACACACCACTGCTAGGCAGACGCTTAAATGAGTATCGCAACAATTTTTCCCTTCCAGAAGATATGGAATGGCCAAACCTGCAATCTAGTGGCAGGGATGAGCTTTCAGGGAGAGAAAACACAGACGCCGCGAGCAAGCACGATTTTGACCCGTCACTTGACTGGAACACTGCTATACCCTGGCTACGTCAGCACACAAAGCTGCAGCTCTGGCTCAAGGGAGTATATACATCCGAGGACGTCAACCTTGCCGTAAAGTACGGTCTCGATGGGGTGATCGTATCCAACCATGGAGGCCGCCAGCTTGATGGAGTCCCGGCCACATTGGACGCTTTGCGAGAGTGTGCCATTGCTGCGAAAGGCAGGATTCCTGTCGCTGTAGACGGTGGTATCCGACGCGGAACCGACATCTTCAAGGCTCTTGCCATGGGAGCTTCACATTGCTTTGTTGGGCGGATACCAATCTGGGGATTGGCTGTAAGTTGCTTTTGTCTACAATCCGTGACCATCACAATCTCTGATTACAGACTAGTACAACGGACAAGAGGGAGTTGAGCTGGCGCTCAAGATACTCATGTATGAGTTCAAGATTGCCATGGCATTGGCTGGGTAAGTTGTAATGTTACTTCTCGCAGATGTTTTAATGCTAATTACCACAGCTGTCGAACTACAAAGGACATTACATATAGCCATCTTGCCTACCTTGATTCGAATGGATTCCTGGCGAAGCTCTAGGCATGACTTTCACACAATAGCTAGTCTTTGGGTCCTAAAATCTGATAGCGATCATAGTTTCAATCTCATCACAAAGTTTTGTTTTCCAGCATAAACGTGCAAATCACACATCCCAATAGATAACAACTGCATGTTGGATGACTGGAACTCTTGGTATACAATCAGCGACATCGTTCTCGTACTAAATTACAAGGCTCGTTTATAGTCCAGTTTGAATTAAATTAATCCCGTCCCATGCATCATAAATCATGCTCCCCCAAAACCTGTCGGGAATAATCAAGCTTGCAGTGAAGACGTAGTCCCTTGCAGCTTGGCGGCTCGGCGTCTGGGCGTCTTATACTATTGTGGGACAGGGAGCTTTCACGGTCCGTAACGAAAATGTGCACAAGCGCATTTTCCTATCGCAACTCAACATGGCAGGAGATTTTTGCGGAGAAATCCCCGACCACTCACGGTAGATTTTCTATTCTCCGGCATGATTATGTAGCATTTGCTGAACGCCACTTACAGGTGGAAAATCAGCATTTGGGTCCTTACCTTGTTCTTCAATACCGCCAAGGCCCTACAGATATTGTCATGAGGCTCGCCGGAGATAACGGCCCCTGCTGCGTGGTAATGAAGGACTTAAGCGCGCCAGTGATCAAAAAACATACCCCCATCTGAACGACCCCTATTTGCTGTATACCAGCTACGATAAGAGACCACAGTACAGCTATGGGACTAATGATGTTCAAAGACAACTATCACATTGATCGCGATTACATATCCCAGTATGAAGGCAACAAGCACAATGCCATACTTCTTGGCAACCACAACCTTGCACGGATGAAAAGATGGTTCCTGGAACTGGCGACATTGTCCAAACCCACGAATCATGTGAAACTGTTACGACCGAAGTAAACATGACCATGCGGTTGTTGTTATGGTTGTAGTCAGAAATGACAACATCTATAAGTGCCGCTGTTGGGTGCACGAAAGGAAACAAGCAAATGCAAAGTCCTTTTCATTGACAAGCAGGACAAGCAGCTTCGAAAATGTTGATGTTAACTTCAAAACTATCGGTGCTCGCTGCCATTCTATCCCCAGCATTTGCATGCTTGGGGTATGAAGGCGGAGTTCCGACTCCCACGGCCACATACAGCAACTCAGCAGTCATTGAGATCGGGGCAGGTGAAACCTTTGATGCTGGTTGGGCTAAATACGACAGAGGCTCGGGCGCGTGCACTGAGCAAGCTGAGGGCGGTAAGTTCTTCTTGATCAAGTCGAGCCAAGTCACATAGAGGGGGCATGTGTATGGACTAACTTGTCTTCAAGGTGATTCCGATGCTGTATTCCTTTTGAGATCCGGTGCCACGCTCAAGAATGTCATCATTGGGGCGAACCAGGCCGAAGGCGTTCACTGCGACGGTCCATGCACGCTCGAGTTTGTCTGGTTTGAGGATGTTTGCGAGGATGCCATAACTATTGTAAGTAGGCAAGATCCATTTTTGGACAAGAGCTCAAGGCTAACGACCAATAGAAAAATGACGAGGCCGGCGAAGAGACCTGGATCATTGGCGGCGGTGCATACTACGCATCTGATAAGATCGTGCAACACAATGGTTGTGGAACAGTCAACGTAAGGAGAAGCTACTCGTCGTCCACAAATATGTTCATGGTAGCTGACAAAAGATTTCAGATCATCAATTTCTACGCCTATGACTATGGAAAGGTGTATCGTTCGTGTGGAAACGTAAGTCTTCATTCCCATAATCATTTGAATCCTTTTGCCTAACTTGCGGATCCGCTATAGTGCGACAGTCAGTGCCAGCGCAACGTCTACGTCGAGGGAACAACTGCCTATAACGGGGGAGCCGTCGTCGGTATCAATTCCAACTATGGCGACACGGCAACCTTGGTCAACGTCTGTACTGATTATGCGCACCCTTGCGTCATGTATATCGGCAACGATGATGGAGACGAGCCAACTCAATCAGGTTACTGCTCTGGTTGATATGAACATTGATTTAAATCGTGCAAGTCCTTTGTGGCTCGCAGCTTTATGGTGCAAAGCTATCGGCTGGACTGGTCACAATGTTTCTATTCTGCAAGCAAGTATATTTACTGCTGTTATTTGAGAATCTATTTCAGATAGGCGCAGGTAGTATCGAAAATGGTGTCAATGAAGCACTCGGGTAGTTAGTTCATGGCCCTTTTAGTAGCTTACAAGAGGTATATACATCGAATTTGATGGCATCAGCCGCCAAGCTTCAGGAAAGCAATAGACGGTCGTGGCAATGGTCTTGATCCAAGAGTCATGAATTGACATTGCTTTTGACAAACACTACAATTGCATGCATCTATTATTCCTTCAAATATGGCAAGCATAATTGGCTTATCGAACCAGTGATCGACAGGCTGGCCTTGGCAATGACCGCGGAAACCTGCCTCGAGTCGAAATTCTGGGCTAGGTTGGACTCCACTCACACCGTTTCTCCATCAATCTTGACCCCGGCCGCAGTCGGGGCCGTGCAAGTATACAAACCTTCTATTGTGCTGCTAAACAGGGAAAGTCAACGCACTTCAGCCAGAAAGCCAGCCCAGTATCGAACATGGACCTGTGTGCAATTGAGTTGCTCTGGGTCTGGTACAATGGCATCATCTCAAACCAGTGCCGCCGAACGTACTCGGAGCTTCACCGGATGTCGGACGTGCCGCAACAGACACGCAAAGTGTGATGAGGGTCAACCAAAGTGTGGTAACTGCCAGCGACTTGGCCTCGAGTGCGAGGGATACGTTCCGAAACTTTGCTGGTTGAATGATGATCCAGTTAACAAAGATGAGCACCGGGCCGCCCACCGTGGCTCACTGTATAGGTTCCCACTCTCTTCCGGTACGTGCTTCCGGCTCATGTTCAATTTTGCTGTCATGTGCAACAAGTTTTCCTGACTTGGCCCATTAGAATCAGAACGACGGCTCATGACCGCCAAGCTCGTAGAGAGTGTAGGCAAACAAAATTCTACCAAACTCCTCGCAGATCTCGACGAAGCTTGTGAAAAAGCCGTTTCTCATAATGGGAAATGCAGCGTCAACCTTTTCAAGGGCCCGTTTGGCGTCTTTCCGGCAGTGGAGTCAAAGCCGGCGTCGTCACCGTCCACGGCTACACAAACTCATCCCGCAGACCAGCCATCGGAGGCTCCGGGCCCCGTCTTTGATTTCGATGAAGACGACGCCTTAGTTGAGAATATCCACCGAGATGTTGATATTGGTCTGATCGACCCGTTTGATCATGACATGCTCTTCAATTCTACCGACAGGAACTTTAATTTTGATCTGCTCGACCCGGCACTGCTGGACGTATCTCCATCCGTCAAGCTACCAGACGGTCATCTCTCTGCATTGGTCGAATCTGATATTCTACCGCAGGAATCCATGGACTTGACATTCAGTCCCCGGCCTCTGACCCAGCTGGGGTCACCTCCTCCACCATCGTTGTTTATAAGTCCAGGATACAGCAATGCCAACGGCGTTGCTATACCAGAACATGCTCAGCCTTTGCTATGCTATTATAAACAATGCATAGATCATACTGGTAAAGCGTTCAAACCGAGGCGTCGATCGCCAGGGGAACTACTTTTCCTGCCTTGCGCCCTCGAGACATTTGCAGAATTGTCATTATGGAACACCACCTCGAGCGCCCGCTCGGCTCTTTTGTATGCCGTGCTTGCCAATAGTGCGTTTCAAGCAGATCGCGCCGCGCTTTGCCAAACCAAATGGCGTGATATCGCCGTTAGACATCAAGCGCAGGCGGGTAGGCATCTGCGTGATGCCTTGCTCCGAGAGACAACTGGCCCTAGCCAGGTCGCGTACAAGGATCTTTTGATGGCGATTCTTGCCGTCGCCATGATCTCAGTTAGTATCTGTTGCCCGTGCACCCGATCTTACCGCAGAGTGTTTATACTGACTTGTGGAATCTAGTTATTCAATGGAGCCCATACGTTCCGCTCGTATCTCCTCGACGCCGAAAAGCTGATTCGACTTCGAGGATTGATAGAGCAAAAGTCTACGCCGATACGGTTGCTTCACCACATGTATACACATTTGCGGATAATTACAGAAAGCTTCTCCACGGAATTTGCCATCGACTTTGGCCATGATGATAACGACAGCAACAAGACCGCCGTCTCTCAAGCCAGGGCATTTCGCACGGCAGAGAATGCTCTCAACATTGGCCTCGACCCGGCTTTTGTAAAGACGGGCGATGACGGTTACAATGATATCCACTTGGACGTGCAGGGCCGATGGAGCAAGACCATGTATCCGTCCATTTACAATATCCCCGAGTCACTCATGACTATGCTGTCACAGACGATATCCTTTGCCAATGAAAAGGCTCGACTGGAAACCATTGCAGCCACTAACCCAGCCGTCTCTGCATCGCTTACAGATCACGCCAAGACACTGGAGGGCGTCATTTGGTCCTGGGAGTTGCCAGAGATACAAGCTGGATCACTGTCCCGCGCATCAATTGGGCTAGACGACGAAGACAATAACGCGCACCTTGAGAGCCAGCACTCGCGGTCCATGATCTTGGCCATTCACCAAGCCCTGCTCATCTACTTTTACCGGCGTGTCTACAATATGAACGCCATGCTTCTACAAGACCGCGTACGTCAGACCCTCGACTATCTGGAGCCGTGTCTGACCCTGGAGTGGTGGATCGAGGATCAGGACTTTGCCACGAGTCTGGCCTGGTCCGTCTTTATCGCCGCGTGCGAAGCCGTCTTGCCCGTTCTCCGGCAGCGCGCGCTCGATATCCTCACGACGATTGATAACCGGGGCATCTTCTTTACTTCGGCTCCGCCCACGGAGGTGGTTACGGCAATATGGCAGCGGCGGGAAGTTTTGAAAGCTACATGAAGCTTAGATGGGCTAGCAAATCCTAATGAATTTTACGTCCCCGATTGGGTTCTCATGCGGGCATCGTTAGTGGCAAGAAGAGTTTACACCTACCTAGATAGATGTACATCTGTATTTTGCCGAATCGTTACCCAAGTAGCCGGGCTCGCTTCCGACGCGCGGGTACCACGGATCCCCTGTTTGGTCAATTTGGACTCGTCTGTTTGGAGAGGGGGGATTATCTCCGCATTTGTCTTCGGATGCCTGCCGAGTAACGGGTTGCTATACCCGACCAATGGGCAGATATGAATTCAAATCAGGTAAAGTCCATGGAGTTGAAATCTAGTCTGGTACCTCAGGCGACGGAAAATATGTCTTTATATTGCTCGGTTTCTCCACCTCGATCAGTGGTTCCCATAGCGTCATCAAAATATCAGGAAGAGACATCGATACAAGATGACTGCCAATAGTGACATGATTCCTCAGTTGATCGACCTCTTGAAGACTACGCGTGGAGTGAAGAGGGAGATTACTAGTAAGCCACATATTGTCTGTCATGCTATCTATATCAGAAAACTACTGACGGAATCATAGACAATGAAACGAACCCTCTCGAGGCAATTCGACTTGTTTCGGATGGCATCAATGATGGCCATCCACGCGAGTCTGGAGCCTTGCAAGCTGTTCTAGCCATAGCCCAGAACTCGCCTGATTATGGGGGTCTCGGTCTCACTCTAGGGAGTGAGGTCTCGGAAAAGGACCGCAATGAGCTCATCTTTCTGTGCTCGGCATGGCTAGAGGCGCTGAATTCTGCTGATCGAGCTAGGCGCATCCGAGCGCCCATCTCAACCAGGCCGCCAGGTCGTCGTCCAATGAACGTGACTGAGAAGATCTTTGCCATGCACGATGTGGACAGCAAGGGATGGGTAGAACCGGGAACTGTAATCAGAGTCGCGGTCGACTGGATCATGGCCAGTGAGCTCAGTTGGCATGTAAGGTTCCCTCCCTATTATCCGTCATACTGCCATTATGCTGACATTGGTATTGAGGGCATGATATCAGTCTACAACCGGCTCGGAGACCCGGGAATATTCCGAAACGACCGGTTCTGGATTGCGGGCGACCACGTCGTGGACCCTCGCAACTACGAGACGGATTTATCAAAAAAGCTCATTGCACAGACGGACAAGGCACGACGCTCCTTCAAGATGACCGAGTTTCAGGGTCATAACTACACCATTATGCACACAGAGTTCTTCCGGGAGCGAACGCAGCCAGGACAACTGATTATAGGCAGCGACAGCCACACCTGCAGCAGCGGCGCCAACGGATGCCTTGCCATAGGTATGGGAGCCGCCGACGTGACCATGGCACTCGTCACGGGCGAGACGTGGTTCAAGATACCCGAGGTTGTCGAGATCCGCTTCGTGGGAAAACCACCGCGGGGAGTCGGTGGCAAGGACGTTATACTATATGTCCTGCAGCAGCTCAAGCGAAACACGGTAGCTGCCGAGCGTGTAGTTGAATATACCGGCCCGGGACTGGACTACCTTGGACCGGACGCGAGGTTTGCTGTTGCGAACATGACGACTGTAAGCTGTCCTCTTATTTGGCAAGCGCCCTGGTATAATAGGTTTGGTACGCTGAGCCCCAAAAATTGGAGTACACTTTCACTTTAACGGCTGAAGTCTCTGCATCCAGATAATGTTGGGCGGTTATGACTTGCTTTCTTTTCTTCCAAGAAAAAGTATAAGTTTTAGAAGATTCGACGTTCGTGAGCTAATTCTATGTTTATCATTAGGAGTTTGGAGGCATCACGGGCATCTTTGTCCCCGACCACGTCACTGGCGAGTTCATCAATCAGCGCAAGCTGAAAAGGTATAAAGATGACAGCCACTACTTCAAGGCCGATGAGGGATGCCAGTACGCCGAGTCACATATCATTGACTTGAGTAAGGCAGAACCCTTTGTAGCCAAGTATCCAAATCCTGATGATGTCGTGCCCGTCAGCGAGATGAAGACCACCGATTTAGACGGCTGTTTCATCGGCGCTTGTACGACGGCCGAGGAGGACATCATCATGGGTGCTCTTGTGCTACAAGAAGGACTCAAGGCTGGAAAAGTGCCCGTGGCCAAAGGCAAGCGAAGGGTAACTCCGGGAAGCCGCCCAATCACCGACATGCTCAAGAGAACCGGCCTCTACGAGGTTTATGAGAGGGCTGGATTTGAAATTGGCGCTCCTGGGTGCAGTTACTGCGTAGGAATTGCCGCAGACGTTGCCCAGGACGGCGAAATGTGGCTTAGCAGTCAGAATCGAAACTTCAAGAATCGCATGGGGCGAGGTTCGATCGGCAATCTTGCTTCAGCTGCCACTGTGGCGGCCTCCTCCTTTGACATGAAGATAACCTCACCCAACGAACTCGTCTCCAAGATCACTGATGAACAGTGGGAGAGAGTCAAGGGAAAGGGATCCCTTTCTTCCACCGTACCAAGTATCCGGCCACAGTGGGTTGAGCCGCCGGAAGCTGCAAAGGAAGCAGACGCAGGCAAGGAGGAGTCCACTGATACCAGCAAAGAGCCTGCAAGGAATATTTCAGACGCGGATACCGAAGAGGCAAGGATGGAAAACGTTCAATCAAAAGTGTACCGCCTTGGAGACTTTATCGACACAGATGCTTTGGCTCCGGCGCAGTTTCTCGTGACGGCCAAGGATGACGAAGAGTTTGGGTCGCACTGCCTCGAGTACACTCACCCGGACTTTCGTCAAAGGGTCAAAGAGGGATCCAAAATTGTCGTAGCTGGCAAAGCATTTGGCTGTGGCTCATCTAGGATGGAAGCTGTACAGGCGCTTCTCGGCGTTGGCGTTCAGTGTGTCATTGCCAGATCCTTTGCTTTCATATATGCACGGAACCAGCCCAGTCTCGGCCTGTTGGGGATCACGATTACAGATGAAGCATTCTATGATGCTGCCCAGGATGGAGCAGAGATGGAGATTGACTTGGCCAACAACGTCGCCAAAGTCGGGGATAAAGACTTTCCGTTTGAGCTGAGCCAAATGGAGAAGAGCCTGACGAGCCTGGGAGGCGTAGCACCGGCTTTCAGCAAGTTCGGAAAGCACATCTTTGATGCTTTGACGGGAGGAACGCGCAGTGCTAAGAGGAGTCTCAAGGATCATAGCACGGCTGCCGCGCCGCTTTCGTGGTGAGCAACCGAGAACAGAACAGGCCTTGCCAACTTGTAGATATTCATACGTTCGTTACATTATGGATATTGCATGACCCATTGCTGTTTTATGTACCTGAGCACTATCATCCCGCTCTCGGCACTTCTCTGATGAAGAGACAAATCATCATCTGCTCGGATACTCAAGATGTATCCTTGGGTTTCTTGGGTATCGATATGTTCCAATGCTTGATAGCCAACGCCTTAAATCAAAGTCTTGTACAAATTGATTCTTGTCAACCGGCTTGACCTCCAGTACTACCGGTACTTGCGGGCCTAGGAGGAGGAGCGGGCAAGCTGCCGTCACGTTCCATTGCCACTCCACCGATGATGCCCATCCCTGGATGATCCGGGTCGCTGTCTTCTCCTTCGCTGTCCTCGCTATGCTGACTGTCACCGCTACCCAAGCCGGCCAATGCTTGTTCAGCAGTCTTTCGTTCCACCTCTTTCAACCTCTCCTTTTCGACAGGGTCGACAATATCGTCATCGTCGCTCCATGCATTCTCGTCGTTGTCGTCAACCTCGGGCATGGCCAGCCGCTTCCAGAACCGTATCTCCTGCTTTTTGGCCTTCTCCTCAACACGTCGATCCATACGCGCCTCGTTCTCGTCGTACTTTTTGCGGAATTCGCGTAGCATCTTGTTCGCGCGACCAGCGTGATCCTGCATTTCCCATATTTGTTCACGTAATCTAGAGTTCTCGGCGCGGGCCTCAGCCAATTGAGAACGGTACGATCGATGCCATGCGCTGACGTCTGCGGTGTGTTTTGCCTTGTAGGCGTGGAATTGGTTGAGAAGGTTGGAAAGTACGCGGGCATAAGCCGTCACGAGAGCAAAGTTGGCGTCGCGACTGTTCTTTGCGCGGTCTAGCGATTCGGTCAGGGCAGAGATGAGAGTTTCGATATTATCTTCTTGTCCTGCACGTATAGGTTAGCAAAACTGGATTCGCCCAACAGGGGTAAAAGCATGGCCACATGTTGCAAGGCCAAAGCTCATGGGAATTCATGATAGAACATACCATAGATCTCATCGGCAGCTTCTCCTAGCACCTCATCGTTCCCCAGCGCCCGCTCGCGTGCCCGGTTTCGTACCCTGCCGATTCCACTGACAATCTCCTCCGTCTGCCGTCTGTTTTCTGCCAATTGTCTTGACAGCTCTTCAACCAAAGTGTAAATTACGTTGAGTTCAGCTTGGTGGCCAGCGGGCGTAGGGCCAACGGCCATGGCAGCACCAGCATTGACACCGGGGGCCTGCATGGCGGCGCCAGTACCGTTGATACCGTTCATTGGGCTACCGAGATATAGCAGGTTTTGCAATTGGATATGCTGGTGTTGTGCCTGGACTGCGCGTGCGGTGGCAGCAGCAGCTTGTGCTTCAGCAGCAGCAGAAGCAGCTTGCTGTCCCGATTCGGTATGTCGCGATGGTAAGCGATCCCTGCTCTTAGCGCGAACAGGGAGGTTGAGGTGTGAGGACGGAACGGACGACGGCTGCCGTTGTCGTTGTTGTTCCTGGAGCGATAAAGAAGCAGGCGTCTCGGGGGTTTGTAGCTGTGTATTGAGAGAAGGTTCGTTGGAGGATGTAGACCTGGGTGATGTTGTACTGGAGGCAGAGTCCAGTAACGCTTCTTCGTTGTCTTCTGTTTGTGGTTGTGGTGGCTGTAACTGGGCCTGGGTCTGGGCTTCTAGAGTTTGTGCCTGAGCTTGGGCTTGTGGATCGCGTAGGTTCATTGTTGTCTGTCTCAACGACTTGAAAGTCGTTTGTCGCTGCTGGTCGGAGGAACCCGCAAAAACTGGCCGGTGCGCTGGGCGATGGATCCTAGCTTGGCTCCCAGCTATTTCTTCCCCTAAAAAACACCCCGACGCGGAGGCGAGGCCCTTGTTAGAGTGCTGGAGAGTCAGACAAAGAAGCACGGACGCGACGTGTCAGTCAGTGGCTTGATTGCGGACGTGGTAGGCGTCAGGAACTTGTACAGTTGCGTGTCATCATCTGCTTTGAACCTCAATTGGCTTGTCTATGAAAGTTGCAGTTTTGTGGGATCTTTAGTGTTTGACTTTGATGGGAACCCAGGACTTAATGTGGAAAGATTACAATGGATGATGGCATATGAAAGCGCTGCGAGCAGAGTGACATTATAGGTGGGCAACTTAGCTCATCAGCAGCTCGCTAAGGCTCCTGGAGACTTGCATTTACCTAACTCATTAATGCATGTATGTGTATTGTCGCATGTGTCTGTGTTTGTATAAATCATTCTTAGCTGCAGCGTCTCCCAATAGCAGCAGCAATGCTAATCGACTACTACTACTATCTAATATTGCACAGCTATAACGCATACCTGAACCCTATAAGTCCTTCGATTACCGTCTGTTCGGCATTCGCACGCCGGTTCTGGATCCAAAAATGTAGCACAATGATTACACCAAGCACTAATATCACACCGTTGGCTCTGTTCAAAATTTTAGCAGTCTTGCAACCCTGAAAGAAGTAATAGACTTACGTTAAGCAGGCGTAAATGCCTGGAAGATATTTTGGTGCATCTCTGTCCATGAATTAGTCTCAAAGCACGTGGCATATACCAAGCGACGTATTCTAACTCTGATCTAAAGGCGAGGGATCCAGCAATTCCGCCGATTCCCCCAAAACTGATCATGCTAGCACTGCAGAAAGCGCGCTTCCAGGTGCCACGAATATTGTTTGCCTGCCAGGCCATGATAAGAGGAATGGCAGCGCTGCAGCCTGCCGTCAAGAACATGGTGCCCAGATACTGGACAGCAGACGAGCGGGACCACACCATCAGACACAACCCAGTAATATTCATGCAGGCATTCAAGTATAAAAAGGGATACCTCAGGCGGATCTTGTCGCTGAGATACCCTTCAACAAACATGAGCAGCATGGCGCCGACATATGGTGGCGTGCTCAATCCGTTTGCCTGTACTTCCGTAAAGCCAAGCTCTTCCTTGAGAATGATGGGCAAGAAGTAGCCGATCGCGTAGGCCTGAATGGTTGAACAACTAGAACAACCAGCTTGTCAGATTATGACCCATCGCTGGTCGGTATAGAAAACCAAAGCAACTTACAAGAACATTAATGCAAAAATCCATATCTTCCAGTCACCTGCAGGCTTGAGAAATTTACGGATCGAGAAAAGCTCCGGCTCTGCATCCTGACGGTCACGATTGAGACGGCGAATGATGAATGCCGATTCGCTTTCCGTCAAGAAACCCCAGGCCTTGTGCGCTTGCTCAGGGAAATCAACCGTGAAGATAAAGCTCGCCATGCCTATAAGACATGTGATTATACCCTCCATGATGAAGATCCACCGCCATCCATTATAGTCGGCCAGACCTTTCATCTGCGAAAAGGATGCCCCTAAAACACCTCCAAGGGCGGACCCCAGGACACCAATAAGATAAAATACCGAGGTACGTTTATACAAATCGACTATCTGGGTTCAGCGCAACAACCCCCAGAAGCCTGCAATCGGTCGGACCGGTGCTCACTTACATCGTGAATACCAGGCAGAAACGAGGTAGTAAAGCCCTGGAAAACTGCCTGCTTCCAAAATTCCAAGGAGGAAGCGTAGCGCTATCAAGGACGTCCAATGTTGGACGAAACTGAAGCACTGGAAAAGAATTAGTTGAACCTCCATGATCAATCGGAAGGAGACTGACAAGCATGATTATGCCCCAAAGAAGGGTGACAGAAGAGAGAAAGATGCGCGGCCCAATCTTTCTAACCAATATCGAAGCAGGATACTGCGCTATAACATATGGTGCAAAGAAAACAATGAGGATTATTGACTAGAATAGAAACACATTAGTATTCAAGAGAGCTTATTGAATGAAGTGCATACATAGCGATTGGAAACCCCTAGTTGTAAATCTTTAGTCATGCTATTGGACCATTGTTAGAGTTTCCGGATTTCATAGTAATGTTTGAGGTCTCACCCAGCAACGGCGGCATTGGACATGTTTGCTCGATCGAGAAAGGAGACAGCCTGTATCAAACCGAGAATGATGAGTAAACGCCGGTCCACTTTGTGTATTATCTTTCTTTGTTCTGGCAAAGTGTATTCTTCGTCCAAATCCACATCTGGCTGTGTTTGTTGGTCCTTTTCGTCATTGGTAGTGTTGTCATGGACATCTGTTATGTTATTTTTCTCTACTGTAGAAGCCATACTTGCAAGGGTAGCGTCATGCCCCTGGGATTTGTTGCAATGCTCGCCTGGGGTCTGGCCAGGTCGGTAATCTGTAATGCAAGATAGTGATGCTTTGCATGAAAGATTCAATCGCACAAGGACTATCTTAATCGCTGTAAAGTTGATGGTTGCTGCTGTTGCGAAACCAATAAACCGGTAATTCCCAAAGAAGTTTGCCGAAGAGAGAAGAGTTGTTAACTAATTTCAGCTCTAATCAGTTACGAGAGACCAGGTTTCCTATAAGATGGACCAATAGTTCATGGTATAGTCTCCAATAAATACATATGTGGCCAATAGGGGCTTTCCTTCCCACAAGATCTCGGCACAGAATTCGGAGACAGGCATTATTATTTCCTCATGATGCTCAAGATCCCACTTCACTAGACAATATGTACCAAAGGAGTGAATAAACTATGATTTGTCCTGTTTTTGTCCCTGCCCACGCTGCTGCTCGGATCTCGGTTTCCGTTATCGCCGCTCGTAATGGTAAGTCGTCATCCGTGTCCGGAAGCACGCCATCTGTGGATGCCCGCCGAACAGTCGCCGAAAACGCTTTACCGGTAGTCGGCAGCCAAAGATATTGATTGGCAGAGAAAAAGCCCAATGATATCGGGCAGGTCTCATTATTGTCTTTCTCTAATATCTTTGCATTCAGCAGATCCCTGTCACACAGCAAATCAACATGTCATACGAACCATCATACGCCGACCGCAGAGATTACGAGGATGCGGAGCGTGGATTCATATCAGCGCTGTCCCCAGGCATCATCAAAACTTCTCATGGCAAAGTTGTATGGAACATTGACGAGTATTCGTTTCTCCATGGAGAATGTCCCTCGACGGTTCATCCAAGCCTCTGGAGGCAAGGGCAACTGAATTCAAAGCAAGGCCTCTTTGAGATCGCGCCCGGCATCTACCAGGTCAGAGCTCTAGATTTGTCAAACATGACAATCGTAGAGGGCGAAAAAGGAATCATCATTATTGATCCGTTGATTTCGTGCGAATGTGCTGCAGCTGGATTGCAGCTTTACCGGGCCCATCGCGGCAATGAACGCTCCGTCACGGGCATGATATACTCCCACTCACATGGCGATCACTACATGGGCGCACAGGGAGTTCTGCCACCAGACCAGGATATGTCAATTCCCATCATTGCACCCGAAGGCTTCATTGAGGCCATCATGAGCGAAAGTATACTTGCGGGTCCGGCCATGCGGAAGAGAGCTGCTTTCATGTACGGCAACGCGCTTGAACGCTCGCCTACAGGACAAGTCGGCGTGGGTCTGGGCATGGGCTCAAGTGTAGGCACGACTTCCTTGATTCCACCCAGTCTTCTCATCCAAAAGACGGGAGAAGAGCACGTGGTTGACGGTATCCGCATTGTCTTTCAAATGGTTCCTGGTACAGAGGCTCCAGCCGAGGTCAACTTTCACTTTCCAGATCTCCGAGCCCTCTGCATACCCGAGACAGCGACCAATTGCATGCACAATATCGTGACGCTTCGGGGAGCTCAGGTTCGAGATGCAAAAGCATGGTCCGGATATCTCGACGAAGCGATCGTCTTGTTTGGGTACGACTCGGACGTGGTGTTTGGAAGCCATAACTGGCCGACGTGGGGTCAAGCTGATCTCATACAACGTTTGACGGAACAAAGAGACATGTATGGATACTTACATGACCAGACCGTTCGTATGATGAATCTTGGCATGACTGGCCTCGAGATAGCAGAACAAATCAGACTACCGCCAGCCATTTCTCGCGCATGGCATTGTCAAGGTTACTATGGATCAGTGAGCCACAACGTCAAGGTCAGTCGTGTTCCACCAATGCCTTACTTGTGTGTCTGTTACGCTTTGCGCTGAACATTTCTCATGACAGGGCATATATCAAAGATACATGACTTGGTTTGATGGACATCCAGCCCATTTGTGGCAGTACCCAGCGGCAGAAGAGGGCAAGAGGTATGTCGAATGCATGGGAGGCACTGATAATCTCTGCGACAAAGCCGAGGACTTCATCCAGAAAGGCGACAGTCGATTCGCAGCGACTCTCCTCGCACATGCCGTATCGGCGTATCCGGATGACCCCAGCCCACGAGCGAGAGTTCTCCTCGCATCGGCCTATGAGAACCTAGGATTCGGTTCTGAGAACGCCACTTGGCGGAACTTCTATCTTACTGGGGCTCAAGAGCTGAGGACCGGCAAGAAGGCTGGCATGGTTGCTGGCGGACGAACACCATTGGGCCCAAATCTGTCCGTTGCCCAATGGTTCGAGATCATGTCTGTACAAATTGACGGTGAAAGAGCCGCGGAGATGAACTTCTCGATTGATTTGGAAGTTACGGACGTCATGGAGACATGGAGGTTGATTGTCAGTAATGGCGTATTAACACATCGAACGCTGTTATGGCAAACTCCGGCGCCAGGTACAGGCAAGGCAGACTTGAGATTGAAGCTAGGCAAACACGATCTCTTAGAGGTTTTGCGTGGTAAAAGTTTGGATAGCATCGATCAAGACGGAGATACGGAAGTGTTTACTCGGTTGTTGGATCTGATTGCCGTCAAGCAAGAATCGTCGAGAGGGCCGAGCCAACTATGAGATAACAGAGAGCACACGTTGCATAGCCATCGGCATGCATCCAATCACCACGTGAAAAATATGCATGTGTGAAGTCTATGTCTACAATTCGGGAGAATGCAATGCCGGCATACTAATGAACTCAAAGAGACCATTCTAGTGATCATTGCAGATAGCCTCAAAATTTTGACATACTACGCCTAGACTTGGTTGAAATATCAACATAATATCGTGGAGTTGTCAATGTCGTTGCGCTCTTTCATGAGTGCCGTGTCGTCACTTCCTGTATCTGACATGAGACTTGGGTTCGGAGAGCATCATGATCTTAAACACTGGCATTAGAACCCTGAGATGCACTGCTCATGTGAATTGCCCTGCATCAGGAAGTGTCAGACAATTTAATCTGGAGGTATTGTCTACGTACCTAATTAGCCTACAAACTAATTTCTCATTATCCTAAAAGTAGATAAACTCCTTCTTTCTGGTTACATTAATAGTTCCGGCTTCGTCAGGACCGGGCACAAGGTTTGGCCAAGCCACGGACCATGATTTTAGCTGCAGAATTGACAGTTAGATTGCCAAATGCGCCCGGAGGCAGCATGGTATAGTATAACACTGAAGATGTTGCAAAGAGCTAATCGTATTATTTATTGCTTCATGGATTCTTGGCTTAGTTCTATTGCGTTTTTGTTTTCTGACTGAGTCTTTAATTACCCCATTCTCTACATTGCACGTATATTCGATTAGAAAAACAGAAAATCAAATCAAATCAAATGCTGCTTTGAAAGACGATACAACCAGCTGCAGCTGATCAACCATCGATAATGATGGCACTGGACAGGACATTGCTTCTGATAAGCATATTATTGCCACGTGTTGTTAGCGAGTTGACAGTCGTCCCACGTCAAACATCCTTATCCGAACAGTACAGTCAGGCAATCACACAACGAGCGCCTGAGTCAACACCGGCACCCGAGGCGCGCTGGGTAAGCATTGCCTCAGACGCGATACTTCGGCGACAGGATTCGGAAGGAGAAAATACCTGTGGCTATATGTCGGGAGATGGCAGTGAGTAGAACATGGGATTTCCCCCATCTGATTCCAGCCTTAACATCAGGATAGGTTTTTATGCTCTCACATGCGACTCAGAATACACGTGTACAAACTCGGGGAGATATCGTGGGTGCTGCAATGGTGATGATTGCTCGAGCTCGACCGGATATTTCACGACTTGTTACGACGCAACTGCAGCAGTATGTTCACGTTCCAGCATCGGAGCAAATACTCTCTGCTGGTAAGCCTTGTCGTTGTCTATCATGAGACCATCCGTAGAATTACTGTGTCTAATGAAGCAATAGTACATATTCGTCACAATATCCAAAGTGCCGGACGTATCTATGGTCAACTGATGCCAGCCCCGGCGATGTATTCACACAATACAACTGCGATGCTCCCAAGTACTCGGGTCAATACTTCCTCACCCCAACAAATCCATCGATCACATCAACAGCCTCAACCTCCTCGACCACAAATGGCACGGATACGCCCGCCACGACCGTTTCTTCGCCTCAACAGACAAGCACCGGAGCCCAAACACCGGAAGGAAAAACTAGTTCTGCTGGTGTTGTAGTTGGTGCTGTTATTGGAGGCACGGCGCTGATTGCCCTCATCGCTTTCGGTACACTATTCTTCCTACGAAAGAGAAAACAGGAAAATCTCGGACTGGGACAAATACCTCCCCATATGGTACCGTCTGATTGCTATCGCTCACCAACGACTGCTACCATGCATGGCTTTGACTCCCGGTATAGCTGGACCGGCGGCGAATCGACTCTCAGTCCCGTTACACCAACCTATTATCCGACACTACGAGTACCCGAGCCATTTTACCGTCGACCTAGCGTACCTGATCATAATACCCCACGAAGCATTCCACATGATGGTTATACATATCCGATGAACGCTCGGAAGCCGCCGCAGCCAGCTCCAGTTGAGATGGACACTGGTGCCATACATCTTCCAGAACTTGCTTAAAGGTCTGCACTCGTTTGCAAGATTTGATTAATAATAGCGTAGATGCTCCCATTTTATACATAGAAGCATACGATATCCAGACAAGACCAATGTTACATGATTGGCTTTAGAATACAAATTCAAATTTTACATAGCCTCAACTCTTATGTGACTAATACCTTTTACATCAAGGTAGATACCCAAGTGAAAACAGCGTCCACTACATGCCGATCAACCATTTAAGCAACCTTGCTTTGAATAAATGTCACAGCCTCCGGTACTCTGTCATTGTACTCTGTGTGAGCTGATGTGATAATCAGAGTTCCATTACAAACCAAATCCCCATCATTGCAAATGATCAACGTCTTTGACGTGTCAAAGTCGGGAATCTGGTCGTCATCCTGCTCGGCCCGGGTGTCACCAAACGTGACGGCCGCAGCAATCTGCGCCTTCACGGCGTCGGAGAGGTCGGGAATGGCGCCGTGGACAATGGCTGCGCCCTGGCTGTACCCTGAGACGATGAACTGCGCATCTGGGCACTGCGAGGCAGCTTCGGTGATGTTGTTGCCGAGGTCCGTGGCATAGGCCAGATTGGTACCGCCTTCCAGAAGGTTATCCAGGAGGGCAGCGGGATAGTTGACGCCTTGGGCCGCGACAACATCGTCGCCTAACGCCGTCTTGAGTTGTGCGACCAAGTCAACACCGGGCATTTCTCCCTAGAATCTTATTAGCTATTAGATCTACACTCAGAGGTGTGGACGTACAATGTTCCCTGATTGGTCGGTGCCACGGGCAAAGAAAAGAATGACATCGCGGCAACCGCCATCGTAGAATTCATTCTCAGTCGTGCCATCATCCTGCCGGGCCTGGACGTGGCCATAGTTGCTGACGCCCAGAGGATTGGAAGTGACAGAGGTAGCCAGCGCAGCGGCCAAAAGAGTAAAGAGTGACTGCATCTTGCTCGTGAGGAAGATGGGAAAATAATGAGTGAATATGGGCTGACTCGGCTAAAAAACCTCGAGAGAATGATGAATTGTGAGTGCCTTGGTATATGTCCCAACATCGCGAACCCGATGAGCCGCTTAAATAGGCGAGCGAGTGCGACCTGCACATGCGGTCGCGTCCGTCTCCAAATTTCCCTCGCCATAGCCACGATGGCATCCTGTTGTTGCAATGCGGGGAGCCGAATCACCCCTGGGTGTGGTATACTCCAACAATACTCAGCTCTGGGCAGTCCGCCAATGGCAATCCTTGGGTTACTCCCCCGCCAAGTGCCACGGGGTCCGCATGTGCCTGGCTTGCCTGACGGCCGGGGATCGTTTGACATTTCGGCACATTCCTAAAATGAATTCGTCATGCCAGTCGTCTCCCAAACCGGGGTAGCGTAGCTGGTGATAATAGGACATTAATGCAAACTCTAATGCTACCAAGAGATTGGTCATCAGATGCGGCGCTCCATTGACTGATAATAAGCTCTCATTTGAAATCGCATTGAGAAACGATCTTCAGTCCCGTTGAATTTGGCCTTGACCGAACAAGGAGCATTCGCCGTGACCACCCGTGAGAATGATTAGAAAATAGTACCTGCATCGTCTCCCGAAGAGGACTTTGCAATGCAAAGATCCAACAAGCTGTGTTCGAATGGAACGAGTCTCATCGGGCCATTGTATTTGTATGGCGGCACTTATAGGGAAAACCTGGCATTTGAACGACAGCGGTATAAAATGTGGATCAAATCTTATCCCCGCATTCTGCTTGCAAATAGCATGTGTCTTTACCAGGTTTTATTCCACCATGCCGGCATATGCCCCTGGTAGTATACGTGGAACTCTACGTAGCATCATAAAAATGCCGTCAATGAAATACGTCCCGCGTGATCGCCCCGGAGACCGGCCAGCATGGAATACTACCAAGACTTGACCGACACATGCGAGCTATGATTTTGGTGCCGTTACTGTTCATACGAGCATCTAGAAATGATACCACCTCCATGTCTGCTCAAGCACTCCACGACGGCTCAGAACAATATTCTAAATCAGAGAAGCATCATGTGATGGACTGTTCAGTATGAAGGGAAAACACACAAACACAGGTCGCCACAGTACTATTACACCATATGGGGCAACGAGGTGCTGAGAATATGTAAGCTTGACAATTATTGGTGAAGCTTTCTTATATCGTCTATGTAGATACACAAGTACCTAGTGCCTAAGGCAGCAAGTGCAGTATACACTGTATGCAGCGGTGCATTACAGATTGCCATGCGGCTGGCTTGATGCTTTTCCTGATTTCATCAAACACGCTTTGCCAAGACAGGCATGCCCCTCCAATGATTGATGTGGCATAGCCTCGCCGAAATGTTTCATGATATGTCCGTTGTCGGATTCGATAATGTCCCCAGTCCCCGTCAGCCCCACTAAGGCTTTCCGAAATCTTGGCTGAATATGCGTTGCCAGATGTCCATCCACTTCTCCTGTTGAGTCGTAAGGAGTTTACCTGGCATCTTGAATGATCGTGTGAGAATATCACGTAGTCGTGTTCGAAGAACCTTGATCGCGAGCATTGACTTCCAGTCCGGCACGCTGAAGCGTGCGCGATTGCCGTCAAGGACAACAACGCCAGCGTACATCTATAATTTGAGTTAGATTCTTGGCTTTCATTGGGGCTAGATAAAAACCTGATTGCACTTACATCGACTCGGAAATCGCCGCAGAGAAGAGCAATGGCGAAGTTCTCGACCGCGGTTGTTTCATGTGCATTCAGGAATCTGGTGAAACAATCAGTATTGACTGCAAAGGCGCTGGTTATGGTAGAAAGAATGTGTAGAGACTTACTGTTTGGACTGCATGATGTTGTAGTATGACAGCCACTTGAGCTCCAGATGCCCTTTGTTGACACTCGACGGGTGAAGACTGATACTCTGGTTATTACTGACATTACGCCAGCCCTTGTTCTCACGCATGAGTAACTTGGGATAGAAACTCCAGGTAATCACCGAGGAGGTGATGAGGTCGTTGTCACTGTTGATGTTTACCCGTTGAGGTAGCTCGAAGAATTGACGACGGCGACTAGCGTATCGCATGCGGTTCAAAGTTCGTCGCTCGTCATCGGTTAATTGAAGAAAGTTGCAGTCAACCAATGACACAATCAGCTGGCCTTTAAGGTCTTCAATGTTGGAAAGTGTCTGAGGTGACATGAAGTTTTTCTTGCAGTATTGAAAGTCGTGCGACTGCGTCTGGCAGACGTTCTTCCAACCAAGATATGCATTATACATGGTGAGCAAGTCCGAATCTGCTCTCCGGAATGCTTTGCGAGCTTGATCAGCCAGATTTCTTTGTCCAAATGGGGCAGAGAATGGAGATTTGGACGAAAGTATGGCTGCACAGGTGATGGCCATGTCCAGACATTTGAATATTGTGCCTTGGAGGATGAGTTTTCCAAGAAACACATCAAGAGGAATGCGAGCTAGTTGCGCACCCAGAGGAGTGAGCTCTTCGTTTGCCGTAAGCGCACGAACATCAATAAGTGCATCCACAGCGCGGCGAATGTTCTTGGCTGATGGCGCGTCGAGTGCTTCGGCCAAAGTCTCCTCGATGCCACCAATCTTGCATACCTTGACTCGCATAGCAAGGTCCTGCAATGAGAGACGCAGCATTTCCGGGGTTTGTTGGTCGCTCATGAGTTTATCATGGCGATATTTGGTGAACATGTGAAAGCATAAGCCCTCTTGAACACGGCCGGCACGACCACGACGCTGTTTGGCATTTGCACGGGAGATGAATGTATCAATCAATCGAGAAAGCTGCCTCTTTTCATCAAACCTCGATTCCCGATGCTTTCCAGTATCAATGACGCAAGTCACATCGGGAATGGTGATACCCGTTTCAGCAATGTTCGTAGCCAGGACGATCTTTCTCACCCCAGGAGGGGGCTGCTCGAATGCTCGCTCCTGGTCTTCAGTTGCAATAGTCGAGTGCAGTGGGAATACCTCCCAATCCCTCTGGAAGAATGGATCGCCCAACAGAGCATCGTTGAGAGCGCGAATCTCAGCAATTCCCGGCAAAAACACAAGTATGGCTTTGCTGTAGTTGATTAGCTCAGGCAGATGAGATACCTGTCTAATCAATTGGACTATGAGATCGAATTCAATTTGATACTCGTCAATCAAAGAGAGCGCATTCCTCGTCCGAGAGGAGTATTGCCGAAGCTCCTTGGCTGCATCGGCGGTTGAGCTGGGATCCAAATCATTCTCTGCTGGATCATCATCTAGATCAGTGATTCTTTGGTTGGGGTTGCTCTGCTCTGGCGTGTAGCCAGTAATCTCCAGTGCATCTTCCAGATACCTAACCTGGACGGGAAATGTGCGACCTGGGACGTTGAGCACAGGCGCACCGCCCATGTATTTCGAAAACTTTTCAGCGTCGACAGTGGCAGACATGAGGACTACTTTGAGATCTTTTCGACGCGCCAAAAGCTTTTTCAGGACGATAAGAAGAAAATCCGACTCGATCGAGCGCTCGTGCACCTCGTCCAAGACCAAGTGTGTAATCTCACCGAGGTCGTTAGAGCCTTCAAGCATTCGCATGACGATACCAGTAGTTGCATACACAAGTCTGGTCTCTTTGGAAGTGTTGGACTCCAGGCGTATGGAGTAGCCGACAAGAGATCGTGACGTTCCCAGGTCTCCTCTCCCTTCACCAAGCTCTTCACTGACACGACGAGCTAGGGAGATGGCAGAAATACGCCGCGGCTCCGTGCAATAGACCTTACACGGCAGGCCATGAGACAGTTGATGCTCCAAAAGGAACGAGGGTACCTGTGTGCTCTTGCCACTGAAAAAGGATCGTTAGTATGACGGAGACAATATTTTCAGACTTTTGCGTTGAAGACTGACCATCCTGTCTCACCACAGATTATAACGACTTGATTTTGGTCGACAGCTTCGAGAACTTCGTGCCGGAATTGCCACATTGGCAGCTGAGCGCGACTTTGCTATATGGATCATTAGCCGACATCAAGTATTTGTGAGAGACCTAGTTACTCACCAACATATGGTGGAATTTGGGTGTGTTCGTTTTCTCAGCCCAAATTCTCTGGTAATAATCTGGGCCGACTGAGTGACCAAGACCTCTTTCCCCGTTCGATTGATCGCCATGCCCATTTCCGTTACGGTTGCCACCACGGCCTCTGAAAGCGCTATGGAGAACGACGCCATCCTCTTCTTCCTGGTCCTGTCTTTGACGAACAAGAGAACGCAGTCCTTTGACGTTCTCTCGATCCCGTGCGTCTGTTTTGCTCTTCTTGGCCTCGGACAGCTCATTCCAAAGGTCTTTCCACGAGGGCGGTAATCTCATGAAGACCTTCTCCTCTTTGGTTGAGCCGAAGATGGCAAAGAGCGCAACGGTCGCAATGTATGCTTCCGATTGCTTCTTGTCCGGTGTGGCAATTGTTGCCATGTGGAAGGAGAATTGGCGTGGCAAGATGGTTGATTCGACATGCTCAATTTCGGGTAGGATGGGTTCTTGTGGTTTAGACCAGATCACCGTCAACATTTGCCGACTAGCGAATTGAGCTTCTGAAGTGACCTTGTACACAATTTTGGAAGAGGAGTCCCTATTTGTGATCATTAGTGCAGAGAGGGAAAATGGCGGGATTAATGCTTACCTTGATCGACAGGTTTCCTCGAGCGCTCTCATGGGACTGATACCAGCCCATTTGCTACCAAAATCGCGAATATAGATTTTGGACCCATCTGCATTTTTGACAACATTTGCAGTCTTGCCCGTGGCAGGATCTGTTTCCTCCATGGGGAGACTTGCGAACAGGTCTGACAGAGAAGCATCTTCATCTGCACTTTCTTGCTGCAAGACCTCTTCTGCCATTTTCCGGGCTTCCTTGGCTACTTCATCTTCGGATTCTTCATCCATCGGAGGCGTCGAATCACCATTGGCAGAACTATCTTGCTCGGCCTTTTGTCTCTTTAGCTCCGCAAACTCTTGCTCCAAGACGATCCTGTCCGACTGCCATTGATGGTTGGCAAGAGGTTTATCAAAGAGTGGATCTTGCTCGATGCGATCGATTTTGGCTAGAAGCTTCGCCTCTTTCAGCTCGTCTTCAGGTGATAATGGATCGCCGCCATTGGCAGAAACCTGCCCCCCAGATGGCCCCTTTTTCGAGCTTTTCGCTTTCCTATCACTCTGTCGTGGTCTTTGTATGTGGAACAGCTTGGTTTTCGTCTCAATATATACGGGAATGAGGTCATCGGGTTCAATATCGCTGTCGCATGTAACAACCAGCTTTTTGGGCGAAGGCTCTCGCGATGGCCGAAATTTTGAACCAGTCTTGGAACTCTTTCCATTGCTTTGTATTTCGAGCAATTGAGGTGTTGTGGCTCCTGAAGGCAGCGGGCTGTCTTGCGGAGTGTCGCCTAGTCTGCCCCCAGTCCTGTTTCTCTGCTCATAATCGGGCAGTTCATCCTTGGTGCATTCTCGTGCTAGCCAGTCGAGAGCTTCTTCCAGCCCCCAAATGCTATCTTTTGAAACCCCTCCTATGTAAGGCGCGATATCGAGAACATGCTTGAGGACCGATTCGACGCGTTCATCGGGAAATGCAGCAGCTATGAGGGTTTGTTGCAATGTCCAGAGTTTCGTGGTGAGATCTTCTTCGGGAAGCAGTTTTCCGGGACTCGCAGATTCTGCAGTCATGGAAGATGCTGCAAATCGGTATTCGGCCTTGATCAGATCGAGAATCTGGTCCATGAGTTCCTGCGGCAGCCATTTTCGAGTATTGATAGCCTCGGCTTGGCCTCGGAGCAGTCGCCGATCCGTTTCTAATCTCAACCTTTGACGCTGCGCATCTCTCTTGACTTTGGAAGCAAACTTTTCAACCAGAAGCTGTAGTTCGGACTCTTCGAGTTGTTTCTCAAACTCTTCGGGGCTTAATTCTTCCTTTTTGGGCGCTGGGATCGGGTTGGGTACGGCTTCGGCAGGAGTTGAACCTGTAGTCTTGACGTTAGACGTCAACGATGCGGTAGCGACGGTTTTCGGAGGCACAGGGCCGTTGTTATTATCCGTTTCTTCGACTCGAGCGACCTTGGTAGCTATAGATGTTGTAGCAAAGCCTCTTGCTGGGTTCGCCGCAGGCTTCGCCTTCTTCTTCTTGTTGCCACCGGCCATTTGCCCGTTCGACTCGTTAGGCGATTTGTATGTTAAATATGTACCGAGAAACGCGATATGTGAGGAATCGAGAGAAGAACTCTCTACTCAACCAGTGAGATATCTGAGATAGGAAGGGATGGTGTAGGAACGAAAGAGCGACGAAAAGAATTCTCCAAATGAGTGTACAAGTTCACGGACGTCTTTCAAAAATAAATGGCCGGAACGGTGGCAAGAAGATCAACCCCTAGTATAGCAAAATTGAAGTATTGTTGACTCGTTCTTCGCGATTGTCTGCTGTGAACAATCGCATAAACAAAAGTAAGCTCGAGATTCTGATAGATGGTTGCGCCTCTGCAGCTGCGTATGGAATTGCTAAGCTCTGATCAATGCATTCGCATGTGCATTGAGTTGGTGGCTTGGAGGGGTTCTGTCATGTAGTGCAAGCGTCCAGCAGGGGTTATGGAGGGGTCGTTGTCCGCTGACATCACTGGTCCAGGCGACTGCCAGGGCTGTCAACTTAGGTGGCCCGCGCCCTGAACTCCACTGGACGTAATTGGGTTTCTGTTTTTTTTGCCAGAGGTTGAGTCACCCCGAAGGAGTCGGCAGAACACGTCCATGAAAAAGCTTCACCGCCTGCCTTAACGCGACTTGGGGCTTGAAGAACCTCTCGACTGAGCTCACACCACACCCCACATTGGCCGGACAGTGAAGATCCACAATCGCAGAACATAGCCAAAGTTGAAGACGAGGCTCGTTGGAGAGAGTCTGGACATCTCGCGAGTTCTGTTCGTTTTGTTCTTTTGCCTTGCACCTGCGCTTGCGCAACCTCGAAAGGAACTACGCTTACATTTTCTGGAAGAGGTCGCTAGAATTCAATTTATTTTTTTCTGCCACCACTCCCTTCCTATGATGTGCGCCAACGTGCCAGTTGCAACCTATCAAAATGTCTGAAGCGGGCGCAAATGGTGCCACCCAAACGGCCATTGACTTTACGGCGACCAAGACCGAGCTCAGTTCCGCCTCCACCAGCCGACGCATTGCGCAGTTGAAGACGCTTGATGAGAAGGTCAATAGTAAAAGTAGGCTGATTTGCAGCATCCCCAACCATCTCGCCGTGTATTGCTTGTTATACTGGAAGCTGACCCAAGCTTTGCGCAGCGATTGATCAGACCTCGGTGCCCAAGCTTCTGAAGCTTCTCTTCGATACTCACCCTCTATACCAAGACCGACCCTCTAGACGGGCAGTTGAATCGTGTATCACATCCATATTCGCAACCGTTGATGACCCTAAGATCCTCGGGCTGTTTGTCACTGCCATTCGTCTCGAGTCACAAAAACCCGGCATTGCAGCCAACAATGCCTTTGTCTTGGTGGAATGGTGTTGCCTGCTGTTGAAGAGCTTGGCAGGCACGCCCTTGTATGAAAAGTTCGGCTTGGACATTATTCACGCGAATGCCGCCGCCCTCGAGAGATGTTTTCAACCTCCCGCCAGGCCTTCCGTTGGCCATTCCGCTCTAGTCATCACACGCCGAGGCCTACGAGCCGCTTTCTGGCAGAAGGAGTTTCGGCCAAAGGTAGTGGAGGAGACTATTCAGGCTCTTACAGCAAAAGGTGCCCAACCTACAGCTAAAAATGCCGTCATGCTTGGCGTTGTCGCTGGAGTGTGCTCTCGTCACGACCAGGCGAAATCAACTTTTGCGAGCAAGAAGACCGATTATTTCACGTATATCACTCGAGAGATCATCGGCTCCCGGACGGCTCCCGCACCTCATGTGACGGATGGCTTGAGCGACTTTTTCTCGGACTTTGTGACAGCCGATGATCTCACCAAAGAGATCGTTCCCTCACTAGAGAAAGGCTTACTTCGAGCGCCCGAAGTCGTACTAGACATTGTTCCACCCATCGTCAAGCCTCTCTCCCTCGAGATTGATCTGTCAGCAGTGCTTGCCAACAATCTCATGAAACCATTTCTCTCCAACGCGAAATCAAGCAACGCGGCAATCCGTGAGAGTGTTTTGAACACTTTCAAGGTCATTGTGATCAAAAGTCAAGAAACCAGCATTTTGGAGAAAGTCGCCGATGAAATACTCGGTCCTCTCAAATCTGGAAAATTGGCCTCGCCCGACCACCGCCTTCTCCATGCTTCCATGCTCCTAAGCATCCCGCTGTCCAGCACTATGGCCGACAAAGTAATCACTGCTCTCCCGCCTACTGCTTTGAAGGAGGGCAATGAAGCTGCCCTAGCGGCTGAGGTTGCTACTATTAGTAAATCAGTCTCCTATCAACTGCAACAAGGCAGTGAATTGCCAAAAGCTGCCATTGACGCCTATGCCAAGGGCCTCTCTGACAAAAAGATCAACACTCGTCGTGTTTGGATCCTGAAGACTGGTGATATTCTATCTACGTTTGCATCTGAGTTTGTACCCGACAATGTGGCTAAATTTGCCGACGCTGTGGTCTCTCCTCTTTGTGATACGTGGGCGGAGATCTTGAAGAACCCTCCAGCGGCGGTGCAAAGCACTCTGATTACAGGTGCCTATGTCTTGGCCACACTGGCCTACCAAAGCCTGTCTCAAATCGACACTCCTACCGTCGAGTCTGCCCTCAAGAAGGCTTCCGTATCCAAGGAGACACTTGTGTACGACCCGAAGCCCTCATTCCTCTTGAACCATCGTGTGTACGGTCGGTTGACCACCGACGACGATCTGAGGTGGTTTTTGTGTGCTCTGGCAGCCTCAGTCGTCGATCTACCAGCGGCAACACCATCTGTCAGATCAGCTTGGTCGCAGGCATTTATTTACCTCTCTTCCTCTCCCACCGTGCCATCTCATGTTCGCAAGGAAGCGTGTGGTACATTATCCAAGCTTTATGCCAAGAACCCTGCCATCATTGCGGAAGCTGTGATCGCAGGAATTTGGCAGTGGGTCGAGTCAATCGAGACTGCAGATAAAGACAGCATAGCCTCTTCTGCGAAATTCGACAAGACTCATCTCCATGTCACTCTAAGATCAATTTGTCTCAATAAGGAGGAGTTTGAACGAATGGGCGCCGAGCAAGATCTTGAGCTCTTGGAGCAGCAAATGTGTTCATTGCTTGTCCTGTCTCGGCCAGACCTCATTCCTAGGTCTAGTTGGATTGATACAGTCTTGCGAGTTGGCTTGGATCCTGGGAGCCTAGCATTGAGACACGAACAAGACTTGCTCGACGAAATCGTCAAGAGGACGACTTTCGAACAGGTAAGTTTTCAGGAATGATGTAGTGCACAGCACATCTGATTGGTGAATAGGTTACACTGGTCAAGACCGCAGCTTGCAAAGCAGCAGCAGATCTTGCTTTCGTCTCTCCAGAGGTCATGACGCCCAAAGTCATTGATATGATCCGTCGAGACCTTGATACCAAAGATCTTCAGGACGTAGGCCCAGTAGAAGCAGCCATCTTCCGCACTGCAGAAGGGACTGCTTTCATTGACGTCCTCGCAAAGAACACCCAATCACTACCAAACAAGAACACAAAAGATTATGACACGCTCAAGTGGGAAGAAGAACTTCGGGCTCAGTTAGCTGCGAAGAAGGGCACTCAGAAGAAGCTTACTGCTGATGAGCAGGCCAAAGTCAACGCACAGCTCAAGAAGGAATCCGAGATTCGAAAGTCTGTGCAACAAATCGAGGCACGCCTACTTCGTGGTATCGGTATCATCCAAGGTCTTGTCACCGGCCCTCCTACCGAAGCAAAACTGTGGATGGGACCATCTGTGGACGCTCTACTGAAGGCCATGGAGGCAGGCGCTTGCCTGATCACTGGTGATGTTGCACCTACAGCCTACCTGGCCTGTGCGGACAAGGTCAGCAACCGTCTCGGGGCCATCAGACCTTTCATTGGCGTCGCGACTCTACGTGCATTGGGTGTTACCGGCTTGCCTGAAAACCTATTGGAGGAAGGCCTCGAAGACCTTGTCACTCGAGTGCTATATAAATTGCGATTCGCTGGAGAGCAGCGACCTTTTGACTCCATTTCCGTCGTGTATATCTTGTCTCTCATCTTCCTGATACTTCGACAAGGTGGCTTCGCTGCTGCTGCAGACGAGAAAGATGCCCAAGTTGTCCTGGCCATTGAGTTGATCTCGTTTCACACAGGCATCTCTTCCGATGAAGCCTTACCTAGAGCTGATATCATCTCCGCTCTGATCACCTCGATGCAGAACTATAACCAACACTACAAGATCATCAAGGATTGTTTCCATGACTTGATTCGTTGTGTAGCTCCCAATATAACGACCTCTGAAATTGCAACTCTTGTCAGGGGTGCTATTGTTCCGCAATCTGCCGTTAGGGAAACAGTACTGCAAGCCATCAGCGCAGAGGTTGACCTGACTGAGCTCGATTTCTCAGAAGAAATCTGGCTAGCCTGCCATGACGATAGCGAAGAGAATGCCGAGATTGCCAAGGAAGTTTGGGAAGAGAACGAGTTCAAGCTGTCCAAAGAAGTTCCACTAAGGATGCTTCCTTACGTCGAAAGCCGGGATCATCAACTTCGACGGGCTGCCGCCCGATCCCTCGCGGCAGCCTGCAAATCGTATCCGGCAACGATTGACAATGTGCTGTCCAAGCTTCGGGCATCTTATGTGGAGCTAGCCAAACCCCGTGTGCAAGAATTAGATCGATATGGAATGCCTCTCAAGTCCAATCTCGCAGATCCTTGGGAGGCACGACACGGCATAGCGGCTGCTTTCAAGCACTTGGCTCCTCATTTAGAAAAGAGCCAACTGGACGAATTCTTCAGCTTCCTCATTGAAAGGGGTCCTCTGGGCGACAAGAACCCCGACGTTCGAAGCGAGATGCTTGATGCGGCGGTTACAGCCATAGACGTCCATGGCCGAGCACTAGTGGACAAACTTATGAAGATGTTTGAAAAGACACTGGAAGCCCCCGACAAGGGCTCGGAAGCTGGCGACCGCGTCAATGAAGCGGTGATTGTTATCTATGGTGCTCTAGCCAGGCACTTGAAGCCAGGCGATGCAAAGATTCCCGTCGTAATCGAGAGGCTCTTGGCTACACTGAGCACACCATCTGAGACTGTTCAGTATGCGGTTGCCGAATGTCTGCCGCCACTTGTTCGCACATGCGGCGACAAATCATCCAAATATTTTGAACAGGTCATGGACAGCTTGCTCAACTCCAAGAAATATGCCGAAAAGCGTGGTGCTGCTTATGGCTTGGCTGGTCTTGTACTTGGCCGAGGTGTCTCTGTTCTGCGAGAATATCGTATACTCATCTCATTAAAGAGTGCTACGGAGAACAAGAAGGAATCTCAGCAACGTGAAGGCGCATTCCTTGCATTTGAGTTGCTGCCTTTGATTCTTGGCCGTCTTTTTGAGCCTTACATTATTCAGATCGTTCCTCAACTTTTGACTGGCTTTGGTGATACCAACGCTGATGTACGAGACGCTTGTCTTGCGGCAGCAAAGGCATGCTTTGCGAAGCTCAGCTCTTTCGGTGTTAAGCAAATTCTGCCAACCTTGCTGTACGGTCTTGAAGATGATCAGTGGCGAAGCAAACGGGGTGCCTGCGAACTTTTGGGTGCCATGGCTTATTTGGACCCTCAACAACTTGCTCAGAGTCTGCCTGATATCATTCCACCTTTGACGGGCGTTCTCAATGACAGTCACAAAGAAGTCAGAGCTGCAGCCAACAAGAGTTTGAAGCGCTTCGGTGATGTCATTACCAACCCCGAGATCAAAGGTCTTGCAGATATCCTTCTCAAAGCCCTCAGTGATCCCACCAAATACACAGACGATGCTCTGGACTCACTCATCAAGGTGCAATTCGTGCATTACCTTGATGCTCCATCCCTGGCACTGGTTACCAGAATCCTCCAGCGAGGTCTTGATGACAGATCCAACACTAAACGAAAAGCCGCCCAAGTTATTGGCAGTCTGGCACATCTCACAGAGAGAAAGGATCTTATTGCCCACTTGCCAGTCCTTGTTTCTGGCCTCAAGGTTGCGGCTGTCGATCCTGTACCCACAACTCGTGCTACTGCTTCCCGTGCACTGGGTTCCTTGGTGGAGAAGCTCGGCGAGGATGCTCTGCCGGATCTCATTCCTGGACTCATGCAAACTCTCAAGTCGGACACTGGCGCGGGCGATCGTCTTGGTTCTGCCCAGGCTTTGTCCGAAGTACTGGCTGGATTGGGTACTACAAGGCTGGAAGAGACCCTCCCCACCATTCTCCAGAATGTGGAAAGTTCCAAGTCTGCCGTCAGAGAAGGTTTCATGTCCCTCTTCATCTTCTTGCCAGTGTGCTTTGGTAATAGCTTTGCCAACTACCTTGGTAAGATTATTCCTCCAATCCTGGCTGGTCTTGCAGATGATGTGGAATCTATTCGCGAAACCGCTCTTCGTGCTGGTCGTCTCTTGGTCAAGAACTTTGCAGCCAGAGCCGTCGACCTGCTACTGCCTGAACTTGAACGTGGTCTTGCAGATGACAGCTACAGAATCCGTCTCAGTTCCGTGGAGCTGGTTGGTGATCTACTTTTCAACCTTTCTGGTATCACCGGAAAGGAAGATGCCGATATCGAGGAAGAACAGGTCAAGGAGGCCGGTGCCTCCCTCCGGGAGGTTCTCGGCGAAGAGAAGCGAAACAAGATCCTTTCTGCTCTGTACATTTGTCGCTGCGATACTTCTGGTGCTGTTAGATCAGCAGCTATCAGTGTTTGGAAGGCATTGGTCGCATCTCCTCGAACACTCAAGGAACTCACTCCTACACTTACGCAGCTCATCATTCGCCGTCTGGGCAGCTCCAACATGGAGCACAAGGTTATTGCCAGCAATGCGCTTGGCGAGTTGATCAGGAAGGCTGGCGATGGCGTTCTGTCAAGCCTGTTGCCTACGCTGGAAGAAGGTTTGCAGACTTCAACGGACGTGGATGCCAGACAAGGTATCTGCCTGGCTCTGAAGGAACTCATCTCATCTGCGTCTGATGAAGCATTGGAGGATCACGAGAAAACTCTCATTGCCGTTGTCCGTACTGCCCTCACGGACTCGGACGAGGATGTCAGAGAAGCTGCCGCCGAAGCTTTCGACTCTCTCCAACAGATCATCGGCAAGCGTGCTGTCGATCAAGTTATGCCATACTTGCTCAACCTTTTGCGGTCTGACGCTGATGCTGACAACGCTCTATCTGCTTTGCTCACTCTTCTCACGGAGACAACCAGATCAAACGTCATTCTACCAAACCTCATCCCCACTCTCATCGCGCCTCCCATTTCAGCCTTCAATGCCAAGGCTCTTGCTTCTCTATCCAAGGTTGCCGGCCCGGCTATGAACCGGCGGCTGCCAAACATCATCAACTCTCTCATGGACAACATTGTCAATAGCGAGACTGATGAATTGCGCAATGACCTGGAAACATCATTTGACACCGTTATCCTATCCATCGACGAGTACGATGGTCTCAATGCAGTCATGAATGTGCTCTTGCAGCTTGTCAAGCATGAAGACCACCGCAAGCGGGCCAACACTGCATACCGCATGGCTTACTTCTTTGAACAGTCCACTGTTGACTACTCGCGTTACAACCAGGACATCATCCGCTCAATGTTGATCTCCTTTGACGATAGAGACAAGGATGTTGTGAAGGCAGCATGGACAGCACTGAGTGCGTTTACAAAGAAGCTCAAGAAGGAAGAGATGGAAGCCTTGGTACCATCTACACGACAGGCCCTTCTCCAAGTTGGTGTCGCCGGCCACCATCTGCCAGGTTTCGAGTTGCCCAAGGGTATCAACGCCATTCTGCCGATTTTCCTACAGGGTCTTATGAATGGAACCCCCGACCAAAGAACCGCTGCAGCTCTTGCCATCTCCGACATTGTGGATCGCACCAGCGAGAACTCCCTCAAGCCGTTCGTCACCCAGATCACCGGTCCCCTCATCCGTGTGGTTTCCGAGAGGTCGACCGACGTCAAGGCAGCCATTCTCCTCACTCTCAATCACCTTTTGGAGAAGATGCCTGCGGCTCTCAAGCCTTTCTTGCCTCAACTTCAACGTACCTTTGCCCGATCTTTGGCAGACACGACCAGCGAGCTGCTCAGATCTCGTGCTGCTAAGGCTCTTGGTACTCTGATCAAATTTACTCCTCGTGTCGATCCTCTCATCGCCGAGCTAGTAACTGGTTCCAAGACGACTGATCCCGGTGTTAAGACGGCCATGCTCAAGGCCTTGTACGAGGTTATAAGCAAAGCCGGCGCCAACATGGGTGAAAGCTCACGTACTGCAGTCTTGGGCCTGATTGATATGGAAACCGATGAGTCGGATGCAGCAATGACAATCACCAACGCCAAGCTCCTCAGCGCCCTGATCAAGAACGTACCAGAAGAGATTGCAACCTCACTCTTGAAGAATCGTGTTACCACGACGCATTTTAGTACATCTTCTGTGCTTGCATTGAATGCTGTTCTCGTCGAGTCCAAGGAGGTTCTTTTGGAGAATCCGCTTGCCGAAGACTTGCCAGATGTGCTCTGCCAAGGCATGTCGAACAAGAACCTGTTCGTTGCAGACAATTCGATCCTGGCAACGGGCAAGTACTTGCTCTCCGCAACGCCTCCATTTGAGCAGGCTAAGCCCATCTTTTCAACCTTGGCATCAATCATTGCTCCTGGAAATCCTGGCGACAGCCGTCGTCTTGCTCTTGTTGCCGTACGCACTGTCTGCCGCAAAAACATGGAATTGGTTCGCCCACACCTACCATTGCTTGCTGGTCCTATATTTGCGTCAGTAAGGGATCCTGTCATTCCAGTCAAGTTTGCGGCTGAAGCAGCATTCATTGAGCTCTTCGATGTCGTTGCAGAGGAAGGAAAAGTAATTGAGAAGTTCGTACAAAGCCCCGCGGGCCAGGAGATGGCTCCCAACACCAGAAGAAGCATGGGAGACTACTTCAAGCGGGTTGCTCTTAGACTTGGAGCTCAGGCCCGTGAACGACGCGAGATGGAAGGCCTCAGCAACGATGAAGCTGAAGACGAGAGAGAAATCTGGAGTGTTGGACAAGTTGAGACTGGAGGTGGTGTGTTCAGTCAAGACTAAGAACGTTGTTGAAAGAAGAACCATCGAGATTAAGATAGGAAAAGTCAAAAGTGATTTGGCATTTTGTGCCCACATCTTTCTACTGCTATGCCTCCGTTTGTTCTCATGACAAGGTTTGCACCTCACATCAGCATCGAGACCAGCTCTCGCCCGCTCGAGAAGTGTACAAACAAAAAGTCGGTATTAAATACCTATTAAAATCAAGGTGACATGTCTCCGATCGGCCACGTACCATCCCGTCATTCCATTTCAACGAATCGGCTGACAGGCATGTAAACTGGGTAGTCAAGAGTTCGTAGTATTAAGCCAGCCCTTTCTCCGAATTTCGGCTTGAGGTATCATTATAAAGTTGGGAATTTCTAGGTTGACAGAGGGAAAAACGTGGTGTTTCCTATGGTTAAGGAAAGGAAATCTAGAAATCCGTTGATCATGATGGTTTCGTAAGGCAGTGGTTTGCTAGATTTAAGAGCTACAGCCGGCCCCCACGACTTGCTCTTCACTTTGCCTGGCGGTAAAGATGGTGCCCAAAGCTTGAATAGTGTGAACAATCTGAGTGGCAGCACAGATGAGAAACTGTCCCGCGTCAGCCTGCAACCTCTGACAACAATCCTGAAGAAGTCGTACCTGTTTTGCGAAAGTGCCATTTCGCATATATGATTCGATGTACGCTCGACATTGACGCCGCCATTATTGAGAAGCGCACAAGATCAAGTCGGCAGTACCACTGAATTCAGAAAAAGGCTGCTCCAGTGGCTGACGAGTTTTGGACTGTCCAATATATCACCCGCCACGAGCCAATCTTTCATCAGCTTCTTTCATGGCGGCCTCGTGGAATTTGCGATGTTCCACCATGCTATTCCCTGCATCGGCAAGACGCTCCTCAGCTTCCCGCATTGCCTTTTCGTGAAACTTTCTGTGTTCAACCATACTGTCATCTGCTGCAGCCAGTCGTTCATCCGCCTCTTTCATTGCCAGTTCGTGGAACTTCCTATGTTCTACCAGACTCTCCTCCGCGGCCGCTAACCTATCGTCTGCTTCCTTCATGGCGCGCTCGTGGAATTTGCGGTGCTCAACCATGCTGTCGTCAGCCATGGCAAGCCTTTCGTCAGCTTCTTTCATAGCTTGAGCATGGAATTTTCGGTGTTCGCGGATGCTATCCTCGGCGGCAGCGAGTCTCTCGTCTGCTTCCTTCATCGCCTCGGCGTGAAACACGCGGTGCTTCTTCATACTGTCGTCGGGAGCGTTGAGGCGCTCATCGGCCTCCTTCATGGCCTCTGCGTGCCAGATGCGGTGTTGCTTGATCCGGTCCTCGGCGGCGGCCAGGCGCTCGTCGGCTTCCTTCATGGCGTCGGTGTGAAAGACGCGGTGCTTGGCCATGCTTGCGTCGGCCTCGGACATTTTGGCACGGTGGAACTCGTCGAGCCATTTCAGCCGTTTGTCGTTTTCGGATTGCTCCCATGACCAGGCGGCCTCGACATCTTGAGGATGCATGACTTCTGCCATTTCAGTCCTGATTGATAATTCCTGGCGATGGTTGGCACAAGCTGGAACTGAACAATTACGATGTCCTCTAGGGTGAAATTACGCAGCACTGCTCAGTGGCCAACAAAGATGAAGGCAACAGCACAAATTTAATCAATTATTTGGGGAAAAGTGGCATGTGATGCCTCGAGTCACCGAGGGGTGAGATCATGCTGTGTTAAGCTCTACCAAACTTGGGGAGTCCAGTTCCAAGTTTCGCAGATATGACGTCACCCACACGACCTCCCACCGACCACGTACTTGGATGAGCAACAGTCCATGGAGCTCAAACGCAATGTAAGATGCTGTATCTCTCTAAATCATGTTGCAATTTTCTCAAACGAACAGTATCTAGCACAAGTCTCGTAAATATTGCGCCAGCTTTGTGAATCTGTTATAGTCGAGTACAGAAACGGATATGGTATCATTAGTGCTGCGCTAGTGGTGGAAATCGCAATGATGCAAGGATCCAGGCAATGCTATACTTGCCGTGCCGCCCCACAAGATGCCGCGATGATCAGCAATATTATGTACTTGCAAGTTTATTCTTCATGGCCACTGCAATAGTCAGAAATTTTTACATCCTGACCAAGAAGATGATAATGGAGCGTCGACATTGTATTGCTATTACATTACTATCTTAATTGCTGCCCCTGAAACATCTAACCAGTCCTTGAGATTATTTGAACTCTTCGAACTCGCCGACCCATTCCTTGAACTGGCTAATGGCAGCCTCTTGCGCAGCTGCAACAGGCAAATGGACATTATTGGTGATGATTAGATCGTTGCAATGTCTTCCGCCAGCGATGAGAATAGCGGGAGTCTCATCGGTACCGTTAAAGGGGCCACCGGGTCTGAACTCGGAGGCCACGGAAGCCGAACGCCAGGGGTCGACCTCGCCGTTGACGTACAGCAAGCGCGGGAGATCAGTGTTGAACCAGCCGTCGGTGCGGTTGTTGACGTAGTCTTCCGTGATACCCAGAGCGCTGCGGTACGTGTTGTTGCCCTCGGGCGGGAACCACAGGGCACACTGGCGGTCGTAGTACTCTGGCGTGGCCAGGCGGGTCATGACTGTGGGGGTCCCCTCCGGCGCACCGCTATAGTAAAAACGATCAGTTATACATTCCCAGAGGAAACTCGAGGGCAAATACTTACGTCTGCCAGTAAAAGAACGGCTCGTTGCACGTCATCCAGATCCATGGTCGGTCTCCGACATTGTCGGGTGTCCAATCGTGGAAGATCTCCCAGGAGCTGTTGTAAGTGTCAAAGCACTGAACATTGTATTCTCCGGACCAATCATCATAGCCGTACGAGTCGCAATCTGTTGAGTCGGTTATCAGTATACAGAGAGAACAACATGGTCATGAAAGAATCGGTAGATTTGATACTTACAACCAGGAATGTAGTTGACCGTGAACCAATCAGCAAAGTTGGGCAGTGCCTTGGCCAGACCAACGCCCGCATCGCTATAGTTGCCCGTGCTGTGGTTACCGCTGGCGCCTTCGATGGCGTCGCACATCTGATAGAATTGCGAATAGCCAGAGTAGAATTGGATGCTCTGCCATGCCCAGATCGGGGATGAGATGGCAATGGCAGCGTCATCGTCGTGCTCCAAGTCTTCAAGCAAGAACTGCTGCTTGAGGGCCGTCTTTTCCTCTTCCGTGCCGTTGATAAAGACGGAGTCGACGTAATCAATAATTGCCTCATAGTCGAGACTGCAGTTCTTGGGCATTCCCTAGTTGCCAGGTTAATATCCAGCATGCGTTTTGAGTATTGCCAAGATCGCACATACCTGCTGAATGGGGTAGAAGTACTCCCAGTAATCGTAAACAGCCTCGACGGGACCGCTGGTGGAGTGGTAAGCCCAGAAAGTTCCAGGCGACAGCTACAGAAGTGTGAGTTTTCAAGTTGATGGATGCGAAGAATTATTTGGCTCTTGTCGTTACCTTTTCAATCCATGCTGCGAGAGCGCCAGAGTAAGAGCCACCAACCCAAACCCAGGGCTGTTCCATAGTTAGTGGTCATTCTTGAGAGGCGTACATATTCAACACGTACTGCTTGATCAGCATTGGTAGAGTTGCTGGGATCAAATGGAAGAGGGGCATTCTGTGCAAAGTTGACAAAGTCGTCTACAGCTTGTTGGAGTGTGAGATCTTGCAGGCAGGTGGTGGTCTGGTTCTGGCACGGGCTGGAAGAGCCCCAGTATCGGTCTGTATTGGAAATCAGCTTGATTCTCAGTAATCACAGATGTTGGTCGATTTCATACGTTCAATCAGAATGATTGCACCGTCGATTGCCTGAGCAATGGCGCTTGTCAAAGTACGCGGTGTGAGATAACCCGTGTAAGCTGCTGCTGCGGCCTCGCCAGGGGTGAAGATAACGACCTGGTGATAGTGTCAGTTGAACCTCATTGATACGATAAGTTTCCATGTATCGTACAGGAGAACCAGGTCCACCCCAATTGGTAGCATTATACCAGTAGGACATGGAGAAAGTCCCCTTTGAAGGATCATTGTGGTCGACGGGTTGGAGGAACGTTCCATTGCCAACAAGAGGCACCGCTGCGTCGACCAAGGTTGCTTCTTCGTCCGCAGTCAGTCCCATGGGCGGAACTTGGCTCACGAGAGGAAGCAATCCATAGGCTCCCTGAATACAGCTCATGGCCAAGGCCAGAGCGTTGACACTTGAGGTTCTCATGCTGGGCGTTTGCAGGCTCGCACAATCTCCACGTGGAAGAGTCGAAGGAATCTCAAGAGAATGAGCTAAATCGCGCTGCCCCAAAGCCAAGTGATCCCAAGGTATTTATGATCAATGATCAACGTCGCCCCGGACGCCACGGACCTGCCCAGGCGCTGCGTCCCGTCATGATGTGCAGTAGTCATGCTGATAGAACCCTGGTGAGTTGACCTTGAACCCCTGGATAGTCTTGGCCTTTTTGCCAGGACTGCAGGACCTGAAGAGATGAGATTTCTCGTGTGGTCCCATGGCCCATGAACAAAATGGACAAGATAACGAAATCGTTACAAATGAACATCTCGAATTGAGGCTCATTGGTGGAGTAAGGTATGCGGATAAGCGAAGATCGCGTCCAAGTATTGATCTCGACTATGCCGAGACGGGAAGGTGACTCGGATGGGTGGTCGAGCGCCTACACGCAACGTCGTGCGCAAGCGCTCGTCTCCACAACTTTATTGCAGATTGGTGACCGGGGGGAGACGAGACGAGATGAAAATGAACCAGTAACGGCGGCATGGATTTGCTGTGACCACGCGCCATGTGTCCCGGATCCTTGAGCGGTTTTTTTCTGCTTCTTTCTCTCCTCATGCGGCTGCATTCATCTGTTCTTTGGCTTGCATACCCGAAGACTCGAGCTCGCCCCCTCCCATGTCGGAAGCAATACGCGGCCACCCTTGTTCTTATTTGAACCGCGACTACCGAGACATCGGGGCATTTCAATGATGTCGTGTGGTCTCGGCGAGGGTTGCGGCGAGGTTGTGTTGCGTTGACTTGGACCACCATGAATAGAAACACATGGCATGCATGGAGGCAATCCGGTTCCCGATATCGAGTCACTGGACCTCATTTACTGCAAGGCTGCCACCAAGACTTGATGGAAAAGTCTCGCCGACAATGTCCGTTATCATCTGCACTCGCACACCACATTGCAACTCCGCCATAGGTCGACGGATGTTCGACATGCCGTCTGCACCAGTTCGAATCACGGCACTGGCTCATGCTCCAATAATGTGGCTTCTCAACGGATGGAAAAACTTATCGAGTTTGTAAAATTGACGGATGGCAGTAGTTGGAACAAAAACCGGCATGCTGCTCGTCTGCGCTGTTGCCCTGTTATCTGATAACTCGATGCTGTTATTTGCCATGCATCCGCTTGGCAGATGGCAGAGTTGGAGACGATGACACGAGTATCATGATATACCCTTTGGTCAATCTGGCCGACTGGCTGAGAACTCATGGTCACATGAATGTGATGACCCCTCCAAGACTATCATCGAGCGAGCAGATGACGCAACCAAGAATGAGAATGTTGGCCTCAGCATTGATTCCTTTCCTTACAAGAGGTCTTCTAGGCAGTGTTCCTCAAGAGATATCACCAAAAGAATCTAGCAATATAAGTGTTATGTATAAGTCGACCAGGCAGGTACTGTACATTTAATGAACTCAATTTCTAACTGCTTAATAGTTGAACTTCTCTCCCAATATCTCTTCGCTTAGCTTCCAAAGCCGGTCTGCCTTGTCATAACCAGTCGCATGCTCCCAAGCCTCTTGTATCTGACAGTTGGCGAGGTATGCCGGCGACTTGTCCGGAATTTCGGGACTGAGTGCAGCCACAAGTGTCGTGGCCGCGCCCTGTGTCATGGTCCTACGAGCAGCTTCGGGGTCCGTCCAAACCCAATCACGCCCCGTATTTCTCTTCACAGTTGGTGCAATGTCATTGTAAGCGGTCGTCGGGTCGAGGTGATCGCCGAGGTGAGTGCCCCAAATCATGCCGGGATGCACAGAGGTGGCAGTGACACCACGGCTCCGCAGTCGTTCTGTCAAAGCCCACGCAAATAGAATGCTGGCCGTCTTTGCCTGCGCGTATCCAGTCCATGGGTCATAGGTCTTGCCATTGGAAAAGTTCCAGTCGTCGAACCGAAAGGGGCTCCCCCGGTAGCCCATGCTGACCACATTGACGACTCGGGAGCCGTCTCCTGCCGCAATAATATTTGGGAGGAGCAGGTTTGTAAAGAGGAAGTGGCCCAGATAATTCGCGGATAGCTGCAACTCAACACCGTGCTTATCCTTGGAGTATTCCTGAACAGCCATGATGCCAGCATTGTTGATCAGTACGTCAATCTTGGGTGCGACATTGCGGATCTTCTCTGCAGCTTGTCGCACCGAGTCGCGATCGGTAAGATCGAGCTGAACAAAGGTGGTCTTGATTGAACTATCGATGACTGCGATTTCTGATAGGATTGGCTTGACTTTGTCTTCTGTCCTGGATGCAATGATGATGTGGGCTGGCTCCCGCAGGGCAAGCGTCACAGCAGCATGGCCTCCGAGACCGTTCTGGGCAGCGCCGGTCAAGACAAAGGTTTTTCCCTTGACATGATCGCCAAAGGCTGCGACAACCTCTTCGCTGGTGGTCTTGATGTTGAAGTTGGACATTTTGAGGACGTCTCTCGGTGATGAAGTGCTTGGATTGATAGAGACTTGTTAATTCAGGGAGATTGGTTGCGATCTTGGAGGATGAAGTTAAGATTAGCTGCCATGAGGGTGATGGGATGCCTTTATATATGAAGAAAGTCATAGAACAGGGTATGCCTAATGGCAACTAGCAGGTGAATAAATTGAACAGCATGCACAGGCATGGGCCAGTTGATTACCAACCTCAAGTGTGAGGGCACGGAATCTACCCAAGTAGGTACTTCATGGGATCCAAAAACTATATTCGGATTTCTCGGCCTTGTCAATAGTCCTGTTGTTCCTCTGCTTGCTTAGTAGCCTTCGGGTAGGGGCCCACCTGACGATAGTTTCAAAATCTCGATGTTATGATTCAATCTTAGTATTACCAAGAACTAGCTTTATTAGCAAAAGAAATGGTTTACAATAGGGTACATTCACAATGCTTCCAGTAGTGGTGTACAGTCGGTTTTTCTTCTCTGCTTCATGATCGCAAACAACTTGCCGTTTGATGCATCATCAACGAAAGCTTTGTGTTACTAGCGATCGATTCATACTGAGTATCAAGAAACGGCACGACCAAGACCAAATTATGCAACCTCATTGGCCACTAGGCAGCTACTTCTGAGGACCTCGCAAGTTCGGAAGTTCGCATCGGATGTTGATTGGCTGCATCAGAGCTTTGCATGTGGAGCTCGGATGAATACAAATTGCACGGAGTATTTGTTGGTTGTTAAGTCCGATACCTAAACTCCAGAGTCCGCCTTCTCAGCTGGATCATGCCTACCACGAAACCTACATGATTGTAGAGATCACTTGGCTACTCACATCAATTTGCTCTCTCTCGGTCGCGTAGCCACGATCTAAGCCTTTCACGTCGTGACCCTTTCCCCTTCCCCGCCTCCCACTTTAGACTCCACGCGACGCCATGCTATACTCGATGAAAAGCCTACTTCGACGCGAGCATACCAGCAGCAGTCGCACGTACATACCTACATTCGAATAATTTACTGCTCTGCTCAGCATGGAAAATTAGGCCGCCGGTTCGTTGGTCTTGAATCGCGCTTAGTTGTACCTGATGATGTTCCAAAAACCATGAGCAAACGTCTGCCGTGCGGACAGGATAGTGCTTAGGGCAATCCGACAGACAGCGCTGAACCGCCAATCACTGGCCACCTGACATGCAGGCAGTGCTGCACTGCGATGAGCTGTACAAGAAACACACCAGCGGCGGGCGTGATGACTTGGGTACAGCGTCTTCAGTTTGTTGGCCGCATGAAAACTTTGTGTGCACATAATTTTGTTGTCTAGGCAGTTATGCTTGCGAAGCTGCTATTTTCACACAATTTGCAATTTTCTCGGTGGAAGAGCGTTTGAGCGGGCAGATAACAGGTATGAGAGATCAAAGGAGAAATTTCAGGTCATTTGCCCAATGTTGAGACAAGCCCTTCTGATGCGCTGTGCAACCAGAGTGCCTCGTGTGTGGTGCAATGCAAGCTCAGCCCCAGCACCGCCCATTCTCTTCCACGCAGCAACGGCACTGTGATCGTCGGGCATGCATCAAATCTGCTCATCTCCCTACATCATGAACGCGTGCGATACTTCATCTTCTTTGTCCTTTGTTTTGACTTTACCTGCTTCAACGATGAGGATGGAGGGTGTCGATTTCTCTTCGTGTCATGAATCAACAGCCAATAATCAAAAACGACAAATCGCAGAGGATGGTGCCAACAATGCGCAAACCAACAAAAGGCTGTGCATGTCACCAGAATTTCCACAAGCAAGCGCTGCAACCTCAGAAGTCATCCCGCCCAATTTCCCTCAAAGCATCCCGGAATTCTGGTCAATCGATAGCAACTCGATGAATTATGGAATGCTTGATGATCACCTAACACTACAAACGAATAGTTGGGATTCTTCTGTTATAAATTGGAATCAAGGCAACGGCATAGCACAAGATGCACATGAAACGCCGTCGTGGTACGATGGATACGACATTGGGGCATTCTTCCCTCCCGTACCTCAATTGACAAGTGAAGAAAATTCAGGCCTCACTCCCAGCACTTTCGACTTTGGCAGCGCGGAATCTCCTTCCTGTCTCCTTCAGAGTACAAACTATGATGGCTTGGACCACCTATTTGGCGCAAGTCAGCTAGCTTTCTCCGAGTCCTGGGATGCAGCAGCATTCGGGCCATTTCCTGGCGCAGACATTGCGGACTCAGCCAGCTTGAAAACCTTGGATCCAACAACGATGGGGCCTTTTGAGGACCACGAGTCCAAGCCATCCATCCAAGTTTGGGAAGGCAGCCCTGAATGTGCATCGGATCAACAGCCGCCCGATACAATTCCTGATCACTCTGCGTCGAACATTGCTACATCTACCGCCACCTCTCCGTCTGATCGAGACATTGATTCTGCTCAAGCGGCTGTCGCAGTGGTTGAAAGTAATAAGGAAACTCCCACGAAGCTGGGTAGTCGAATCGACGATTGTGATACTTGTTTTGGAGTTGTAAGTCGTGCCTGCTCTCGTATCATCATGGACTAACACAAGTACATATAGATCGTTATTACCTCGATTTCTTCCCTGCCCGATGCTGAGATTACAAAAACCTCAGAAGTTGACATCATCCCTTTTGGAAACATTTTGAAATTTTCTTTCAAAGATTCTGGAGCTTATGCTGGCATGCTATCCCAGACGGTCCTGCGCAAGCTCTCGAGCGATTTTACAATCTGCTATCGAGGAATCTTGATCCAACCTGGTGCCTCACCTAAGAAAACGGCCAGCAAAAAGAATGGATCTTACTCCTCCGACTGCGAACTACGATTAGTCGTATTTGGTTTGGCCGCGGACAAAATTGCAGTTGGACGTGCCTTGTCAGATTCGGATTTGTTTCTGCAGCCACCATACGAATCAGAGTGCCCCAGTCATCTTGATTATCACAATCCGCATTACCTATTGCGACCAGGATCGGAGATGCCAAGATTAGAAAAATTGACTTTTGAGACAAGCGGTACTGAAAAACAAAGCAACTTGACTGAATTGGCGATGGGCCGACTACAGCAAATCTTTGATTCGAGTGATATAGACAAAAGTACTTTGGGGATTAATGTGGAACCCAGCAATCGATTGAGAACACCATTGTTGAGGTATGTGTGTTGGACATGCCATTTGCACATTGATAGTGGCTGATCGAGCAGACATCAACAAACCGCGATGGCAATGATGATTGACAGAGAGCAAGGCGGCGCGAATGAAACCAGATTTCCCTCACTTTGGATACCAGTCACCGACGAAGCATGCCTTGGAAAGTATGTTCGCTTGATCTTGATCCAAGCCTCTATGTATCTGACCAATTCTCTAGATACCGTCACATTATCACTGGCGAGAGACGGGACAATCCATGTCCGATACGTGGTGGTGTTCTTGCAGACGTAAGCTTTTTTTTTTTTTTTTTCAGGCTATTAACATTGTTAGTGTGATCCACTGACAGTTGTAATAGGACATGGGGCTCGGCAAAACATTGACTACCTTGGGGCTCATATGCTCGTCCCTCGATGCCATAGTTCAAGACACTCCGGCTTCAGAGGCAGCAAGGTACACCTCTACCTTGATAATCACTCCCAAGTCCAGTTCGTCACCAATCAATTTGACTGCTTGTCATATCTCTAAAAAATTTTTGTAGCCCTTCCAGGATGGGAAAAGCAAATCGCCGAGTACGACTAGGCATTCCCTCACCCATCTCATATAGGGTCCTCACTAACGATACCAGTCATATCCATACTGGTTGCCTCAAGTCAACGCGCTACTATGGTTCTAGCCGAAAACAATTGCGATCCATCCCGGTGCATCATGATGTTGTCATCACCACCTATGAGACATTGAGATCTGATTACGAGAATCAAGGGCCTTTGTTCACCCATAAATGGCTTCGCGTTATTTTAGATGAAGGTCTGTCCAACTTCCGGCTCACCCGACCCTTGTGCCATTGGGAGTTGAGGGTAGCGACAATGACTTGGCAAAGATTGCTGACAAGAGTTAGCTCATCACATCCGCAACCGCACGACCAAGAATTTCCAAGCAGTTTGTGCATTAAAGTCATTTTACCGTTGGTGCATCACTGGCACACCTATTCATAACTCCTTGGACGACTATGGTGCTCTGCTCACCTTTCTTGGTGTAGACCCTTTCCAAGAAAAGTCTTCATTTGGTTTTTGGATAGTTTCTCCTTTCACCCAGCAGGGGCCACGCCACGTGGAAAAAATCAAAAGTCTGGTAAATGCAACGTGCATACGAAGGACCAAGCTTTCATCATCTGTGTCGCTTACGCTTCCCGAGGTCATCGAAAAGATTGAGTACACTCCGCTTTCTGGTACAGACCAGTTGTTGTACGAATTCTTCAAGAAGATGACTGCCGAAATTGCTGCGAAGGTTCATCATGGGTCAAAGACTTCCCTGGAATCGAAGGGGTCAAAAGGGACAAATATATTGGCATTGATGAGCTCGCTACGGTTAATCTGCAATCATGGAAAGGATCTATTGCCTGATACCGCCCTCAAGATGTGGAGTTCTCGGGAAGACCGGCAGCTAGATGCCAGCCTTGTCTTGAGAAATCAAGATTACTGTGAAGAGTGCGGAGACATGCTCGAATGCGCACTGAACACAAACACTGAATCCACCAACCCGAAGATTCGAACTACTCGCCTGGCATGTCCGACCTGTCGCCAATCTGAAGAAGACGATGTGATTGAATCACAGGATTCAGACCGATCCATTAAATCGCAGGGAATTTCTCTACGAAATGCTTCGTCGTTGCAGATTGAGAAGGGGGGTACAAGACCCTCTGTGAAAGTAGCTGCACTCATCAGAAACATCCGTGAAGAACAGTCAAGCGCAATTTCGGGAAAACCGCACAAAAGGTTTGGCCAACCCCATAAAGACAATTTGAATAGTGGCTGATCATACCTATATAGCGTCGTATTCAGCTGCTGGAGCAAGATGCTGGATTTATTGGAGGCAGCCTTTGTTACCGAAGGCATTTCATTTCGAAGAATTGACGGCCAGACAAGTCTAGACGCTAGAGGCGAAGCCCTGAAACAGTTCAATGAGTCACTGAAATGCACCGTTATGCTTGCAACAACTGGCAGCTGTGGTGAGGGGTGAGTTCTCTTCAGATCTACGAAGCTTTTCCCTTGTCGCCTAGCGATATCTGGCTAAAATGATTGCCTACAGTATAAACCTGGCAGCCGCAACGAACGTTCACCTCATGGAGCCTAACTGGAATCCCATGATGGAAGCTCAAGCGGTGGACAGAGTTCATCGCATAGGGCAAACTCAGATTGTGACGATCATCCGTTATATCGTTCCAAGGTCTATCGAGATGGTACATCAAATTATAGAAACAACAATGACCGTACTTTTAACTGACTTGTGTTAAAGTATATCAGAGAAATTCAAATGGAAAAACTACATTTAATCAGCCATGCCATCAATAATTCTGCCTCGGGAGACTTTACAGACCTGAAAATTGAGCGGTGGAAAGTAAGTTGTCTATACTTGACCTCTTATCACATGGCCCTGTGTTGTTGACATAGTTCACAGAAGTTCCAGGCTTGCTTGCAAGACGCGCCGAAAACATGAATGTGTGCTGTATGATAGGAATGATCATGTTTCCCATCACAACTAGTTGCCAGTGGCAGTTCCCGACATGCAGATTCGAATTTCATAACAGCTTTATCAACCATATGTGCCTATTGTGCAATTTCCTGACTTGAAGTTCGTGCCGCCTTGCTTTGTTCTACCAGCTCATCCCACGATATCCCTATCCATTTGGATATCTGCTTTGCGCCTTTCTCGTCTCTGACTGGTAATTTTGCTGTTGAGCTTGTTTTCTCTGGATCGGCCCCATTTAGCAGAAGAAGTCGCATGAAGTTGGCTGCCTCTGCTGATGAAAGTTTGGCTACCCGATGAAGATATGTTAGGGAGGTTGGCAGCGCTTGGTAATTCACATCAGCCCCGCCTTGTAAAAGGTATTCAGCGAGTAGCACAGATTGACACCGTTTGGCAACCTTCCCTAAGGTAGCATTCAGATCGTTTGCATCGAGATTTCCAATCAAATCTACACTCCTCCAGAGTCTCAAAAGAAGTCGTTGCCGCCGCTGATTCTCCCTGCAAATGTTCATCCCGTAAGAAGTAAAATTAGTAAAGGCATAGTTTCTCGAGGTTGTTTTCAACGATGACAAGACATCCTTTTCGAAATGCGCAGCCGTTTCAAAAGCTTCGTAAATCTCAATGGACTCCGATTCTAGGACTTCGCCGAGCGCATGGCAGCATATCTCGTGCGTTTCTTTGGTGAGCCGGATTTGGGTGGCCGCATTGAGAACAATCTTGAAGCTCTCGGCATTTCTGTTCTTGGCAGCTTCCTTTAGCATTACACGAATGGGGTTATCGAAGTCCGGATCGCGATTATTCTGAATTCTCAAGAAACTTTCAAGGAATTTCGATGTTCCGATATTGACAGCTAGTCTAGAGAGCGACTTTGCAGTATCTGGTTTCAGTTTTTTGAAAGTTTCTCGCAGAGACTCTGCGGCATCGGAGTCATTCGCTTTGATCAAGTCGGCCCACATGAGCTCTAACTCCGCCCTATCGATTTGATCAATGGACAAGTCATGTGTACTGTCCTTTTTTGCCTGATGAAATTGATCCAGGTGGTTGTCTCGCATTTTTCTAGAGAGGAAGCCACCCTCTGCATACTCGCAGGTTGGGATGTTGCATTTCCATGGACGGTCGTGGTTGCGTTCGTGGTAGCGCCGCTCATTCTGGCTTGCGAAACCCTCGTATCGAAAGGTGCAATGCGTGAAACGACACTTGTAAGGTTTCTCTCCGTAATGTCTTCGAACGAGGCTGCAAGGACAGCCCTGATTATGTTCAATTATCGCGATGTCACATTTGAGCGACGAGTCAATCGCATTGCGAATCGAAACCAAAGTTTCAGAGAGCGTCAAAGGGTCGCCTCTTGTCCATGTTGCCCCTAGCATTATCAGAGTCAGCGTCTCGGAACGACTTTTCTAAATGATCAGGATCCTTACCTCGTTCAATGCGGTGCTGCGATGATGAACAGATGTGACGAAAGTGGGCCACGTCGGACAATGTTGCGTAGATATCTGGTAGCTTTTCACGCATGTCTCCTAATTTCACCTCCATTCGATCGTTGTTTTCTCCTTCGTAGTTGTCATTGATTCTTTCAGAGATCAGTCTTTCCAGAAAAGATGCCAGGATATCTGGGACTGAACGTTTTGAGCCCTGTTGAAGGTATTGCTCTATGAGTCGCAGCCAATTCGAAACCGCGTAATCATGTAAGACATAAATTCCTGCAAGCACCCCTTTGGAGATGGACTCAGTAGGTAGCTTGGAGTCGTGATGACTTTGACAAAGATACGCGATACATTTGAGTGTCAGGCTCAATGTGGAATCTTGAACGTTGATGAAGCCTTCTATTTTTGGACTGAATAAATATCTGCGAACTGGTCAGTGAACTATTAGCTTGGCAATTCCAGGGCCCTTACTCTTTGACCGTGAAATGAACAAATTGAACATAGTCATCGGCAACATCCACAATGGGTCCACAAAGCCTTCGGACATCAAGTCTGCCGAAAGGTTGACTGTATCCATCTCTGTCGGCCAAGTTGATAGAGAGCGCTTGCTGGATCTCTTGCACTCTCATTGCAACAGGAGAGCAGGCAATCCAGCCAAGGAGATTTCTTGCCTTTTCTCTCGTAAAGGCTGGTGAACTATTGATGCGCCCAAGAACTCTAGCATAACTGCGCTAGTTAGCCCTGTTGAAGTCTCAAAAACAGGAAGATAGGTAGCTCACGCAGCGTCCAGGTTCTCAGGGAGAACTTGAAGTTCCTTGCCAATTTGTACCATGTTGTCCATATACTCAATGCTTTCCAAAACAACCTTGACGTACAGAAACATGCCTACCTGGCGGTCAGTTACTATTGAAGTTGCTTTGATGGTGGTTATATTCACCTTTGGCTTTGATTGCCAGTGGCGCGAGCCATCCCTCAATGTGCTTCCTTGATTCATCATATATGCCACATCTTCGGAACCAATCTTTCGTCCAATAGTGAACGAATTGTGCAATGCTTTCGGTGTTTCTTTCATTGACTCGAATGTTTGCTGATTTTCGGCCCAACAAATTCTGCAGGTCACTTTCAGGCCTACTACTCAAACATACCATCAAGTTGTCGCAAGCCTCCAAGGATTTCAGGATGTCTTCAGTAAATTCGTCACGATGAAGCTCATCAATCTCATCTAACCCGTCAATAATGACATATACAGGCCCCGAACATGCCAAAAGGATCGAGTTCCAGATTTCGAGTGCTGCATCATGGCTATCCTCAAAGTTCTCTCGGCTACTTTCACAGAGTATTGTCTGTAAATCCGGATCGTCTGCCACCACTTGAAATATCAGGGAGTGGATGATGGACAATGCAGACGTCGTTTCAGATGCGGTATAGCTCACGAACGCAAAAGCGACTCGACCAAGAGTCCTTGTCTTGTCTACGATGACAGTTGACAATGATGTTTTGCCTAAGTTCAGTCAATGGTTGGATCAAAACAGCCGGAGCACTTGAGAACACAGCATACCTGCACCCGGGATGCCTTGAAGCCATAAGAGCCTGCTGGTCTTATCAGCAGGGTCTAACCAGGTGGCAAAGGTTGAGTCCCTTAGCAGCCAGTCCCCGCTTCCTTTGCATACTTGGCTGCGGACAGTGCTGAGTTTGGTGTGATACTTTTGAGGAGCTATTCTTGTCATGATTGTGTTGTACTCCTTCCGTCGTTCGTCATTCTCCTTGGCCTCGTAGTAGTCGAGATCACGGCGTCGGGCCTCATGTTCCTGCAAGATGTGTTCGAAAAGGACTTTATCTCGCATCATGAGCCTATGCCGCTCGATTATGGAAACTAGTTTCTTTATTTTATCGCGGTGCTTTGGCCATAGCGATTCGAAGAGATATTTCCAACCTGTGCAGGGTTAATCGCAGTGATCGTCAAGGAAGTCCGCTTCGAGGTATCAATCTAGTTTTACTTACGTGTAAGTCGAAAGAAACGAAAAGCCAAGCGATAAAACTCAAGTATGTCATGGAAGAAAAGCAGCAGCACATCCTTGACTTGTTCCTTGTCCCCAAAGAGCTGCCCGGCCTGCTGGAATTCTGGCAATGCGAGCCCAATTTCCTCTGTCGTGTTTATGATTGCGTCGAACGACGTCTTCAGTGCGCTGGCCCATTGCAATAGCAATACAATCGGGCCCCATATCAAGGCCAAAATGTCTGGTTTGACCTGAACAAAAGTCTCTACTGCTTTGGAGTAGTCGCTTAGGCGAACAAGGTAGGGCTCGATTTTGGCTAGGTGGCGTAGGTGACCCGTCTTTAGCTGTTCCGCCTGGAGCTTATCTGTCGCATCGTAGACTTGGTCAATGGACGTTGTCTGTAGTATCTCACGGTACAGCTCCTCATCGTTCAATTCGTCCTTGAATTCGCGTTTCGCTCTCTCGAATGCATCATTGATGGGATCAGGCATTTTGATTGCAGTGTAGTGGTGTTAGCAACTAGACTTCACAGAATATTCCAAGGACTTTTTCAAAAACGTTTGGAAATGCCATGGCGAGGGAGCCTGACAGCCTGCAGGCTGACTGGGGAGCCTAGCAGGGCGCAGCGAGCGCCTGCATGGCGTTAGGTAGGTACTATTGCAGGTAGACCAATAGCAGAGACATCACCAGATTCGTATTTGATCCTATCACAATAAGGGAAAAGTGTATGCAGATTGTTTCAATTTCGTTTTTATTTTCCACGAGAAGAGGGATCTGTCACTAGTAGAGCATACAACAGCTTGACCCTGATTAGCCGGTGGATTGATCGTATATAGCCCATTCGACCAAGAATGTTTAGGAATGTGCCCCGCGATTGCTACCTAGGTAATTACCTAGCACTTGGTGGTGATGTTTCCCGTCTAAAAAGGTCCATCTCCTTTCTCTTATACCGAAATGAACGTTATTTCCAATTTTCCTCTTTCCTCAGGTTGAACTTCAACAACGCAAACGGACTTTTTAATCCATAGCAGCTGGCTTTTGCGGGAATTCGTTGGCTTCCCTATATCCACAATGGCAGTCCCGGATCGAGACGTGGAAACATTCTTGGCTGATGAACGATTTAGCAAAGTATTCACGTATCCCCCAGATCCTGCTCAGGGACGACCCAACGCCCTTCGCATTTCATATGCCGACTATGGGTACCGTAATACAGAAAATCCTAATGTCGAAAAGGTCTTTCTTTTTTTCGGGCCTCTTCTGGGGTCTCGAATGCTTCATATAGCCAAAGATGCTCTAGCAAAAGAATATGGAGTCCGTATCATCAACGCCGACCGGCCGGGTTTTGGCGACACGCCGGATGTGGACGCAGAGGGGAGATTGGCTTTCTGGCGGAGTAAATATTTACCTTTAATGATCCCTCTTTACTCTTGGATCGCTCTCGGCTGACCGTCCTGTTACCAGAGGCTTTGTTTGCATTATTACAGCACTTACAGATCCGCCACGTGCATCTGGGCGCGCAGAGTGCCGGTACCGTATACGCCGTGGATTTTATACTTCATTATCCCGAAATGCTATACTCGCATAATGCCTATCTTGCTATTGGGGCTCCATGGATCCACCCTTCGCATTCTCGAATCTGGTACATGTCAGTAACAAACGCTCTTCCCAGGTTCCTGCTGGTACAGGTGGATAAGCTTGCTTCCTTATTCTCTGTGGTCTCCGCTCCCATATTGGAGACCAGTTTCGGGCTCACCTCTGCTTTGGGGACGTGGTTTGCCACTCAGCCAGCTGGAGATGACGCCTCCACCGCCGTCGATCCGGCGGTAGCTTTTGCAGAGGCGTTGGACCCAAAATTGGCCGACTTTATCTATGCTATGCCTGTTCATGGAATATCCAATGAGTCGATCGTGCTCATGAAAAAGACGCAGGGCACGTCTGGATGGGCAGACTGGGTAGATTACGATGTCTTGGTTCCGCGTCTCAAGACCGCCATGGCTGAGAATGGCCAGTGCCTGGTTGTAGATTGCTTTTTAGTCAGACAGACTCCATGATTGGCGACCCTGGCACAGCTGGCCCTGAGTGGTTCAAAAGCTGCTGGGCACGAGACAGCGAGGAAAGCGATAGTATTCAGTTCTCTTGTAGAGTCATCGACGGAGCAGACCATAACTCAATTTGGGCGACGCAGTGGGGAGTGGCTAAGGACGTATTCGATCATATTCGAAGAACCGAGTCTTGATACTTGCCCAGATAAGTGACTGCGGTATCATGAATATCACATCTATAACACCTTAGCTCTGATGCGACGTTTATATTCATTGCTTCTATGATCCTGTACCAGAAAAGTCCCCACTAACAAATACAACAAGGACTGCAGCACATGCAGCACACGCGCCAAAAACTTCAGCTCTCCTTGCATTTATCAGGACCACGATACCGCAAGCAAACAGCACTGTAAACATGGCGATCAAGCCCAGCGTGAGGGCTGCCCGAGAGGTTGAGATATTATAAAGAGTATAAATCGGCAGAAACAAGAGCAAGGTGGCAGTCAGTGTCGTAACAAACGATGCCACAAATCGAACCATCGCAATGGAGTAGTGAACCACCTGATGCCGTGGTAGGTGAGATATGCCAACTTCTTGAGGCAAGGCAACGGGTGGGCGCGTCTCAAAAAGCCTGGAACAATAGGTCTTGAGAAAGTATGTGAGCAAATCTGACTCTGATCGTCGCGAAACTGACACGTAGTCTGGGAATCGAATCCTCGACGAGTCCATGTTGTGAGGGTATAGGTAAGAGCTTGCGCCACTCAAGATCGGATAAGTCGACCGATGCGGTTCTGATTCCGTTGATGAAGTAATGTGAATGTGGAAATAATTCGAAAGCGCGGCCATGCTCTGCTGAGACGGCTGCTGCATGTTTAACAATGTTGACTCCTGAATCAACGGTTCTCTGCATTCCTTCAATGTTGTTCGAATGTCCATGGCTAGGCGCACTCGTTTCTTCCTTCGCTCAAAAGTTTCATTTGCTTCGCTTCGAGAGCGAGCTGCTGCATCTGTACCATACGGCTCATCCACTCCATGCTTCAATCTGACCCAGTCCCGAGCGTGACTTCTAACATATTCCCAGGCCTCCGGCTTCTCTGGGTTCTCAACATCCTTCACGTCTTCAACATCGTATTCGTCCTGTATCGCTTGTAGCTCTACCAGCTCGCTTTGATAATACAACAAGTCCCGGGCTGCGAGCTTGTCAAAGCGCCTGTAGATTGACGTACTATGGTCTCCATCACTTGTAATGAAGTCGGAAAGTGAGCCAAAGCCAGGAATATAGTTATATTCATGCCGACTTTCTCTTCTCGGAGTGTCATTTAGTGATCTATGATATGAACTTGATTAAATAGACAGGTGGAATGATCAACTCGAGGCTATTTTCATGAAAATGGCGACGCTCATGGATGATGTAGTAGATTGCAGGTGTGAGGCTATGCTGAATGCCATTGTGAGGTGCCACGTCAGAAGGCGCACTTCCGTTGGGCGTCCCGCGCGATGCCAAGACACGTCACAGCCTCCCTCTTTTAGAATCATCACTATCGCAGCTGAACATCAATGGCAAGGTCTAGGGGACGCCCGGGCTCCCATGAAAGCACCCAAAATTGTCCTCTTGATCACTCCCTGGATCAACTCAATTTTCACATTTCAGGTTTCATCGAAAGGAAGATCTTCTCTCTGAAAGTACCGCCATTCGTATCGCAACATCTTCACCTGGGACGACTGTTACGCATGGCCCGTTTGAGGCCGCCGTCGGCGAATTGGCGACGCGATGAGTTGCACGCCGACATCGAAACATCGAGCTCAAGAATTGAATGCAGGCGCTCTGGTGAGATGGTGGAAAACAATCCCTTTGCTTTCAGCCCAGCCCAGCTTTCTAAGATCTTCGGACCCAAAGGCATGTCAGCTTTCCATGCTTTAGGAGGCTTACGCGGCATCGAAGCAGGTCTCCAGACACATCGCAACTCGGCTCTCAGCATCGACGAAAATAATTTCGGCAGATCTTCCTTTGAAGAGGCTTCGAACTTGCCATTTTCGAAATCTCGGGCAGACGATCCCAATCAACCGAATGAGCCAAGCTCTTATGGCAACGCGGCCTATTTCCACTATGCAACTTTGGCAGATCAGAAGCGCATTTTTATGGACAACAGACTCCCAAAGATGTCGAAATCTCTGCTTGAACTATTCCTGGCTGCTAAAAGCGATATCGTCTTGCACGATATTCTTGAGCTGATCATTCTGGTCAACAACTTTTGTGCTGTTATACGAGCTTCTACTTGTGGTCTTGAGATCAAGGACGACAGTATAGCACGCAAGTCACTTCAAGCAGTCACTCTGATGGAACATCTCTCAATGGCTTTGGTCCTCCTCGCTGTTCCTTGGACGAGTTGGAAAATGTGGCTGGAATATTCTCGGATCGCATTGTTGAATCAGAGCCAAGATCGCCCCGCCAAGGTTATCCGTTCTAGCATAACAACCGAAATCTCTCTATTTGATTTGATGCCAGGCGACAGTGTAGTTGATTCAATTATTCTATCCGGCAGCACGGTCTTAGAGGGACTCGGCACACTCTTGGTGGTTGCCACTGGTGTCCACTCCGTTGACGGCAAGATCAAGATGATCCTTATGAACGAGCCGAAAATTGCACAGCACGAATGGATTATCAGCCTGGTTTTGAAAATACTCTGGCTCGCCTTTTTCCATCCAAGACTCATCGAATTACTTTTTCAGGGCATCCTGAGCATCTTCGGCGGAACATTCTGGGAGAAACTCAAAGCTGCGAGCAATGCATGCATACCTCATACGGCTATGCGAAACGACAAACAGTCATTTTTGCCGATACTGCTTGAGGGAGAGTCAGCCCTGGCACTGCCTGATACCGAGGTTGGGTACAATGTCATAACCGAGGATTATGCAGCCTTGATCGGAGTTAGAATCAACCGAGACCTCCCTGTTGGAAAATCTAGGTGAAACTCTACAAAGTACATTTGCAGTCTTCAAGCAATGTGCTGAACCACTGGTTCTGGGCGATTCCTTCCTCAAGGATAACAAAATCTTCACCAAGGTTGGCTACAGCCACAATCTCATCAAAGCTACATCTAGCTCAAGTTTCAACAGCAAAGGAATGCTCAGATTAATGCACATAGAAACGCCTCGTTAGAAGCTGACATGTACCATGGACTCCTGGCCTGCGCTTGCAAACGCAGACACTGGTTCTGATCTGGATCTGGTTTCTCTACGTTACGCTTTCAGAGACAAGAGCAGAGTCGTGTCATGCTCGCAAATCAAGAGGTGGCACAACTTTCTGGCTATGTTGAGGTTAAGTTTTCCGTCAAAGGCGTTGAAACTTTGAAGAAGTTTCATGTCCTCAAGGGTCTTGTCTGTGACATAATCCTGGGAGATGCTACTATCGAGTCGATCGACGCATTCAAGAAATGTGAAGACTCATTCGTGAACGTGGGTGGTCGCAATAGATCATTCTGCATGATCAGATGGGTAGAGAGGCTGAAACAGGTCGAGAGAGATGTAGACAAAATAATGGAACGGCAGAATCATGGAACAGGAGTGTTGCAGAAGACCAGCCGGTGGTCGAGGCTGGTGTCCATGTTCTTCCCTGGAACAGGCGACTCTCCGAAGACTGATGTGAAGGTAAGTCGTGGATTAACTTATTTTGCATTGGATGAGGTGAAATCCATTGTGACTAACTACATGGCTAGGTATAACGCATCAACTGAGAGATCGACTCAACGAGATTGATAGTATAGAATTCGACAATAGGACGCATATTGTAAAGAAAAAGACGTCTTTGAGCGACACAGAACTTTCTGGAGAGCAAGAAATTGACAGAAGTCGCAGAGAGAAGCATGATGCACTCCGCCGGAAGATCCTGAAGCATATTCAGGATCTTTCCGTCCTTGACAACGGGCCGTGCAGACCCTGAAATCCCATAGACAGGATTCCAGACTCGCTACGTCTCACATAGTTGGTGAACGGACCCGTTCGATATGAGATTTGTTCCGCTACTACGAGAGATATGGCGTGGACAGAAAGATGATGGCGGGCCTTGTTACCAAATTCTATTTACTATCACGTGTGCCCGGTATGTTTGATATGGGAGGCGAGTGCTACAAGCGATCAATCAAAGATACAACAAGTAGATCATCTTTTGCAATGCTCAGGATTCCGACCCAGTCTGCAAATATACTCGGTCGCGTCTCATGTTGAATATTGGGCGCGACGATTGCTCCTTAGAAGCTGCCTGCGCCACTGCCATTTATTCGAAACGCTCAAATAGTCGGCGACCTTGGAACAAGAATCCTCACCCTCATGTCACGGGAGATAGAGCTAAGAATCAATGCGAGAATTGGTGTGATACTATGCCCAATATAGTTTCGATATCCGATGCACAAGGTCATTTCGTGATAAGCCCTCCACCACCACATAGCTCTGGTTGTGCCAGGACATGCGTTGCTGGCATCGTGGCTCTTCAGCAAAGTGACTACTGCGAGAGATTGGCTTTTCTAACAACAGCCGTATCGTTCTTGTCGAAAGCAGGAACTGTCCATCTCTGGTCGAAGGGCTTGGTCTTGTCTACAAACCGCAAGTCTGTAGAGACGCGCACTCTTCCGCAAGGGTCCTCATTGATGGCACTGGCGTGGATCGAGTATGGGGAGTGGAACACGACGTCGCCAGCCTCGTAGTCTCCCTGTCAATCCGTATCAGTCTCTTCCACTCGATGGAAATCGGTGTCTTGTCTGGTATCATGACTTACCACGAGCCAACCACGATTCCAGCCTTGCCCGAACCGGCCGGCATTGCGATCAAGCCAGCCACCCTTCTCCATATTCTTGTTGAAGGCGCTCAGCCTCTCTTCATCCGGAAGATCCTTGTTCAATTCGTCAAAGTCCTGTTCATACTTGACTCCAATGTCGTGCGCATTGTCGAGGTATACCAGCCCTCCCCCCTTTGGCCCAATGTCACCAATCGGTACCCAGCCCGTGATACTAGTGGGCGGGCCTGCACGAAGGTATATCTGATCGTAATGTACAGGAGTCGTCTCGGCTCCAGGGACAGCGCAACGTAAAAGGGATCGAGGTAGACACCATGGCTCCTTGAATTTGCGTAGCTTGCCGACAAAAGGCTCGATAATTTTTGCGACCTCATCTTTGAACTTGAGATAAAATGGTGCCTTGTGGGCTTTGATTGCGGCTTCGACAAAGGGTCCATCATCACTGAAACCAGCGGCAACACGCACAACGCCAGGAGGAAGGAACTCGCGCCAGTCATTGGAGGGATCAAAAATGCCTTCGACAGGATCCGTTCCTGGTTTTAGCATAAAGGTGGTCTCATTCACGAAATGCATATAATTTTCTCTGCACTTGAGCACAAGGTCTCTGGGGAGCAGATTCTTGACCTGGAAAAGCTGAGGACGGGGCAGATGGATGTGCGGAGGCAGGTAAGGCTTACCCATATGACTCCATCTTGCTCATACAACCGCTGAAGCTCTTCGAGTTGAGTGTCAAGAGAGCAAGGCACAAGCGGTCTCACACCATCGATATCACTATCTGTGCCACGTAATTTAAGTATTTCAGGGTTCGCAGCAGTTTGAGGCGAGGAGTGTTTAGAGCCTTGAATAGCTTGCAATGGGCTTGAGGGGTAGTTGTGCACTTGTGTCATGACTGCTCAATTTAGGCGCTTTGCCGTCAGCAAGCAGTGGTTTAAATGAAAGTGTAAAGGGGAACGCAGGGAAATCGTTAGAGAACGATGTGTGGCTAACAGCGACTTATATACTGCTTGTGCTTGAGGCAAATCTGGCCACTCGCTGTCCATGATTTCAAAAACAGAGGCGAAATCTGGCTGGAAGTAACCACATGCGTGCATGAGAGTAACATGCCTTGTTGATCATTCCGTCTACAGCCAATATATCTCGCTTAAGTGTGGTATAGCTACGTACGTTCAAAGGTGCGTGGGTGGAGAAATGGTCCTATTTGTGCTTCCAGCACATTCGACTTTTCGCGAATTATCTTTTGGGAAACACTGCATTTGGAGACCGAGAGCGACGATGCATGAAAGTTGTGCAGAAAGGTCATGTTCTGCAGCTCGGTAAGGACTTCAATGCATCACTGTCCAATGAGTTGCCATCCTCGGCATCTCGAGAGCACATCGCATGCCCCTCCTCAACGACTCTGACACGGGTTTTTGGACATACGGACACATGGATACGTGAAATGGATGGTAATAGTGCCAGAATGTGCATGATTCGCTGATCAAAATGTGCTCAAGTAAATGTAATTGAAACTTTTCCGAAAGATCAGGGACAAACGGTCCTGTGGTCGTTGGTATTATCCAGATACTAGGTAGAGAAATGCGTGAACTCTATTCTCAGATACCCAAATCTGTTAGTTCTCACGCTTTTTGCATCTTGACCAGAGCGAACTGCCTCATGCCAAATTTCTGCATTTCGCAGATTTCTGTAAAACCCAACTTCCTGTACAGAGATGCGCCAGCTTCGGACGCCAACAAGTAGACATCTCTACCGTCTTTCTCAGCTTGGTCCATCCCCCACTTTGTAAGCAGCGTTCCAATCCCTTTGCCCTGATAAGTTGGATCAACTGCGATCGAGTTGGCATCTAGGGTGGTATGTCAATATAGGAACAGGGGCTACTGTGCAAGTTACGAGAACAGAATACGTACACCACATTTTTTCCAGACTGCCTTCACCCAAAGCCTGCTCCAGGGATTGTTCAAATGCTCTATTGACAGCCTGACTCTCCCTAAAGGCTGCCTGGTCCATGCCAGCTGGAAGCTCCGTCTCGCGATCTGTTTCTGTTTTGTCCTTGTCTGGAGTGCTGTTTGTCTTTTCGGCCGGGGCCATCCACTCAGCACTCCCAACCATGAGTTCCTCGCCAGTCGGAGATTGCTGCACCGCGACAATGAAATGCATCCAGGGCTTCATGTCCTGAAAGTTGCTTTCGAAACGCGAGGTCCTCCACGCCAGATGGTCGCCGTGACCTGGTAGGAGTCTGAGATGCTTGAGGCTCTCCGGCCAGAGCATAGCAAAAAGATTCTTGGTCCCGAATGCTCGATAGAGAATCTGCACCATTGCCGGTATATCTTCTCTCGTGGCCCGACGGATTGTTATAGGACCGCCGCCTTCCATGTCTGAAATTTTCGAATGGCTTTGAGTCAAGATAGCACGAGAATTGATATCTGAGAAATGTTTAATCTTGGCAAAACAGATTCTTTCTGCTATTTATACTTTTTCTGAAAGTGCCCTTTTCCCACGTCTAAATGTGGCACCATATGATCATTACCTCGCGGTCGAAGCAACGTCAGCAGCGAGAGTTGCGGTGGGGAGGCCGGGCCAATCGCCGCATATCAGATGTGCTACGCCGCAGACTTGAATACAGACTGATTCGGTGTCGATGGGCGAGGATTGCGCGTTATGAGCACGTAGCATTAGGCAACACTTTTAACCTTGCCCTAACAGGCACCACAATATCTTCATAGACAGACCTCGGAAGGTCAGCCCTCGATCAAGGAGGCATTACCTTGCGGGTCCTTGTATTGCTCAACAGAATGGGCGTGAACTGGCTGTGACCGTTCACAATCTCCTCACTCTGTTGTCGATATAGCCCGGAGAAAATGCAAAATCCTCCATAGCCCCAAACTCCGTATATGCAGAGATGTGTAATTTCCGGACGTAATGTACAATGCTTCGAAAATTTTGCGCTCCTGTCTTCCCCCAAGTTTGCGCAACTGCCGTGTTGCGATACTTCACATTTATTTTCTACATGCCCTCGGGCAATTGGTGTCAATGATACCGCCCTTGCGCTCGTTTCGGTGGTTCTAGATCGACGACGCTGTCTCGTACACTCTGGCCCTTCTTGTATTCCTCCTCTAGAGCCTTTTGCAACTCAAAGTCGAGTTGGCGTTCCTTCTTGATGCGCTGTTGTTCCATGTCGCGAATGACGCCTTGGTGCATTGCCTATATAGATTTACATCTTAGCGCATGTGCTGTCGGGAGTGTGTGATCGCCTTGATCGCAGGTTTGCAATCTCGAATTGACGCCTCAGAAGTGCCTTGACTGGCAGGCCTAACGAACCTCTTGCTCAAACTTTTGCTGAAAGTGCACAAAAACCACAGTAGTGACGGCAAAGAGCGAAGTGCCCAGCAGGGTAAGCTTGGATGTCCTGGACATTTTCAAGGACTATAGAGATAACAGTGGATGATTGAGAAGTGTCTCGTGCGTGTATTCAAGTTCACAATTCTTCGCAAAAAGTAGAAAATGAACGAATGGCTTGGGCTTTGAGACATACGATAATCGGTTGCGCCGGATTAGCTAACACCTGAATGAATCGCGACAATCTTTCGACTTTTGGGAGCTTGGACCCTGCAGCTGCCCACTGTAGATTGACGTCGATGGGGCATCTCGACGCCTAGCGCATAGCGGTTTGGCCGCTGAACCTTGGCGGCAACGAGCCCAGTTGCGACACTGCTTCAGGCGCGTGACGCAGCAACCACATCCCAAGGCAGCCAATCACCGAGTGCGACGCTACTACCAGCTGGCCGGCAGCTACCGTGCGACGACATCACCGGGTCCGACATTGAGGGAGCTTCCAACTCGGCGACAGGGCATCTCTAAACAGCTATAATTCCACACCCCAAAACAACCTCTTATACCCACCTCTCGTCCCGCCGTGACCACGATCGCTTTGATACCTGACCGACTCACCTCTCCAATCCCCGGATTCCTCCCTAAGACGTCAAGATGGTACGATAGTGCACCCGGCAGATGGGCGTCTCTGTTGAAATCAGCTAACATGATATCTCGCAGTCGGCCCAGAACTCCCAAGGCATCCAGACCTTGCTCGATGTACGACCGCCACCTGACGTATTTCCGAGGAGCAACCCACTGATCTTGTGATACAATCAATAGGCCGAGAAGAATGCTTCCAAGATCGTTCAACAAGGTGCGTCGCCATGACTTCTCGTTGACAAGCCTCTCTACGATATGTTTCCGCACTCGTCTCACCACTCCTGCTCACATGTTGGTCACAGCCAGGGAATACCGCACCAAGCGTGTGCGCGAGGCTCGCGACGAGGCCAAGAAGGAGATAGAAGACTACCGCAAGCAAAAGGAGGAGGAGTTCAAGAAGTTCGAGTCGGAGCATGCCGCAGGCAACAAGCAGGCTGAGGACGAGGCCAACAAGGAGGCCGAGACCAAGATCACTGAGATCAAGTCAGCGGGCAAGAAGGGCCAGGACAAGGTCGTTGCCGATCTCCTCAAGGCTGTGTTCGAGGTCAAGCCCGTACCCCCCACCACCGCTTAGGTATCTCAAGACAACAATTGCGGGCATAAAGGATAATTAGACTTGGCAGCCATCGGGTTTTAGGTGGCGGGATCTTCGAGGGCAACGGTCTACGATACTGTACAGATGAATATGCGGCACTTTCCCGCGACGAACACGATACAACTGGCACCGAACAACTACATTGGCGAAGGGCAACGGGTAGAAACGATACGGATTCCTGGCGCATGCAGCACTAGCCAGGTCAATTCATGATATTTCGATTTTACATGCAGACTGCTTTGGCAGCACCGCTATTGCAAGAACTCGGCCAGCGTTGTGAGCATCTCGCGGGTATCTTTTGTCTCCTGATCTTCAACATCCATGCCATCGATTTGTTCATCCAATGTTTGCTTGATAACAGTCAGCGTCTCGTCTCTCTCAGCCAATAAGGCCTTGACTTTCTTCCTGGCACCACCATCTTCGGCAATCAACCATGCCAGTGCGAGATCGATCATCTGCAAAGAGAAAAGCCCCGCGTCTAGTCGACGGGAAAACCACTCATCTGCCATATCTTCTTTTTCCTCCGCACTCAGTCGTGACTGTTCAGATCGGATGGCCTCGTCCGCTAGACTGACTCTTGAAGCGTATTCTTGGCGTAATTTGACTAGTTTCGTGGTCTTTTCGTAGTCTTTCTCGACAAATTTGGCCAGTGTTCGTATCCTCTCGGGCGAATTGGCTGGTAGCAGTCGAAGCATGGAGTTGAATATCCCGATGAGGTGTTCAGACGTCTGATTATCGTTCTTCTTCATGAAAAGTGTGAACAAATTCTTGAGTCCGCCAGCCTCGACGATTTTGGCGCATACGTCGGCTCCAGAGGGACCACCAGCGGCGTGATCGAGAAGTCTTAATGAAGCAATCTTGCTCATTTTGCCTTCCTTCAGCATGATCAAGCAGAGCTCAACGCCTTCAGCTTCAACAAATTTCTTCTTTCCATCAGGTTCATCCGCTATACATGTAAGCGCTTCGAACAGATTTTCCATGTACTCTTCTTCCTCGCCTCCTTTCTCAGGGTCTCGTTTTCGGTAAGGAGCGATAAGCTGCAGCATGTTGTCCACTGCATCCATCGCGGCCAGCTGTCTCCGGTTTTTGGAACTTGATTGCACCAAGATGGCCAGGATCTCGGCCGAGTATTGCTTGTTTTGACTGACGACACTTTCTTTTGCCTGCATCCTCTGCAGTAACCATTTAACCAGGTTCTCCTGTGCCCCTATCCTCTCCGCTATGCCCGTCCTCGAGCACAAATTTTCGCATATGTTGAGAGCGTGGTAGATTCCGTTTCGATCCATCTCTTCCTTCTCATCCAATCGTTCCATGTTGCTGAATAACAACCCTAGCAAGTCGGCGTCCAAACATGCATCCACGAGGGCGTTCCATTGCTCGTCCTCGGCGGGCACATCCTCGTCGGTAAGTTCATTCAGTAGCTCCAGCACATCGATTGCAATGTCACTATTCTCGTGCGCCAGCAAGCCGACCAAGCTGGCAATACATCCCAGGTTGGCGAACTCAGGGTATAGGCTTGGGTGTTCGGCCAGAATGCTCAGACCCTTGATGTCCGCGTCCAGGTCGGCTTCGCTCGCAATGAAGCGTGTTGGATCGTCCTCGAACTTGGCCCTCAGCTCGGCATTCTTAGAGATCCGCTTTTCAAAGTTGAGCGCTGTCCGTCGAAGCCAGGAAATGTCAATCTTTTCTTCCTTGAATTGGAGCTGTCCCTCAGCGCTGTCGAAGTAGTCCAGGATCTCGCGTTGCTGTGCACTGACTCCGCCACCAAAGAAACGCCCTTCCTCATCATCTCCGCCTTCTTCCTCCTCTTCGGCCGGCAAAGTCGGGCCATAGTCGCCTTCTTCGTCGTCCGGTGGCGGTGCAGGTCCAGCTTCGATGTCGGCGTCTTCCGAGGGTTCGTCTTCTACATGTGCATGTCGGCTCGAGCTTCCATTTGTGCGTGCAGATTTGTAAATCTCATCTAGGCGCCGAGGGGCGTCAGCAAAATTGGTAGGCAAAGTTTCAGAGAGGGACAGATACTCACTTGGATCTCGAAGAGGTTCGAGCTTGCGTTTGTTGCTGCTGGCGCCCTATTGATGATTAGATAATATTGAATAACAATCGCGAGATAATAAGCATACCTTGAAAAGCTCGTCTATGCTGGTCATGATGGGCGAGGTCAATGGGGCCTCTTCAGTGGCTAGTCAAAAGTCGTGATGCGGATTCAGTGGTTTGCGATGGAGCTTCAATTGAGAGCTCCAAGACTCACCGGGCCCCAAAGCTGTGTACGGTTCCACTAGTGAGCCATTCACTGTGACGAGACCTATGACAGTGACTCAATTAGTGACTAATGCACAGTGTGACTTCAAGTTAGCGGGCAGGACCGCGGTCCTACAGCGTCCCGCGAAATCGGAAGGCATGAGTCGGTCTGGATGGCGGGTCAGCATGACTTCTAACATGAGACAAGAATAATAGTTAGACGTACCTTTTTCCTTTTCCATAAATTGAATCGTCTTTTTTCTGGCCATTGCCCCCTTTCCCGTTTTGTCGTTGCATTTTTGTACCTTATTTTGCTTGTGCGGTAGAAGCAGCAAATTTAGAACTTCACCAGATTCTTCTCCAAGATGCCGCCGACTCTCATCCTCATCCGCCACGCACAGGCGCTACACAACATTGAAGGTTAGTCTGAAGATTTGAATACTGTCATTATATATATACTAAGAAACAGTCAAGGTCGATATGACATTCACGACCCAGATCTATCCGAGCTCGGTTTTGAGCAGCTCAAGCTGCTCCGGGAAAGCCTGATGGCCCATCCGCTTGCTCAGAATGCCGGTCTTATTGTGACCAGTCCCATGCGCAGAACCATTCAAACAACCCTTGGGTCTGTGGACTGGCTGATTTCCAATGGTGTCAAAGTGGAGGCAGATGCTGATTGGCAAGGTAAGTTGTATTGTTGAATTATCGAGGATTCCTCCTAGGCCCCATCCTGTGCAGAATACAGAGATTCTCACAGACAACATCTCATGCTTATGGTAATTGAATGTTTTCCATTTTTATTAATCTTGACTCAGAAAACTCTGTTAAGCCCTGTGACACTGGGTCACCTGTTACAGCTCTAGGCGAGGAATTCCCAGTTGTCGATTTCTCGTCTCTAGATCCTGTATACCCCGATAAGTCAACACCAGCTGGATCAAAATATGCGTACAACAAGACGGCCCTACTCGCACGTGGACAGCGTGCTCTACGGAAACTCTACAACCGACCGGAAAAAGTCATCATCGTCATTTCCCACTCGGGCTTCCTGCGGGAGTGCATTTCGGGTTTCTGGTACTTCAACTCTGATTACCGTATTTTTGAGTTTGAAGAGCGAGCAAGCGATGATGAACCCTACACACTCAAACAATCTGATGAAACACTTGAGAAGGGTGGTGGTCTAGGCCTCAGTCATAAACGCGCCGTAGGTCTTGGTAACAATTTGCCAGATGAAAGTCTGAAGAACGCACAATAGACACATGTCCAGACAACGGATAGAAGAACACGGGCAATAGAAATTACATTAGACGTTTGACGACGGAGCCAATGAGAACGGTATCACAACGCCGGGTTTCTCGTCATTCAATGATTAGGTAGATAAGATTTAGACCTATAAGATGCTCGAGCGGCTTTCATAATAACATTTCTTGCCTGGCAGAGAAGCCTCGGCCTCGTGGTTTTAGCATTTCATCCTCTTGATCTTGATCTTCAGTCTATTTGGCCGCAGTGCGAACCCTGGATCCTCGATTGTAAAAGACCTTTCCACACTTATGACTTCATAAGTACTTATCAACTCGACTACCTAGTCCATAACTATTAAAAGATATAAGCCAGGCCGTGTGCACACGAATGCACCAAGTTTAAGTGAGCGCGGACTTACGAACGTACCTCTTTTCTATGTTATACGAAAGCCATTATAGAATGCTTCAGAGGCAAATGGTGATCGCTGAGCTGGAGTCAGGCCATCCCACCGCGCCTGATCTGTCTTGTTGGCCATTTCCTCTCTTATCAATGGGTTCAACATTGGAACAGCTGGTACGATATCGATATTTGTTCCCTTGGGGAACATGTATGCCATCAATGATCATGATAGCTGCTTCTTGGCGATGATGCGAAGTCGCTCAGCAATTATTCGTAAGCTGAATCTCTTGGTCCTGTGAAAGCGATACTTACAGGGGGCCGTATTGGCGCGGAATCTCTTCTAGGAAATCCTCGACATAATGAAGGGTGTCAATATTTTGAAAGTCAAAGTTTGGCATGCTTGGACAATGTGATGCTGCAATAAATAGACTTTGTAAATATTCATGCCTTCTTCACATCAAGTATTATCGTTGAGTATCAACTTTTTGGCCACGTCCGCAGCCACGGAGACGATTATTGTGTTCCAACGTGAGGTACATAATCCACGGTTGGAACTATTCACTTACTGACTTATCGGCTTCCTCTGCTTATTCCTTGTAGATCCTAACTTTGTAGTCATCAAGCCATTTGTCTTGAATGATTGTCAGCTGCGAAGCCTGGGTCTTCTTCATGTATGCGTCCTTTTCATCATCCTGATAGTCATCTCTGTCTACGTCCATGAAACCTTGTTCTGCAATACTGCGCGGTGTTATCATGAGCGAATGTCCTTTCCCGTGGTCAGCGTTTCATCGTTAGAAGACTTCAAGATTGCGGCCTACCATTGATCCCTTTATCGCACGCAATCCGCATCATGCAATTGGCGACATCTTCCTGTTCCCCAAACTCAACACCTCTGTCCAGGAGCCATTTCTCGTACTCGGCTGTACGTATGGCGCTTCTGATCCAACACGGTGCAACGTAATTGATTCTGATTGCTTGTTCCCAACTTGAGCGCCTCGCTGTACGCATAAATCCCCGTAGCCCGTACTTGGTCGCTGTATATTCCCAGTTGCCCTGTAGTCATCAAAATATAAGAATCTATGTAGACCTAGGTGGTGTGCGTACTTACCGGTGAGTCAATCCAAGCTACCATGCTTCCAGTGATAATGAAACATCGATCGCGCTCCGGCGTATCTGGTTGCTTTCGAAAAAAGTGTACGGCAAGTTTCCAGGTATACAACGAACCTTCCAAATTGACCTTGATGATATTGAGGTTGGGTTTTGTAGGTTCTCCATCAGGGTCTGACGAGTATGTGAGTTGATTCATCTATAGCTGAAGCATGCCCGAGTTATGACGCACCATCCAGATTCCAAAGGCTATCCCCAGAACTTCGACTAATGCCTGCATTTGCAATCACGATATCCACGCTGTTGCTGGGACTTTTACTGCGTGCCGTCTCGAACATGGCTTTCTGTTGGTCCCAGTCGCGTATGTCCACATGGACAAACGTACAGACGACTCTGCCATTTGTATCATTGAGCTCTTTCTCAATCTCTTTGCCTCGGTCATTAACATCTCCGAACGTCACAAATGCTCCGGCCGCCACGAAGTCACGAACACATGTCTCGCCCATGCCATTTGCACCACCAGTGATGACAACAGACTTTCCGCGCGCCTGTGTACGGTCAGGCACAATGGTGTGGTCTATTGGCCCAGTATATTCGTACCGTGGGAGTGGCATGGTGGCGGCTGATTGGTTGACGGGGTAGATTGGAGTATTCCACCGGTAGATTGTCTATAATGACTTGACTCGACCATGAACCTACTTCAGGTGCTTCGGGAAAAGTATTATGTCGTGATTTTTACGAGCTCAATCTTAGCAGTGATCTCGGCTTTTACGATTGAGGCGACTTATGCCAATCGGGCATGCTGTGATGTTGACCACTATTGGCTACGGGCAGTTCCTTTTCGCTCCGCAGTTCTTGGTAGTTCAAACTTGAGGTCAGGTTGTCAGAATAGCCGTTCAACAACCCCTGTCAATCTCCGCAGTTGGAGTTTGCGGGGGAATTGGCAAACATGGCAACCCCATTTAGGATAACCATAACCGAAGATCTCATTTGTGCCACGATGTGAGCAATGCCGAATACGCCGGTATTGTACTCTGACCACCATTTCATGTTGCCAGACACTTGTTTTCGAATGCACGAAACAGCTTCAAGCGGCTACAAGGATTTGATGAGACCGCTTCCAGGCCTCAGCTGAGACGTTGGACATTTGAGCCGATTCGGACATGGACCGATCATCTTACTACTTCATGATGAATACCGAAGGTCAATGCCCTGGCGATGGTGAAAGTGGATTGCACGATCATAGAATTAATGCCGAAACGGCTTCGCTAGATTTAGGATGACCCTTGCAAAGTAGCAAGTAAGGGAATGGATGAGCCATCCACGTATTATATGCAGCTATGCTAACCCTTGAGACTCCCAAACTGGCTTTAGATCTCTAAAGAAAGACCATTTGAGGCTTTCCCCCCAACCTTTGGCTTTCCACTCATTCAAACTTTCAGGAAAGTGTGGTACTCCATCCCTCACGGTCGAGTCGTGAGCAATGATGACGAAAACGTTATCGAGGCAATCCAGTTCCTGCAGTTTTCCTGCCGTGTGTTTCGCCAAAGGGATGTCACGACCAAAAGTTATGTCGAATAGAGTGTCCGTAGGGCTACGTTGTCTTGAATGTTGTAAATCCTCCCAGGCATGACCCGGACACAGCGGTAAGCTGCTCTCGGGCTTACAAGGGTGAGGTTTGATTGAAGCAGGTACCGGGAGGTACTTGGATGGCCTAAAGATGCCGGCATAGTGACATACATCACCGCCTAGAAGGACAAAGCTGTCTGGACTCGTCGTGGTTCGAGCCAAGCCACATAGGTGACCAATTGCGTGTCCCGGACTATCAAGTAAGTAGAATGATCCATCTCCAAAGTAGTCATACGCTGGGAAACGTCCGATTCTCAGAGTGCGAGGACCTTGAAAATCGATTTCACGAAGCTCGCGGTTGCTGTAAACTATCAGTCAAGCGAACTCTCAAATTTGAGCTCTTTGAAACACTCACGCATAATCGCTTTCTTGTATCGGGCTCTCGGGATTGGCAGGAGCTCCAGGCAGCATTGCTTCCTTGAAACCCTTGCCTACTACCAAATCGGTGCTTGAAGGGAAAGATGACGGGTCGCCGATATGATCCCAATGCCAATGACTAATCTCACGTAAGTATTGAATTTTGTCTCTTGTCTCGAGACTCTTACAGGGATTACCTCCAAATGACAGCCTCAATATCCGTGGGCTTGATACCTCCATCTTCCAAGATATCGGCCACGTTCTTTGTGACTTGAATATGATATTTAGTGGTCGGAATGTAGGCTGCGATTCGGGGAGAATAATTCTGATAGTCTTTTCTGATGCCAAGATCAAAAACAAGTTTGCGGCCTGATGGGTGTTCCAAGAGAAAGGAGTGCGATGGCGACGTAGGAAAAGTCTCTAGTCCCGGTACAGGCGGTGTCATGAAGCGTTTCAGTATTGCTGGCCCAAAATTGACCGGATTGATGAGCTTCACAATGATTGTCTGCTGCCCTGCTGGCAACTCCACCCCTAATACAGCATCTGCCATATTGTCTAGATAGGTTGGTAGGCAGTCTTTGATGGTCGCTTGGATGATCAGACTTGTTGAGTGTCTGTAAAACTGCTATTCACCCAAGTCACATCTCCCATTGCTATATCAGCTCTTCAGAAGGAAAGCCAGGGGGGTAGTATAATCAATGTTGGCATCCAATCCTCGCTTCCTGGTCGTCCACTTGTGTGTGGGGAGCCCAGTAACCTGGCACACCCTGTCAAGCTGACTTGGCTTTAAAAAAATTAGTGTGGCGGGGGAACACGTGGATGCTATAGGGAATTGTCATACAACGGATATCCCCATCCACACCCCCATCATCTCCCAACTATTGAGAAACAATTATGATAGCACAATAATCCCGGTCGGCTGTCCCTTTAATTCCTCTCGTAGCGAATCTCGGTATTTCGGTAAAGGCTGTTTTGGGATTAGACCCTCTGCTTTTCGGTATCCAGACTCGACGGCTATCGATTGACACGGGCGTGGCGACAGGACATTCGGCTATGATGATGTGGCCCAAGAATATTGGAATAGCTGATCAAATGCAATGTCCTTGCTCAATACAGCCCGGACCCCTACCCAGGTATACAGGCGAACTCAGGATGCATTAAGAGCACACAGCACGCGAGTGATGTCGCCTCTCCAATCTGCCAAGAACAATTCCGCGAATGAAGCTGAATGATCCAGGAATCCCCAACTCCCCAGATTTCCCCATGATTGACCCCACTTGCCAGTATAGTTGACTATGCCTGTAGAAGAATAACATTACTCTGCCTAGCGTACCAATACTACGGGCAACGCTATTCGACCATATATCAATCCTCTCAATCCGAGATAGGACTCGTACACCTATGTCGGGCGAGTTTTCAGAAACCCGCTTCTATCTTTGATTGATTTTGTAATCGCTCCAATCTTGAATCATGTCTGACACAAGCGAGAAAGACGCTACGCAGATGGCTGAGCAAGTAGAAACTGCCAATCCCATCAAGAAGACTCAAACAGTCGACACTCTACGTGACGACGAGGCTTTGCAAGTCTTGGCTAACCACGATGGAGATCAACACTGGAATGAGGCTGAAGAAGACAAATTGCGTCGCAAAATTGACTGGAGGCTAATGCCAGTCCTCTGCATGACATATTGTCTCCAGTATTATGACAAAGCCATGTTATCGCAGGCCGTAAGGAGCTGAAGACTCGGTGCTTTTTTCGTCCATTATTCTAATCAAGATGATTCTACAGGCACTATTCGGCTTGCGAACTGAGCTGGATTTGACAGGCAACCGCTATTCCTGGACAGCATCTATATTCTACCTTGGCTTCATCGCGGGCGCATATCCCTCGATGGTCCTTGCCCAGAGATTTCCGATCGAGCGAGTGGCATCCGCAACAGTCATCCTATGGGGCTTGTGCCTTATCCTGACGACGGTCTGCCACAACTATCGAGACATATATGCGCAGCGGTTCTTCCTCGGCGTCTTGGAAAGCGGCATCAGCCCCATGTTTATGCTTATCGTCGGATCGTGGTACAAGAAACATGAACAGGCAATGAGAATGGGTATATGGTATAGCTGCACTGGATATGTCAGTTGTATTTCACCCTTGATAAATTTTGGGTTTGGACAGATCGGCGGCGGTGTCTCGTCATGGCGCTACATGTACTACTTCTCTGGCGGTCTCACTATTGCCTGGGGCTTGATCCTGTACTTTGTCCTTCCGTCCGATCCCATTCGAGCCAAGGGATTCGGACCGCGCGAGCGCTATATTCTAGTCGCCCGACTGAGAACAAACAACTCGGGTGTGCGCAATACACACTACAAGGTGGATCAAGTCACTGAGCTGCTCCTGGACATCAAGAATTGGCTTCTGTTCTCCGTCGCCTTGCTTTCCATGATTGCCAATGGCCCGATTTCGACCTTTGTCCCAATCATCATCAATGGCTTTGGCTTTAGCACGTTAAACTCTCTGCTCCTACTCATCCCCGCCGGATTCTACGCTGGCTGCGTCCAGCTTTTGATGCCATTCTTGGCCATGAAACTTCCGAAAGCCAGGTGTTACATCATATTCATTGCGCAAATGGGTACAACCCTCGCAGCTCTTCTTCTCTGGCTACTGCCCTTGTCTGAAAGAGGTGGCCTATTGTTTGCCACAACTATCCTACCATCTGTGGGCGGCGGCTACGCTGTTCTCATGTCTCTATCAGTTGCAAATACTGCCGGATATACAAAAAGATCAATCAGTTCAGCTAGCTTATATATTGGATATTGTCTCGGTAAGTTATACTATTCGCAACGGTCTCCTGGGCTTTGCTAAACCTTTACAGGCAACTTTGCCGGCCCCTTGGCCTTTCACTCCCAGGACGCACCACGCTACGGACCTGGATTTGTTGTTGTGGTTATTACGTCCATTGCTGCCGCTCTATTGATCATTTTTTATCGATTCATCTGTGTGTGGACAAACCATAGACGAGACAAGACGGGCATTCTGGAAGGTTACGACCATGCGTATGAGGATGACTCTACAGACAAAAAGGTATGATTTTCTTCAAGTAGCCCTTCGCAGTTGAATCACTAATATCTGGTGACCAGAATCCCCAATTTCGTTATATATTGTGATTCTCTTGGTCTCACTTCCAGTAAATATTCTATATTTGCAGACACTTTCATAGCTTCGAATAATGTTTGGTGCAGATTTTGAGCGACATGATTGCAGCCTACTGGAATAATCAAGTTTGGCATCTAGCAACGGCTAAAGTTTCACATCAATGAATGCAAATTATTTGATAGTATCATACACAGGAGGGTTTCTATGATTCATGCCTGCTAGTAAACCAATCAATCATATACCCATCAAGGGACCTTGTGGAAATATATTGCACAGCATACCGCTGTTATCAACGCGTTTTTCCGGCTGATCATTATTCAGCCAGTCCGAGATTCAGGAAATCCAGTGGATCGAATTGTGCGAACGGCTCGAATAGGTCTTGATACTCGGTCATGAGCGTCTCATGGAATGATGTATTCTCTGGCGACGGGAACCGTGTCCTTGCTGCTCCCGGTTCTTTGCCAGGTAGGAGTGCTGCAGCTATTCGATTTGTCGCCTTTGTGACAGTAGGAAACAGAGCTGTCCAGTCAAACTCGCCACTATTCTCAAGGTCTCTATCTGTCCCGTCCACAGTTGATGCGTCATCCCCAAGATTGGAGTTGGCAGTACGAGAGTCCTCGGTCAGTGGCTGGCCAGGTTTTTCACCGCCAGTCGGTCCAGCTTGGCTTCTTAGCCGGTCGAAACCTTGACACAGGATATTTGCGGATCCCCACATGCGTTGCAACTGTTTGGCAGAATTTGTTAAAACATCCAAATCGGCATTTGCCTCTTGGCACAATCCTTCAATCCGGCTGGCTTGTAGGAGAGCAATAAATGCAGTACCGGAATACCAGCAAGTAATGGCCATTAAAAACCGAGTGTCGCCCCGGGACAAGATGTCGCGTAAAATCCGGGCTATACAAGAAGCTGCTAGTATCGCTGGAGGAAGCGCCTGTGGCAGCGATTGAGCGGAACGCTTGAGATGGAGTATGACAATTGTTGTGAGGTAAGGCAGATATAATTGATGCACATCGCGATCAAAGTTTATTGTCGTCTGAGATCCGATGGGAAGCTGCAGGTGTGGAGGCAGCGACTGGACCCAGTCCACGAGTTTCTGCCGTAGGTGTGTAGGAAAGGGAGAGCTTTGCTCCATTTTTGATCGGGAAAGACATTTGGCTATGTCACCAATAATGCCACAAAGACGGACCCAGGCGATAAATATCTCTCCTTTCCGCTGCATTCTTGGTTCTGGAGGAAAATCAGAGAGACTGGGCTCTTGTATGTTGCAGTCTAGAGGATCAATGATGCTGGGCTTGCTCTGACACAAGGCCGTGAGGCGCTCTCGCGCAAAGGCGGTCCACCATATTCGACGCCGGAGACTAAGTACCGGTCCAACCAAAGCAGGTTGAGGAGGAGTCGGCTCACGGTGAAAGTTCATCTGCTGAGCATGTCGAATAAGCACCGATGTCCACCACCACGACGAGTGTCGGTGTGCGACCGTTGGAGGACGTGGAGCCCACCAATAAAAGAGCGATACAGCTTGTAATGTAGTCACGCCGTCGGCCTCTTCGTCATTGTAAAACATATTTCGAGCTTTGTCGTAGTAGTTGGCTGGTCCTTCATGAGGAATCAATGGTGGGCGTATATGGCTTGCGGCAAGCGCCATGGCATTGGCGAGCAGAGGAGAGCGCAAGCAGTCTTCTAGGATAGTGCCCACATCCAGAACTGGGCACCAAGGGTACACATAGTCGATGTAAGTTTCTGCAAATATTTGCAAAAGCTCTAATTGCCGGGGCCCAGACAAGTTGTGGTCACGGTCTACAGTAGCCTTCATCTCTTGTTGTTGCGCATCGTACTGATTCTCAGGACCATAAATTTGCAGAAACCCAGTATCGACATCAGTGGGACTGCTTCTGCTGGTGTGCAAAGCTATTGGCGGTTTTATGATCTGCAGCCCACTGTCTCGCTGAGACCTTGGACTATCACGGGGAGGTGGATTGCTTCCAGATGACTGAGGATGTGACACAACAGACTCGGTGCGTGTTTCGTCGGCCGACGACGGAGATGGAGGCGGTCGAGCGTGTTGAGGTTGTTGTACGCCATGGTTTGCGTTTCTTCTCCTCTTTGATGGCCTTATACGACATTCTCTGCCGCCTGCACGGCAGTTTGTGCATTTTCCATCTCCCGGGCTGTCCTTTTTGCTCTGCAAATCACACTTGATTTTCTTGCCATGGCAAGCAGAGCAGACCAATTCTGCCCGTTTCCGTTTTGGCTGGTTGTGATCAAAGAGCAGCCACTCGCCGATATGTTCCGTCATCCTCTCGTGACTTCTTGACTCTCACCACTCGAGGGCCCCTATTTTAACAAACAGGGAGGCTCAAGGACGGAACTATCGATGGATTGTCGCTCAGGATGAGCTCGATGTATGTAAGCTGTTCACTTAGGTGATTACCTAGGTGGGTAGTTGGAGACCTGGTATAATGCTGGAGTCCCTGAAGCGATCCCCGCATTCTCCCCAGACCCCGCGCCGACGGACCCAACGCAGCCTCCCTGCAATGCGCAAGGGGGATATTGCCGCAAATACTTTAGTGGCAACAAGCTCCTAGGCAGGTGGCCACACAGCTGTTGACTCTGGACGATGATTCCAAACGTAACACACTTGCACATGCAGGGGCGACAGATCAGTTATCACTGTTAGAAGATTGCGAAATACAGAGTCTTTAGAGCTCCATCCATCTTCATCTGAACCAAGCTTGACTTGGGCCGCTGAACACAATACGACCAAGTGACGTCTCTAGGGAGCTTTGGCTCTAGCACTGCCCAGGTGCGTCTCTCCAGGGCTGTAAACTATCAGTTTAGGGGCTCAGTTAGCTTCACTTGTCTGTCTAGTGGCCGTCTTTCGCCGAAGGTTGCCTAGCCCCAATGGACTCGTCTAGAACTACAAGCCTAAAAAGCGTACAGCCACCGAGAACATTGCAGTCCAGACAGAACGCAGGGAAAAAAAAAAAAAAAAAAAAAAAAAAAAAAAAAAACCGACAGTAGAACGGCGTCGTATTTACATACAAAGTACTAAGTAC